ATTTCCCCTCTTTTCGTGGGAAAGGACGAGGACACGAGCCACAGGCCACAGACGTTTCGCGTTTGACCAAAAGTTCGCGCTGTCAAAAATTTAAATCCCGCTTTTGATGGCCACGGTCATGTATCAAGGCTAAAAATGTCGGAAGTACCTTGAAAAAAGGGAAGAAAAATTTCGAATATTAAAATTTTTAATATTGAAAAAATCAATATTCGTTGACCGGAGGTTTATGTTTCTATTCAGACTTGATCCAACTGACCGTAAAAATGTGAATGAAAGGGCTTAGATTATTTCAAAAAACTTTTTGTGGGGTCGGAAATCGTAAAAAAACTGCAAGTGCAGTTTTTTTCAGCTCGTCAAGACGAGTCGAATGATGGGTCTAACTCCTGATAACTCTAAGGATTTACCGGTTTACCGGCTGGTTACCGGAAAATACGTTGTCACCGGCCGTTTTTGTTCGAGAAGTGATAGACTAATGTTTGACACCGGAAATTGTTCCTTATAGTCAGTTCTCCTGCAGCCTAAAAGATGAAGGTTGTATCAATTCTCTGAAGAGAGTTATCACTAAAAACAGTAATTTTTACTAAAATTTTGTTGTTGCTGCACGTTCCTAATTTCTAGTCCCATTTTCGCCAAAAATAGTATTTTAGTGATTACTCTTTTCAGAGAATTGATACAACCTTCATCTTTTAGGCTGCAGGAGAACTGACTATAAGGAACAATTTCCGGTGTCAAACATTAGTCTATCACTTCTCGAACAAAAACGGCCGGTGACAACGTATTTTCCGGTAACCAGCCGGTAAACCGGTAAATCCTTAGAGTTATCAGGAGTTAGACCCATCATTCGACTCGTCTTGACGAGCTGAAGAAAACTGCACTTGCAGTTTTTTTACGATTTCCGGCCCCACAAAAAGTTTTTTGAAATCATCTTACAGTGTTAATGAAAGACTGTAATTGCTCTTAGTCAGCCAGAGGGGAGGTAGGGGATTAAACATTTGCGCGGCTTGCGGAATGTATATTGCGTAACTGTAAATCTTCAAAACGCCCGTGAACTTACACCCTCCGGGCGAGGTTTGTCCCTGCCAGAGGGCACGCTGATTTTTCGACATCTGACATTTTTTCTTCAGAATCTAATAAAAATCAATTAGCGTCTTGAAAGTATGCCAAAAGCCATTGCGTCCTTAACTGTTCAAACCAGGTTCTTACAGTCAAGCTACAGTCAGAAGGTCTGGGAAGAACTTACTTATGCATTTCTTTGAAATTTTAAATGCTGGTCGTAAAACGTAAAAATCTATTGAGCGGGTAATGATTTTTTAATGCGCTGATTCAGAATTTCAGAAAGTTCAAAAAGCCGACTCTGAAAGAATACAAAAAATGGCGAAATACAATATTTAACCACGATTTGAGAAAATAACAATGGAATAAAATTTACTAGCAGCTATTTTCTTCGAGTCTGCATCTTTCATTGTTACATAACAGCTGTATTCTGGGATTAACAAAGTTAGTGTAAGGCAGTTCCGGAGCTTCTAAGAGCTTTAGATCTTTCTAAGAAGTCAGCAAAAATCCACTCACGTGACTTCCGACCATCTGAGTCCAAAATTCAACAAGAGGCTATCTCGTGCTCATTTTCGATACTATAGCCAAAGCATAGGCTTCTGAAACTGAGCTTGAATTTTGCCAAAAAGACGACAATTTTTATGGTCCATAAAAAACGAGTACAACAATCACAAACAATCTTCCAATCGAACCGGTCTGAAAACGGAGACGGGAGCGTTTTCCTATCAATGAAAAAGTATTGAACTTTGGATATAAGAAGACTCTACTATCACTTCTGTAGGCAAACATGCACTAGTGATAATAATTTGCTATTGATTTTTGATAAATAGAGCTTTCAATTTCCGATTTTCCAAGCAAAAAAAAATCATCAAAAAATAATTTTGATCATCACTTTTTCTTCTGAAAAGAATAAAAAGTCAAATCCTTCCGAGAGGCAAAATTCAACAAAGGAAAAGAATGGAAGCTTCAGAAAATTTTGTAAACAACCTAAGACACCTCAAGACACTTTTCTGAAGGAGCTTAATGCTTCTCAAGAGCAGTTTTGTTCAATTGAGCTTCATCAGCTAAAATAATTGTTGCTTCAGTTGAGTATCATCTTCATTTCAGACACTTTTGATAGGGCGTACTTAGCAGTATCTTACTGGGAACATAATTGGTCATCATGCATTTTAGGGTTAAGGGGGTAGAACTAGGTTTTTCGAAAATAGCCGATTTTAGACCGGCGGTCAAAGCCAGGAGAGCTTAGATTTTCAAATTTTCTCTTCGGTTGAAGAAAGAACAAACTTAGATCTAACAACATTTTTCTTAAATTTTTTTTTTCGTCAACACATTTTGGCGGTAGAGAGCGAAACGTCAACCCACCTCTTCGAAAATCGCAATTTTAACGTATTCGCGTCCTCAAATTTATCGAGTCACGTGACTAGCCAAATTTTTTAAATCTCATTTTAAGATAGTTTAATCATTTATCTAGCAACATTTTTGAGGAAATTGCGTAATCATAAGTAAAAACAGGTTTTTCTTATTTAAAGTGCCTCCCGAAAATCACGGGTTTTCCAAAAAAGCCGACTTTTGAAATGAGATTTTGAAAATACAATTTTTCGTGTTGACCAAAGAATACTCCTGATTTCTATAACCGGTATTGATATAAAAGCTGATGCCAAAACGGAAGCGTTCTTGTTTGAGAGAAAATCTGGAATTTTGGCCGGCAGTTTGGCGGCGCTTGTGCTGGCCAACTCGCGGTACTCGCCCGGGCGATTTTACGAACACTTATCCGTATTCACGGCGCGCACATTTCCGATTTATGATTTTCACTCAGCTTTGATGCTTTATTTACTTACCAAGATTTATGTGTAAATGCTTCCGAGGGGAAGCGAGGGGCTATTGTTGTGAGCTGACTTTGATATCAATAATTAATAAACTCGTCGATTAGTTCCTGGTCGACAAAACCGTCTGAAAAGGAGCTTTCATAACCGACTGAAATTTATTTGAACACACAGTGATTTTAACCTGTCAGTCTTATCACTCATTCTCCCGGCCAGAATGTTTATCAACAAGCTAATCAGTGATTAATTTCAGTTTCGAATATTTTTACCCACTTGACCTCGAGATGATGACCTTGACCGTTTCTTCTCGCAGTAAAAAAAGAAGGACTTGGACGGTGATATGAGCGAAATAAATTGTCATAAATATGAAGTTGACCTTTTACACGATTCGGGGGCACAGACAGCGCGGGGAGACTCATTGTCTTTTGTGTTTAGACGCGTTCTATCACAAAACGAGCGGGCTATCATTCAGTCATGGAATGGACCAGTTATGGCTCGATTATTTTCTTAGGAATCGTCTCCCAGTCAGAAGAATTTCTGGCGCAGCAAAATAATTGTCTAAAAAATGCGTTTTTGAACACTTGAATCGCGCTATTTCTATCGGAGTTGTTTTGTAAAAGAAAGTCAGCTTTTGAATTATCTTGATCAAAAAAAATACAGAAAAAATGAGCTCAAGATCTGTTTATCATCCTTGATCCATCCTCCTCGAAATCCGGTTAATCCATAGACTTGAAGCCTACATTCAAATTTCGCTGCGTAAGGATTAGACAAAATAGTTAAATAAAAAATATCTACACATGATGCAATCGAGGTAGAAAAACATGGCCTGAGCGACAGAGTGATTCTGCTTCCGCTCAAGCTCAATAAATTAATCCACAGCGTTCGGAAGGTGTTCCCACCACGTAGCACCTGCAATGTTCCGTAGATCTGACGATGCTCGTGCTCAAGCGGCAGATCTTTATTAGCTCGATTTCCTGAACTTGACTGACCTCTCACAGACTGATCATGGCCTTGCTTGACCTTTTTAGCAATTCATTACATGCTTAGCTAATTATTTCTTTAGATATATCTGATAGAAGCATCACTATGTTCAACCCCGCCTTGGTACACCGACGATCACGCAAAGTTTCAAAAACACCTCGATGAAAAATTTCCCAGTTCAAGGAAACGGGTGACAAGTTAGAATACAAAAAACTTGAATTTCATTGTTTTTGAATTCTCGATTTTTGAAATCTCTGTCTCTAGTAACTCTGGAGCGTGCTTGATGACCCGTATCAAGTTATTCTCTCGCTGAGGTCAACGTCTTACCGCATCCCACAATATCCGCCGCGCATCTGGGCACACTTAGGTACTTACAGCTAGAATACTAAAATACTACATACAAGGACACCGTTTTTATTAGGCTCCATTTTTGTTATGGGCTTATGTAATTTTTCTCCTTAGAAATTCGTTCTTTACAGAAAATTATTCAAAACATTGACCACTGGCGCTTTCAATCTCTTCCATAAATATCTATAAATAATTTTAAAGCCACTGTAAAACGTAGAGAAGAGGTGCAACTGTATCTTTTTATGACGAAGTCTCTTTTCTATTCACTTTTCTTTTCATTCCAAGAAAGTTCAAACTTTCCAACGTCGAAAGTTTCATTTTAATCAAATTTTCGGTAATAAAATTTCTCGTCTTAGGTTACAGCTGTTGTCTGGCGATCACGAAATCGGCTTATTCCACAGACGTTCAGTTTTCGAAAATACCACCATAAGTCTTGAATACGAACTCGAGTCGGATGCGTTTAGGTAAGAGCCTTCAATTTGCTGATCAGAAGTGACCGCTTTTAAGCTTATCGAATTTTGGAGAAGAGTGTATTTTCGCCGTGAAGAGTGCTCCTGAAGGGCTCGTGGAGAGCAATACAACTTCCGAAGGCACTTTAAACTTATGCAATGAGGGCACGAGTGGACACGTGATTCTTAACGGCAATGACTTTCTTGTCGAGTCGATGGATGCTTCTGATTTCGGACTCAGGAAAGAGGCTTCACTTGCAAATCGGATGAAACCAATGTGGACCATTATGTGGTTAGGGTTAGGGTTTGGGTTAGGGTTATTGAGTAAAGCCATCGAAGTAAAAATATGATCGTGATTTACCCGATTCCCGACAAACTCCACGATGATGTATATCCGGGCATCGATCTACTGGACATTATCAATCAGAAAAAGGAAGAAGTATCTCGCGTTAGGCGAGATTCGTCACGAAATCGTAAGTATTGCCTTAAAAATGTGTGGGCTTTGAGTGTTGTTTCTCTTTGACAAGTTGTTAGTCAGACTTGTCGTAGATTTACTGCCAAGCAAGGTTAAATGATTTACGGCAAGGCGGCAGTGCTCCGAATTAAAGAGATTCTCTCAAAGAAACAAAAAAGGACACCTGTGATATAAAGCCATCCATTTATAAAAGAAAAATCATGTTACATAATTAATGCAGTTTACACGCATGTAATCACGATAATAAAATAACTAGCCGTTCCTAGAATCAAACATTCTATCTCATTCTACCGCGCTAAAACAAAGGAGCTCCTTAATTATTTCTATATAAAGTGTCTTTCTGTCGTAACTGAGGGAAATGAACTCTCGTTCAATAAGTGGCTAAGCTATTTGACCGGAAGAATCGAAAGCCTGCTGAAAAATCAGCGGAAGCACTTTGGGAGAATTTCCATCTTTTCATTGTAAGCGCAGGTGAGGGATTTGTGCTTAGTTTATAAAAATAGTTCCTCAAGTGCGAGACGATTCATTGTCTTTTTGAGAAATAAAGACAGCCCGGCTCCGGAGTCGATTCTGAACCGGGAGACACCTGTACAGAACTGCCAATACAGGGATAATGTAATTTAATCCAAATAAACTCGCGGTAGAAGAATCGAACGGTATTCCATTCAATTCACGAAAGCCAGTCATCAATAATCGACATATTAGGGGGGTTAATAGCCATTAACGTTACGGTCAAGATTCTCCAGCTGAATCTCCTCCCAGATTTAAAAAAGTGCTTATGTAATAGACTCGTTTTCTATTTTTAATCTTGGCATAAACAAGTGTCCCGCAGAACAAGCACTTGACTTCATACGAGTTTCGAAGTTAATGGCGCGATTTATAAGTTCATTTTGATACCTTGAGTGTGACCCAAGACCCACCTGGCCGGAACATCATACGTAATACCGATTTATATCCAATTAATTTTACACTTTTTTCAAACTAGATTCAATTGTTAAATTCCTAGTTTTTACTGCTATAATTCCGAAAATTCTATTTTCTATAAACGAATTGCCATCATAACAAAAAATTTAATGCTTCTCCAGCATTTTCGATCGAATTTTGCCGATTTGATATTGTCTGCAAGACATTCACAAGTTTATAGCATTGCGAACGGCAGATATCATTATCAAACAGCACGTTGAAATATTAATATCCTCGGCGTCATAAAAACTAAGCGAGATAAGGCATTTATCTTGTCCAAACTTCTCCATGGAAGCGTTATTCAGAAATGTGTAAATCGGCTTTGTTCCCGATCAGCCGCCGACTTAGTTCACTTTTGGCCAAGCCAAAAGTCGAGGGATTTATGAATTCTTATGGAGTGATTCAGCCAGCCAATCCCCCGCCAATTGATAAAACTCATAGCACGTAACTTCGGTAGGATTGTCCTACGTCACGGGAATAATTCATGCCCGAAAATCTCCTCGATCCAGGAAACTAAATAATAAGCGCTAGAAATACGTCACATACAGTTTCTCAAAGGAGCTTATAACAGGTCTTTGACGCTATAAATTGGGGAGAAAACTAAGTGGCCCCTTTGAAAAGTTCATTCTAGCAACTTATTCATAGACTTTCGAAATAAATTACTTATTGCGTCTTTAAAATCATGTTTATGATAATGTTTATTTAGTCGACCCGACTGAGAACCTTGTTATCGAATTGATGATCGTTGTTGATTCCGCCTTCATCAAAAAGCATCGCGACTTGTATAGCGTCAAACTCTACTTGCAGACGATCTTGGGAATCATGTCTAATATCTACAGGTACGTCCTTTCTCATTGCGAATTCCATTGACGTTTTGTGTCGAATGCTATTACAGTGAGTATTAGACTGAGTGAGAAATGGGTGAGTTATGAACTAGTTTGGTCATAAATTGCCGTGAATAAAGCTGCTAAAGCGTGGCTACAGGCCCACCGCGCTTGCTGCTTTACTCATTACGAATTTTTCATTCACTCACCCGAGGCCAGGTCCAAGGTCCGCTTCTAAACCCAAGCCTACCGTGGCCGTATATCTTACGGGCTTGGTACCCCTACTCAACCTAAAGGAGGTGAAAATCAAGCGATTACGACGCATAGCATGCCTGAGTCAAGGAAACGGAATAAAGTAACAACTGTAGCTCTGAATCCGGTACAGCATGTCAGCGGATAATAGCTTATTCCAAAGATTAGATAATCGTGTCTAACATTCAAAAATTTAGAGATCCAAGCCTGGGCGTACGAATCGAACTTCGAATCCTTGACACGATTTTAATGCACCGGGATCGCTTCCGCATCTATCAAGACGCAGAAGTGACCTTGAGAAACTTCTGTGAGTACCAACACGATTACTACAGACGAAAGCGTTTGCATCCCGCTGATCACGCAATTTTCCTCACTGGAGTTGACATTTGCGTCGGTGGCTATCGCCCTAGCTGTCCTACGCTCGGTTTTGCTAACATCGGTGGGATGTGCGACTCTAAGGGACGACGTTCTTGCTCGATTAGTCAAGACTCCGGCCTCGCTACTGCCTACACCGCCGCGCACGAAATGGGACACTCATTTGGAATAATGCATGACGGAGATCAAAATTCCTGCTTCCGTTCTCAAGGCATGCTCATGGCGTCGAAACTTGCCGGCTCTACTTCAGGGTCAATCAAGTGGTCTGAGTGTTCCCGAAGAAAACTATTGCAATTCCTATACAGTCCTGGATCTGACTGCTTGCGAGAAACCTCTAGGCGCTCAAAGCCAGTAACGATTCATCAAACGAGCAGCTCAAGTTCTGTGAGACTCCGGTCATTGCGCTCTATCCGTCCCCAATTACCCGGGGAAGTTTACTCGGCCGACGAACAATGCAGGTATGTATAATCACTTCCTCTCTATTTTCGAAGCTGAAAATATCCACCTGTTTCTCCATCAGATGGTTTACTTTTCGTCTAGACTCGCCTACGGAGCAAGTAGCTCGGTGTGTTCTTATGCGGCCGCGGGCGACGACCTTTGCAAATACCTTTTCTGCAACGTTGCGGACACTTTCTACGGACAAAAATGCATCTCGATGAAAATGCCTCCCGCAGAAGGCACATCTTGTGGCCGTGGAAAATGGTGCAGACAAGGAAGCTGTGTCCGAGAAGGTGGTTACTCAAGTGCAATTGATGGTAACTGGGGATCTTGGGGCTCCTGGTCTCCTTGCCCGGCGGAATGTGGCTCAACTGGTGTTCGAGTTCGAACAAGAACCTGTTCCGATCCTGCGCCTGCCTATGGTGGACTGTACTGCAGAGGGAATCACGAAGATACTAGGACTTGCATGGGCGAAGCATGTGATACGTACTCAATGTTCTCGCGAGAGGATCAATGTAAACAACTCCAGCCTTCGTACCGTGCCCGCTCACTACGCGCGCTGACAGGTACCTCGTCGAGCAACAACTCGTGGAAGCCATACCTTACGGCAGCAAACTATCGATCATGTAAACTGCAATGCCAAAGTACTGGCGACATGTACGATACTAAAGTCGTCAGCACGATTGTCGCAGACGGCACGAGCTGCGGAAAGGTACGTAAAAAGCATGATCCGCAAGGAATTTCTTGGGATTTTAATGATCTGATCATTATTGAAACTTTTACAGGATGGCACAAGCTATTGTTATGAAGGAAAATGCCGACGAATCGGTTGTGACGGAGCCATGGACGGTATGGAGCTCGATAAATGCGGAGTCTGTGGAGGTGATTCTACTTCATGCATTCATAAGCGATTCGTGTGGGTTGCGGGATCACGAGGACGGGAAAAACCTCTAGAGATCCCAGCAACTGCTACCAACGTCGAAATTAGCCAGGTTGAATACAGTAGTCGTTAGGTCATGCTTCAGCGTAATTTTTAGGCGGTCGCAGCCACTTCATCACTCCAAATGAGCTCGCTGGACAATGATCCTACTGAGATTGACTTTTCTGGAAAAATGGCTGCTCAGGTGACCTTGGCTGGCTCCGAGTGGTACTATGAGCGGTCAATCAGGTCCAAAGAAGAAATCTCTTCGCCGGGGCCCTTGGCGACTTCTGTTAGGAAAGAGTTCTGAATTCAAACGCAAGCTGGACCATTATTTTATGTGCGCAGCTGATTTGAGCGACACGATTTAGTGATTTTTATGATTCTAGTCCCTACCGCATCGCTTTTGATTCCTTACACCTAGAATCTGCTGAAATAGATCAAATGTCCTGAGGGTCAATATCAGACAGCTCATCTTCCAATAGAGCGGAAATATTAAATGAGAATTTGTGGAAGGAAGTGCTTCTTCCTGTAATAAACAACGGCTTTATTCTCTTTTTGAATAAGTTGTGTTGGCTCAGCATTCGAACTTTTACAAAGATTCATGTCAAAAGTACATTATGGACAGCCAACTTTCACCGTCAGCTACTACATAAGCCGTGATGTTGTCCTGGACGAGATAAGTCCGGAACTCGTCGAAGATCCTTATGTTTGGGAAGACGAGCCGGAAGCATGCTCTAAAACCTGTGGAGTTGGAGGAATAAAAGTCATCAAATCGACATGTGTTGAGAAAGCAACAAAAATCAAGGTGTCCTCGGACCACTGCAAAGATCCACCACCTCGATGGAGAACAGAGCCGTGCGAGCTCGAAGACTGTCCTGCTCTTGCAAGATGGGAATCTAGTGAATGGGGAAGCTGTTCAGCTAATTGTGGTCATGGAACAGCCACGAGAATAGTCCGATGTATAAAGGAAATAAACGGACAAGAAGTAATTGTTTCGACAGATCAGTGTCAAAACGAGCCAAAACCATCAGGAAAGGTTCTTTCTATGTCTGCGAATAACAGTAACATGGACTGTTAAACAGCTGATCCATCATTAGCTGAAAAACTTCAGAGTTTATTGGAGATACTTAAACTTAAGCCGAGTACAAGCTGAACGCGCTATAAATCAAAGTGCATAATCCCTCTTTGACTGCATGACTAAAGGATGAACTCAATAAAAGACTCTCAGACCTGTCAAATCACGCCTTGCACCGCAAAGTGGACCTTTTCAACGTGGTCAAGGGTAAGTTCTCTCATTCTAGAGATTTCTTTTTTAAAATAATTTTAGTGCTCTGCTCAATGTCCTTCGCATAGCTCTGGCACTGTAAATGGAGAGCAAACGAGGGCAGCTTCCTGTCGAAGGATTGATAATATTTCAATTCTCTCACACAGCGAAAACTGCCAAGGTTCAAGGCCAGCAGATCAGACACGCAACTGCAGGCGACGGTGCCACGGGCGACGTGGTAACTCCTCATCGAGGCGGCAACTTGCAAATTGGCGAACAGGAGCGTGGACTTCTGTAAGAACCCTAAAAGTATTCAAAGCTCATTTAAATAATTCTAGTGTTCAAAAACATGCGGGGGAGGAGAACAGCATCGCTCAGTCAAGTGCAGAAGCAGGCGAGGATGCCGAGGACGGAAGCCACTTAGCTCTCAGGCTTGTAATATCCAAAGGTAAGATTAAACCAAATGACTTTATGCCGACTGAACTTTTCAGCTGCCCTGTGTACAGTACGCAAATGCCATCAACGTCGATGAGACCGGAGAGATGTGTGGATATGTATCAAGCTTGCACGAAAATACGAAGCAGTTGCGGCTCACATAACTTTAACGAAATCTGCTGCCACACTTGCTCCAATACGTAATCATACGAATGAGCAAAAACAACAAAAACCACTTCCTTCACAAACGAAAAGAAAACAGATTATCGAACCTCAGTTCACTGCCAAACTCAGGCGACTATTGATACTAGTAAGTCGGAAAATGATCCGATCTTCAAAAGCCGAACCAAAAATGTCATGATCATAAACCTCATCTTATTTAAATATATATAAAAATGCACCTCTCTTTGATATATCTTATGCTCTGATACTTCACAAAACAAAAATTAAACTTGCTTCATCCGAAAAAATATCTCACTGTGAAAAAAACAAACTCGTTAAACTACCTTGCTATTCACTGTACTGTTCTGTAAAAAATAATGCAGTACAGTGAATTTTGAAAAACTGTCAAGAATGATCATTGCTGTATAATATTTTCAATAAATTGCTTTGCAAATTATAACTCTTCCTTGATTTCAATTTAGGGTCAAATTTATTGGACAGAAAATTTAGGGCCAAAAGAATTTTTTAAAGAAATAATTTATCCGTAGTAGTCCTTGCCTCCGTATGAGCCGTAGTCACCACCTTCGTATACTGGTCCACCACCGTATGCACCGTAATCGCCAACAGCGAGGCATTTAGGATGGTCGTTCTTTTCTTTCAGTTGGCCGACAGCGAGTCGAGTAAACTGTTCATATCCACGATGGTTGTTCAGAACATTGGAGACGGCATTGGCATCAAGAGTCGATCCACCATCGCACATTGGAGAGCCGTTAGATGCCTGATACTGACCTCGGGAAGACCTGATGTTAAAGACGGAAACGTCGTTATCCGTCTGCGCGAGGAGCTTGTCAGAGTTGTCCAGAACGGCGTCGATGAAATCATCACCGGCCCAGTAATTGGCTGGTCCGCAAGCGGCATCACCGAAGCTGGCAGCTGCACCAAATCCGTTCTTCCAGTTGCCTGCTGAGTAAGTTCTGTTTTCGTAGTGGTGGAAGACAGTCCAGGCGTTTCCAGAAGAGCTGAACTCGCATTGAACGGGCTTGGCACCAGCATTCGTGTTGACCATGTATACACCTGAAGAAACTCGAAGCTCAGATTGGTAGCCAGTCTCTTCGGTGAGATCTTCGACGATATCAGCGCAAGAGGAGCCAGATGGGACACCGAATCGGCATCGCTGAGTTCCGAAGCAAGGCGCTTGGTCGTAGCAAGAGTCGTAGGCATCACTGGCACGCTTATTGAGCTCCATGTATCCTTGCTTGTCCTCTCGGGCGTTATCTCGGAGGGCCATGAGGCGGTCGTTGACGCTTTGAACTCGCTGGTAATCCTGCTGGAGTGTAGCGAGAAAGCGACTTTCTTGAGCCTCAAGCTCATTCCTGTTCTTTGAGATGTCGGTCATCAAGCCGTTGAACTCATCCATCTTGCCCTTGAGATCCTCGACGATTTCGTCTCGTGCCGCACTGACTCGATCTTGGTAGTTTTTGTGCTCGGCCATGATGTTACCGCGAATTTTCGTGAACTTATCGGGAAGCTCATGATCAAGGGTACAATGATTTGGGCAGAGATTCCAGTGGAGCGAGCATTGTCCGGGGTTTCGGTCAATAAGGGAGGTTCGCCCAACAAAGATATCAACCTGCTGGTGACCTTCCTTGAGGCTGACCTCCCATTGTCTCTCGATCTCGGTGATCTCTTCGCCGTGGTCGCTCTTTGAAGTGACTTTCTTGAGCTCGTCATACTTAGAAGTCCCCTCTCGCTCGAGTTTCTTCCAAGAGTTGCGGGTGGAACGGCTAGCGATAGCCGCCCCTATTAAAAATGTTGAAAACAGTCTCATTTCTAGTTCTTACTGAGACGATGCAAGTCGAGCACCCGGCTTTATGCATGGATATGTTGTTTATTAGTCGCAGGCAAATAAATACACAGAAGAATCTAGTGGTGAACTCAAACAGCAAGAGTTTTCTTTATGTTTGCCAAGTACTGGACTTGATCTGGTTTGGTAGTTTGTGAAGAATAGTAGAATAAAATGGCTAGTTATCGTCGGAAGTTCCCTTTGCTCCCCAATATTTTAGATCTTCCTCGACTTGTTTCAGATCTTCGACTCGTTTTTTGTGATCTTCCATCGATATTTGAACATGTCCTCTGCATAAACATAATAAAGAAACGTATGTTCACAAATAAATATTACCTAAACGGATGATCCGGATCGAGTAAAAGCTCCTTCTGCGTATGCTGTTTCATCATATAAACTATCACGAAGATCATAAAAATCAAAAAGTAAAACAATTTTTTTGTGCATCTGCCCATCGCATCAAGTGTAGAATTTAGTTCCTTGAAAGCAAGTGAAATCTTCGGCCGCATGCTCTGTACTTCTTCCGCTATCATGTTAACTGCCTCCATTGCAAGTTATAATTCAATGAGTACTGACAAAAATGAAAAACCGATAAACCCGAAATCTTACTTTAGCTTGTTGATAGCGGAAGAAGCCCGAGGCAGTGGCGCGCAAGTTCTATAATTCTAGCCGCAAGTAATTAATCCTCACGAATATTTCGACCATAATGTACAGCTCAACGATACTTGATTCGAGACCTGAATTCTATTCAATTCAGTTATAGAAAATAGCAAATTTCAAATTACTGTAAGGGGTTCCAAAAGGTTTCGGAAGGCCTTTGCCTGGTGAAAAACCTTTGTATCTATCTTTGGAACTTTACCCCTAAACACTTGGTAACACCTTGGTAAACACTTCCAAGTAAGCTAAAAACCCACAATATTTATTGACAAAAGGAAAATTTTCCCACCTGTTACGATTTTTAGGATACCTCTAACTTGGAGGCTCTAAGTCAAATATTGAACAGATGTCTTTGTTCCTTAAAGTCTTAGTAACAGAACACTATCCTGGACGGTCCATCAAGATCTATTACAGAGAGTGAGTGCTAAAGTGGCGAGATGACACAAATGATTTGTGTCAAATCCCAGATGTTTTTCGAGTACTTGATTTTCTCTGCTGTAATAACACGCCATAAAAATCATTGAAATCGAACTCCCTTCTCCTCGGTTTGATACCAGACGGCACTTGACGATGAAGCGGACATTGAAATCGAAAATTTGAAAGTGGGAGCATAAAATTGTCTTCCGGCAGAAGGTGCGACTGTGTAATTACAGAAATCAATAAACGGAAGGGCCGATTGATAATAATCAATAATTCTTTGAATCTCTCGACTCTTCATTTAGGATGTGGGGATGACAAGAATAAGAAAAAATAATCTTATACTGCAAAATTCTTGAAAAAATTTTTTTGGAAATTTTATTAGAAAACAAAAACAGTACAGTGTAGCTTTCATTGATAGTTTTAAAAGAATCCTTACTGCTGTTATTCTCTTCATAATACTACTGACTCGTGAATTTTCCGAGTCATCAACCAACATGGTTCAGAGTTTGACAGGCGACTAACTAAATAATTACTCCTAAATCGTTCCGTATCGGAAAAGGCGGTCAGCGTGGTGCAGCTCGACTGGAGCTTTGAGATGGCGCTCTTCAAATAGATGGGTTCGAGAGCAATAACGGGAATATAAATTCCATCACAAATGCAACTATCTTCATCGAGACAAAGCAAAATTGCAAATATGAACATTGAGAACAACACTCAAGCAATAAATGCAACAGCTGATAGTGCTTGCGACAGTGGAATACAGTGGATTTTCCTTCTTTTCGGTGAGTGCGTTTCTTCGCCCACTGAGACCGTCGGCTTTTTCCTCGGAATCTTCTCAATTCTGTGCTGGTTCCTCGTCTACTTGCCTCAACTCTATGAGAACTACAAAAGAGGACGCTGCGATGATGCCCTGTCAATTTGGTTTTTAATATTTTGGCTCTTTGGAGACACGTAAGCTTTTATTTCTAATTATCAACACATATCTCTGCTCATCGGTTCCCCCTTATGCGGCTTCAATTAGTTATTGCTTTCATTTCTGTCAACTTATCAAAGATTTCAGTGCCAACTTAACAGGATGTCTACTAACGCATCAGTTCCCGATTCAAACTCTGACAGCGATCTACTACGTTATGATGGACGTAGGAATCATCGCTCAGTTTTTCTACTACACGCTCAAGAACCAAACCAACCATCCTTTGGATTGGCAATCTCTTTCGACAGCAGCCTTGGTTGTCGGTATTCCTTTGACAACACAACAGACATTTGGGACAGAAAAATTGACATTTAAGTCCACCGCCGAAGAGATTGGTTACCTCGTTGGACTGATGTCTACGTTGTTTTACCTGGGTTCTCGGCTGCCTCAAATTATCAAAAACTTCAAGCGGGGCAAAACTGAAGGCGTTCATCCTTTCACTTTCCTGCTCGCTGTGGTTGCAAACTTTGCTTACGCTGCTTCTGTTTTACTCAGCAAGGCAGAGGATGGCCACTCTTATAAGTACTTCGTCATGCAGCATTTACCTTGGCTGCTTGGCTCACTTGGGACTGTCGCTCTTGACTTGACGATCCTGCTCCAATGTTTGTTTCTTGGAAAATCAGGAGACTCGATGATGAGCAAAATGTCTTACGATGAACTAGATGATCTCTTGGATATCTACAGCGAGTACGAACCTCTTCTCAGACGACCCCAATAATTTAAAGTTACTGCTCTTCTTGTTTTCAACTCACCGAAAGTATACTGCGAACATTCCACTTTCCTCAACACAACTTTTAAAAAATACATGTATTGTGTTTATTTTCGAGGTTTCGATACACATTCGGGGTGGAAGTTGGAACAAGGAGAGTGGCAGTTTGTAAATAAAGTCTATTCCCACTCCGTTGTACCGGGCGGTTTTGAAGTCAAATCGTAAAGTAATCTAGTTATTCCGGGAACCTAGAAATAAACTGAGTCCAAAGACTACTTGTTGCTAGTACCTCGCAGAGTTCTTTTTGCATTTCGTTTACGCATTCTTCTGATAAATCTTGTCCTGGGATTGCAGCTCGACCAGTCATAAAATCGGAAGAAATAAACGGCCTGAAAATTCTAAGACAGAGACAGAGTACAGAAACTACCTTATAACGACTGAACGTTGACACGAGCCAACTTTGGTTGAATACGGCTCTCTATCAAAATGCAAAGGAAGCAGAACTACTGGCATCTGAGAAACGTTGTCTAATTGATTGTGTTTCTTCATTATCGTATTTGCTCTATGATCACATTCTCTGAAGCAAAACATGAAGACTTGCAGAACAGAGTTCATCTTACCTCAATTGGCTAAGAGGATATTCAGAAAGAGTAGTTGGTGTTGTATCGTTCGGAAAGTGACTATCTCGTATGGGAGTTCCCATTAAATAACAAACTCTAGTCAAAAGTTTATTCCATGTCGAAAAGAGTGAGCTACAAACCTATTAATCGTGTGACAAATTCTCGGTATAATTTTCGCCAAAAACACTAGCTCAGTCCACATTGGAGGGCCAGAAATACAAGCAACTTGAGAATAGCTCCTGCAATCTCCTTGAACGCCTACTGATTTGATCGGAAGGATTGATGTGTAAAGTTTCGCATCTCTAATTTTGAATTATTACTTCGATTTTAAAAAAGCTACTACAACCTTGTGAATTTCTCAAGGCGGTCATGCTCGGAAGACGAGAGTGATGATTTGATCTTTTCAAGCAGCGTGTGCGGTGTTTTCAAGCAGTGACTGTAATTCGACAGCATTTTTAATAAAGGAGCGGGGCCCTCATCTTCTTGAACGAGGAAATTATCAGCGCAGATGACTCGAATTGCCAGCCCAGGGCCGGGAAAAGGCTGGCGCTTGACAATCGACTCTGGTAGGCCGAGACGAGTTCCTAGTCTGCGGACCTCGTCTTTGTGAAAATCGCGAAGGGGTTCAACAAGACGACCAGCATTTCTGTACTGTCGTGCCATTGGCGAGTCATTATGATGAGTCTAACAGTAAATTAAGATGGGAAAATGAAAGTCTTGTACCTTTATTACATCCGCATGAGAAGAAACAGTCGCACTAGCTGATTCAATCAAATCTGGCCTAAGTGTACCTTGAGCCAAGAAAACATCTGTATTATCAATGCTCAAGTTTCTTCTGTTTGCTTCGATTTTGACAAGTTTAATGAAAGTATCTCCAATTATTTTTCTCTTTTGTTCGGGATCGATGGTTTTGCAGAGGATCTGGCTCGGTTCTTGGAGCAAATCTTCCGGCTTTGACCCGTAAATTTGACATGATGAGTTGTAAAACATTCGCTGCGCGTTGACAAGTTCTACTGGCGTTCCAATGTCAGTCAAGCTCTACAAAACTTCATTGAGCAACGATAAAATAAGCAGGAAAATACCTTGATGACTTGCTCCGACTCGCCCTTGCGCATAAATCCATTATCGATATGAAGACATTTCACTCTATCTTTTCCTATAGCCTTAAAACGGGATTTCCCTACGTGGTACAGATCCCTACCTGGTACAGATCCCTACCTGGTATAGATCCCTACCTGGTACAGAAATAAAAATGTACCAGGTAGGGATTTGTACCAGGTAGGGATCTGTACCAGGTAGGGAAATTCAAAATAGAAATTTTTTAAAATCGATAATCAACACATTAACCCAAAACATAATTCTACTCGACCCCCCATCGATAATAATTTTTTATTTCAAAAATGTTTCTTTCATTATGTTTTCGTATAAACCCGAAATCCCTCTCTCCGACACTTATTTTAGTCGGTGTTTGGGAAAATCCGTGGTCGATTTGGTCAGTCGGGTCGGACTTTTGGTCGGTTCTGATCAGATCGGTGGTCCGTTTTATGCTCACAAAAACAGGGTCATTTATGCTCCAAAGGCCTTCTCTGAAATCGTTGAGCAAGGGGATCATTTTGGTGGGCTTATAAACTCTTTAAGACGTAATTTATTATAAAATTATTTGATTCTAGAAGAAAAAATGTGTCAGAAACTTTTGAAATGTGCACAATTATGGCACAATTGAAGAGACACAATCTTCAAAAAATCATTTTTATTATTATTTTACCTTCAATCTTAAAATATTCCGGACAGATTATAGGGGAAGCTCTACTATGCAATTTAACAATAAAAAGGAAAGCATTCCGTTTCACCTTCGAAAACACAGAAGGTTACGACAATGTCCGAATCTCCCTTGATGATCTTGCGAGCATAAGAATAAGGAATATTGGCGAAAGTGATCTTTGCCTGGCGAAATTTCTTCTTCAAGTGGATCATTTGGCCATTGATTTGGTTGAAGAAGAGAGTGAAAAAAGTGGCATCTTGCTGATTCCAGCTGGAGCTTCTTTTACTGTGCCTTTCAAGCAAATCCAACAGTTGCTCAATGTCAATCCTGCTTCTTGCTGCAAAAATGCAACTGATGATTCTGACAATAGCAGCAGCTATCGTGAGATAAGGCAGCAGCATCTTCAGCCGGTCAGATCTCTAGTTAGCCTTCGAAAATTGCCGAATTACTTTTTCGGGACTGTTGGGGCCGCTGAAGAGACCTGCCAAACTTGTTATGGAAATAGTATCTGCGATCCTGTGAAAAATACATGCGTTTGTGGAGGAGACAGAGATTTTAAAGGCTACTGCTCGCCAAAGAAAATTTGTAAATGCCCGGTTGGAAGTTACTGTGGCTCTTCAGAAAGAGAATCAGAGAAATGCCATATAATTTGCAAAGAAGGCTTCAAACGGACCACCGATCTGATCAGAACCGACCAAAAGTCCGACCCGACTGACCAAATCGACCACGGATTTTCCCAAACACCGACTAAAATAAGTGTCGGAGAGAGGGATTTCGGGTTTATACGAAAACATAATGAAAGAAACATTTTTGAAATAAAAAATTATTATCGATGGGGGGTCGAGTAGAATTATGTTTTGGGTTAATGTGTTGATTATCGATTTTAAAAAATTTCTATTTTGAATTTCCCTACCTGGTACAGATCCCTACCTGGTACAAATCCCTACCTGGTACATTTTTATTTCTGTACCAGGTAGGGATCTATACCAGGTAGGGATCTGTACCAGGTAGGGATCTGTACCACGTAGGGAAATCCCCCTTAAAACACAACGCAGCCAAGACGCAAGAATCGACGCCGCCAGAAACGAGCACTAGAATCTTTCCGTTTTCTCCAACTTGACTCCTAATTTCAGCGATACACTCTTCATCGCGAAACGATTCTGTAAATAAACGGGGCACTTGGGCAATGTCGAGGAAATTTGAAAAGATCTCTTTTCCGAATTTTGTCAGATCAACTTCTGGGTGAAACTGAACACCGAATATCTTTCTGGTGGGATCGGCGATCGCGGCTACGATGTCTCCGCTTTTGGCAATTGTCTCGAAGCCATCAGCTACTTTGGTTATTGAATCTCCGTGCGTCAACAAGACTTCCTGCGTTTCCGGCAGGCCTTTGAACAACTCTGATGCCGTGTTGACAACTGTGATCGGAAAAACGCCGTCTTCTCTTTTCTCAAGCGCGACGACTTTGCCTCCATTGACGTGATTGATGAATTGCATGCCCCAGCAGATTCCAAGCACGGGAATGTTCATATTTAAAATCTCTGCGCTCAACTTTGGCGCATTTTCGTCAGTAACTGAGCTCGGTCCTCCAGAAATAATAATCGCGCTAAACGTTTTCAGAACAGCGATTTCTGTTGCCGGAGAAAGTATTTCGCTACGAACTACAATTGACAAGTTCAGATAACTCAAAAAAAAAACAAAAGGCAAACCTTGTAGCTCACGAATTCGTCTGTCAATAACTTTTGTATACTGGCCGCCAGCGTCAATTATACACACGCATGGTATACTTTCCTCCCTCATTCTAGTACACTAAAATTAAAGATTTTAAGAATTTATTCAGTTTTTTTGTCTTTTTTATTATTTTATAAAAAAAGTGTTCACAGAAGAAGATCTTCATTCCACTCTGACTGGTCGAACGGACCGAAGCCATCGTTAAGAAGTACAAAGTCACGTGCACAGTTATCAGAATCGTTGCAGCACTGGCGACAGACAGATGGTGCTTTTTTCCACCAGGGCTCAGGTCGGCATTGGTGATTTCGCCATCGTCCTCTCGCGTTTTGCTTCTTGTTATCCAGGCATGCTCGTCTTGATTTACAGCCCATGCAGATCTATAACAGTTTAAGCGTTATATTCTCAATGATTGTGGCCAAAAACCTGTTCAAGCTCTCCTTCTCTCTTTCGCACTTCAATCATGCACACATCATTCTCTCCTAAGCACGGCTTCATCTCCCCGATCATATCGCATTGTGTCATATTTACAGCATCACAGTGCCAGCATGAAACCTCTCGGAACTCTCCCGTTGTCGTATCAGGCACACTTGCTGTTGGGGCGTATTGCCCTTGAATAATAACTACCACCAACGAGAAAATTTTCATTTTTTCTCTCTTTTTTCAAAAATCGACAAAAAGAAAAACTTTTGTCAATGAAAATTGATTTTTTAGCAAAATCGAAAAGGTCGGTGTATAATTCCGTAATGATGAAAAATTGAAGACATTTAAACGTTTATTCAACACACCTTTGGCCATTTACAGATATTTGAGCAACTGAAAGTATATCGTGGCGATATGCACAGAAAATAAGAGCAACATTCGTTGGAAATTAATGGAGAGCGGAGTTTGAACATTTAGGAATCGTAAATTATAAAATACGTATTAAATAAAACGGGCTTGAGGAAAAGGAAGAATTGAAGATAAAAGAGAAAATGGTAAAATTTTAAATTGTAAAGGTAAGGAAGTACTATCCGGTTTTGATTTTCCAGAGCTTGAGCTTGATGCCCAGCATTTCAGAAACGGCGCCGGAGAACGCCGATAAAATGATCATTCGAGTTACGTTGTACAAAAGTGGAGACATCACCAGGCCGTACACTTTGAACGGAGACTGAAAATAATCGATTGGAAAATGGAAGCAGGAAGGTTCTTTTGGGTACCTCTATTTCTTTTATTAGCTTCACCGCGAGGCCCAAAACTGCGTTTGCTCTACTAAGCGCCTCCTTTTTATGCGGCTTTCTGTCCATTCTGAGGTAGAGATTGATCTGCTCCGTAATCAAGCCAGAGGAGTTCATGTATCGTTGGTTGATCTTGCTTCCTTGAGTGAGGATCTGCATCATGAAGATGCCACTCGTAATGCTGTTGAAAGTCACTTCCCAGAGAAAGGGCGACGATTCTTCGAAAATGTTCCCGTGAATAAAACTAATTGCCAAGGCTAAAAGTGGGTTGAATAATTTGATCGGGAGAATAAGAGGAAAAGAACCACGAAGTGTCGCTTTTTTGTCGCTTCGTCTTACTTTTCCCGAAATATCTCTTACTGGATAAGTGCGTCAAAACAAGAAGAAATCCAGAGGAGACTAAAATGTCGACGGATCGTTGCGCTCCTCTGCGGCGAATGTAGGATCGCAGGGAGAGCCAGAGTTTGATGTTGCGAACTTTGTTCAGACGAAAGTGGGGCAGGTCGGACTTGCGCGCTCGGCGGGCGGAAGTTAGGTGCGAAAAGTGCTTGGCTGCCAGTAATCGCTGGCTGTACACGCGCAAGGAGATGGACAACAGAAAGTAGAGCTAGAAATTAACTATTTGAAATATTATCTTCTGAGGACTTACGATGGCGGAAATGGAAAAGCGACAGATTGCACTGCAAATGACGAGATAGGGAGCACCAGCAAATGTTATTGTTTTAATCTCGTAAGCAACTTGGAAAAGATCGTGATGGCAGGAGAAGTTGCGCAGGGCGGCGGAGTGACGGTAGATTCTGTTCGTCATTGGCAACAAGGCATGGAGGAAGGCAAAGAGCAAGCCCAGGCAAAATGGAGAAATTGTCTGCTTTTCTTGGAAAACCTGCGGAAACAATTGATGTGGATTTTAAAGAGTGCTAAAAGAGTACCTTTCTCATGATAAGAGCTCCAAGATCAACCAGCGAAACTGACGCCTTGACCCAATGATTGGATTCCCATAATCGGACGTGAATTCTTTCTGGTCCAGGTTTGACCACGTCTGGAGCTACTCTTGGATAATAAATTTGCTTATAAATGATCACCAGGCTCTCTCTCTCTCCTTTTCTTTCATATTTTGTAATCACCGCGAATAATTAATAATTTAAAATTATCACCAATTCTCAACGCCTCAAAAATCACCATTTTATACCTTTTGGGGGAGCTCTGCAAAAGGAAGATTTTAAAAAAGCATTCATTTTTAGCGCACAATTTTTAAGATATGGGATGATTTTCATGATGTTATAATGTATTACCCGTTGTAGTCTGAGTTTATGTCACTGTCATTGTCAGTAGATTCGCCTGTCGAGCTTGAAGAATCGTCCGATAGTCGCTCTTATTCCAAATATCAGTTTCTTTTTGACAATTTCAATGATTTTTACCTCTTCGAATGAGCGGCTGAATATCCCGCTGATCATCTTCATCAGAATTGCAAAAGTGATTTCTCTTCCTCAAAAACTGATTCTCCAAGTGAAGCGTTCTCGATCTTCTTTTCCTACAACTGGCAACTCTTGACGATTTCGGCGCATCCAGTGATGTTGAATCTGACGATGGAGTTTCAGAATGTTTTGCGTACATTTTTCGAAGCCCGGCAAAAGGCCCGATATCCGAAAAAATCGAGCATCGGCGAAGAGTCTTCGATCTTGTTGTTCTTCTGGCAGCGTGTGCTTTGTGTCGCGATGATCTCTTGCATTCGAGGGGTTTCGTTTGGCTGATGACGCAGTGCAAAACCGAAAGGATCACCAGCGAAATAACCGGAATGATCACTTCACTTAACGGGACTTTGTGCGAGTTCTCCGGGCTCGAGTAATAACTTGTCAGTGAAAATGCCATCAAGAGCCAAACAGGGTTCTTAATCAATTCGTGAGTCACGCTAAGAAAAAGACGAAAAGAATAAGTGCAATCGCCTTTTGAGCTTGAGCTAAGATTCAGAACCCTGGAGCCAAATACAAATCAGGAAAATTGTAAAACCTAGCGAGGTGCGTTCCTTCCACCACGTGACATTTAGCGGCATAAAAACCGAAAGCATAATTCCGTGAATCCATGGCGTCAGTCCAGACTCGAGCGGCTGTGCTTTTGCAAACGTATTTCCCTGAACGAGGTCTAAGTCGATCAAATGCTCCGGAACTGGCGCTTTTCGACTTCCTTCGACTGTCAACTCTTCATGTAGTTCCCGACGAACCACCGATTTCTCCCAGATTTGAAGGTCATAATCAGCGACTGATTTTAGTCCAAAAATAAGTCAAAATTGAGAAATCGAAAGACTCAGATGTGTTTTTGAACTTTCCTTTGTTCTGAAACCATCCGATTATATTGTCAACATACATGTCTTCCATTCGTTGTCAGATAGACATGCTGAAATTTATCACACGTCATTTATCACTGTAATTATCAAGAAATAAAGCTCAGCAGAAATCTCATGCAAAATAAAAACATCAAAAAACTCAAAAAATTACCAAAAATGCACGTCTTTTAATAAGCCTGTCAAAATGGAGGTTAGATGAGTTCGATATAACAGTCTTTACCAACAGAAAGTGACGCTAAATAAATAATCTTATGGAAGGGTCTCTTGAAGCTCAAAGAGTTGAGGGGATATTATTGGCGCGCGCTCAGTGACGCAGCTTGACGCAGCGCGCTCTTTTATCGAAAAAGAAAGTCATTTATTCAGTTCTTTATCAGTAGCTGCATTTACTTTTTATATAGTAGGGTGGAGAGAGTTGTGCTGATCTGAGAAGTAACGAAAAGAATTCTTAGGTAAATTTCGAATTGGTCTTTTTAAAAAACCATAACCCACCCTCTCTTCTATTGAATTGATTTTGAGCGATAATATGTTATTATAAAATAACTACAAGTTAATCCAGGTGTCAGTGAAAGAATTTATGCTTATTTCCAAGTTGTTTTATTTCAAGTCAAGTTGATTTTTAGTGAAAAACTTTTATTTGAAAGAAGTTAGAAGGTCTATTTCGAAGCGAAACAAATGATATAATTACCGAGTAAGATGATTTTAAAAAAAATTTCGCGGGCCCGGAAATCGTCAAAAAACTTTTTGTCTAGTTTTGTAGAGCTCGTCGAGACGAGTTGAATGATATATAAAACTCCAGATAATTTTAGGATTTTCCGCCAGAAAAAGTGATAAGAAGGTGTCTTATCAAAAATTTTCTGACCAGCGCCGTTTTTGTTCTAGAAAAGCTGAGGTGATGATTGACCCCGGAAAATGATCCTCATGGTCTGTTCTATTCCGGCAAAAAATTTCAGCTCGTCCTCACATATCCTGCTGTGCTTATCAGCGAAAAATCAAAAAATTAGTGCATTTTGTTGTCGCTGCACGTTCCTAGTTTCCGGCCCATTTACAGTCCCATTTTCCTTGGAAAATGAAATTTAACGATAAACTCGGCTGGGTATATGATGACGAGCTGAAATTTTTTGCCGGAATAGAACAGACCATGAGGATCATTTTCCGGGGTCAATCATCACCTCAGCTTTTCTAGAACAAAAACGGCGCTGGTCAGAAAATTTTTGATAAGACACCTTCTTATCGCTTTTTTTGGCGGAAAATCTTAAAACTATCTGGAGTTTTATACAGTGAAAACTCAAAAATTGCCTACTCAAAATTTGGCCGCTTTTTGTCAAAATCCGCCTTTTTTGGAACCTGAAATCAACTCAAAATTTGGCCGGTTTTTTTTTCCAAACTAAATTTATTTCACTAAATCTTTTTTTTAACAGTGAAAAAACTAGAAATCTTCGACTGCTTTTCTGGCCATTTTGAAGTCGATGGCTTTGCAATGTCGGCTTCATCTGAAACTTGAACTTGAGGTCCTTCTTCAATCTCCATCGGGGTCGCACCATTGATTTTCACAAATCGTTCCAAATGCTCTTCTTCATCCTCTTTTTCTAAAATATCTGCAACGACGTCAACATCTTCATTGAAAACATCAACTTCATGCTCAGTGAATTCATCCTCCTTGACGAGATTGGTGTTGATCCAGGCACGTTGAAAACAACCTTGAGGAAGTTTCATGAAGATTTCGATTCCTCTTTTGACAAAATTTTCTTCCTTCAATGATAAAGAATCATATTTAACAATATGATCATCCAGAAATGCACGAACTCTTTTCTTGAATAAAGAAAAGATTACATTGTCTAGAGGTTGGTGCAACCAGGGTTCATTATTGTCTTAATAAAGGACTTAAGATATAAAATATTTTGGCGGGAATTTCAAAGTTATGCTATATTTCTGAAATTCACACTGTAGACTAAATTTGACCCGCTGATTCCAAAAATACCAAAATCGGAAATCCACGATGACTTTACACTTAGCTCCCGTTTTTGACAATACTGAACCCTGGGTGCCAGCCGGTACAACCCGGCTGGAAATAGACGAATTCGAGGTTGTCCAGCATCGGAAGCTTCTTGTGCGAGCTTAAAATTATTTAATTCTTTGACTCGTGTAAATAAATTACCTGCAATTGTCCATCATGACAAGATATTTTTTTGATGGTGATTTCGACTTCAAATGAAGTGAAAGACGGTAAACTTCCGCGATCATGATCTGTCTTGTCATCCAAGCAGATGGGTTCCAATAAAGAATGAAATTTTCGAAAGAGCGGTACTCAATTTCAAAGAACTCTTGGTTTTTTGATGAAGAAGGCTTAGTCGCATCAAAAGTCGGATCTCGAAATTTTTTCTTGATTTTCTTTCCAGCTCCTTCCCACTTTGATCCTTGACATTTAGAAATAACAGCAGGTTTGAAGTCAACAACATGCCCAAAGGGAGTGCAATACGGAATGAGGGTGTATCTTTCTTTAGTCCCTTCCATTTTTGAAAAATCATCTCGATCCCCAAGAACAACAAGATTCTTCGTTTCGACAGTTTTTTGAACGCCAGTTTCGTCCAAATTTATGCATTGAAGTAATGGGTATTTTTTGATGAAGCCTCGCAAACGACCAATTTCAATTGCATTTTCTTCTTCCGTTAGAAATTTACGATCACTTTTTCTTGATGATTTTCTTCCAAGATCCCTTATAATTCTCAAAACAAAGCATGTTGAAATCTCCATATTCTTCAGCTCTTCGTTTTCAGAAAAAAATTCATCTCTCACATCTTTTACAAAAGCAGTGAATCCTCGAACCTTCATTTTCAACTGTCTCTTGTTGTAAACTTCTTTCACTTTCTTTTCAAACTCTTCCATGGCAGTGCTCTTCTTACGTCCAGTATGAAATGATGTTTTTGAGTCAGAAGAAAGAATCTTATCACAGTCTCGTCTCCAGTTCCGAAAAGTCTTGTCTGGTAGATCATAATTATGTTTCGCTTTGATGATTCTCGCTACTTCTTTGTATTTCGCTCCTCCTTTGATCAATTCGCAATATTTTTTTCTCTCTTTGAGTGGCAAGGTCAAATAACCACCGTATCTTTTTGTTGACATATTTTTTTATTTAATTGATTGGATATGATTTGAAATACCCGAATCAGCATGATTCTCGAAAAGAAGAGCCGGTCAAAAAAGTCTAGAAAGAGAAAGACTTCCTGAATTTACGAAATTTTGCTTTTTTGAAAGGGAAACTTGGCGACCCGGCAAAAAACTCAAAATTTGGCCGCTTTTTTCGGGAATTTGGATCTAAAAACCGGCCAATTTTTGAGTTTTCACTGTATATCATTCGACTCGTCTCGACGAGCTCTTCAAAACTAGACAAGAAGTTTTTTGACGAGTTCCAAGCCCGCGAAATTTTTTTTGAAATCATCTAAATATTGGATATCAATTAAGTGCCAAAAACCGCTACCTAAATGTATAAAAGCCGGCCTCGGTAAACTCAGCGGGGCCAATCAAGCGGGCTGGTCCTTGTGCCACAAATAGCCGATGTCTAATTCTCATGCCCCCTGGCTCGCCTCTTCCCTCTTTTTTCAAAATAATGACACGTTAGACTTCAAAATTATTAACGATGCGGATTCTAGCGGGAAATGAGAGTCTGCGTGCGGATCCCTGGCAACTCCGCGGACTTTATTGTCGAAGATATTGGCGAAAATGAAACAGTAGAAATACTCAAAGAGAAAATTCATGCTGATCATCCGCGACACCCAGGCAAATGTCCATTTCATGTAAAACAAAAACCTTTTTAAACCTCTTTTGGACCTTTGAAAATAGAAAAATCTCACCAAAAACTGATCGCTGGAGGAAAGCTTCTCCAAGACGAGCAAGTTGTTTCTTCTCTCGCTCTTGGGACTTCAAATATTATCCATCTCGTTATTTCTGAGCAAACGAAAGAGCCAAAAGAAGCTCCTCAGCCAGAGATAGTTCCGTCTGGCCCTTCTGTTTCTGTCCAAGAAGAAACCGAGCCAACCGAGGAAATCAACGAAGAGAACAGCGAAAATTCGGAGTCTCGAAATCTCGAAAATGCTCAGCTTGAAAATGAGCAGACAACAGTCAATACTAGTGGCGAAAATACGGCAGCCCAGACACAACAGTCGTCAACTGAAAGTACAAAGGAAGAGGAATCCTGGCTCACGCCGGAGTTGAAGCGATACTTTGATGTTTGGGATCTGAGCATTAGATGTTACGAAATCAATGGCAGCTACGATCATCTGGTGCCGCAATTAAAGCTTTATCGAAGTACAAACCGAGGAAAATTTCAACAGCTGAACTTTTTTAGATCTCATTTTTGAGAAAGAAAAGGCCCAGGCAAAAGGACAAACATTGAAGTCTTTCACGGAAATAATCACGAGGCCAATTTTGGCAGAACAACCGCCACAAGAAGAATTGCCACGGCAGAACCCAGAGCGGGAAAATGCTGTTGTTGGTGCTCAAGGAGCTGGTAGAAATTTCTAAATTTAGGATTGGTTTTTCATGCTTGTTTTAGTGGAAGATGATGGGCCTCAAGATTGGTTAGACAGATTTTACTCTTTCTTCCGTGTTTGTCTCATGCTCTGTCTTGTTTACAGCTACTCCTCGACAGGTGAAATCTTTTCATACCGAGTCTCGAGATATAAGTTGCTTTAGAACGATTTGTCACCGTCCTTGTCATTTCTTTGAGCATCATTCTCTATCAAGCTGGCGTTTTCAACATAAGACGACGGTAAATTTCAGTTTTTCGAAGGCAAAAATAACAATTCTTCTTCAGAGCCCGGCCAGCTCCAGCTCAAAATGACACTGATCAGAATGATCAGGAGCCAAGAGACGGAGCTCAAGCTCAAGAACCGCCACAACGAGGGATCTTTACGATGCTGTGGGTTTTCCTCTCCTCTTTTTTCACCTCTCTCATTCCACAGAATCCAGCTGTGGTTGACGCAAATTGAAAAAGTTCAAATTCTCAAATGTATAAAACGAAGAACCCTCTCTTTCATTCTGTTTTTGGGGACCGTCTTGTGCAAATGTCCATGTTCTGATGTATCACTTCAATATTGAAACGAATCATTCAAATCTTACCTAATTCCCCTGCTTTTTCAGACGTTCAAACTTCTCTTCCAGCCACCATGGGTATGCAAATGTTTGACGATATCATGAAGAACGTCCAGAAGGAACTTCAGGAACAAGTTCACAAGGGTAAGAACTCTCCACCTCCAACTTCGCTTCACAAAAATATTCAGTCAAGGCCATCGATGCGGAGCGACAAGCCATGGGCCGTCGAATTGGACAGCTCGAGAGCCAAATCGCCGAGTGCAAAGTCGTGCTCATGGAACTCAGTAAGCAATCCATCAATTCTTATCTTCTCATTCCATTCTTTTTACAGACAGCGCTCCAGAAGACGCCAAGTGCTACAAAATCCTCGGCCCAGTCCTTCTCGACCAGAGCCTCGCCCAGTCTAAGGAAAATATCGTCAAACGCGGCGATTTGCTCAACAGCGAGCTCAACAAGTAAGCAAATTCAATTTTAACAGTGAAAATAACGATTTAAAAGGATGAAGAAACTGATCGCCGACTGCATCGAAAAGTTTAAAAGCGAGAAGCAGGCGCTCGATGAGCTCAATGCAAAAGCGAAGCAAATCAAAGAAGCCCTCGAAAACTAAGTTTCAGTTTTCGGAAAAAGCGGTTAGACTGTTTCCCTCCTCGCTCCTCGACTTCCAACTTCCTAAGCCTGGCTAGTCTGGTCCAGACTGGCTCCGATCCTATCCGAGCTCGTCTGGACCAGGTAATCTCACATTTTCATTTCTAGCCTTTTCTGTGCTAATAACCAGCTCAAGAACTTCCGTACCCACTATTTAATTCGACTCTTATCAATTGCTCTTTCTGTATCTCCAGTTTCCAGTCCATAACGAAATTATCTCTTCTACTTTTGCGGATCTTTCTGTTTACAGCGAATTTGCGCTTTCTTTCGACTCTCAAAGTAATATTTTTTTTGCCAAAAATGAAGAAAGCTTATAGCAAATTTTTCGCTACACAATTACCGCACATTACTCTCTCGCTCAACGCCCTATTATATCGATAGGGTTCCTATCAATCCATTCTAATTCATGATTCCTTTTTTCTTTAATATATTTCTCAGAAATATGAATTATTTACTGTCAATCGATATTTAGCAAAATCGTGCCTTTCCGGTGATAGCCTGTTTTACTTTTTTGCAGAATACTTTTCAATCTTAGAATAAACCTTTGAAAGCGCAAAATTTAAAGAGTTTGAATTGAAATGAACGAGGGTTTTGATATTGATGATGTTTTGTCGTGCTATTCGGTGCCTCTTTTGCCAAGACGAAACCGTGATTCATGAACGTTGTTGAATTTGTTTTTTTTTCTAATTCTATCGAACCTTTTTTCAACTACAGCAAAAGCACAGGCTCTGAGACAGACGGCGAGAGAAACAGTAAATCTCAACGAAAAGGAAAATGAAGAGGCGGAAATGCGACGAGTAAATGCTCGAAAAGACTTTGCCCGTCAAGTTTCGAATACAAGCTCAAATTTTGTCGAAAGCATAGCTGATAGCGAGACATTCAATATGCCAAGGCCCGGAAGGAGAAATGGGAATACTCAATCAAGGCGCGAGGAAGTAAGCCAAATTGCTGAAACAGAATTTGACTCCTCTCCTCCAGCTAGGGGAATCAGAGCTGCGAGAAATGACGATAGCATAAGGTTTGACCAAATTCGCGTTTTGTTGGTAACTCTCTCGATCTAGTCAAATCGCTGAAACAGAGTTCGATGAGCCGACGAACCCACAGATAAACCGTTCAAAGAAAAGAGAGCGTTCCCCATCCCCTGAAGAACCATATTCCTATGGAACGCTGAGTGTCACGCAATCTTCAAAGCACCAGAGTACGCAATCGTCTAAGAGAAAGTACAGTCAGCAAACGACTCTTCAGGCACCTCAGACTTCTTCCTCTAACACTGCTAGAAATTCGAGGTTCTCAAGGCGAGTTGACAATGTCTGCGGATCGGTCAAGATCAATATTGCTTCCGGCTTTCATTGCGGCTACGAAGCTAATCCAGATGGGTACAAAATCTTCGACGAGTTTCTTGAGAAGTCGTCAAAAGGTCGTCAACGCGCAGATGTTGCTATTATTGCTGGCAATCTCTTCAACAACTCTCAGAATCACTTCTCTTCAATTCAGCGAATAACTAGATCTTTGAACAAAAATATCTACAGAAAGTCGCTAATAACAGATGTTGAGATAATCCAGACCCCAAAAACAGGCTGTCCAGATATTGTCCAATGTCCAAAAATGCCTGTATTGATGATAGGAGGACGATGCGACCATACCATGCGAGAACGTCATGGAAACGCAGCCAGGCAGACGTATCAATCTCCTGTAGCGATTTTTGAAGCCTCGGGGATTGCTCAGTCACTGGATGATACAAAACTGTGTCTCGAAGAAGAGTGGACTTATGCGCCGACAGTTGTGCATCAAGACGGCCTCTACGTGGCAATCTACGGCATTTCTTACGTCGCGAAAACTTATTTGCAGCAACTGGGAAAGGCGAAGTTTGTCAAACCAGTGATTCCTGAAGGTGCAGTCTGCAAAACAATGCTTGTTCTTGCTAATTCGATGGAGAAGCCACCTGTAAAGCTTGCTGAGCTAGCCAGCGGCTTTGATGTTGTCGTCTGGGGTGGAGAAAATGGCCCGAGTAAGGTTCAGTCTCCGAATGGAAATTGGACGATATCTACTGGTGAAGCACTTCTGAGATATGTCCACGAGGCCAATCTTGATCACAAAGAGTTCCAGCAAATCACCTTTACGCCACATGATATAATCGTCGAATCTCACGAATTCACCCAAGCGCGCCATCTTTTACTCGGCGAAGTGGTTTTGAACGACTATATCGGAGTGTTCAATACTAAGGAAGAATACGAAGAGGAGTTTGACAAAGCGATCAGCGAGAACTCGGAGAACATATTGCGCGATTATCCGGCCGGAACATTTCCTCAGCCTGCGATGATATTGAAAGTGGACTTGAAACGACCTGGAGGCCAGGAGCCACTTGGAGCAATCAATTCAGTTTTCGCTGGGCAGCAGTTTTGTGATAGAGTGTGGAACTGGAAGAGCTGTATTAGATATGTGAAAGACAAAAAGTAATTGTCCGAATTCTTCATCAGTCCCATTATCTTTTGTTTTTAGGACGAAAAAGGAAGAAGAGAAACATGGACTCATTACGGAACCACTGATGGGTGAGTTTTTCGGCCCATATACTCAAATATAATTGTCTTTTCAAGATTCAAACAGGCATATTATCTCGGAAGTCTTGGAAGAGAAAATCAGCGAGCAAGGGATTGAGAATCTCACCGGCAAGATCGGGAAAGACATCGCCGATGCTTATGGCATCGGAGATACGCAATCAATTCTTGATGTTTGTGAATGGGTAAGTGGAGTTTACATTCAATTGTATAAAATGCAAAAATGTAATTATGCAATGATTTTATTGCTAAATTAAGGTAGACTTTTATCAAAAAAACTTTCAGATGAAAGAAGCGATGATCGAAGAGTCGAAAAAAATCAAGGAGAAGCAGTCACGGCCGGTTGTTGATGAGGCTGTAAGAACTCTTGGGACTGTTCTCAAAGACAAACTCGAGAAAGACGGCTCTAACACCATTGTCTACGCAAGGCGAGAGCTCAATAAAGGTGCGCACAGCGCTAGTGTGATAGGAAATTAACGTCCTTAGGTACAAAATCAAAGAAGAAAACTACAACGACGAAGGGCAGGACAAAATCCTCAAAAAGCAAAACGGTCGTCATTTCCGACGACGAAGAAGATGAAGAAATTAGAAATCCTTTCTGCAGCTCATCGGAAGAGGATGAAGTGATCACACAGTCTACTTCTCGCTCAAAACGCTCACGGCGATAAATTCGATTGTTTATCTTGAATTATTACTGCCTATTTTTTCATTCCTGACAAATTCAAAAACTCACTGACTCTTCACACTTATACACTCCATTCTGGCGCTTTGTAATCAATAGTTATTTAGATATGGATGAAACTATCAGAAAGTTCCTAATTGGGTATATGCAGAAAACTAATAGACCGAAGACTCTGGAAATTCTACAAAGAACTAGCGCTTGTAGTTCAAAAGAAGAAAATGATGAGGGCAAAAGGCCGATAAAATTGAGCTTTCAAATACAAAAGCCACCTGAAAGGAAGAAAATCCACATCGATTCTAAAAAATCAAAGAGGAAACCACGCAAAAAATCGACAAATAACGAAACACTCGAGGAATCCGAGAAGAAAGCAGGTAATGATTGTGTGTGAGAGAACGTTTCACCGATGTTTACTAGAGATTCCAGCAGACTTCATCAAAATTGTGCGGAAATTCGGCTTGCCCAGCGAGCATATCGATTTTTTCTACGAGCACCGCGACAAATTCGTATGGGAAATAAAAGAGAATAAAAAGATCTTCTGTACAGCGCAGGGATGCGATTTCTCCGCTCCTTCATTGCCCAACGCTTTGACCGAACACATGAAAGAGTGCCATGATTACGGCGAGTACCCTTGCGACGAGGCTGATTGCAAGTTCGTTGCTTACGCTCAAGTTTGCTTGAGGAAACACAAGACGCAATTCCATGGAACCGGGAGACGAAGACGCCTTACCCACGAGGATTTTTCTTGTCAACTTTGCGGTTTCACCACCATCCGACGTTTACTCCTTGACATTCACATGCGAATACACGAAAATCGTCAAACCAAATGCGAATTCTGCAGCTACACAGCCGTCACCGTTAAGCAAATCCACGATCATATTCTCTATCATTTTCGTATTAAAAACTTTGCTTGTCATCTCTGTCCTGCTTCTTTTCATATAAATGGCATTCTTACGCAGCATTTGCGGATGCATACGAAAGATTACGCCTGTGTTCACTGTATGGAAACCTTCGCAACAAAAAATCAGTTTGACAGACACGTCCGTGCTTGCGAGGTTCGCCTCAGTAGATTCCAGTGATTATTAACTGCCTCCTAATGGTTATCATTGATAACTTATCAAATATATTATCATCATTCATTTGTTTTGGATCATTTAAAATCTGCAACTCTTAAGAAATGGTCGCTGAGCTTGAGTTTGTCCGTCGTTACCTGCAAAAGACCGGGCGCTTAGACACGCTCAAAGTTTTGAATGAAGGAAAAACGACCCTGAGTTTTCCAATTCAAAAACCGCCGAAGAGAAAAATAGTCAATGTTGATGACAGTAAACCAAAAAAGCAGAGTTTGAGCAGACAAAGCAAGATTTCGGAAAAGGAACTACCGAAAAAGGAAGAAGTGCCTAAAAAATTCAAGAAGATTGCAAAAAAGTTTGGACTGCCTGAAGAGCATCTTGATATTTTCTACGAATACCGTGAATGCTTCCACTGGGAAACGATTGGGGAGAAGAAAATCCATTGTACTGTTCGGGGATGCGATTTCAATGTCCCTGCCAAGAGAAAAGCTCTTGTCGATCATATGACGAATGAGCACGCTTATGGGAATTATCCTTGCGACAAGCCATTCTGCCGATTCGTTGGCTACTCGACCGGTTGCATTCGTAAGCACGAGACAATGTTTCACGGAGAAGGCAGAAGAGTCCCGAGTCGAAAGTACAGTTTCCCCTGTAAATACTGCCCGTTTCATGGTAAAGACAATCACGTGCTGGAAAAGCATCTTCGAATCCATGAAAATCGACTGATAAAGTGCGAGTACTGCAATTACACATCTGCCAACGAGCAGCATACTCATGAACACATTCTCCACCACTTTCAAGTTCGTAATCATCATTGCAGTTTGTGTGAAACATCATTTATCACCAAAGCCGGGCTCAAGAACCACATCCGCATTCATTTGAAGGACTTTACTTGTATTTCATGCAGTGAGTCTTTTGAAACCAGAAAGAATTACGACCATCATGTAAAAAGCTGCAAAGTTCGACTATCCAAATTTTGTTAATTCAGTCGCTCACTTGGAAAAAATTGCTTCATAAGAATGTTTTAGAATGAAGCTCGAAGAATTGTATGAACTCTTCGAAAAGAACATAAATGAGCCGCATCGCGAAGAGACCCTCAATGCAATGGTTAATCATCCCCAAGGAAACATCCTTGCTCAGTGTGTATTTGAGCGAGCAAATGCGCCTCTTTTTCTCGCTGCTAAGAATCAGCTTCTTCCTAACGACGAGGGCGATGAATACGGCCCGTTCGATTCTCTTTTGGAAGCAGGTTATTGCAAGAGGATCCTTCGAGTTATGGCCTGCGAGGATTATGTAATCAATCTCTTGAAAGACGAATTTCTGCGTAGATACGAGCGTGAACCGGACAGTTTGTCCGATATTGTCCGAATTCTGGCCGATCGAGAAGAAATCAAGAACGAATCCATGATTCCAAAAGCTACTTTTGAGATGGATGCGTATTACCCGACAGTGAAAATTGGCAGTGAGTGGATCATTTCAGACACTATGATAAATGGTCCAGACGCATGTAACAAATACGACGAGCCACAGACAGACGGACTCGAGCTGTATGTTTACAAGATTTCAAGATCAAGTGGCATTCTCTTGAAGGAATTGCATCTTCCTCTGTCTTTTATTGGAATGCCGAATTTGCTTCTGGAGCCATTTCTTATTATGTTTGATGGAACCGACAGCTTTGAAGTTCACAATTTGCTCGAACCAACCGGGGCACCAATGACTATTAAAAGAAGTAGAGAAATAGTTGGCGATATGGACTTCGGCCTTTGGGCAGGGTCGAAATACGATAGCGATATTCGTATCAATGGAAAGCCCCCTGAAAGTGTACTTTTTCCAGTCGTCTATATGCCGAATGCAACGAGCGTTTGCGTAGAATGCACTAGAATTGGAAGATCGTCAATCCAGATTCTATGGAAAGAAACTTTCCATTTTCCTGAAGAGTACGAGGCTAATATGATTTTCTTAGACCGCGACAACTATGTTCTATTGATCAACGATCGAGGAGATACCCATATCTTTCACATTATCCTGTCCAAACAAAAAATAAAGCGATACTTTCTCGCGGCCTCAGAATACTTCTCTTTTGGATTGTTCAAAGAGCAACTTGTCATGGGACATTTTGGCTACACAACAGATGAAAACAATCGCCAAGTTATGTCCTTCGGATTTTTGACTGACAAGGAAGACGAGAATTTTCAAGTTGCATGTTTCTTCAAAAATGGAGATCATGAAGATATTTCAATAGGAAGAGACCAGATACTGCATTTCAGAAATTTACACACTGAAGATACGACGATAAAAATAATAAGCATAGATTACCTGTTGAATTTTCTGGAGGATAGAGAGCAAGAAAAGACTATTCAAACTATTGAAATAATGGGTATCGCCGAAACAAAACCTGTCATTGAAATAGGTACTCTCTTAACGTTCGACATCTTGGGTAAATTTCATTTTAGAGAGTCTCTCCGTCGAAGAAACTGCGAAAGAGAGTGCTCAGAAAGAATTTGAGCTGATAGATCGGTCGAACATCGGACGCGCATCACGAAATAAGATAGAAATATTTATTTAACAATTCTGCTAAAATATGTTACAAATTTTTAGCCAAATCATTTTATCTGTCAATTCTTACCAGTAAAATTCGACTCTCACACTACTCTTAAAAGATTTTTTAGATTAACAAGTCCTTTCTATGTGGGGAGGCTTCGGCGGCTTTGGCCAAGGATGGCGAGGCCAAGGAAATCGCGGCGGTGGCTACGGCCGCGGTGGCGGAAATTTTCCAAATCGCGGAGGCTACCGGTAAGATTTTTGTCGTTTTTTTTCATTTCTAATCGATTGCCGTAGACAACAAATGTGGAACGGTATGCCTATGAACAATGGCATGCGAATGCCGATGGGCGGCATGAACAATATGGGCGGTCGGATGCCGATGGGTGGTATGCCGATGCAACAAAATCCTCGTATGCAAGGACAGGTTAGTTGCAAACCTTTTTGTTTCATCGCGAATTGTTTTAGCCCGGGCCGATGAGCTATGCAGGAGCAGTCAAACAAGAGAGCAATGAGCCAAAATTCGCTCCTCAACAAAAGCCCCAACAAGCTCCACCTAAGAAAAATTGCGCTTGGAGCAAATGGGCTTTGGAAATATGGGCGCTGGATTCGGTTGCTCACAATTTACTCCCAATCAGGGCGAAGAAATGCCAACTATGCTGCACATGGGATATGATGGCGAAGGATTCGGGGACGACCCTGCTGGAGAAGGTTATAATTATGTAAAAGAAAAAAAATTCACTTATCTTTTAGTGAAAACTGAAGTAAAGATGGGTAGTTCCACTAAAGAATCTGCCCCTAAACTTGGCAAAATGGGCAAAGTTGGTGATATGAAGCCAGTGGATAGTGGCGAAAAATCTGAATGGCCACCAAGTCTCATGGACTACATTTCCCGCGCGTTTTCTTCCTGCAGAAATGACCAAGAAAAAGACAAGACAGAAAGTTATTTGAAAGATCTTCTGAACGGACGATTGAAATCAGGCTCTGCTTATGAAATTGACTGGGAAAGCGAGCCGCTTCCGAAGGATATCTTTGTCGACAAGGGCAAGATCTCATACGAAAAGAATACGCAGCGAGATATCATGTACGACTCAGCCAAGAGAGACGCGGACTTGTTAGAATCTATGCGTTCAATGACGAACGTCCCAAGAAAAATGACCAAGGCCGAGAAGAAGGCAAAGAAACGAGGAGCTGTAGCTGGTCTCACATCAGCTGAAGCTCAGAACTATCAAGTCGTTGATCCAATGGAAGGTAAGCTAGAATATTAAGTTCATTCCCACCTTAACTCTTTTTAGGCGTGAAACGCGCCGCCCGAAACATGCGATTCCAGTCTGACATGAAGAAAGAAATGCAAAAGCGTCAAGTTCCACTTCAACTCAATCTTGGAGGCGGCTTTGAGGCGCCGAAAACATTTGATCCGTCAAAAGCGAAAATTATCGGCACTAGCACTCAAGTATTCAAGCCTTATCTTCGTCTTACCTGTGCTCCTGAGCCTTGGGAAGTTCGAACTAAAGCCCAGCTTCCAAAATCTTTCAAGGTAAAGTTGCTAAGAGAGCATAAAAATTATTAAATTGCGTCCAGGCTGTTCTCGAGCGATGGAAAGACGAGAACAACTACAAATGGACTTGCGAGCAGCTCAAATCAATCCGCCAGGATTTGACTGTTCAGTGCCTGAGAGATGAGTTCATGGTTGAAGTCTACGAGACTCACGCTAGGATCGCGATCGAAGCTCAAGATCACGCTGAATTTAATCAATGCCAATCACAACTTGCCATGCTCTACAAAGACGGCAAAAAGTCAGATAACAAGGCGGAATTCGCAGCATACAGTATCATTTATTGGTATGTAAAAATTGTTCTTGCAATTTTCTTTAATAATCATTTAGTCTTTACACAAGAAATATGACGGACATGACCAAACGTCTCTCCCAACTTACAGAGGACATGGCAAATGAGACTATCATTTCCGATGCTCTCAAACTTCGCTCTCACCTTTGTCTCGGAAATTATTTGGTAAAGACTTATATAATACTTATATGATATAAGTTATATCGGAGAAACTTTTCCTAACGATTTTCTAGGGCTTTTTCCGTATCTACAAACGCTCTAGTGCTCATATGAAAATGCTTGTTGGAAAGTTTATTGAGCGTGAGAGAAGAAAGGCAATTTGCACTATTGTGAAAGGGTGAGTTTGCAGGGCAGGTTTTTTCGCAGTTTGAGTCTCATGTGTTTCTGCTTTGGAAAAGAGTGACATTGCGCGATCGAGAAGAGTGAACCAAACAGCCACAGAAGAAGTTACGAACTCGAAAGTTACAATCAAGTCAGCAAAAATAAGAATACAAGAAAACACCTCAAAATAGTGACCACACGAACCGACCCCATTAGCTCAAGAATGCCCCAGAACCCATAGGCCCTCATCCCCTCCCAAATCACGCAAGACTGGATTTTCCACGACGAGGCACCACCAAAAGAGCACGCTGAAAAGTTATAAGAAGAATCAGCTTACAAGTATGAAAAACGGGGTCCTCTGAAAGGAATTGAAAGTCAATCAGTCAGGTTCAGCAAGCTCTAATCATCGTCTTCGTTCGCTTCCAATTTCGACTTCTTACCTTGTTGAAAGTCGCCCTTCATTCCTTTATTTCGTTTTGACCACATTTTGACCGCCACTGGCAGAGAAATTTGATATATAATTTCTTATAGTTTTAACTTTTCTAAATAGTTTTATTAAGAAAAATGCAGTTATTCTAACTGACTGTTTCTCCGATTATTCGACAGAAAATATATTTCGAGCAGCTCGAATCGAGCTTAAAATAGGACTTTTGTTCAAACGAATTATAATAGAAATCAATTCTGGTCAGTCAGAAATGTAAATCACGGTATAAAAAAGCAGGGCAGGTCAAGCATTTCGTCCATTACTTGTATAATTAGTTTCCGACCATCGTTTCCGGTCAGTGATATCGCCGATCAGCTAGCATTCGACGACGAAAAAGAAGCTCTTCAGTTCCTGACGGAGAACAAGTTGACGATCAAGGATGATCAAGTAGATTGCAAAGAATCTGTTGATGTTGTTCCAGCCATTAGAGCAACTATAAAGGCCGATTGAGGGGTCGTATTGATTCCAACGTTTCCTTTTGCTCAAACGTTCATGACTGCCAGGCTTCAGACAACAAAAATAAACTCTATTTGGGATCCCTTATTCATGTAGCAAGATGTGTGTTTAGTTCGACAAAATCTCAATAAATGACAAACCTTAGTTTTTCTATTGTCTCACTCTTTCTCTTGCTTGCAATTTAGTTAAAACCAAGTCTTTTAAGACAAGATGACGGACACCACTACAAGTGTCCCTATTCCTACTTCGGAAAGTATCGTTGCTTCTAATCCATTTGACGATGTGAAGGTTAGCATGTTCGTATTTACAAGATAAATGTAATCATATCTAGTCTCCGAAAACCACGCAAGCAGGAATGCCTCCTCTATCGCATGCGAATGAAAACTTCATGAGTCCTCCTCCAACCGCACCTTCACCGAGCTCGAGTGGTCCTAATTACCCAATGACGTCGAGTAGTCCGAGCATGATGCCAGGTGGTTTTCCTGGAATGGGGCAGCCTGGTGCTGGACCACCTCAAAACTGGCCTGGTATTCAGAATAACGGAATGCCTGGTGGATACAGACCACCGAGTAGCATGCCACAAGGGATGGGGATGCCTAATATGCCGGGTGGAATGGGCCCCGGTTTTATGAACGGTATGCCGCCAGGGATGTTTCCTGGAGGACCTCAGAACAACGGCCTTCCAGGAGCGCCCGCCGGATTTCCGCCTCGTATGGGCATGAGAATACCTACTCCTCCCGATCAAGTTGGTAATAATCAGGTAAGAGCTCCATGAAGTTGATCTGTTTAATGACGAAAACCATCAAAGATGACGAACGAGCCGGACGAAATGAACGAGATTCTTCAAATCAGGGACTCTTTATCTGAATTCGCAAACGAAAAGCCAAGCCCGTTGATGCCTTTATCGACGAATGAAAAAGCGAAATGTGGGAAGTGCAAGAGTGATGTGGGTATTCAGGAATCATCACTCATCTTAACTCTTTTTATCCTAGATCTTTCCGAAAGGCGATATTGAAGAACTTGTGCGGTGTTTTGCATGCAAGACATGGTTTAGAAGAACTTGTGTTGGGCTAACAGAACTAGCTTTTAAAAGATTGGTGATGGAACAGGAATATGTTGCCTGGTCGTGTCAAGTATGCGTATGTGAAAGAATGTTTAAGGATTAATAAACTTTAGTCTTGTATTGAAAACAAAGTCGTCAATTCAATCGTCCCCAAAATTGAGAAAGAATACTGCACAAATAGACCTGTTCCTCCGGATGCTCCTGTTCATGCTTTAGCAAAACCAGAGAAACGCGATCGAAAGAGTCGCAAGACGACTAAAAATGGGAAGGCAAAAAGTAAAAGTAAACCAAGTCATGATCAATGAAATTCAACTTTTGTTCAGCTGCTGCCCCGCCGCAAATAAATGCCCCTTCTCAAATGCGGCCGCCGATGGGAATGGATCCGAGGTTTAGAATGATGATGAACCCAGGAATGATGCAGCGTATGAACCCGATGATGATGAATCGTCATCCGCTAAGGGATTTTAATATTGATTAATAAAAATTATTTTCAATATAAAAATGTAACGCTCTATGATTTTGATCCCTGCTAAAGATGATGGGAGGAATGATGCCTCCAGGAATGATTCACCCTGGAATGCAACAGGGTCAGCAACCTGGAATGCCTCCAATGTCACAAGGTGCATCAATTAAAATTAAATTATCCATGATCATTTTTATGTAGGTCCAACTGGCTTTCCCGGAAATGACCAACGATTCCAGCCTCCTGGTGGCGTTGGGGGTCCTGGTGGCCCTGGAGGTCCTGTCGGCCCCGGAGGTCCTGTCGGCCCTGGAGGTCCCGGAGGCCCTTGTGGATTTATGCCTCAAAATCCACAGCAAAACATGCAAACGCCTCCTTTATCATCTCCCCAGGCGCAACCCGGTCAGCTTCCTTCATTTGATCCTAGAATGAACGGTCCAGGAGTCGGCCAACCTGGTTCTCAGCCTCCTGGACCAGCGACGTCATTGCCCTCTGACTTCGTAAGGCAGATTTTTTTACCTTTCATTAAACGCCTTTTTAGATGAATCCGCCCAGCTCCAATCCCACTGACGACCCTCTATCGGAAATCACCGGATTAGATCCACTATCGGATTCAAAGACGGAGCCAAATTTCAACAGCCAGATGGACCTGAGCGCGATCATGAACTCGATGCAAAGTGGCGCCCCAAATCAAGAAGAAAACTCGGCAGCTCCCAAGAGCGAACCAATGGCATCAAATCAATCCGAAATGCCTTCCATCGCGCTGCCAAAAAGTGAGCCGATCAAGACGGATTCTCCGATGGATATTGCCACTAGTTCTGCGGAGCCACCTAAAGCCGAGTTCCCCAAGATGGAGCAAATGGAAGCGAAAATGGAACCTCAATGAACTCAATACCTATCTTGTTTTTGAACGAATTATGCGACGATGCATCAAAGTACAACTTTACTATTTTTTGTTCAAAATACCACCTGTTACACAACTTTTTAAAATTAATATTTAATTAAAAATGCTTCTAAGTCGATCATTCATGTTACTCGTTTACCCTTTTATCACAGTGAAATAGTGACGATTGTGATTTAAAATACTGATTCTTCTGCCTTATGAGAAATTTTGCTGCCGGTCAAGAAGAGCATAAAAATTCTGAATTTTGATTCTGATAATTTAAGTTTTGTCCTAAGTTTCATTTCTTTTATTCATTTCTTTAACTGGAGTACCCGCAATATTGTCCTGTATATTCCTAGTCCTTTTCTGACAACTGCCATTTCTAGCTTGATTCTTTTCATTATTTAAATCCCTTCTTACCAATTTCAGTATTTTTTTCTTTCAGCTTCTTCTGTTTTATTTATCGTTTTTTTATAGAAATGTCTATCGACGAGCTTTGGACGACGATTCTCAAGCAGAGCAGCCCGTCAACAGCCGGAAGCACTTCTAAGACTGTAGTTTTCCTCGGCGACTCTCTTTGTGGAAAGAGAACGCTTCTTTCCAAGTTCTGCGGCCAGGACGGCGAGATCTACAGAGGCCACGGACTCGGCTTCGATTACATTCCAGTCAAAAACAAGGTATGCTGTGTTATCCCTTTTGCTTCTCACGAGTATCGATTAGGACGATGACGAGCTCGGGCAACTGTCTATCTACTCGATCGACGCTGCCGCTCCTTTGAGAGCGCAAGTCAAAGCGGCTCTTCCGAACAAAGAAGCATTGGAAGATTCAATCATCGTGATTGCTGTTGATCTTTCTAAACCTTGGCTCGTCCTTGAATGCCTTTCGAACTGGATCAAAGAAGTCAAAGTATAGTTATTTTATCTCTATCTCTTCTATGAATAAATGTAGGAACACAAAGACAAGTGGCTCGAATTGAGCGGGAGTGACCGGAACGATATGGCCGACAACTTCCAAAAGAAGTGGCTGAAAGCAGGTCAACTGGAGGAACTTCCAGAATCAGCTCTTTCCGACAACTTAGGGGTTGAAATCATCGTTGTCGGTCTAAAGTCTGACGCGCTGCAGGTAACACTAGGAGCACTTTGTTCATCTCAAACGGATTTTTCAGGGAGTGCTCAACGACGAAGGATTAACAGAAAAGCACGCTGATCTTTTGCAATACCAGCTGAGAAAGAAATGTCTTGAGATTGGAGCATCCCTTATCTACGCAAGCGTAAAAGAACCAAGAACTGTGGAAACTTTGAAAGCCTACGTTCTGAAAAGGTAAAGCAAACGTTATCATTGATAACTTATCAAATTCTATATTCTGATGAAAACGTTAAGATTATATGATGTTGAATCTGATATTTTACAACCACGTGGTGTATCGAGAGAGGCACTTTTTATTCCCATCGGATGGGAGAGCGAAAAGCGCGTCAATTTACTTATGGAAGGAGCCGGACTTCCCGAGGACATTCCTGCACCGCAGCAAAAGTAAATACAGTAGTGGATCCTAGAATCATGACTCTATATTATAGAACGTACAATTTCGAGCAAGAAATCGAGCCCGAAGATGAGCAAAAATCGCTCCACAGAGTTGCTGAAATTCTTGAGCAAGCGGCAAGGTAGGAATAAGCTAAATGCTTTCGACCGTTTTTAACATCTGTACAAGCAAAAACCCAACAGCAGCTGCTGCAATGACAAAAAGTCGTCTCAACTCATCGGCATCAGCCTCTCCCGGTAATCCACAGTTGCCAAGACCGTCTGGAGCTAGTCTTAATGCTTCGATTTCCGGATCCCCTGGCGGAAAGGTATAAATTCTCTTGAGTCTCATAAATAGCGAGTTTTAGCTGGGTGCGATGCCTTCACCTGGCTCTGGCCAACACTCTGAGCGAATGCTCGCCGATTTCTTCAATCAACTTCTCCTGAAAAAAGGCCCAACCGGAGCGGCAAACAGTCCGAAGCCGGGCACTCCTGGAGCGTCGGCCAAGAAGTAGACCTGTTCCTATCATCTGCTACGTCGGGACCTAACCTAACCTGATCAGTTACGAATGTTTCTGTTTCTTTCAAAGAGTACCCATCATTATTTAACTTCGTTAATAACTTGCTTCATCTTCCTTTTCCGTTAAAAAGACTTTAATCGTAGACTTTACTAAAATTTACCTTTGAAGCTGTCCACGTGATACTAATGAATACTTTTCGCATTCTACATGTTCATAAATTTTCGTGAATTTCTTCATTCATCAGTTTTTATTTCAAACAAACGTCAAAGTTCAATTTTTTCTAGATTTAAATCTCACGCATTTCAGATTTTGCAAACATGCCAGCAGTAGCGGATACAGACGAGAAAATGCTCAAGAACTTCTTTGTCAAAAAGATTGAAAACAACACGGAGCAAGTGCAAAGCGCCATTATCGCGATGGAAACTTTGCTGGAAGCGATAAAGATTGACAAGTCGTCGACGACGATCATGGAACTGATCGACAGACTTGGAAATGTACGGAAGTTGTTGGCGGATATCGACATTGTTCCGCAAAAGTAAGCGCTTGAATTAAAGATTAATTTCACCCTTTATTCTTTCAATAAAGAGCTTCGATAAAATCCGGATCGGAGCTGTTTCTGCGCTTCACTACGATGATGATTTCCGACATTATGCATCAGAGTTCCGATTTTGACAAAGTCAAAGAAGCACTCATCGATCGAGGAGCACAATGCATCGCAACGATGAAACTTTGCCGCGAAAAAGCAGTTCGTCATTTTCAAACCTTCGTTCCCGAGAGCGCCCGGGTCCTGATTCATGGTTACTCTCGCGCAGTTGCCGATGCTATTCGATTAGCTGCTGTCAACGGAAGATTAAAATGTGTCTATCAGACAAAATTGTCGACTGCTTCCACTGATGATGAAGAACGAGGCAAGTTTTTGAAGGAAATTTCCGACGCTGGAATTGAATGCTACGAGGTTTTGTCGGAATCAGTTGCGTATCTTATGGAAAGGATAGATGTTGTTATTTTGGGCGCCGAAGCTGTTGTTGAATCTGGATCAGGTTCGAATATTACAAATGACTAGGGAAATAATGCTATGTCTAGTGATAAGTTCAATTGGCAGCTATGGCGTGGCAATTACAGCAGATGTTCACAAAAAGCCGGTTTATGTCATTTGCGAGAGTTTCAAATTTATGCGAAGTTATCCGATGAAACAGATGGAAGTCGAACAAGACCACAAATACACTGATGGCGACAAAGGACATCCGATCGGCGATTTGACTCCGGCCAAGTTTGTGACTTTGCTAATTACTGACCTTGGCGCTCTTACTCCTGCTGCTGTCGGTCATCATCTTATTCAGGTAGAATTTGTTTTTAAGAACTATTTGCACTGACCCCTGTTTAGCTATATTCCGGCTGAAGAAATTTAGTAATAATTTATATTGTGCAAAAGTCATGTTCAAATCGATCGATGCTAGTTCTGTTTGAATAAATTGAAACCAAGGAAACTTTCTGTCTTTTCTAGAGCTTCTGTGTTGGATGTTTCCTTGCGACTATTTGTTTCATTTGAGAAAATTAAGAGATCGAGAATGTCAAGATGAGCGAAACGGGCATTCGCAGAAACGTGGACAAACTAGGCCACGTGCTCGAGGAGGTGCGCGAAAGGGCACTTCTTCATCTCAATACGAAGCTCGTCCACGGGCTGGTCACACTTGAGGACTTGAACAATTGTCCAGGCTTCGCAAGACGGCTCTTAGGAAAATGGATAGAATTCGACATTTAGATCTAAAAATAATAAAAAAGCGACTTTCTATCCAAACTAAGAATGGTTCAACTCCCCGAATCCTTCCCAAAAAGTCCTAGTGCTGGACCTAATCAAGCGTTCTCTAAAAATCAAACCGAAACTCTACTCGGAACTAGGCTTGAGCGAATTCATTTCGGCAATGATGCCAGATTTGACTCCCGATGAGCAAATCATTGCCGAAGACGTTTTATCAGACTTTCATGAAATAACGATCAACTCCACCAAATCTTCCTCATGTACGACTCTGGATGACACTGAAAATATGCCTCGCTCGGCGTACTTTCTCGGCGAGAATCGCCCCAAGAACCAGGAAAAGTATCCGAGCTGGATGAAGGTCAAACTTTTGCCGTGGCAGACGTTAACTCTCACTGATCGACAAGTTCTCCAGCATACATATTCCTCCCTCTGCTCTCGCGACAATGAAACTGTATCCGAATATGCTCATTTTTTCGCGGAAGTGATTCTAAAGGACTTTCCCGCGGAGATTTTTGTCCAGCGACCCGGAATTCTTCAAGCGCTGATTGCCTTCGTCTTAACGATTCCAGAGATTTCTCATCTGACGACATCTTTGGAAACGATTGAAAATTTCATCAAAAAGCTTGACTCCAGAATCGTGCAAACATCAGATGCCTCTTGGACGAATACTCATCAACCTGGCTACCCGCTTGGCTACGAAATCGGCACTGGCGTCGATCAATGGGAAAGGGATGAGCTTCAGGATCTCGTGAAAGGACAAACAGCAGTTCCAATAATTCTGGTCGAAATACTCGAATGCCTATCTGGGATTCTAGGAAATCTGCAGATAGGAAGCGTTCTTCTCTGCTCGAGAGTGATGGTCTGCGTTGCGAAAAGCTATCGCAAATGCATTTCATTGAGCGAATTCAATGATGCAAATACGCAAGATGGTATTTCGAGGTACCTGATCGTCAAGCTACGAAATATCCTCGAAATCATTGCGCTTCAAGTCGAAAAATTCAGCGCGCAAACTCTTGTCAACCAAACGAGTGAAGATCCTGTTCAACTTTACAACGCCTACTCTTCCTTGATTTCAGAGCTTCTTAGAAACCTTTGCTGCCCATTGACAGTAAATCAAGTATCGTCTCTGGCTCTCGAGCGAGCATTGAGAATATTGGCGTTCGATCATATTTCACAGTTCAACTTTCCGAAGGACAGTTACTTGTGGAAGGTTTTACAAGCGATCGATCCATCGACGATTCAAACAAGCGAAATTCTCTTCAGCAGATGTTCTTCTTTGAAGAATGCGTCGAAATTTGGAAGCTCGTTTTCGAAGCTCAAAAGAGCCGACGCGTTGGAAATTGGTCTCAGTGGTTGCGAAACGACAAGTGTTCACCTTTCGGCGAATTTCATCGAAACCTGCATATATGCCGCGTCTATTTACAAAGATTGCGATAGATTGGTGCTGATGTTGCTCAAGGATACTAACACGACTGTGAGAGAAAGGACGGTGGAGGGTTTAAAAAGGTTTATCGAGAAAATATGTGACGATGTTGCTGCCTCCGGAAACACGTATCAATCAAAGCCTCTTGTTTATCTTCTTTCTCCGCAAGTTCTTGAAGAACTCATCCGCCACTCACTCGATGACCAGTCTGTTTCTGTCTCGAAGACAACTGCTGCTATTTTATCAAGATTGCTTACAACAAACATGCTTTGGGACGAAGAACTAAAAGCAATTCTCAAAGTGACAACGGAAAAATTTGGCCACTTTTTGGAAATCTTCGCCGACGACGAATCGCTGGGGACACCTCTTCGCGAGTTTTACCTGTCAGAAGATAGGTTGAAAATCAACCGGATCAAGTCGGCCCTGCGAATGCTTCTCTGTAAGAGGCGCGATCAAAGAAGGCAAGTCATGTCTTTGATGAGCGAAGAACTTCAAGAAGTCTGTGGACGACCAATGGATGCGCTAATAGACTACTTCACGATCTCGAATCCGCTCGAGCTCAACGACCAGCGACAAATGGAGAACATCTTCAGAGTGGACACAATTGAACGACTTTCGCGAATTTTAAAAAGCGAATCTACCGATATTTCGCTGCGTTATTCCTCTTTTGCTCAACTAGCGATTATAACTGTCGAGCCAGATCTGGTGGAGATCTTCTTACAAGAATGTGGCTATGTCATGCTTTTGGAAGAAATTAAAAAACTCGCTGATCAAGGAGCTCTAACACCACAAGAGAAAGACGCGGCAGGAAGTCTCTGTGATATTCTTAGACATATTTGCGTGGTGAAAGATGTGATTGCCAAAGAGGTTTCTCTGATGCTTCCAGCTTTATGCGATCTTGTCAAACTCGTCGAGCACACGTCTCTCAGTCCAAAGAACCACGCGAAAGTTCTGGCAACGCTGAATATTCTCCTATTTCTTGAAGTGCTCAAATTCAACGAAAGGGGTCACGCACAATGCCCAGGCATCATCAACAGACGAATTTTGCTTCCATTTGCTGTAGAATTTATCCCAAGAATAACGACGCAGCCAACGATATCAATCAGCGAAGAAGAAAAGCTCAAACATCCGAGTGCTCAAAGATCTCTTCGACTTGCATGGAGCTCGACAGCTCCCACAGGCGATTTCGCGGAGATTTTAAAGAAGCAAGATTGCGACAAACACTCCTGGCCTCACTTCGACCTGGAAACCATCGGATCGCACATGGAGGCAGACTTGAAAGCCGCTGAAGATCACAAATCCTACACTCAAGCCGTTGAAAGCGCATTTTACAATCATCAAATATTTCCGGAAGATCTGGGAAGACGTGTCAATCACTGTTTGACGGTCTCTTTCGACAAGTTTTTCATATCAAGGCCGAATCAAGCGCGGGATGAAAAGATTCTCCTCAAGATCATTACCTACACGAACTTCATTCTCAAAAGTCAGCCGAACAACAATCAGATTTTCGAAAAATGGATCACATCTCATGTAGAAGACATAAATTGCCCTCTGTACGAGTACTTGAACAATCCAACTGCGCTTCCAAATCATTCGTCAAAAGCAACGAGAAGAATGATCATCGAATTTTTGTCAATTATATTCTGTCTCGTGCAGAAACAGCTTCTCAGTTCAGAAACGATGGCATTCATAGCGAGGACGCTCAACGACAGAGTTCACAATTTAATCAACAAACATGAAGACATGAACATTCCGACGCTACAAATCTGCACAAATGCGCTACAGAGACTTTCCAAAAAACTTGGCAGAACAGACAGACAAAGGAACTCCCTTTTATGCCAAATTATCAAGACAGCCAAAGATGTCATTATTCGGATTCACAGCTCGTCTCAAAACTCGATGCAAAACTTCATGGGACGCGAAGTCATCCAACAATCAGTCTGTACTTTGAGTACGTGTGCACACTTCCTGATGGGAAATGGAGGAAAACAAAGTCTGACAGTTCTTGAAGAAGGAACGGGGCTGGAATGGCTCGAGAAACTTCTCAAATTCCGCAGTGATCGAGTTCGCTTGTCCATTTTATCGGTCCTCTCTCACGCTTTCCATTCGCCAAAGACCAGCAGGCACTTCTTCAAAGAAATCAATGATGGAATTCTCACAACACTTATTGAAATCGCGCTGGATTTTGATGAATCTCCTCTTGTTCGCTCAACAGCATTGGAAACTTTAACAATCATTGTCGAAAGCCACATGCATCTTTCGTCGACAAAAGCTGTCGACGGTCTTCATATCAACATTCTTCTCGAATTGATGCTGAAATTCGACTTCTTCGTGCAAATTAGCCATGCGATGGAAAATTATGTCTACTGTGATTTGCCTGCGCAGGATAAAATGGCACCGATAACGCCTGCGTTTGTTGGTGCATTCAACTACTTCATCATTTCTTTACTGAAAGCTTTCCCAACGCAGACTGCTTCAGGGCTTCGAAATTCTGGAATACTATCGATTTTATCAAAACTCTTCAATGTTCAACTAGTCAAATCTTCTGTCGGAGAACACAAGAAAAGTCTTCTCCAGCAAATCAACAGCACTTGTCTGATATTCACCTACGTTTTGAGCGGCTGCGAAGAAGTAATGTCACATGTCGCATTCGTACAACAAATATTCTCTCTTCCTTTCGATGAAAATTTTGCAAAAGAAATTCTAACCTGTTACGAATCTGGAGCGAAATTCTTTTGCAAAAACTGGAGCAGCTTGGATGAAGATGCCGAGAAAAAGACTTTGAAGAGTTTATCCACAACGATGTCGACTTACATAAAAACGATAACTGAAGCTTGGAGCTATTTCAACACGAATTTCGCGCAATTCGAATGGATGTTACATTTCTATTGCCTCATTATTTCAAAATCGAAGTCTTATCTCATCGGTAAGCGAAAACCCCATGCGCTCCCATTTTTACAATTCTTTAGGTACAACGAAGCAAGCATTAATTGACTCAGAAGGAGTATTTCTACAAAAGCTATCACACGAGTTCGAAGTTCAAGGGACTAAAATCAGATCAGAAGCAAACATATCAAAAGAGACCCTGTTGTCTTCCGCAATTTGCGTCACCATTGGCCTTGGGGATGGACGGGAGCTGCTCGTCCAAAGCGGATTCATCGAGCGACTGGTGGATTCGCTAGAAATGCTGCAGATCAAACTCTGCACAGAACGGCCGAAGCGTTTGCATGAAAGCTATATTGGCCTGAGCCTGATTTCGATCTTCAATATCTGCAGAAATTTTTCGTCGAATGGAAAAGTGGCGAATCATCTCCTTCAAACTAACTTTATAGACGTTCTTTCACGGTAACCTTTAATTTTCCTCCTTCCGGATTTTTCAAATTCTTCAGTTTGTGGCCTCTCATTGTCGGAAATGAAAAACTCATACGCGTAATGCTTCAAATGCTCCTTTCCTTCACTAAAAACAGCGTTCCCTGTGCAACAGCAATTTCCTCAAGCAATCTGATTTCTTCAATCGTGAAGCAATTCCAGTACTACGAGAAACAAATACGAAACAAAGTCAAGGCGAGTCCGATTTTCACGCTCAACTTCAATCTCTTGTGCAATCTGAGTATCTCCCAAGAAGCTCGTGCTTATTTTTGGAAAGGTAAATCACATATTCATTCATTTTTAGCAATTGTGTTTTCAGCAAATGTTCTCCACGAATTCTCAGCGGCAGCGGAAGCAGGAGTTCATTCTTCAGCCTCGAAGCAGCAGATTATGGTGCTTTCACTCTGGCTCCGGTGGCTGCTGTGCTTGTCTTTTCACAAAGATGGTCGAGGTAAAAAGCCAGTTCTCTTCCTTGATTTCCGATTCACACTCCCTTCAGAAAACATTCTTCAAACCAAAGACATCCTTGACTACCTAACGAACGCCGTTTCAAAAGTAGACGAAAAACTAGCGCTGCTTGTAATTCACAATTTGTGCTACGCGACGCAATCCAAAACGCGTATTTCCACTTTCGACCAGCTCACTAAATGCTTCCGACAGTACTTGGCCATCGATTCTCAAAAAGAACTTCAGCTGCTCGTTTCAAACTCCTGTTGGGCGCTGATGAGTACCTCTCAAAAGGCAAAAGGGCGGTAAGTACTTATTCGAACCGTTGGCTACATTTCTTATCAAAATTCTAGTCTGAAAGCAGCGGGACTTATCGAAAGGCTGGAAACGCTGTCGACGATCTATTCCGAAGAAGACTCCTCAAAAGATTCCATTTTCCACATTCACGCTGCCTTAGAACTCCTACATTCCTAGAGTTTTATTTTTCTATTTTCTTTCTTTTTTTCTTACATTTTGTATTTTACAATAAAATTTACAAACCTCAAACCTCAGAAAAGAAACTTCTTTCAATGGAAACTGAGAACTTCTGAGAATCGATTTATAAACGGTCTTTTTGTGCTCTCCCTCGCTTAGCGTCATACCGCGTAGAATAAACCAGTTCTCGTCCGATCACTGAAGTCAAACTACGACGGGCGGGGTTAGTACTTACATGGGTGACCGGTTGGGAATATCTCGTGCGCTAAGCATTTTGACTTTTTTCGACGAGATTTAAGTTTTAACTAATTCAAAATTGAATAGTGAACTCCTTCAAAAAAGACAAAATGCTTTCATCTACGAAGAGAATGTTGCCATATTCATCAACAGTTTAGTAGAAGTCGACTGACAGTAAGGATTATTAAAGACGAGAGAATTCGAATTTTCCAGGATCGGCCATAAAAACATTTTGCTCGTTGAGCTCTTTTTCTTCTTTTGTGTGTTTTTCTTTTTCTGTGTATTTTTTCGTGTGTGGTGAGTGGGCGGCGGTGTGGCTTGTGTTGTATCACGCTATGGCTAATGTAATTGGATGAGTCAGGTAGGCTGGTGACGTCACCTACCTGACTCCTCGCCGATCGCTCACCGCTGCTGTGGCTCATTCTCAACGACTCATTTCACGACGGCCTTAGTGCTTTTCAAAAAGACTCTTATTCAAGAGAAAGGGGTCTTCTTCTCCTCCCCATAGTGGCGGAAGCCGGCTAGAATCACCCCAGCCGCGGGGAGCCGCTCGAAAAGGCGCTAGAATCCGCTTCAAAATGGTAGAAACAAGTCTAAAAACAGAGAAACGGGATGAAGACGAAGTCGAGAAGAATCCGCCCAAGTTCCTGAAGCTCAACTCTATTAACGGAGCCACGAACAGTTTAGCACAGGTGAGTTACTGGCTTTACTATGAAAAAGAGATGAATAATCGCCCCTTGCATGAAGCAGCGAGTTAATCATCCAACCAACGGGGGTAGTAATGACTGAGCCATTCTAGCTAGCGCTAAAGAGTCTCTTTTTACCACACTTTTTTCTTTCAACGATACCACACTGGCTTAAATAAAAAACAAAGAAGAATCTGAAACTAAAACTGAAGAATTGGCAAATTCTTTAATTACAGCGTAAATAAAGAATTTATCATGTAAATATTCTTCTGCAAATTTATAATTACCATCGTTTCATAATCTGGGTTGGCAACCTTTTTAGAAATGCCAATTAAAAGCTTATTACTATTGCTTGTTTCAGGTACTTCCTGTGGACCAAACTCCCACCCCAACAAAATTCATCAAACTGGCAAGCGAACTCTTCCCCAGCGACACCAACGAGCAGCAACAAACCAATACTGAAACTAACGAAGCATCAACAGAAGCAACAAGCAAATCCCAAGCAAACTCAACGCATCCAAACCCCTTCGACAAATCCTTCAAGCAATCGACTTCTTCAAGCCAAAGTCCGGCGGCGAATGCGAGTGGAAATGAGCCAGTCGTCCAGGAGTTGGATACAGTCGATGAAACTATCTCACAGGACGAAAATGATCATGAATTTGTCGAAGAAATCGTCGATGAGGAGGAAATTGAGACCTCCTCTGAAAAATTCAAGGTAAAACTTGAACTTCCTAAGGAAACCTCGTCAGTTGTTATCGACATCTTTTATTTTATTCAAGCAATTTTGCTTACTATTCTATTAGCGGCCCGATCCTGTTGGAAGTGAAGAGATGATCCAAGTGCAGACAACAACGATAAACTCAATAGCAGGCCAGGAGGGAGTTTCTCAACCCCAGTTCCAAATGTTGCCCACTGCGTCTGGCCAAATGCTTGTCCAGATCCCGCAGCCCATGGCCACTCCAGGTACACGCATAGTGATGGCATCGCCCGAGATGGCCGCCCAAGCCGGCCAGGGGGGTAAACTCGTAGTTATGCAACAGCCAACAACTTACAAGCTTGGTAAGTATCACCGTTTACTTTTCGGTGTTGGATGAGACACAAGCTTCTTTCACTCTAGAATGGCTGAAACGAGGTTTGTGTCTTTTCTTTCGGTGTATCAATGTTGGTGTATCTATCTCCTTCTTCTATTTAAATGTATCGCTCTCCCTTTCTCTTTCTGTTACTTATCATTAACTAAATGATTCTATCTAGCAAACAATGTCTTCGTCCCTGCTGGAGGAAACATGGGAGGGCAGCTAATCATGGGTAGCGGCGGCCAAATCTTCATGACGCAGCCGCAAGTGATGCAAATCCAGGACCCGAATACAGGCGCCATCCAACACGTAAGCATTCAACCCCAGCAACAATTCGTGATGACACAACAAATCGACTCAAGTGGGATTGTGACGACTTCTGCCCAGAAACCGTGAGTCCTTGTTGATTTCACACGCTGCTTCTCTTACTCATAGCAAAGTTGTAAAAACGGATAAAGTTTGGCATTTTAAGAAGCGACAGCTAGCTTCATCGAGTATAAAAGGCTTTGCAACGAAACATTTTTGCGCTAAAAGGCTTCTGCGAACCGTGTTCAAAATATTTTCAGTTCGACGACCGTGGCACAAGCAGCCACACCAACAACTGCAGCCAACCCGCCGCCTTACACTCAATGTGTGATGGTTTCTCCGCAGATTCAATTCGTCGCCTCACCACAGCCAGTCGTGATTCCGTCAAGTCAACAGATGATCATCAACCAGAACGGGCAGCAGTTTCAAATTATCAACACTCCGAATCCAAGCATTCCACAGGGCGCACAAATCATTCAGACAGCTAATGGCACGCAACTACTTCAAACACAACAGGTAAAATCTCAACTCTGTCTGTCCATAATCTCAACCTGCAATCGTAGAAAGTCATCCAACAATCGAATGGACAGAAAATCGAAAACAGCACTGGAATGACGATGAAATACATCCAAAACGAGCAAGACGATGAGAACGGTCAATCTTCTAGAAGAAATTATACAAGACCGTCTTATACGCACAGGTTTACGAGACGAAGTAAATCTAATAACCCCTCCTTAGGCCTTCGATGAATGGCCTGAGCAACGTTGTTCACTTATCAAAAGAATCCCTACGAGCAATAGAAGAAGCAGGAGCAGAGTGCTCTAGTGGGAAACGCGGAGGACCGAGATTAAATTATGACGAGTTGGATCCAAAAAGAAGACGCTTTTTGGAACGAAACAGGATGGCCGCTGCTAGGTGCAGGGAACGCAAAAAGCAGTGGATCATCAGCCTAGAGTACAAAGCTAATGTAAGGCATCTCACTGTTGATATCTTTCTAAAGCAAGGATTTAGGAACTCAAAGAAGAAAATAAGCAAATCGAGGAAGATTGTTTACGACACAGAGCGAAGCTGGCACAAATGCGAGCAGCGTTAGAACGTCACAATTGCTCGATAGGCGTCAATAGTTCAATTGATAAAGAGGTAAGCACACTCTGACATCGTAAATAGCCCTAATCTCTATTCTCAAATTCGATTGATAGATTTTAAAAATCATGATTGTAAATTTACTCGAATACTACCTCTAGTCTGACAGCTATTATATGATGGATGATTCAACATTACCAGCCGTAAGTTCTATCTTTTGAGGAGTCCCAGGATCAGACAGAAACTAACCAGCTGTGTAGTTAGCCATTCGGATTGATTAACCTTGCTAATTTTGATATGACTGAATATGTTCTTCGTTAACTGTTTATTTACGCTAGGTTTAGAATAACGTCCAAGGCGGCGTGCAAATCCAGACCAAAGTGATCGAGCTGGACACACTCTCCGACGATGCCGCTCCTCTCAAACTCGAAACTGCCATTTCCGAGAGCTGACAATAACTTCAGCTCTTCATTTACCGTCTTAATTCAAGTACCAACGACAGCCTTCCATCTTTACTATCCGACTCAGAATTTATTTAAAAAATAACGCGTTTACATCACTGGTTCTTTGTTTTTCGATTGTACTCAATTCTAACAAGATTAGTCTAAAACTGTATTTATTATTTTTATTCTCACATTCAAAAAACTATCTTCATGAAACAACAAAAAAGCAGCTCTACAAAAAACTGTTACATGTGCCAAAATTTCAATTAGATTTGCCATGTTTCTGTGGAATGCCTCTCTTCATACTGTTTTGTAATTTACCCCTTCTCTCTCTTTCTCTTCACTTCCCTCTTCTATCAGCTGGAACACTACTGTAATTAACCAAAAATACCAAATCTAATGAAAATGTTCCCCCTGCTCCTGCTGGAAACCTAATACTGGTCGAGTTTGATCAGGTTGACCAGTATGTTCCAAATAAATTAGTTCAAGAAAACTTTAAATTAATCTTTTATTTCACCTTGTGTCATAAAAGTGGACTCAATTGACTGCCCTTTAAGCAGGATGATACGCATGTGGCATGAAGTTCTGAAAGCATAAATGATCGCAGTAGAGAGCAAAAAGAAGCAGTGGCTGGCGCCATGAGTAATGGACCATGAGGATTCGCGAGGCGTTTCGGGGCGCGTCCAATCCGCAACGCTCCGCGGGCGACGTCATAGCCGTTCAATCTCCGCCGCTCGATACGAGTTGAATTGCGCTCCCCGAGTTGTCATGAAATCGTAACAAAAACTATCGACAAGCAGTTTTTTCTAGACTTAGCGTCCACTGCATCATGCTCAACTGAAGAGATAAACTCGAGATTAGCAGAATGAACAAAAGGAATACGGTTAATTTAGCAATTCATCCACCATATTTTCGAAAGAGAAATATTAAATTCCTAACCTCCCAAAGTGATAATCTGCAAGACATTTCTATGGACTCCGATGATGACGACATTTCCCTTTCTTCCTCGTTGAAGACGCCGAATTCCGTCTGTACAAGTCGCAATCCAAGCTCTGATCTTGACGATAGCTTCAAGACCACAACTGATGATGACTTCTACGTCAATTCTGGAGAAACAGAAGACATTAACACTCCTCAAGAAGAAGCTGAGTTAGTAGAAGAACAGAGAAAGTGGGTCACGGAGGGGCCACAAACTGCCAAATGCGCGAATCCAAAGAAATTCTTCTGTCCCGTGTGTACCCGAGGATTCACTACGCAGGGGAACATGCGACGACATCGACAGATTGCCCACGGTGGCGGCAAGCAATTCAAATGTGAAATTTGTAACAAGGACTTTGTTGAAAACCAATCCCTTCAAGGTTCGTTTTAGCCTTTGCGATCAGTAATCAGATAATTCCTTATTCAGTTCATATAAAAACAGTGCACATGGGAATCAAAGAATTCGAGTGTACATTTTGTGGCAAAACATGTGGCACCAAATCCGCTCTCAAGAGTCACGTGCTGAAGGTTCATGGAAATTCGAAATTTGTGACAAAGAAGACTGTGAAATGCCATCTATGCCAGGCAGTCTTCCATCATTCGTAAGTAACAATTACAAGCTTGATTTACACTGAAACGCGTCTTAATTCCAAATTTAGTGGAAATTTGAAACGCCACGTCCAGAACTTTCATCAGAATCAGTTCAACTATCACTGTGATATTTGCGGCAAAAAGTTGAAGTCGAAGCAGAGTCTCATGGTAATTTAACCACAATTCACTATCGCTAAAGAATTATCAACTAGCTCCACATCAACTCACAACACGAAATGTCCAGGAGACATCCATGTGATCTGTGTTACAACGATCGCTTAAAATTGGCTGGGAGCTCGACAACGAAAATTCCAGAGACAATATTTCCGACAAGAGGCGCGCTTCTCAATCACCTCAACTCAATCGTTCACAAAGACAATCCAAATCTTCAAGATGCCATTGCCAAGGCAAAGGAAAATTTCTCAAATCATCCACCAAACGGAAAAGTTGAAATACGGCAATCTGAGTTTGCCGAAATCCCAAACATGACTGCGAATGGATCCCTTCCTACAGTACGCCCTTCGTTCTCTACTTCAAATGCTTCTTCAGATAAGAAGGAATGGTGGTGCGAGCTTTGTTATGGTGGCATCGATACATCTAAATTTCATGACAAGGCCTTGATCAGCCTTTTCAAGAACAAGGTTTCGCTACTGGCACACTTGAATTCTCTTGCTCACAGAGATGACCCCCGACTTCCTGAAATCTTGGCAAAAGTTAACGAACAAGGGTTAGAAATGATCGAAAACTCTGAGTTTCACAAACACGGCGTTAAAGATTTCTTGCGAAGACCAGTCTTTAAATCCTCCACCACTACTCCTGCGAAAACGCCTCCACCAACTTCTTCTGAAAGCGTCGAAATTTGCGTGAAAGAAGAGATTCACGAGGAAGAAGAAATCACCTTCAAGGAGGAATTTATCGACGATGACGATATTCCTCTTTCAAGGTCGCTTTTAGAGCCGCCGGAAATGAAGAAAAGCCCCAAGATAATTGCAAAGATGCCAATCAAGGGAAAACCAATCATGATACAAGGACAACCAAAAATTAAAGTGAAATTAGCCGGTCCGTCCGTCTTGAGTAAAATCAAGTTCAAGCCTCTCTCAATACTCGGTAATTAATTCAGTAGTGAATCCCTCTCCTCACTTTTCAGGCACAACTGGCCCTGTGACAATCAAAAAGAAGCCTACCTATACGGTGCAAGAAATCATTGTCAAGGAGGAGGCTGTCAACGATGATGACGATTATTTCGTCCAAAAATAGAGCATTTTCTCTTCGTTTAAAAACCTATTTTATCACTTCTTCACATCCAAAAATTTTGAACCACCAGAGCAGTACTGTTATCTTCACCAAAATAGTATTTGTGCAAGCTACAAAACTTCAATAAAGATCTGTCAATCGCTTTAATGAATGAGTCCTGATTTTACACAGAAATGAGCAGGAATTATTTTCAAATAAAAGAACTGCTGGTTGTTACGTCGATCGATTGATGGTGGTTTTTGTACACTTCGAATTTGCAATCAACGACGCTTTTCTTTGGCTTGATGAAAATCGTTGTTCTCGGAGCATGTTGGCCCGTGATTTTTCTATAGGCTTTTCTCCATATGCTGAATGATTGCTTCATTTATCTGTATGCTCGATTCTTTTGCTTACCTTCTTAACGACTTTCGATAATTGCCATTCATAAATCCGTACACAACTGGATTCGCAACCGAATTAAGGGCAACTAGAGTGTGTGAAAGATTACTCAATATCGCGCAAAATCGTCGTCCGGGAGAAATGCTTTGAGAAATATCAAAACCGTGATCGACGAATGCAATTTTTATCCAGTGAAAATACTCTTCCTGAAAACGACGAGCAAATTTCGCGCTTGAAATGGTGTCCAACAAATGAGAAAGCTCAGAAAGAGAGCGATAACCGTATATGCTAGTTTTGAAGAACTATTTAGTCCTTTCAACTTTGATTCTGATCGCTTCACAATCTTATGCGTGTTCTCTCTGCCTCATTTAGCTCTGAAAACGAAATCATAGAGGAGAACATGCCCATAAAATCGTTATGTAAGAAACCGCAATGACTATCAGAGGAATGATGTACCCAACAATAAAGAGCCCAAAATAGAATCGTTTCTGTTTGACTGGTCGTGGACAAAAACAACTGTCGGATTTGAAGTTCGAAAGCTCCGCCTAAAATAATGACGATAAAACGAAAGTCCGCTAGGGTAGCGGACTCAGGGAGCCGTAGTCATGATATTTGTAAACCTACTTTTCCGTATTTCGCCACACACGTTTCTGCACTCAAGGAGCTGTAACGGTCTAGGTTTTGACTTTGTTTTTCTGTGCAATTTGAAGGAAGATGATCGCAGATTATGCATGTACTGAAATCAAGGTCCTTGAAATCATTATCGCTTGACCAGTCTTCAGTGCACATCTGCGTATCTGGAAGCTAACAAGTGTTCGAATAAGAACGCTACCTATTCTTTCACTAAATCTGTGATGCATAAAATAAACTAGCATTGAACACAATCCCATGATATTCCAGCGTATTGGCGCTCCAGTCGAGTTGCTAAAATCGAAGGAAACACGACGAGAAGTGACAGTATCCATATAAATATGCATACTACTATGGCGAAACCAGGCGTTTTTCGTCTATTCTGAACATCGGTATTAAATATTTACCATTTACCATCTGAATACCTGTAGCATATTGATCATCTTGGTACTTTTCATCGGGACAATCGCTAATACTCTGTCGAGGGAAAGGACCATTAGCTGGAATATCGACACTTTGATAGATAAAAATGCAGTCATAGAACCAGACTTGAAGATCTTACCCAGTAAATTAACATTTGTAGCGGAATTATTTATCAAACAGCCGAAATAGCCGAATCTCCACGATTTTCGCAGACGATAATCCATTTTCATCGGAAGCAAGAATAAGAATATCAAGTCTGTAAACATCAAGTTGATGATCTACAAGTAACTGTCTGAAAAAGCCAGAAAAAGCAACGAATAGTCCTTACATATATCGACGAAGGCCTCTTTATCTGCTCCGTTAGAGTAATGTACAAAATTGTTGAACTCCCACTGATACCAAAAACTGCTGCTAAACCTGATAAAAAGAATAGAAAAGTCGTCATTTATCTTGCAAAAATCTCACCATAAATAATGACATTAGGATCGACATATTGTTTTTTCTTCATAATGCTACTAATGACCTCGTCGAAAGATCCATTACCAAAATTCGCAGCTTTTTCGTTGAGCAAATCATTTCTGTAGCAATATTCGTATTCCTCTGAAAACGCTCTGGAAAGAAAGTCTCCTAAAAATACCTGATGAAAAAGACATTATCCTAAACTAAAAAAAAACAACTGAATAAAAAGATAATCGCGTGTATTCTGTGGTGCGATAGAGAATAAAAAAAAAGCAAATCGGATCAGATAAATAAATTATTTTGTTGCCTTACGCGCTGATTTTATTTTAAAGACAGTTATTGTCAGCTTTTATCTTAGATATTGCGAGTCTTATATTTTCAGAATCATAATTTATGTACAAATAGCGTATGATTCCCTTATTTATGTATTGTGTACATAGTGTAAGTTTTACGGTATAAAATGATGTGTTAATTAAACGGTTTTAATCTTATGAAAATTGCTACCTGAGCAAGTTGCTGTTTTGGTATTTTAAAAATTACCTTGATCAAACACACCCAAAACAGATTTCAGGATCCCTACCCGGTGTTGTTCCCTCATCCCAATGCATTTTCTTTTGCCCCGGGGCTTCGATTCTAACCCCGCTGAAAATACTAAAACCTTATTATTTCGCCAGAGAAATGCGTCCGTAAACTTGCCCTTCCATCCACCTAATCCGCCATGAATCCAGTTCAGCTCAAGCCCAAAACCATTATCTATTTTTTGACCATTTTCCTGACGGGCCTTGCTTTGCTTCATGAAATTTTGAAGCAAACGGGAATTGAAAAGATAAAAGAACTCTACCTCAAGAAGATTTCCGCTTCGATACATACTGTAGGGCTGTTGGAGAAAGATCCAGAGTATGGACTTTACATTTCTGGTGATTTTGCGAAGCTTCAAGAGGTAAACAGGGGGTTTGAATTGTTGTTAATTGTTAATTAGAGTCAAGTTTATTTCTTGGATGCACAAGTCAAGGGCCAGGGCGATCGACCGATAATTTTGCTTTTTAACTCAATGCAGTACTCATCCAACATGTGGTTAAAACTCGGCGTAATTCACGAGCTCGCGAAAAATGGTAAATTAATGTTAACACGCCAGATAATTGTTTAACGATTGAAAAAAAAGGATACCGCTCGATCTCAATCGATCTTCCTGGATATGGCGGTTCCGACAAAGTTCCCATCATCGACGACGATGCGCGACGAATCAGACTTATGGAGCAAATCGTCAAGTTTTTTCAACTTGATGAGTTTGTCGCCGTGACGCCTGGATACTCGGGCGAATATTTTCTGCCTTTTATATTCGAATCTCATGCAGCAGAGAACGCGCTAGGCTGGGTTCCCATATCTCCAGGTTTGAGACTCCGTTTTCAGTGTTTTTTTTATTACTTTGGCCTTTTAGACGGAGTCAAGAGGTTTTCTCTTGATGAGATTTCGCTGCTTCCCCTTCCAACGCTAATCCTTTTCGGCGAGTACGATTCCGCGGGCGAGCAAGACGCGCGCACCCTCGCCAAAATGCCAAACTCGTCAAAAAAGATCTTCTACTCATCCGGCAAACACTGCTTCGTCGACGACCCACAATACTTTATTTCTTCATTGCTGAACTTTATGCAGACTGTGTAATTTATATAATTTAATACAAAAAGTGCAAAAGAATGGCCAGTACGGGGATCGAACCCGCGACATTCGCGTTATTAGCACGACGCTCTAACCAACTGAGCTAACCGGCCCTGATGAAGCAGACAAATCTAATTAATTAAATATCGACCTTGGATCAAAACACCGATTATTTTCGCTCGAATCCCTAGGAGCGCCACCACTACGAATACCAAGCATTTCGATTGGCTGTGCTCGAAAATTGTCGCCAAATATGGCGACATTTTTATAAAGACTTCAAGGTAGGCTCAGAGGTAGGTTTGTCATTTTGTGTGGTATATCTACAGCTAGTATTTATTCTACGTAAACTTTGAAGAAAGAACTTGAAAAAAGCGCAGCAAAATTAATTTTATTCATCCTTGTTTTTCTTTCTCAGCCTTGTTTGAAGCTTGAGTACGCTTGCTCTCAATCGCTCGAGTTTTTCGTTCATCTGTCGCATCACTTCTTTTGGCTCCTCGTTTTCATCCTCCTTGGTTTCAATTATGAGCAGTTTGAAGGTGGACTGAGTCTGTTACCTTTTCTTTGGCAGTAGCAACTTCGACTTTTTCGAAGTCAATCAGGTTGTTGATCAAGGAATCAATCGTGTTGTGCTTTAGCGAGTTGATGGAGTTCTTCGCGTCTGAGTCTTTTCCTGTCGGAGGATATACTTTCAGCTAAAGAAAGAGAGCGCTAGAAATAATTGGTACGCTCAAGAATCTCACCGGAAATTGCCTCAAATTTACAGCGTGATCGCCAGGTATACGAGGCCAGCAAACAATCGTCGTTCGCCTGCTCTTCTTTTCGCCAAACGAGAAACGAATGTACTTGATCAACAATAAGACATGGTAGACGAGAATTAGTGGCGTTGGGATCGGGTCCTTTCCCCAGTAGTCCATGACGAGATCAAATCTGTTGAGTTTCCAGATCTTGTCCGAGTCTTCTTGGACCTGCTCGTACGTAGTCGCAAACAGAGCTACCAGAAGATTGATAAGCATCACATTCGCAGCCATCATATAAACGCCAAGAAAGAAAGAATTCACAAAATATCGTTCTGAAAAGATTTGCGAGAAATTGAAACCAAGGCGATAAAATCTTCCAAACCTGGACATCTGCTGAATTTTTCGCGTAAAAGAGTAAGAGTGTCTTTTGATGAACAATTCCTTGAGGAATAACTGCAGTTTCTTTCTCCGTCTTTCCGTCTTCTGCTAAAATTCGACTCAGTTAATACTAACACCAATAATCGCCAAAGATTACTTTCTGTCTGAACCGAGATATAGTCGACATCATCGTCGTGGAAATATTCTAGCAAAAGCATTTCCGATGTCAAATCTTTTCGCACCACAGATTTGTCATCGGGGTACTCGGGAAAGTAAAGGGTTTTGAAGTTTTGGAGCTTTTGATTCTTGTTCTTGGATCCTTCGGCTGGAATGTTGCTCATGAAATTGGGATTTGTGTAGTTGAAGCGTCGTTTGTCTGTTTTGCGGTTGGGAAACAATAAAATTGACAAATAGCCCTATGATCATTATTAACCGTTCTCGAAAGAGTAAACGATCATCGCCGCTAGTACAACTGGCTGTTTTTTGCTTGAAGTACAAGGATCGATTTTCTCATCAACAGAACAACTTGGCAGCAGATCATTGAATGTTAGCTTCACTCCCTTTGTTACGCGTCTATGAAAGACATCCAGTTTCCACTCCGCTAAACTCATTTTTAGCAATATTTTTCAAAGGTAACATACTTTCGCCCAATCGATCTGAAACGGGGATTTCTTCATTTTCGAATTTGTAAACATCCTGTGTTGGAAAAATGTGAAGGCCTTCCACGGGTGTATTTATGTGATTGCCGATTGCTTTGTACAATTCCATCGCTGCTTTTTGGCTGTCACTGGGGTCTTTATTCGCTGGGTCATTTTCAGCATTCAGAATATCTTCCTCCATAAATGGGCTTTATTGGCGAATATAAATTGGCTAGACAAAAAATTTTCGAAAAAAAATCAAAATTTCAATGATTTTAATTTCATTTTCGTCTTTTCCTGAAAACAAAGTACTCGTAATTCTCCATGTCAGTACCTTCGAAGTCTTGAAACATATAATCAAAGTCACCACTTTGGTCAGAATCTCGTTTGCTTTCAGTTGGTAGCAAAGGCCTAAATTTTGCGATTTCATCCTTCGAGATGCGCAAGACGCGAACTTTGCTGAAGCAATCACCGAAAATCGCCGTCAGTGAGACAGGAGGTAACTCTGTAGCGTTTGCTTCGTTGCTCTTCAAATACGAGTCAATCAAAAGCTTGCTCGGTTAAATTTACCTCTAAGAAGGAACACTCAATGGTTCCAGAAGAAGTAGTATTTGTGCTAGAGCCTTCTCCGAAATTGCAATCGTAATTTGTCAAATAAAAAGCAGTAATCTGAGTCATGTGCTCAGGAGAACATTCGTTCCATAATTTGATGTCGCGTTCCCATTCGTGTGTAAAGTTTTTCATTATCGGAGTAACTCGGACAAAGTCGAAGCCCGAATACAGATCGTTTTCAGTTTCGATGGACCGAATGTCTTCTGCCTCCACGCATCCGTCGAGCTCGCTGTTGAACTCGTAGTTGGTATATTCTGTGAGAAACAGGTCTCCGTAGAGATTGAGGATTGGCTTGAAGAAGATGCCCTCCATACAATCAGCAAGTCTCACTTCGTTCGGATACAGTAAAGCTGTAGTAATGACACCATACGGGACAAGGAAAACTGCAAGAATAAAAATAAACATCATCAAATCGCGCATCATTCTTCCAATAGAGATCGCCAAGGGACCCAAAAGCTTGTGAATATCATAAAAGTGAAGAACAGCCATGCACATGATTAGGTAAGTGATGCCGTAGAAGATCTGCGCCCACTTCAAGAATTTCGGGTTTTCGAATGAAGAGTTCTCGAGGATATGAAGTGGGCAATAATTAAGTGATGCCGGATGGTCTTCCATGCCGTTGATGTATTCAAAGGGGTAGATTCCGTAGTTGTCTTCGACGAATTTTTTTGCTTCCGGAGACATTTCTGTGTAAAGCGGATTGTTGGCATTCGAAAAGAAGGAAGAGATGACGGAAAATTTGTATTTATCTTGAAAGTCCTCCCAGCTCGACGTATTGTAAAGGTTGATTTTTTTATTCGGGAGATTTTCAAAGGACTTCATGTTGATCAAATAAATATCCTCGTAGGAAACGATTGAGCTTGCCCTGAGAATAATGCCAGCCAAGAATGTAGCGATCGCAAGGAAGTATAAAATATTCCAAGTGTCATGGTACATGAGTCGTATCTTTTCGCTCTTTGTCTTGTCCGCTATTGCTATAAACTTCCTAATTCGTTCGAGTTGAATACTGACCATCCAAATCATAAGGAGGTATTCGAAGAAAGTAATTCGGATGCAAAATTTTAGCAGAATAACGTAAGCAAAGAGGCCAAGAAAGGCGAGGTAGGAAACGACTTCAATGATGAAACAATAGAGCGGTGACGTGCAGAAGTTGGAAATCACCATCAATTTGCTTTCATAAAGTCTGTCAATTTAATTGGCAATTAGACTTCCGCGATAAGTCTAGGTCGTATCATTTACGATTAATGAGATATTTATTGCTTTCAGACTTTGCCTTGGGTTGTCTTCTTCATTTGTGGACATTCCCAAGCTCTTGACTTGCTTGCCGCCCCAGAAGAAGCCCGACTTCATATAGGAAATCCTGTCAATGTACGGGTCTTTTGAGGGCTTCATGAAAAATGGCACTAACAACGGGCAGACTGAACACATAGCAAGGCGAAAATTCGTGGTTGGTTCAAGTCCACCAGTCCAAATTTTGTCAAGCAAGTCTTGAACAGCGTCTGTTGACATGAAGTTACCTAGACGAGCTTGTTCTGCCAGCTGAAGAGCTGTCCTCTTTCCCCAGTGTCGATTCTCGATTCTGATCAAAAGAAGACACTGATCGTAGTCCATCTCGTAGCATGAAGTTATCAGCTCAACAGTGTACTCCTCAATTTTTTCCTGCTGCTCTTTGTACGAGCTCTGCAGTTCTGATAAAGTGATGTACTTTTCGGTGACCAAGCGGCAGTTGTGAATGAGAAATGCAATGCCAAGTTCAACCCCAAGAACTGTTCCTAGATTTTCTCCTGCATCTTCTTCAGAACACCTGGCGTCTTTTGAAACGCTCTCTTGCTCCTTCACGTGATCTCGGATTGTATCTACAAGCTCCCATCGGTTAAAAAGGCAGCTCCACATCGCCAGCTCGCGCACGACAAATGCTCTGCCGCATTTTTCTTCAGGAGGATCTTCCTCTTCTCTTTCTTCGTTCTCTCCTTCTCGAAAGGCCTTTTCCTCAGCTTTCCAGTTTTCGGGAAGGATCCATTCCATGTCCATAATCGGCTTGTCAGGAGCTCTAACCCATTCTTGACGTCTGGTCTCAAAAAAGGAATTGTCCGAAAGAAGCTTTTCATCGAAAATGTTTAACAATTCGACAAAAATAGAAAGATTTGGTGTATTTGGCGCAGCTTGCGGTGGAGCTAAAATGAATTATTGAAGAAGGTATTTCAGTTATTTGAGCTAGTCAGCGGAATTAATATTCTAAATTACCTTCAACATCTTTTTTGACTTTCTTTTGGCGATTATTTTGTCTTATGGCATCATCTATTTTATCATTGAGTAATTTCTCGAACAATGTTCTCTGGTAATTAAAAGTATAGAGCTCGAATAGTAACCTCGGTGTTACTTTTTTTGGATTCTCTAGTAGGTCCTCCATTTCGTATTCGAAAAAAACAAGGGGAGAGAGGAATGAGACCTTTTCTCGATCTGTGAGATTAAATGGGAAAGGTTGTCTGCAATCGTAAAATTTAGTTAACGCTTCGGAAAAGTCGTAAATTGCTTTTGCGTTGTTTGTGGCAGTATCTTCAAGAAAAGAGTGTTCTGATAGTAAGAAACAAGTTCTTATTCAAAATAAATTATCTTTTATGATAACCAGCGTAACCTCTATCCACCCGCCATGTTTATAGCACGATATAAATCTCCATAATCCAGCACTACTTTCAAACCTTTCTCAGCTTAGCTATAACTCCAACTACACATCAAACCGCAAGAACTACAAAAAAAGAGACAATAGGGAAAATTAATTATATAACCCCCTTTATTGAACTAAAAGAACAAGAAAGAACTAGCAGAACAGTAAAGAGGGAACAGAATTAAAAAGGTTTGAAAGGGAGGGGTGAGAGTGTTTAGTACTCATCTTCACCTTCTTCGGCTTCGCCTTCGACGGAGTCGACGCCAACCTCTTCGTAATCCTTCTCGAGGGCGGCAAGATCCTCTCGGGCTTCGGAGAATTCACCTTCCTCCATACCTTCTCCGACGTACCAGTGGACGAAGGCTCGCTTGGCGTACATGAGATCGAACTTGTGGTCAAGTCGAGCCCAGGCCTCGGCGATGGCGGTGGTGTTGGACAACATGCAGACGGCACGCTGGACCTTGGCGAGGTCACCACCGGGAACGACGGTTGGTGGCTGGTAGTTGATACCGACCTTGAAGCCAGTTGGGCACCAGTCGACGAACTGGATGGTTCGCTTGGTCTTGATGGTGGCGATGGCGGCGTTGACGTCCTTGGGGACAACGTCACCTCGGTAGAGCATGCAGCAAGCCATGTACTTGCCTAAAAATGAAGGGTTAGAATTTGATAGGAAAGGATATTTTTGCGATTAGCGAAATAAGATAAATTAAGCTAGATTTGAATTTCAAAGACTTACCGTGTCGGGGGTCGCACTTGACCATCTGGTTGGCTGGCTCGAAGCAAGCGTTGGTGATCTCGGCGACGGAGAGCTGCTCGTGGTAGGCCTTCTCAGCGGAGATGACGGGAGCGTAGGTGACGAGGGGGAAGTGGATTCGGGGGTAGGGGACCAAGTTGGTCTGGAACTCGGTAAGATCGACGTTGAGGGCACCGTCGAATCGGAGGGAAGCGGTGATGGAGGAGACGATCTGACCAATCAATCTGTTAAGATTGGTGTAGGTAGGTCGCTCGATGTCGAGGTTTCGTCGACAGATGTCGTAGATGGCCTCGTTATCAACCTGAAAAGATGAGTTAGAATGGAGAAGGAAGCATTCGGTAACGGAGAAAATTCGAAAGCTCCGATTTTGAAATTTCAAGTTTTTCTAGAACAAGATTTGTTTTGGACTTACCATGAAAGCACAGTCGGAGTGCTCGAGGGTGGTATGGGTGGTGAGGATGGAGTTGTAGGGCTCGACGACAGCGGTGGAGACCTGGGGGGCGGGGTAGATGGCGAACTCAAGCTTGGACTTCTTGCCGTAGTCGACGGAGAGTCGCTCCATGAGGAGGGAGGCGAAGCCAGAGCCGGTACCACCACCGAAGGAGTGGAAGATGAGGAAACCCTGGAGACCAGTGCACTGGTCGGCGAGCTTTCGGATTCGGTCGAGGACAAGGTCGACGATCTCCTTACCGATGGTGTAGTGACCTCGGGCGTAGTTGTTGGCGGCATCTTCTTTGCCGGTGATCAACTGCTCGGGGTGGAAGAGCTGTCGGTAGGTACCGGTTCGGACCTGAAAGATTTGGTGTTAGTACTTGACTAGTTTCGAAAATTTGAGTTCCTATGGAACCAAATGTGAAGCTGACGCCCAAACCGGAACCTTGGAAAGCCAGGGAAGGACGTCATACTTTTTCTAAACTTGTGTAGAAGCCAAGAACTTACCTCATCGACGACGGTGGGTTCGAGATCGACGAAGACAGCTCGGGGGACGTGCTTGCCAGCGCCGGTTTCGGAGAAGAAGGTGTTGAAGGAGTCATCACCACCACCGATGGTCTTGTCGGAGGGCATCTGGCCGTCGGGCTGGATACCGTGCTCGAGGCAGTAAAGCTCCCAGCAGGCATTACCTGAAGAAGAGGATTAAAAAGAGGAGAAAATCATTTACACAAAAATTAACGAAATGGAGAATTTTTACTCTTAGTACTAATTAATTAACCTTAATTTGCTGATTTATCTTGATAAAATTTGCTGTGATAATTAGTAATCAAAAGTGATTGGCAAGAGAAATAATTAGTAGAATACCGAGTTTGATTTCTCTATTTTATACTTTAAAAAGTTTCCCTTCTCTGAAAAGTTATTCCCTCAAAACCCAAAAGTACTTACCGATCTGGACACCAGCCTGACCAACGTGGATGGAAATGCACTCTCGCATGTTGTTACTTCTTTCTTAGCTTGTAAAGCAATTCAGAATGAAGTGTTTTTCACTTTTCCGGCGCTTTTATACTCCGCGGCGAAAAATCGTTTCTAGAATTTCGCGTTCGAGAGATTTTTGCAAAACTCGAAGCTGAATTTTTCAAACTTCCAAGGCGCGGCAAAGGACGAAGATGACGAATTTCTTCGAGATTTTTAGCGAATCGGAAAGAGCAAAACGCGGACTATCGGATGGTAGCTAAATAAGACGAATTTGATGAATGGGTTGTGTTTTATGGACGAAAAAGCCCCAATTTCTCCGGAATTTCGATCATCAGCCGAGGTTGTTGTTGAGATTTGTTTTCATTTCTTGGCTCTAGAATTCTAGAGATTTCCGGAGAAAATCAACATTTTCGCGCGACTTTTGACTAAATTTGCCCACTTTTTCGTCGAAAATCGCCATTTGCGAGAAATCTCACCGTTAAAAATTTTTGTGAAAGAGTTTAATGCAAAGAGTTGACTACCGGCAAGGTTTGGCCAAAAAATTTTTCAAATCTATCGGTTGAATTTTTTTCTAGAGCTCTTTTTGTACTCTTATTTCCGTTTTTGATGAACAATTGTCGATTGGTTCTTTTTCTTTCATGTTTATTCACCTTCATGATGAAATACTCTCTTATTATTTATTTATTGATGTATTTTTGAGCTTTTTTTAATCGAAGTTTATGCTGATTGTTGAGTCATGGAGACTTGTTGGAAGGTTTGTTGTTGTTGAATCGTTGGAACTAACGAAGTTCCATTGGGAAAGCTGTTTTCTGCTGGTGGACATTTTGTCAGGGTTGATTCTTGACCGATGATTTGTCCTGGAAGATATTGAGGACCAGGGGGAGAAGCCTTCTTATGACATGCGTAGATTGAAAGACCCACTAAAAATGTCAACTGAGTGGCCACTATAAGATACCCTACATAGAACAGTTCCGGTTCCAACACAGGTAAGCGGCAGAATCCACCAAAATGGATGTTCATCAGAACTGACTCCAGAATAAGATGGCTCATCAGTGTTGACTATGTTGCCATTGTCGATCGGAGTAACTGGCACAACAGGTTTCGTCGTCTTTTTTCGGTCGTACTTGCTGCCGATGGAGTCATTGATGGTGGTGGTGGTGCGGATCGAGAGGTTGTTGTCTTTTTCTCGGTTGTACTTTCTGCCGCTGGAGTCGTCGATGGTGGTGGTGGTACGGGTCGAGAAGTTGTCGTCTTTTTGTCGCTGGTAGTTGATTCCGGTGAAGTCGTTGATGGTGGTGCAGGTCGAGAGGTTGTCGTCAAAGAATCAGTTGATTCTGGAAGTCCATTCTGTGGTCGAGACGTGGTTCCCTGTCCATTAAGAGGATCTACAGTAGTATCAATGGTGGTGATTCCGTCGATGTCGATATTTTCGGTCACGACGGGAGTTTCGATTGTGTCGTTGGGAATACACATTCCACCCATCGGCGGTCTTGAAAATGTTTTTTTTTTCTGAGTTTTATTTTTATATTAAAGTTCATGTAAGAGGGTAAGTATTCGGCTTGACACAATTTTAGGAGTTAAGAAGATTTGGAGTAAGCTAAACGGAGCAATTTTATTTTCCGGAAATACTCCAAATCGGAGCAAAATTTCAAAGTCGATTTTAATGGTGTTAAGGGCCTCCCGGCCCTGTCAAACCCCGGCAAAAACGCGCCTCGGGGCCCGGGCTTTCTTTTGAGCTATTCAGATACCCTTAAATATTTCTGCATCACCCTTAAAATCGGCTTTGAAATTTTGCTCCGATTTGGAGTATTTCCGGAAAATAAAGTTGCTCCTTTTAGCTTACTCCAAATCTTCTCAACTCCTGAAATTGACCATAGGCTAAGTATTCTATAGATCAATTTAGTCATGAATCAAAGAAGATTTGAGAATAACTTACCTTCCTCCTCTTGGACATTTGACACCATCGACTGCAGTCATATCCGGTCTAAAAATGAGTTTCATTATTGAAAGAAAAAAGTAGTCCTACGGTAGGACTCCTACCTAGCTCCTCTATCAAGTGCACGTTTACCAGCGAATGTATCGTCAGCGAACACAACTGCTCCAAAAATCAAATTTGAAATTTTCATTTTTCTCTTTTTTTTCTTATTTTTAGTTATTCTCAGGGGGACTCGTGTTTTAAATAGTTGCTGATTAGGAACCTTGATGTATTTGACCCTAATTTGCTAATCAGACTTTTTTATAATATCAACTGCAAGGAGGAAGCAATAAAATATTACCGGTAATACCGCACTTTGAGAATCAAAATCTTAGTTGCCCTCTTAGTTGCTCTTTTTATTGCCGTGTTCATCATCAATAAGATACTGAATTGTTAAAACATGCTGTCAACTCTGTTTAATTTATTCAAATAATATATTTTTCTACATGCAGCATGTAAGATGCGTGTACATGTATATAGTTAAATTGATGATGATCGATTCAGCAGGGAAACAAGAAAATCAAGGCTATGGTCAATTTTAGGAGTTAAGAAGATTTGGAGTAAGCTAAAAGGAGCAACTTTATTTTCCGGAGATACTCCAAATTGGAGCAAAATTTCAACGCCGATTTTAAGGGTGTTAAGGGCCTCCCGGCCCTGTCAAACCCCGGCAAAAACGCGCCTCGGGGCCCGGGCTTTCTTTTGAGCTATTCAGATACCCTTAAATATTTCTGCAACACCCTTAAAATCGGCTTTGAAATTTGGCTCCGATTTGGAGTATCTCCGGAAAATAAAGTTGCTCCTTTTAGCTTACTCCAAATCTTCTTAACTCCAAAAATTGTGTCGAGCCGAAAATCAAACTGCTTCTTCTTTAGTTTCGTCTTCTTGAGCGTCAGTTGGCTCCTGAAGAGTATCCTTTTCGACGAAGTTTTCCTCAATCCATTTGGCGTCGTTTTTGTTCCAGGCGCAGCAGGTCTAAAATCATCGAAATATCGCTTCACAAAAGAAGCAATACCTGCATGATCAATGTAACGAGAACTAGAAAGAAAAGGGCGATATTGAAAATAAAATTGATGACTCTAAAAGGGTCGACATATCCAATGGATCCGGCAATTATTGCAAGTAAATCGAGTCCAATATTTCCAAGAAGAGCGAAAATGAACACGAGGGACTAATTTAGTAGTTAAAGTATCCCTCAACAATATTTTCAATCAAAACCGTCATGCTGAACAGCGCCTTTTTCACTGCCATATCCGGGCCTTCCTGGTTTTGAGAAGTGTAAATGCTCGTTCCGAATCCAGCAGCGATCATTCCAATGACGACACCACCAGTGTTGTACAACAAAAAAGACTTCTTAGTGGTGCCAAGCAGGCCAAGACCATCGACCGCGAGAATTCCCTCAATGATGGTCAAAAGAAGGAGAACTAAATATGTTTTCATCAAACTCAGATAGAAGATTAACCTGAAAGAAGAACCCATTGAGAAATAATAATCCCTCGAAAGTGAGGAACTGTTATCTCGCCGACACAGCCCCAAACAGCTGGGAAAAATTTCTTAAAGAATTTATTGATGTTTCTTCTTTCTATTCTCTCAAATTTTAGAACTATTAGTACCTTTTTAGCGGTCTTCAATTTATCGACAACATCATTGAAAATCATTTTTCTTTTTGAAAATTTCAGATTGAACGAAGTATGATTTGCTTGTGCTCTTTTTCATTTCCGGTCTCTGAGAGAGTTCATCATCAGTGGCTCTGCATTTAAAATTCAGTGGTTTCTCGTTAGAAAAGTCCCTATTATAAAAATGTGATAATGCAACGGCTTCGATAAAGCCCGCTGGAAATAAAAACGATGTCGGAGTTTTTTCTGTTCTTATTGCAAGAATTCTGAATCAACAGTGTTGCCTAACATAGGAAAATCATCAGAAAGAAATCATTAAAAAAAGGATGATTTTGTTAAAATTGTTTCTAGAACGCGGAAATGTTTTCGATGAAGTTTTCAATCCGGTCAGAAGTTAGAAAAGGAGCGCCATGGTCACGAAAAATCTCCGAAATGCGAAGTTCGAAGAAAAGAAAAAGTCAACTCGCAGGCGGAGTATTATGAGCAGCGATTACTCCGGCAACGTTCCGACCAACTTATCCGAATCTTACTCTGGGCAATCGGTAAGTCGCAAAATCAATTTTTAGATGTAAAATGATAAGAGGGTTATATAAAGAGCTGGATGCAAAGAAATCATATTCTTAATACCTTTTTAGTTGGATTTGGAATGCAAACGGAGTAACGCGAATATCAAGCCGATCATCGACCATGGCAAAAATCTGACCCCAAAGGACCTCTACACTGGCAAAGCGCACACAAAGCACGGCGCAGTAAAACTGACCGACCTCGACCACGCCAAAGATAACGACTTCAAAAGTATGACTTCGGTCTTCAACGGGCCCAACTCTCGTATCTCTGCCAATAGCATCGGCGGCGGGAGCAGCATCTTCGGAAGATCGCTGCTCGACAGTAGTATGCGCCGTATGTCTGTAACAAATAAAAGGTAAGCCTTCATTCCCCCCTCTTCTGTCCACAACCCTTTTTTAGTCTTATGTCCTTGGGATCTCCATCAACGCTAATTTCCAACGCCAGTTTGCTGTCTTCCTTCCATTCCGATAATCTCACGCCGACGAATTCCCAGCACTCAAATCTCAGCAGTTTACAATCTTCAACCATCAGCTTACTAAACAAGAAAGAAACTCCTAAATTGTCCGAAGAGGAGCTCAAAAAGGTAAATTCTCGATGAAAATCATTGTCCTTTTAAACTTTTAGAATATCGAATACAACTTGACGGAAACAGACACAGAAATCATTTTCAAAGTAATCGGCACTGCTGTTGAAGAAAACGAGAACCTGGAGCAGGTGAAAGAGCAAAACGATAGATACGACAAAATCCTGAAAGAAGCTGGGCCGGGTAACGAAAAGTACGTGGCACGGGCGATGCTGACGTTTAACAATGCGCTCAAGCACAAAGAAGCTGAGACAGATAAAATTGACAGGATCGACACGGCAAATCAAGTTTCCAACTCAGCAATATGGGACGCATTTGTAAGTAAAACACTTGCTTTCCCAATAAATTTTTGTTTCAGAATTCACAAACAGAAGAAGATGACTTTTTCAAAGAAGAAGAGCCGGAGCTGGTTCCTCAAGCACAAGTCCCAGCGGATCAGGCAACATCGAATACATCGTCGACTACTTCTGAGAGCTCGGGAAGCTTCAACCTCTCATCAACAGGAAATCTCGTTCAGCGCCGACCAAAGATTGTCGATAAACACGATATCAAGATACGACATGACGGTAAGCCCAGTTTTCGAAAAAAATTCTAATATTTTTCTAGCAATTTTGAACTCGCCAAATCTCTTCTCAAAATTACTGCTGATGGAGCGCGTAATCTCGCAGAACATCCACCAGAGCCAGCTAAGCCGCTACCGTTCGCTAGTGCCCCTCGATCAGAACGGCAACCGAACGTACGATGAGTCGGATATGACTGACTTTGATCACGGGCTGATCAGGCTGTGGTCATTTAAGGATGCGCAATTGAAGGGCTTCAACGTCAATTCCATCGCCTTCAACAGGGTCAATCCGGATATTGTCGCTGTTGGTTATGGTCACAGCCAGAGAGCAAAGGTAAGTTTTATTTTTGACAAAGATTGTTGAATAATATTCTTTATTTAGGGAGCATCAAAGAGTCCTGGTCTCGTGTGCGTCTGGTCGATGAGAAACTTGCAATACCCAGAGCGCATCTTCCACCTTCAAGATAGCGTCACGGCCGTTGATTTCAGCTCTGCAAGTCCGAATCTGCTCGCTGTCGGTCTTGCCAACGGAACCATTCTGATTTACAATATTACAAGGAACAAGGATGAGCCAATTGTCGACTCGGTTGATAGTGAATCTAAACATTTAGGTAAGATTTATTTTTGACTTTTTTCTGAATGATTTTTAAAGGCGTCGTTTGGTCGTTGAAATGGACCGAAAGAGAGCGCGGAACCGAGGAGAAAAAAGAAGTGTTGATTTCGACCTCGTCCGACGGAACAGTAGTTCAGTGGACGATCCGCAAGGGCTTCGAGAGTATCATTCTCATCAAAGTCAAGCGCACCTCCTCGAATAAGAAGCTCAAAAAGGATCGCAAAACGGAGAATGCTGTCATCTCGCAGCTCTCACCGGCTACCTCTTTCAACTTCCATCCAACTGACGGCAACACGTAAGTTCCATTTTCTTTATATTTTCCTTAAATTTCACTGTTCAGCTATCTTGTCGGTACGGAAGAAGGTCTGATCCACCGATGCAGCTGCAGCTACAACGAGCAAACGCTGGACAGCTACACTGGCCACCGGGGCCAAGTCTACGGCGTCCAGTGGCATCCGACGATTCCGAATATTTTCATCTCCTGTTCCGAAGATTGGTCGATCCGACTCTGGCACCAGCGTCGCTACGACGAGCCGATCACCTCGATCCAATGCTCTCAAAAGCCCATCCGCGCAGTTCAGTGGTCTCCTTATTCGCCCAACATCGCAGCGAGCATTTCCGCCGACGCAATCGACATCTGGGACTTGAGCATTTCGACGTTGGATCCAATCTTCTCGCTGCCCGTCGCATCCGGCCTCTTCCTCACCTGCATTGCTTTCAGCCCGACTTCGAACTCCATCCTCGTTGGCGATTCGGAAGGAAGCGTGGCAATTTATCAACTCAAGGGATTCAAAAACGCGCCGGAACAAGATCTCATCGATTTCATCCAAAGCGTTGTTGGAAACAAAATTATGTACTAACACTCATTTATCTGCAAAAACAACAAATATATCTATCTATTTTTTACTTCAAAAGAAAGGATGCTGGGGACACTTATTTCCAGACGTGACTTGCTCTCCTTTGTTTCGGTTATTTCAATCAAAATGTCAATGTATAAATAAGGGTTTGAATCTGTTTGGGCCTTCCGAAAATTGCATAGCCATGAAAATTAAAAATAAATCGAAGAAATGAGTAGATTGACAATAAATGGGCGAAGAATTATAAATCTTTTTGCTGGAATATTTTTGATAATTAACAAAACTAATAAAATCAACTTCTTTAATGGAAATATTATATTTTTATTTTCTTTGGTTCATTCCTTTTGAGTTCATCTGTCATATTTCCTTAAAAATGCAAAACAAAATTCCCCCGAAAAATCAACACACTTCAAAATCTAAACGACTCGAACTGATATTATAAAAATTAAAAAACCGCCGCAGAGAATTTTGAAAAGGTTAGCCAAATTTCTTTCTGGGACTCTTTCTGTTAAAAAAGAGAAATAAAAAAATAACTATTCAGAAAAAATGCCGCAGAAGAGCATTCTCACATTTATCATGAAATTTTTTCTTGTTGTTGCAGGAGTCTGGATTTTGCACGGGCTTGTGAAACTCACGACAAATGTCCAAGTTGAAGTTGATTTTGGAAATTTCAGCCGAATGGCTATAACAGGAAAGGGAAAGGAGCGAGATGAGGAGAGAAAGAAAGTCGTCTTGCTTTTAACCAGGGTCCGATAATTTGAGCTCACGATAAAACTCATTTTTGGCTGAGTTCTCGATTTTCTCAAATTGAGAACTCAGTTCGACTTGAGAAATCATTTGGAGATTTTCTGAGATTTTGCTTGAGAGCAGGGAAATCTCATGAGTTTTCAAAAACTCCATTTTAGCGAGCGCGCGGATTGGCCCGCCGGTTCGCCCGGCGGCGAGTCGGCGCAGCCACAGCATATCGTAGGCGCGTTGCGTAAGGCTGCGCACGTACTAAAATCGTCCACCCCGCCTTGACTGGCTCGTGGATCGCGAGCGCCACCACAAAATTTGATTTCTCATGCGAGCTCTCATCTCTGAGTTTCTGAAAACTCCAATTTAAAAACTGAGTTCTCAAGCTTTGTTTCGTGGAGTTTTAGCGTGAGCTCAAATTATCGGACCCTGCTTTTAACTGATTATCGAACTGGCTCAACTTTATCGGTAACCGAATTAGTAGAGGCGGAAATCAACTCATATTTTGAAGGGCGAGGTTTTCAACAGACACGAAGACGCATTTTACATGTTTGAGCCTGATCACGTGGTTCTGTGGAACTCGACAACGCAGGTAAAAAATATTAAAAAGATAATATATTTACATAATTTTCGTCTTAGGTTGACTGGCTGATGGACTACTTCCGCTGCAATTTTGCGAGCTTGAGCGAGTCGAAGATTGAAAACACATTGGTCGACTGGAGTTCTCACCGCGATTTCGTTTTCGCGTTCAAAAGTGCTCGTCTCTGCAAGCCACCTTTTTGCTGGGCGGACTTTTCAAATGATCCGGTAAAATGCACGAAATGTCCAAAGGTGGATATTTCGATGGCACGCTCAGCGTGTGAAAGACACACACCGGTGATCAAGACAGTGAGGACCAAAGACATGAAGAAACTAAAATATGCGTTTTCGAAGACGCAGAATAAACTCGATCCACGAATCGTCATCAACGTGCGAGACCCACGAGCTGTTCTCAACTCGAGAAAGCGTCTTGAAGAACAGGCTAAGAGTTGCGAATTTTGAGACAAAGGACACATAAGCTCACATCAGGTAAAAAAACAAAATTTGCAACCGTGAACAGACCCCAGTCACCTTGGAGAGCATCAAGAAGTATTGCGAATATAAAGTAGAACAGAAAAAGATGGTTGAAGATGACCACTGGTTTGGCAAGAGGACAACATACATACGATACGAAGATCTGGCACTTTATCCGGTGGTAGAAGCAACGAGACTTTACGATTTCACTGGTTTCGCACAATCTTCAAGTGCAAAGAAAATCATGGTGCAACTTACTCACACGACTAACAGCCACAACAGTGAAGCCTATGGCACTGTCAGGAACGCTACAGAAACCGTCGAAGCCTGGCGAAATAATTTAAGCGAGGAAGACATTTTGCTGATAAAGAAAATTGAAGATGTCTGTTCAGAAATGATGCGAATTTTCAAATATGAACCAATAAAAGCTTAAATTCAATCAAAACCATGTTCTTTATTAAACAAGTTAAATCAATCACAGAAAACAAAAATTTCTTAGATGTGCTCTTTCACATCTTTTAGTGGGTATTGACTTGTAAGAAGATGATCGTAGTATAGAATTGTTCCAGCGAGCGTTAAAAAAGCAATGATAAATGTAAACTGGTCGATTTTCCGCACAACTTCTTTTCGGAGATTTTTTAGGTTTTCTTCTTTTTCCGTTTCATCGTACTTTCGCTTATAAAAATTATTGACTCAAGATTTGATAAATGCTTTGAAAACCTGCAGCTGTTTCCGTAAGCGACTGACTTGAAATGTCAGTCTCGTAATTTTGCAGTTGACCTCGCTTGCTTTCAGCCCAGACATACTGTCAGCCATAAAACTGTGCGTCTCTTGCGAATCGTACAAACACCCTCTTCGGCCATCGTCGATATTTGAGAAGGTCTTGAAACTTTTCATCTTGCTGGAAAAAATTCCAGTGAAAATGTTTCGAAATCTAGGGTAGATATTCGCGACAAAGAGCATCTTTTTGGGTTCCATCAATAAAATTTTTGATTGGTCGGTAGGCTAAATAGAACCTTCTGATTGGCTTAAAACTAGATGGAACCAAAACCCACGCGGGGACAGTTTTTTCTGAAGAATGAAGCTCCTCTGTCACGATAGTTGTTTCTATAAATGCAGCGATACAAACACTAGAGAATACATTCATCGATACAGTATAAATCCACTTACAAATTAATGTAGAAAATGATATCAAGCAAAAGAGGAGTGTTAGCCAGGGTGTCAAATCGCGGGGGATTTTGAAGGGATCGCGCGCCACAGCGCCGTTTCGATCCCACGGTGTAAGGGATCGCCTCGCAGCGAGAGGCAACGAGAAGGGAGCGCTCACATAAACAAAGGGATCGCGCCGATCCCTTCGCGCGTGGGATATCCCTTCGCGCAAGGGATCTTAAAATTCCGAAAACGAGCGACCTTGTAAAAATTCAATAACAATCAATTTTTAATGCAAAAAAAGATCAACATATAATAATCCTTACTTTTTTAACGAAAATACTAAGAAAAATTATGCCATAATTAATCCGACTTTGGGTTATTCAATGAAAAAAATAATATTATTCATGTAAAAATTCACCATGATTCTGACTTCATCACAGCTGGTTGGTACCTCGAGTCTTTTCACGTCTTTTCTGTGATTTCATCTCCAGCTGCTTGGAAATAAACCCTTCATATCTGATTCTCGCAGCGGGGTGTTACTCAGATACTTTACTAATGATCGGAAATCAGTCCATCTGCAGAAGGACGCCATCTTTCCAGATGTACTGTCAATATAAAGTCCGTCAAAAATGAAATTTTTTCGTAAATATGAGTCAAAAACGGCCATTTGATGAAGGTCCTTTGCTTTCTCCGCCATCTACTCCATTCGAGAAAAAGAAAAAAACCAAAGATGAGTTCAAGAAAATTGTAGAGATTCTAGAAGAAGATGAGAAGCTCGTTTGCACTTCAGAGATCCATCACAATTACACAGCAGATTTCAAACTAGAGAAAATCACGAAGTCAGACCAGACGCCGACGCCATATCTCATTTGCCGGAGCCCCTTCTGCACTAATGCTGAATACAAACATAAGGTAAGAAAAAATTGACCAGATTTGAGTTAAAATTAACCTTTTTCATGTTAAAATTGACCCCTTTCCATGTAAAAATTGACCTTTTTCATGTAAAATTTGACGCATTTCATGTAAAAATTGACCCCTTTTATGTAAAATTTGACCTTTTTCATGTTAAATTTGACCTTTTTCATGTAAAAATTGACCTTTTCATGTAAAAATTGATCGGTCGTGAGAAAAAATTAGCCGTTTTAATGTTAAAAACGACCAGTCAAGTAAGATTAACTCTTTTATAGGTTTTCTTTGGCATTCGAGGCAATTTGGCGAAAGCGAGCCATGCGACTGACTACTACGTGAAACGGCACATCCAAGAACACCATCGTTCAATTACAACCGACGCCGAAGAGCTTGAGGAAATCGCCGCGGAAGCTGTTGCGAACGATGGTCTTTCAATTGGTGCTTTCGAAACCGAAACAATGAAGAAATTTTGCGCAAGGGCTCATAAGGCAATAGCGAATGGAATAAGCAGTCACAAAATTGTGAAGATTCTCAGGTAAAAATTAACCATTATATTTGGATATATAAATTTTTAAGGCGCAAAAGTACCGTTTCGAATGGTATCGTCAAGTCCAAGCTGCCTGGTCTCATCCAGGAAAACAGATGTTGCTTGGTCCTTGATGGATTCGACTGCCCTCGGCTAACGAAAGAAAGAAGTAGCAAATACCTTGGGGTCTTCATCGGCTTTTACGATTCGAACCTGCGAAAGACACGATTTTTCTTCTTCATTACGGGGTCATCTTCAAAGCAACTGATGCGAATGTACGTCGACAACTAGAAAGCGTCCTCTCGGATTGGAATATCCTCGAGTTTTTTCACGCAAAACGACTTCCAGTTGTTGGAGATGCGCCAATGGCTCAGGCCTTCTCCGACTACTTCGCCGTTGTCTGTGCAAGCCACACGATTTCGAATCAGTTAAAAAGGTAAATACATCATTCTTATTTTATCAAATAACGTCTTCACTTTAGATATATTACCCTTGTCCAGAGCGATGCAATCGTCGGCGATAGCTGTGTCGAGATCGAGAAAGCGGTCTCAGCATGCAATCATCGAGCTGAACGAGACGACTGCTCCGAGAAATCCTTCAATGATCTGGTGAAAAGCTACACTCCAACTGAAGACGAGCTCAAGCACATCAGGCAATTCTACCCGAATTACGACAAATTCGTTACGATCGACAGGATCTATTACATCAGATTCAGGTTTGTTCTTCATCATTGCATGTAACAATTGACCTTTTCCATGTAAAGATTGACCCATTCCATGTAAAAATTGACCCTTTTCGTGAAAAATTTGACCCTTTTTATGTAAAAATTGACCGTTCCAATGTAAAAATTAACCCTTATATGTAAAAATTAACCCTTTCAATGTAAAAATTGACCCTTTTCATGTAAAAATTAACCGTTTCACGATAAAATTAACCGAGGTCATGTTTAAACTAATCGAAAATATGTAATTATTAACTTTATCTTTCAGATCTTTCATCACGACCTACAAGCAGCTCATGGCAAACGAACCTCTTCTTCGTCGCCATCAGAAGTACCTGACTGACTCAAAGTCGATCTTACACGAAATCGACTGGAAGCTCGTTCATTACCTCCACTCAGTCTCCCAAGTCTTCGAGCCTGCTCTGGCGTCGACCGATTCGGATCACTTCTCGGTTGGTGACACTCTTACAAAACTGTTCGACTTGCTGAAATTCTTGCTTCAAATTGATCCGGCTGACTTCAAGGAAATCCACCAGGAGCTGATTCTGACCGTAGCAGACTACATTTTCGGTGCTAACATCACTGGACGGAAGCCATCGAGAGGATCCTACATCAAATCGAGAGCAAATCCAGCTGCTTTGATCGGGCTCTCCCTTGACTTCTTTAGCCGTCACTTCGAATTCACCTTGATCCGTAACCGACTTGACGACGCCTTTGAGAAGGATTCGTTCATCACGAAGTCTACATACGACACCCTCATCAATTGCTTCGATACTGCAGTTCCTGTCTGGAAGGAGACAATGCGCAAGACCTTCTTTGACCTAGCTGAGCAAACCAAACCAATTGAGGAAATCTTCATTCTTGTAAGTAAAGGTTAATTTTTACCCGGAGCTGGTTAATTTTTTCCCAAAAAAGGTTAATTTCTACCAAGTTTCGATTAATTTTTGCATTAAGCGGTAAATTTTTACACGAAATCGGGTGAATTTTTCATAGAAAAGGTCCATTTTTACTCAGACGCGATCAATTTTTACATAAAACAGCATTAATAATTAACTTTATTTTAGGTTCCTGTTGAAAACCAGCAACAGAAGACACCATCAGCAGCTCCTTCATCACAGCCAAAGACGTTGACTCCTCCAAACTCACAGGAGCGCGCTCCGCCGACACCTCCATCTTCTCAAGCAAAGTCGACTTTCGAGGAAGAAATGGAGCAATATTCGAGCGACGAGGATGAATGCGAAAAATCATCAACTGATGAGTTCTCTGCATGGTTCAAGAGGGAGAGCAAGATGGAGCGCAAAGAAAGCGTCAAAAGATACAAGCAATGGTTGAACCAGCTCGATCCCATGTTCAAGACCTCCGCCAGTACGGCCGAACGGAGCTTGATGTATTTCACGCATCACGCTGGAACTTACCCGACATTCGCCAGAATCGCACAACTCATACGCTCAACTCCTGGCTCAAGCGGCAGCATCGAACGTCTCTTCTCAAAAGCGAACGATATCATGTCTTCAAAACGAAACTGCTTGAACACCAGTACTGTTGAACTCATTCTACAAGTGTCTTCTTATCCAAATGTACAGAATCTATTTGAATAAATGTTTTTTGCTGACAATTTCCCGTCGAAATCATGCATTTATTAACCTTTTGCATGCAAAAATTAACCAAATTCATGAAAAAATTAACCTTGATCATGCAAAAATATCCCTTTTTTAAGTATAAATTGACCGAGGTCATGTAAATATTAACCGAATTCATGAGAAAATTAACCTTGATCATGCAATAATTAACCCATTCTAAGCATTAATTGACCGAGGTCATGCAAATATTAACCATTTTCAAGAAAAAATTTACCTTAGTCGCGCAAAAATTGACCAAAATCGGATAAATCAGGCTTTAAGTCGATTAAAACGCCCTTAAATGGCCCTTAGCCAATCAAACCGATCTCAAATGGCTCTTAGCCAATCAAAACGCTCGAAAATGTCTATCAGCCAATCAAAACGCTCGAAAATGCCCCTTAGCCAATCAAAACGCTCGAAAATGTCTATTAGCCAATCAAAACGCTCGAAAATGCCCCTTAGCCAATCAAAACGCTCGAAAATGTCTATTAGCCAATCAAAACGCTCGAAAATGTCTATCAGCCAATCAAAACGCTTGAAAATGCCCCTTAGCCAATCGAAACGCTGCAAAATGTCTATCAGCCAATCAAAACGCTCGAAAATGCCCCTTAGCCAATCAAAACGCTCGAAAATGTCTATTAGCCAATCAAAACGCTCGAAAATGTCTATCAGCCAATCAAAACGCTTGAAATGTCTATCAGCCAATCAAAACGCTCGAAACTGTCTATCAGCCAATCAAAAATCTACGTATCAAAAACGATTTTGAGGCCTCATTTTTTGAGGGTCTTTGAGCCGTTAAGCATTCAGAACCAAGAATATGTTATTTTTGAAAATTCTCTAGAATTATTATTCTTACGTTTGAAAAAAAAACGAAAAAAATCAGTTTAGAAGTATGACAAGAAAGGCTTGGAAGTTCCCCATGGCGTGCACGATTTGTTTGAAATCTGTGAAGCCACAAACATTAGACTGGCACTTTTCTCATTACCATGTGGAAATACGACCATCTGATCGAGTCAATTATGTAACCAAGTGCGTTATTTCATCAGAAAAAATAACTTTTCTCAGGAAAATGTTTGAACAGGGGTCTAAATTCGCAGTGCCAATTCGCTTTTTTTTGCGAAACCCTAGCACTTATTCCATGCACAGAAATTATCAAACAAATAAAAGATCTCTTGAAATTGATGAGAACGACCCGGGTAGATCGAAGATTCGAGCAACATTCGTGGATAATATGAATAGATCTAAGTCTCGCTTGATTGAAGTTAATTCAATCTTAAAGTCTAAAGCAAGAGTTTCACAATAAAAAAATTATTTAAAGAGAAGTTACTTATCACAACGAAACGCGTGAAAAGAGCCGTTGCTGTTTTTGATCAACCATTTGGTGAATAATCGCATATCAACGCTTCCTGCCAATGTTTCTTATATCGGTAGGTTTATCAAATTCAAAACTCTATAAAAAGCAAAAAATGATAAAAAGATGCTTAAAAAACACGTCTTCACGACTCGAAAGCGTGCCGCGGCATCTCGAAATCATTTTCGACTTCGTTTATTGAATATATTTGTCTTACAAATATATGGAGATGACCCTCTCCAAATTGATCCTCCCGTTCTTCTTATTCCCGCTGATCCAATGGAGTGGTAAGCTAGGGTCGGACTTCCTTCCTTAATTTTTTGCTTTCTAAGGGTCCTTTCCTTAGTAAGGTAAGGATGTTTTACTTACCTTTTTTCGGGTTTCGGCGGAAAAAAATCCTTCCAATAGTTCCTTTCTGAGTTTTCAGAGATCATCAGATTCATCAATTTCAAAACCCTTACCCTTAGTAACTAAGGAAACCTAAGTAAGGGGTCCGACCCCTTCACATTTTAACATATTATTTAGTCCCATTGGTCGAGATGATTGTCAAAAAGTATTTGCTGCTGCTCAATGCGAAAAGTGTCCACCAATGTGCTTGGCGTGTCACAAAAGAAGCCTTCCTCCTCATTACCGCTGTCCCTTTTGTCGACAGACAATGATGTAATTTCTTTCTTTTTTTAAATAATATAATCAGACAAACTTATTAAACTTAATTTGAACATGAGTTTAATTTCAATCAGAAAAAGGAGGAGAAAAAACTACACTAGATCTGAAAAATTCATAAAATTTGAGACAATAACGAAGAGTTCTGAGTTTTTGAAAAGCGGCGCGAGCTTGATCGGAGAAAATTCCACGCATGAAGCCTGGCGCTAGCCCGCGCGTTTGCTCTGCTATTTTCGCCGCGATCCCTTTCCGTTCAAAAAGCGCGCGAGCGATCCCTTCAGACTTGGGATCGAGCGTGGGCGGTGGCGCGCGATCCCTTCTCGATCCCCCGCGATTTGACACCCTGGTGTTAGCGGATTGAGGAACAAGCGAATCCAGCAAATTCAGCGTAAAAACCATCGACAAATGAATCGCAATTGTGTAACCAACCCTAAATAACCATCATCCTTACTTGGATTATCAATTGCTTTACCGTTCACCGGTCTCGATGGGGATCATGAAAATAGCGAGTGATGCCAGTCCAAGAATATACAAGGGGAAGACGACGATCATTCTCCCATGGCGATATCTACGGACGACCTCGATTTCGCCGGACAGAATATGCGCATTGAACAGTCGAGAAGACTAGAATTTGTTAATGAATATGATTTACATATTGCTGACTTACATTTTTGTCGAGCATTGTTTCATTGTTCGGAATCGCGTCTGAAATCAATGAAATCAAGGAAGAGAACAAAAATAGACTCACTTGTGACTTCTGAGCGCGTGTCAGTTACCAGCCACTTTGTGTGAAAGGTATTTATCGACGGATTGACGAATATCTTATTCGATTCCTGGGCCAAATGAACATCCGTCCCTTGCGACATTGCTTGAATATAACAGTAGTGCCTGTCGTACGGGTAAAACTTCGACTCGATGTTGCAAAATCCGACGTACTTAAAATATTCATAAAACTGGTGCTTACTAAAGGAGACATACGTAAAATGTCTTGAGAACCCAGACGCGTCCGTCGCTGTGAACAGTCGCCAGCTCTTAATGGATCGTTACGTAATCATACAGTTACTTTACTGTCCTCCCGATTTTACCTTCATCGAGATCGCCATTTTCTCCCTCTGTGTTGATGTTTTGAAATTTCAACTTGGGGAACCAAATTTTATCGATCGGAACAGTAATGTTCGCGAAATCAAATTCGGACGCGTTCCACGTGAGCCGAGGGTCATTCCACTCGTAGTACGCCATAAAGTTGCCGTCGAATTTCGACTCCGGGCAATCAACGTTATTGAGCCAGATCATCTGGATTCGTAATTTGACGACTGTTTGATTTCGATTCTGAATGTTTTCAGTGAAGCAATAGAAAATGGACAGATGTCATTGAAAAATTGACATTCAATAAAAACGATAAAGGGTCCAAGAGGTCATCATTTGTGGTAGACGGTTCATGATGACCCCTACAAAGTTTGTTAATTGAAGAAAACCTTAATTGATGGCACAAGTTGCAAGGCAAATCTTTTGACTCTCCTACAGTAGATCGTCAATTTTCTAAGCTCAGCATTTTGATGAGGAAAATCGACAATCTTGGGCCATCAATCTGGATCTCCAGTCAACAAACTTCGAGAAGTAAACTTTAAAAAATAAGATGAGAAAATGCAATTTCAGTTTTCGCACCAAGAATTAAGATATTTAAAAATTCGACATTTATCTGACTTACTAACTTTAAGAAGGCACAGGTTTTCTCACATTTTTTTCAACAAGAAAATTCAAATATAGAAAATAATGAAGATTTTTCAGAGTCAAAATCACCTGAAATTGCGGCGCTTCTTGATTTTCATAATTTCCGAATATTTTCTCGTGGATTTCTCTGCTTCCAGGAACGGCTGAATTTTGACCTTTTTGGGGTTGGAAACAATTCCGGGTTTACCTGTCACTAATTGCAGAAGAATGAGATTTCTCATTTGCACGAGTGGCTTTGCGAAAAGTCGCTTTATCTGCTCGGCAAGCGTAGCCATTTTCATCTACTCTTTTATAGATTTTAATTATTTACACATCTCCCCCTCTTCTTTCGGACTGAAGCTGCTCAGCTCTGATTTCGGTTTTATATAAGGCTCGTTTCTATTCATTCTGACGAAATGAATATAATTCTTGTGGTCTCTTTATTTTACCTTCTTCAGTCACGGGTCCTTTCAGTGCAAAAACGGTGTTTTAGCGACGCATCCTCTTTAAAAAGAGATCTCTGTAAGACCTTCCCGAAAGATCTGATCCTTTCTAAATAAGAAAAAGAAAGATATTGGTTCGGAATGTCCAGCAAACCTCAATATCTATTATCGCTTAATTTCAACGGCCAGAAAGCAGGTCACGTGGGAATAAGGAGAATTAAATGTTCCAAAACCATTGAAAATCATGGATTTCCCTGAACGAGAGGGGTTAATTCTGTGTAACGTGAGGCGTGGTGGCTTTGGGTTGATACATCAAGAGTCTAAAAATGGGGTCTAAAAATTAAGTACTGTAATGTGTCTAAAAGTATTTTAGACAGAACAAATTTTCAAACAGAAGATTTTTGATTCTCAGTGAGAATTTCTCACAGTTATTTTTTAATTATTTATTTCAGTAATTACAGATCTACGTCAAGTTCATTTGGCAAAGTCTTTGCCAACATGCAGTTATCCGGGACTACATTGGTCTCCCTGATTCCAATCCGATCGCAAGAAAACTGCAACTGTGAAGTTTTGCGATCCGAAGTTCAAGCAAAAACAACCAAGCTGCAGATTTCTTTGTTTCTTCTTCGAAAAAAGATCTATGTTACGCCTTTGTTCGCCAGGATTGCTTCATAACACTGCTCAGAAGAGAACATTTATCGAAGCGAAGTTATGTTTCTTGCGAAATTAATTGAAGAGGTAATTTTTCGTTAGAGTAAAGAAATCGAGTAAACTGTTTAGCCGTGCGACTTTGAAGAGAGGAACAGTGGATACCGATAATTGTCGATTTGCGATTCAAATTCAATTTTAATCAACCTATTTTCATTACAATTCATTTCAAATGCCCATTTTCGTTATTTTGAGAATATCCAATATCTTTCACCCAATATCTGCCGGTTCAGCGTTGATAAGTTTCATTTAAAGTGCGTAAACAATCTACTTTGGGCAATTTACTTCAGCTAATCTGACTTTTTCGCAGGAGAAAAAACTAATTACACTCGTCACTTTTTTTGGGCAAAGAATGATCGACCAGCAAAATGGCATCCAAAGTAAAAGTGCGAAGAGAAATAAGAGATTCTTAAGAAAAAGGGTTTTAAATTAAAGAAATTGCCATCAAAATGCTCAGACTCTATTTTCATGACCCTGTGACAGTCACAGACTTGTAGAACTTTCCGCCCCTGCTCCTCGAAAAAGAGACGATGGAACATCTGACTACAAGCCTCAATACCCTCTTCCCGAGTGGCGAACCCAGGAGCCCATTAGCCGGGGTTTCTCGTGATCCCTCCTTTTAAAAAGCAGAACATTTTCGGAGAACCCGACCACAGATCAATTTCAAAGGCTGCGCTGCGTCATGTGGCCTCGATCCGAACGTGTCAATTATCCCGACCAAAGCAGCTTTTTGCTGATCGAATAAACTCCATCTCCGGAACATCTAGGTAAGCCAAATTGACCTCGCGTTGACGAAAATGGGAATCAAGGAGCTTGAACTTTATAAAAATCGAAGATCTGGCGACGCCGAGGAGCCGAAGAAGAAAGTTTTATGAGAGCTTGGATTTAAGGTACTACTACCATTCTTTCTTAATTCTCCATCAATCATACTTTCAAGGTCATAATCCTTATCATTTTTGTTTTATAAGACGTTGATTTCTTTAACTAGTCCTGAAGACAAGCCACAACTTCCAAAATACACCCCGATGCGGAGCGCTAGAATGGTTGAATCTTCGAATCCACTGTACAAGTCTATCAAAGCCAAAACAAAGCAAGACAGACTAATAATCCCACGAAAAGTCGACGAGCAACGACTAATCGGTAAAAAGCAATTGCCTGTCTATTGAGCCAATATCTCAACTTCAGAATTGGCCCAGCCAAAATCGGATCATCGAGCGGCCACTCCTCCGAACTTGCCAAATGGAAACCATGTGTTCGTGTCTGAAAAAATTATTGAACTGGCGAAGCCAAAGACAAAGGCTAGAGGTAGCGATAGACAACCTTGCTCTTTCGAAAAGTAGACAGGTACATTTTTTCTTAAGAAAATGCTGATCAACGAGGAACAGCTGTAAACAGGACAAACAGTAAATTGCAAAAAGTAATTTCGTCAAAAACAGCGTCAAAAGCTGCAAGTAACAGTGTAGGTTTTTTCTTTCTTTTTGTAATTCTTAATGATTTCCTTGCATAGAAAACCAACAACAAAGAAGATTAAGAAAGAGTGTTCAAAAATAAGTTCGCAAATTGCATTTTGCAAAAACCGCTCAGAATAATTAAGAACACAAAACAAGCAATTACAGCGCCGCCGTGAGGTCAAAATCTAAAAATGCATTAGCAATGTCCGAAAATGTTCCGTCTAAAACATCTCTTCCGACTTCGCTGCCAAGAATAAAATAGGTCAGAATATTCAAACTCATTATCGTGATCATGGTTTATTTGATATGTACATATACACAGGTGACTGTTTTTGTTATTTGACCAAAAGTTCATTCGCTCCTTCTTCCCAAATTATAATTCCAGATGAAATTTCTTGCTCCGTTCTTCTCAAAATTACTCGTGGCTTTTGTTCTTCGTTACAGTGGTGTCGCATTTTTACAGTCATCGATCGGAAGAGTCGGTTTTTCCGGTTGAAATACGGAGTCGTTGGTTTTTCCTCGGAGTTCAAAGTTGAGCGATCGAAGATTTTTGCGAGATTTTTGAAACTGCTTCTAAGGGTCTTGATTTTCTTGGCCCGGACGCTGGAATTGGATTTGTTGAGAATTGAGCTTTCAGCGACGGCTTCGCGGCGGAGATCGAGCTCGGATCGAACTGTCCCGTCTTTTCGGAGCTTTAGAGGTGGTGGAACCAGGTTGCGATCCATGATTGCTGGGTCAAAGCTTCGTCGGGTTTTTCTGATAGCAGGCATTGTATTCTTTTTTACGAGGATTCTTGCGTTTTATTGGAAACGAGAGGATGATATGACTTCCGGATGGAATTAACGATCCTTAAATCGGTATTGGTGGCGCTGTTTGGTCACCTGGTCACAGTCGCCTGGTCGCGAGAAATGAACCTGCTGGTAATCAAGCGCATGTGCGCGCAGTCTAGCCGGAAGATCGTCAGCTGGCACGAGCGACACGGATATACATCCCCTGCCAGGTGCACCTGCTGATATGGTGACAGTTCCTGAGAAAACAGAAACAATTAAACCCATCTCAAAGTTCATCGATGCTTTTCTTTCAAAACAAGAATGGTCAGTTTTAATCACTCCCCTCAAAATTTCATGCTTTCAAAAACTGGCAAAAGAAAGCTTCGCGGCTTGAAATCAAGAAAAGTGCACCCCTCGGTATTTCGATATTCGTTTAGATGACTGTAATTTCTTGATTTTCAAAAGATGCTGCTTCTTACTAATCAAGAAGCAATATTCAAATAAACAAAAAATACATTTTCGAGGAATTTAAAAAAGGGTTGAGAGTGTTTCTTTTTGTTTCCGCAATTCGAAGTTTGTTCATTGTTTTGACAAATAAAGGAAGAGGATAAAAGAGGGAGAGAGCGGCGAAGAAGAGTACTATTTATTCAGTGATACGTTCAACCCCTTTTGAGTGAGTCAAACCAACGACCAGAGCACTTTCAGCGAACAATACAGGGCTCTCTACTATCGTCTCTATTCATGTCTTTTGTTACTTCCTTTTTTATATTACTTTCATCCCTTTGTTTTAAAATTAGAGCAGCGCTCTTTTGGGCTTGAAATTTCTTCTGGCTATTTTTCGAAAAATCAATTAGAAACCCTAACCCAACCCTACTAAAAGATTTTTTGTAAGAATTCTAAAAAGAATTATTAAGGGGGTATCTGAGCTAAATTCATGACAAATTTCTTCGACTTTTTATAAAGAAATCATTTATTTTCGATGTGTCTTTTCTTCAAGCCCAGAATAATAGGGTCTCGGTTGTTTGAAAGTAACAATTTTTGTAGAAAAATGTCTTTCATATAAACCCTTTTTATGTTTTCCCGCGAAATCTTTCAAACAAAAAGTCGACCAAAGAATGTCTCCAGTTATTGTGTTTGCAAGATAAAAGCGTTATTGTATCGACATAATGAAATTGAAAAGAAAGCATAATGCGCCAAACAAGGTACATTTCTTCTATTCTCCCTTATTGTCTTTTTTTTGTCGCCACTTGAAATCCTATGTCTCGGCGTTATTTTACGAGCCAGCTCGTCCATCAAAAAATGCGAAGTCGTTTTTTCACGGTGGCTAAGCTCAAAAGGCCCCTTTTTTCGTAATAATTTTTACGACCCAACTTTTTTCTTCTTTTCCAACAATAGTAGTAATAATTTTTCTAGCGCTCTCTTGCGCTGGCCAAAAGAGAAAACGCGAGTTATTCTTCTTTCAAAAAACGGCTCCGACCAGAGCGCGACAAAGACCCCAGGAGAGGGACAAAAGAGCACAGCAGCTAGTAGACTCCTTAAGACAATACACTGAACAGCCACCCTTACTCCTGGGCGAGCTTTTCAAGCCGCTCTTAAGAAAACTTGAAGCTCCCCTCTTGCCATTCAGTTTTAAACCAACTCCGAAAACAGAAAAAAAGAGAGGGAGAGAGAGCCCTAAGAAGAAAAAAAATAAAGAAAAAGAAAAACACAAAGTTTCGACTTTGACTTTTCGCCGAGTTCGGAAGTTGATTCGAATTTTTTCACCTTAGGCTCGGCCCAGGCGAGCTGAGAAAAAACACGAGCTGGAGCAGAACACGACGAATACAACGAGCAACATGGAAAACAAGGAAGTGAGAGTGAAAAGACCGATGAATGCCTTCATGGTCTGGTCGAGAGAACAGAGGAAGATTTTATCAAAGGTAAGAGAAGAATTTTTTTCTTTGTTTATTGTAAGGTTTATTTCTTTTTTTTGATTTTTTGAAATCATGGAGGAGTAAGAAATTAAGTATTTCTTTGTAGCAATTTCCAAAGATGCATAATTCTGAAATTTCGCGAAATTTGGGCGAGCGCTGGAGGCAACTAAACGAGGATGAAAAGATACCATTCGTGGACGAGGCGAAACGGTTGAGAGCGCAGCACATGAAAGAGCACCCGGATTACAAGTACCGTCCTCGTCGCCGCCAACGGGTTAGTCTTTTTAACCTTTCGAGAAATTAAATGTTGAATTTTCGATTGCGACTATAACGAGTCTTTTTTAGCCAAGTGACTCTTCAAAAGCCGAAACAGCTAGAACAGAGCTTCCAGCCCCTGCTCAGGTAATAATAAGTGCATCAGATGATAAAAATACGCTGATGCCAATTTTGTTTTATGAATTGAAAATATCTCCTTTGAGCTCCCATTCTAAAGGGACAATAGGGCTTGATGAAAGACTTGAGTTGTTGGGAACTAAATGGAACAATGGAGCATATTGTACTGCGCTCGGCTCAAGTTCTTTGACGCAGGAGCGCAATACTGTGCCTTATCTCTGTAAAATATAGCCAGAATTTGAATATTTTCTATCTCATCGCAGGCTTTTTTTGCTTGATTATCCAAAATTATCTTCGCTGATTTGAGCCGAAAACTGCTCTTTGATTGCCCCAAATATCTTTGGGAAAAATCTCTAGGGCCTCTGAATCGTCAAATCAACTATTTAGGGACCTTTTTCTGAAGAAATATTGATTGTTTTGGCCTTATAGATTTAGTTTCAATCCAAAAATTTATCAGAATTAGGAATTTTGACCTCGTCTTTTGGGTCCAAATCCCAGATTCTTCAACTAGAAAGTCACATGGGCATTATTTTGTTACGAAAGTTACTGATGCCTGTGAACAACAATTTGACCTCTTATTGTGATGGACGAGCTAACAATAGCGCGCCAAATTGGTGGCCTCACCAAGCTGGCGAAATTGATTTCGCCATGAATGGGAAAAATAAAAATTCTTGAATAGCTGGGTATTATGGTGAGCCCATTGTTGCAGCGAACTCAAGTCGTTTTTATCAAGAGGCATTGTCCCGGACACAGAATGGGTTTCAATGGGCCGGCTTTTTTAACGCTTTGAATAGCGCTAGAATCTACGTTTAGGCGCCGAAGTTGTCCGTTGGCGAGCCGAAAGTGACTACAGTAGTCGCTGGAAATGGCGAAATCAGAAGCCCACTGCCAGTGGTTCAGATGCAGCCTGGAACGAACATTATGCAGTCCTCGCTCAACTTCATTCCTTATCAAACATACACCCAGCATCCTAACATTCAACATGCAACTGTTTTACAAGAGGTAACCTCATTTCATTCATTCATCCTTCATTCAGCTTATCAATTTTTAGACGATGGACGTAGAGCCAAACGTAGTCCCAATTGACGAAGGAGAAAACATCGTCCTAGGAAAAGTAGAGCCAATCAAGTCTGAACCGCTAGAAACCGTCACTTCCACTGGACAAGAGCCCAGCATAGATATTCCTGTCACTTCTGTCGCCGAATTTAGCCAGCTTCAAGCCGGTCAGCCCCGTTTCTCAAATATTTTTCTCATGATTCTTTTAGTCGATCAAAAGCCAATAATAAGAAAACGAGAGCCATCCCGTCTTTGTCTCATCAAAGGAGATCATTTAGTACACATTGAAGAATCAGAAGCGTTAGCGGAAATTTTAGGTAAAATCTTAATCATGAACAAAATTTTAATTCATTTTCAGCGAAGCAAGAGTCGCCCTCCTTGCGGGATGTCACCTTTCACTTCAAATCAGAAAACATGAGCCAGATAGCAAGGCAATCTTCCCATCCCGAACCACAGTTTGTCCCGCAGGTCCAAACAATCTACACCAGAGCCGATTCAAATGGGAAAATGTTGACCCCCGTATCGATACACAATCACGTAAGCCCATCAAAACCCGACAAGCACTAACCCAATCGCTAGAGTCAGCCAGCAATGATCCAGCCTTCTCAATTTCAACCATGGTACGCAACAGGTGGTCAACCCGGCCACGTGATCATCGTCCCAACACCGTCAATGATTCCCCAGTCCGGTCTAGTCCCAGTCGACCAGTCTGTCCGAGTAGAGGGACAGTTCTGATATTTACTTGAAAAAAGTTCAACAACTTATACAAAGAATAAACAATAAATCACACAAAAACGTTGATAATCAATTTGCGATTCTAGTTCATATTTTCTCTAGACCAGCAATTCCATGAGCGTTGAAATGATTTTATTGACATTGAAAAGAAAAGCGATTTACTAATGCCAGAGAATATAAGTCTCCAAACTACGACTGAAACAGCTGGTTCAGCAACAAACAGACATCCTCGTATAAATGACCCTCCACCACCTTACAAACGAGGGGATCCGCCACCAGCATATGCAGAGATAGAGGTATCAAGATCTTACTTTGAAATTTGAACTGAATCTTATTCCATAAAAGTTCAATTCACGAAGAGATTTCATCCTCGAAGTCATTCCAGAGAGTCCAACGCCATCGTTTCAAACATCATTGGGAGACACATTCGCAATTTACGAAAACCCAACTCTCGCAGGCTCCACTAGAGGAGGGCGCCAAGATAAATTCTCGAGGGTTTACTTGTGGCTTGTTCTATTTCTCGGGTAATTTTTCTAAGAATTTCTTATTGTCATTGTATCCTTCATTCAGACTCGTTGCATTGAGATATCTTTTCTTTACATGGCAGCTATCAAGAGTTGCATCTAAATTTGATCATCACGATTCTCCCGATTACTTTATTTCGTGGAAAGAGGACCCTGATTTGTTACATGACGAGACTAAAACGGTATGATTTTTATTAAATTAAATTGGTCTCTACCTTTTAGGAAGGAGCTAGAAGGAGAAAAAGTCCACTTTTACACAAACACAGAAGAAGAGGAAGATAAGGAAATTTTCTTCGTGACTAAAAAGCATTCATCTTCTGGTTCAATGAATTCAGTGTCGATTACTTCTCAGAAAACTTCTGACACAGGCAATAATTCCAACACAACCTCGAATCTCCCCCCTTGAACACCCGTAAGAGGGACTTTTTAAAGCTTTTTTTCTGAAGTACTTACTGTTCCACCTTTATCAATAAAAATTAATTCACACACAAAATGTCTCGCAATTTGAATTTCACGTTCTCGTAGCTATTAAAAATTGGCGACGAGTCGCTGCTAATTCCCGATCCAGCTCGTTTATTTGAAAATCGGGTACTTTGACGAACCAGATCAAGCTAAAAATTATCCGCTAATACATTCAATCTTGTAGATTTTTTCGGGAATAAATTTTGTTGAACATCAAATTTGACGAGTTCATTTTCAAAGAGAGAGCGTTAAATCGAATGAAAACTTTTCATTACCACGCCTTGCCACTAAGCCCCTTGATGTTAAAAACGAGAGAATATGGTTATACAGAATTATTATTAAGAGTTGGTCGTTGTTCAGCATTTCGCAAGTTTCGTTAATTTTACTAACATGCATGGACACTAAAGTCCTCTTTTGTGGTTCAAAACAAGTTTAGGGTAAGGTTTCCCTCACTTAGCATAATTTTTGGGTGTGGGATTACCGTTTGTCATTGAAATAAAGAAAAAAATAATACCATACAGAAGTATACAAAAGAAGTGGACTCGTTTAGCAGGATTTTTGTAGAAGGCAAACTTATAACAAGGCTCGACCGGTCGGGCGGTTGAGGAAACTATCAGATTATTGACCAATACGTATGACCTTGTAGCCCTAGTGTGATCTTGCCGTCCGCTAAGCCATTTTTTCATGAAAATGAAGGCTTCAGGATGAAACTATGTGTCCATCCACTGGTTGATTACGAGTTTGGTATTAATACTGTTTAAATTATTGATATAATTTAATCAAATATTTCGGATAATATTTTAACGCACCTTATCTGCTCGTTTTCTACTGGAAACATTTTTGCGGGTTGTAGTTCTTAAGTGCTATTCAAGAGGAATTTCCAGTACCCGGTCTTCCTTTAGACTCTCATGCTTGGAGATCTTGAACTCTGATGACTTGGAACAGTTAAATTAAATTGGATCGCTTCGCAGTGAATTTCAAAGGATCTTTTTCTTTCTAAAATGCGCCATGAATATTCAGAATATTCTAGTTTCGGAGATTTTTCTTAAATTTTCAGTTTTTTCCGTTAATTTTAATTACATGTTAGCGGTTGAATTTCTTTTCTTTATTTGGTGTCCAGCACGACCAAAGCAAAGAATTATCTGAAACATCGATGCTGACTTAATGGTTTTGTTTATGGTGCAACCATAACCCTTCACGTTTGTAACGGTGCTCAGGAGCGCCGCACTCGATTTCACGAGCGCGCGCGCAGTGTTTTTATGCTAAAAAGGCTAAGATACTGAGCCCGAAAGAGTACTAAAATGAAGTTTTCCAAGATTGTCGCTTCCGCCGGTTTCACTGCAAATGCTGCTAGAGATGCCTGTTCACATAATCCTTGTGAATTCAAATGCACACGTAAGTTTTAAGGTGGAGTTTTTTTCATTGCAAAACAAATATTCTTTCGTACTTACTTATGGTCATTACAGTCGAATCTCTGTTAGATAGAACATGCATTTTTTGTTACAATTAAAATAATTAGTAGTACATTATTTCCGTAAATAGCCTTTAAACTAGAAATTCAAGCAGTAAAACGACTGAAAAACGATTAATTTAAAACCGCCGAAAAATTTTTCTCGTAGCTTTATCGAGGATATAACCCTAACGTCAGCAATGCTGCAGTAGAAAAATTTTGATCTGGTGTAACTTAATTATCTCAAGTCAGAATTCCAACTAGTAAGTGATAGTTTCGTTCGTCGTGTGTGAAATTGATTCCTCGAGTGATGCTCAAATAATTTACCATGGAAAATCTTGTACTCCAATCTGTCTTGTGACGGATTTTGTAAGATAAAAAATGTTTTGATTTTTATTATCTCAGCGTTTTCGGAAAGCTGCTCATTTCGTTCGGAAGGGTGGTATTTTCTAACTTCCTAAAGATGAAATTTTGAATTAAATTTAGAAATTTAGAATTTAGAAAAATTTAGAAATTCTAAAGCACTCACTCTTATTGAATCACTTCAAATTATACGAGATAATTGTTTATACGAGTCGTATAATACGACGGTTATTTTGGTTGTTATCACATCCAGTTAATTGCTTTCGTTATTAGCGTTAATAACAGCCCTAGTTGTAATGTTAGCCACAAACATCAAATCTAAACCGTAAACTTTGCAAGTTACAAGCTGCTACCCTAGCTTCATTGAAATATTTTGCCAACTGCGTATTACTAACGTGACGAAGTTTTCAGTAAAAACAGGAGCCGGAGGTTTTCTTTGTCTTTTCGCAAAGTAAAAATGAATGTTTTTAGTTTAGATTAACGTCGTTTTCCGCAACGGAACAAGCCTTTGTCGGCTTAAGTTGAGTGGAACACAAAACATAAGCTTTCTTTTTTCTAGCGATCGACGACGTCAAGTTCACCTGTTCCTGCCCTGAGGGGTACGACATCGCTGCTTTCGATAAAAAGCGCTGCGTCGATATCGACGAGTGCGCAAATCTGGACTTATCTCCGTGCTCCAAAGCCGAGAGTTGCTACAATTTCGATGGCGGTTTCGAATGCGTCTGCGACAAAGTCAACACTGGATTCAAAGATGGAAAGTGCCAATTCGAAGATCCCTGCGAAAGCTTTCCTTGTGGAAAACTCAGAAATTGCGTCTTGGATGAAGATAATTCTCCCCGATGCGAACTCAATATCCTTACTTATTACAAAAAAGCTAAAAATTTAAGTGAAAACATTCGCGCCCGTCTTGGTTCAGCGCTGAATCGAGGACGAGGTCGAAATTTAAAGCGACTTCAAGTGGTCGAAGATCAGTTCAGAAAATATTTGATCGAAAGAAATGACGATTGTGAGTATCAGGTAGATGCGTTAGAGACGGTTCTCAAATCGGTGGAGAGCAAGTTGGACCATCTATCCGATGCCGAGGTGGAGGAACATGTTTTCATGCTGGAAGAAATCTTTGGCGGCAAAATGCTTTGCTTAGATAGTGTAGGACACGAACTGGCGATAGAAATGAAGATTGATAGGAAAAAGCACGCCAATAATTAGTTAAAAAGCTTCAAATATTATTTGCTAACCATATTCAATTGTAAATAAATCCATTCAAGAAAATTATTCTTTATTATGTGTTCATATTAAAAAAGAATTCTTGCGGTAAGTTTATGAAAAAGATTTTTGAGCAAATCGAAATTTTTTTTGTGTTCTCTTCCATGTCTCCAAGTAGGCATTGTAAAAATCAAACGGGCGAATGAAATTACAATTTATAAGCATAACCCTTTGTTTCTTAATATTAAATATCAAGAAGAAAACATAAAATTGTAAGTACATGTCAAGTGTCGTAATGTTATTTATGTTGCATAAACTCACGTTTGTTATTAATAATAGCGCGTCGTGGCCGACTTGTAATCATTTTTTTAGATAGTAATGTTTATGATGATTACTCAACTTAAAATTACTAATTTGCAACTGCAAATTGCCGTCAATACTTTCGCTGGATTTCTCAGAAAAGCATCGGAAAGGGCAAAAGTAAATACAGTGCTAACTTTTATAGATTACTGTTCTCGCATTTATTTGCATGGTGGTCGCAGTCTATTGACCTTGCTATATTGCTATAAAAGTGCCCGGTGTTTGCCGAACTTAGAAGAGAAAAGAAATCTAATTTAACGATATTCTAGTTGAATTACAAAGCATAGCATAACAAGTGCAAACATTACGTACCTAATAAATATAGCTTTAAATACTTGTTCCGTCTTGGCCTTTCCGTTCAGAAAAGAGAGAAAATCATGAGTGAAGGAAAAGCAACAATTTTTCTTGCTGTTTTGGAGACATTTCTTTGTTGTGGGACAATTTTTGGCTGGGCGAACTTAGTGAAGATATTTTACGAAGAGGGTTTTTACAGGAAATGACTTTCAAAGTATTTATAGCGATTTCTTCTTCATGAAATAGAGAATCATCATCTCGATCGGACGAATTTGTAAGTCAAAAAAGTGAAGGGAGAACCGATGCAGAGCAAAAAGCCGAGCTCAATTCGATATTCGCCATTGGGTCCAGCTTAACATCTTTTGGAACAATCGTCTTTGGCGCTGTTTTTGACAAATTCGGAAGCTTCTGGACCCGAACCTTTGCCGTCTTCTTATGCTTCATTGGAAACGCCTGTCTATTTCTTGCTTCTCCGAATGAGACCGATATGTAGGTCGTGTTTGTCCAAACAAATATTAATTCTGTTTTGTAGACTTGTCACAGTTGGCCTTGGATTCGTGGCTGTGGCGGGAGTGACCTTGTTGATAACTCAAATGCAAATCTGCAATTTGTTTGCTGAGTCGCGCGGCAAAGTCCTCAGCCTTTGTAACGGAGCGATGGATTCTAGCTCTGCATCTGCGCTGCTTCTCTATTCGATCTATTCTTGGTCGGGAAGCTATCACCTCGTCTGGATTTGTTTTACTTCATTTCTTTCCTTGGCGATTTATCGGACAATGTTTGTTCTGCCAAAAACCATCATTCCTTACCCCCTTCCTGATGATTACAATCACACTCCTGCAGTTCGAAATCTGTGTTCCAACGAAACGCAGTCTTTGGACGAATTCGAGGAAGAGAAAAAAGAACTCAACCCAGTCAAACCTAACATTGACCCATTTTTGTCTACGAAAGTGCTTTTCTCTCCACTTTTTTGGTCAAACACGATTTTCTTCACCATCCAAGTGTACCGTTCTTACAGTTATCTGGCGCTTGTGACTGATAGTACCGCGGAAATTATTCAACTTGCTGGGGAGAATTTGACGCTGGCGGAAGCGCAAGAAGAAGCTGGGGAGATGACAAAGCATTTTGCTTATGTTCAGTTTTTCGGAGTATTCATTGCGTTTTTGAACGGATTTATTATCGACAAAGGTAGCACTGAAAAGTTGTATTTGAAGTTAGCTTTTTTAGTCATCGAAAAAACAAATGACATCCACAAAGGCCTATCCGCCGGAGTAGCCTGCACAAGCTCCCTTGGCATCGCCTTTTCAATCCTCTATCTCATCCCTTCCAAATATGCGCAGTACGGAACCATGATCTTCTCTGTCTTTCATCGTTCATTTACATTTGGAATCAACGCCACTGTTATTGCGATGAGTTTTCCAATGGAGCATTTCGGCAAACTCTATGGCATCGCTGGGGTAAGACTAAAATAATCTAAAGCAAGAGATTTATTCCTTATTTAGCTTGGAGGAGTAGTAGCGAGTTATGCAATCAATTTGACGATAAATCTCCTTCCCGAATACGGTCATTTTACTGTAAATAAGTTTATACTTCTGTTGGAAATTATCTCTTTTCTACATGCTCTGGTTGTACTCAGATATAGAAATCAAAAGCAATAAATTCATTTTTTCTTGAAAATTTCTTGAACTCAAATTTTCTTGCGAGGAAACTTGTGTTTATGGCTAAGCAAGAAAAATATATGCTGGTTGAGGTTTGCGCGAAAGATACGTTTTGGCGTGTAGTACTTTGCGGGCGAATTTGGCCGAAAATTATTTTTCCTTCTTGCTGCGGGAAACATAATGCTCGTGCAAAGTATTTTTGGTGAAAATATTTACAGGGCAAAGAGCGACGAGAATAAGGGCCCTCCCTGCCCTCTCAGAACGCCGCTCAGCCTAAAAATGCATTTTGCCGCTAATGAGCTGCCCACTTTTTCAAACACAGAGAAACGGGGGAACTGAAGAAGTCTGAACTTCTTTCTCTTTCAAGCGGTAAGTTTATGTTTTGCTTGAAAACGAATCGAGGGGGGACGCTGCTTTCTGTGGAAATACGATTTCCGACTTTAATACAACTCGAGTCAAGGCTCGTTTTTACAAGCTCGAACTTGGAAAACACGTGTTTTTCGAATTCAAGTCTGAGAAAAGGACTTTAGACTCTAAAGTTTAGAGGAAATAATTTATTCAGCGAGGGAAAATCGAAAGGAACCAATTGACAAAGCCGAAGTAAAATCGCGCCAGGAATAGACGTTTTCGCGCCTCCAGGATCCGAGGGGGAACCATCCCTTCGGTTCGTTGTACATCTTTAAGGGGGCCACAATGCTATCTTCTATAAAAAAACTAAATTTTCGAACCATACCATAGATATGTTCGATTCTCTTTAGTTGACGGAGAATATAACCCTAACCCTAACCCTAATTTTTGACCCCTACACCCTTAATGGAGTAGCCCAGCTGGTTGAGCATATTGGTTATTCCTCGACTTCTTCCTCTTTCTCGACTAATCAAGGGGGTAAACAGAAACGACTGAATTCATAGAAGAGAAATTTGCACCCTTTTTATATCTCTCCGGATTAAAAATCGCTTCTTCTCTGTAAAATTGCAGATTTTCTGGGTGACGAGCTGAAATCTGAAGAATAAAAAGGAGCACCAACAATTTCATCTTTGACAAAATGTTCAAACGATCTTGGGAGCCACTTCCTTTTATACCAAACTAGCTGAGCCGTTCCATTTTTAACTGAACCTCTGTCAATGATCATCGGTCTCTATTGAGCAAATGTCATTAGAATAACTGATTGGATTTTGAGCACTTGAAATCGGAGCTTTGAAAAAATGAGATGAGCTAATTTATCGCATTCACGGCGCCCATAGCGGAATATTTTCGCACGTGGTAAAACGTGCTCCAGTTTTTTCGCGTCCAAAATTCAAATATGGAAGATTTTTGAAACAATACCTATTTTTCTTGAAAAAACAGATAAGCCCTCTGTTTACGAGCATCTGTATAAAGAGGCACATTGTGGTGGTTGTGTTTTAATTTCGCCTGTCGCTGTGGTATTTCAATTTGGCCGCCCGGCGCAGATTGTGAACAGAGGACGCCCTTGATTTACCACGGGGCGGTCGCGCCACGAACCGGTATTCCGCTGCAATGCGTCCAAATTGCGACTTAATCGAATCCACAAAGAAACTCAAACGGAAAAGTTCAGGAACACTATCTGCACAATGAACAACAACCGCAGCAAGAGAAAGAGTACAGAGACAAACGAAGAAGACGATCATGAAGCACTGCACGTTTAAATTTATCAGCAATCTGAGCGTTTATGGACTTGTTGCGGCGCTTTTTTATTTGTTTATTATTGGAACCTTAGGAGCAGGTATAAGAATAATTTTCATAAAAGCATGATTTTAAATTTCCAATCAAAAAATTCTTCTAAAAACTGATCAAAACTGAGCAAAAATCAAAGGAACCGTACATATTCGCTTCGATCCATCCTTCCAGCCTCGCAAAATCGTGAACTGCCATCGCGATGACTTGATTTCTCCAACTGGCAAGCTCAAAACACCCCTTGACCACACTCTTGATGGAAAGCATCCATGGCACTTGGAGACGTATCCAGATATTCCGCAGCTCAATATTATCAAACTCCCTCTCGCAGCGAAGGAAGAGTTTATAAACTTTGAATTTTCTTCAATTAGAAAGAAGTGCTTCTGTTTTATAAACCGACTCTAGTTAAAGAAGACGCTGGAATTTAAACGTTTTCAAGAGCGCAAATTAGTACTTGAAAACGCTTGCTCGATGGCGCGCAGCCTCATTTTCACCAAAAATACGACGTTTGAAGAATTGAAAAGGCTGCAGCAGGCGACACTGACAGGCAAAATGAAGGATGAGGAAAGTTGCACGCCAGTTCTGCCGATTAAAAGTGCCAAGAACGAGAATTTTTACAGTGATCAATTCAAGTATTCGATGTGTTTACCACCTAAGGAAAGCTTCATATTTCGAAATTAAAAATAATAAAAGAAATCTTCAAATTTAAAATAATGTCTTAGTGATTATTCTCGCTGATGCCCGAGGCTTAGTTTAATGCTGTTTCTAAAGCTTGTAATAGACTGGATGTACGAATTGGCAGCGTGGTCTTGTGGCTCTTCTCAAAAATGGCGAGAAAACTCCCGAAGACCTTACCGATTATGAAGTATTCAAATTTCTGCTCAATCACCTATAAAAATGTCTCCTAGGTTTTCTACGACCTCGACCGTTTCAATTCGACCGACATGAAAAAAGAGCGCGCAACTCGTGGATCCTCCGAGGGCTACCTAACTTTAGTCAACACTCGCCATCCTCTAGCACGGTTACTTTCTGCTTGGCACGACAAATTTCGAAAAGGCCATCCTTGGATGAAATACATCGAAAAAATGTACGGGAAGATTTTGAAAAAGCTAGAATTGCGAGACATGACGCTCGAGAAGTTTACGTACAGCTTTGAAGCTTTCATGGAACTAGGAACGGGCGCAAATCAAACTCCGTCTTGAACTAAGTCTTCTAAGCCACGCGTGAATTTTCCGTAACTTAGTGATTGAGCCTCTTACAAGCCGCAGCATCGAATCATGACTGGATGAGGGATCAGCATTGGCGCAGCATTTTTCATCACTGCACTCCTTGCGCCAACGAGTTCGACTTTATAGTCCGCCAAGAATCTGCTGCTGAAGACCAGGTGGGAGGGAATCGTTGTAAAAAATGCTAACGGAGGTCTTAGAGGTTTATACTCAAGGCGCTTGAAGTGGACAATATTACCCACATTCCGGGTGCGTATTACACTTCTCTCACAAGCCGAAACTCGATCACGTTTTATTTCAAGGAAAGGTTCAAAGTATTTTTCAAACTGTCTTTTTCGATGTATATTTTATCATCAAGAGAATTTTCGGAGCAATACAGACATGAACTAGACCAATGGGTATTAGAAAATGTTAGATATATTTAAGGCTCATTTCATTACGTCGCAAGATAATAAAAAATCAGGCTTATATAAAAAAAGATAACAATCGAACCCGTAAAATTTTTCACCATTTTGAAAATTGAACCACCTGAAAATGAACCATTCCTTCTCAAAATCGAACCATATAAAAGCACGTTCCAAGAGTCGTCCTCAAAGAAATCTATCGCAATTACTTCCTTGATTTCGCGATGTTCAACTACACCATCGACGAATTCTTAGAAGAAGCAGTCGATGAAACTGGTCAAATTTCAGAGGTTGACAGAAAATGGGCCCGAGTACAGTTGAACGAGAATTTCATCGCCTGGGCACCTAATTTCAAAGAGTACACCTGCCAAGAAAACTAGTTTTTGAGTCGTTGATCGACCTTTATTTCCAAACTGGGACATTCTTCAATAACGATATATGACGAAGCTTCAATCATTGTTTGTTCGAGCGCAACTACTACTACGATTATACTACGTATAATCTTTTTAATAAAAATAATTTCTATTGCAAGAACCTTTCTTTCGTCTTGTTAACACCAACGAGAACGTCATTCTCCATCTTGAGCTCTTGAAGCTCTCCGCGTAATAAATGGAGTTCGACAGCCTTTTTTTTGAATCGAGTAGTGATCATATCGATTTCGTGATTTTTGAGACAGCGAAGCCTTCGAATTTTCGCCTCTGAAGATCTGTTGAGTTCATTCCGTTCGTCTGCCATACCAGATTTCTTAATAGTTTCTTGTGCTTCGTTCAGCTTTTCTTTTTCACCCTGCTGTTCTTCTCTGACGTGCTGTATCTGGTTTTTCAAGTTTTTGATGAAATTCGCATCAATCTTCTGGCGATTTATTGCTACTCTCGTGCATTCGTCTACTTGTCCCCTTAGACTTGAAATCTCTCTTTTTAGTTTCGTACTTTCTGGTTCCACAGATTGAATGTTTGTGTAAGCCATGGGACCAGGGAATCCAGGTCCTCCTGTAGGAGTCGCATATTCTCCATGCCAAGGAGTTGGAGCAGGTGGGAATAGAGAAGGAAAATTTCGTGAAAGATAACTATCACCAGGATGTACAGGATGGCCTCCATATCTGTTTTGCTGGAATGTGCCATAATAATCTCTTATTGTTGGCTGTCAAAGCATTTCAAAAGTGACTCTGATATAAAATCTAGCCAGTTCCTTGGATGACTGTACCAGTCTGGAGGAGGTCTGTTGTAGCCACCTTCATATCCTTCGTATCCTCTTGGTGGCAATTGTTCTCTTATGTAAGGACCTCCATATTTCTCCTGGGAAGGACGACATCTTTCCATTGTGTAACCTCCATCTCCATACCTTCCCTGATCGAAGCCTCTATCGTATCCTCCCCAGTTGTGATAGCCGCCATTCTCTTCGTTGTATGGCCGAGCATACGGATGATGACCGCCATAATACTGACGGTGATTCCAGTCCTGTGCGCGACAGTGCTGCTGCCGTTCGCGCCTCTCTATTGCTTTCTCGATTCGGGATATAGATAGATTTTTTCGTGTCTCAACAGGACGACCAGCAACCTATATAAACACAAGTTGTTCGCAATTATTCTTTTTTTCTCAATGACTGACCGTGTGCTCGTCGGAAACAATTCTGTCGACTGAATCATGATCTTGGAAAACGATGAAAGCTTCTCCCTTGTTTGCGAAGAGCTCCAACTCTTGAATGACCCCGTAGCTTCCAAAATATCGCCTGATTTCTGACTCCCTGAGATCGCCAATTGAGCCAATATATAGTTTTGCAGTCGACACAGTAACAGCTGGATCCAGAGTCTCATTCCGTGAAAACGCTCGCTTTGGATGGAGTACGTGCCCGGCAACCTTTATGTGACATAAATTATGTCACATAAATTATGTGAAAGTTAAAAGTTTTAACTTAAAACTATGACTGCGGAGAAGTTCTCACCTTGTGAGGGCGATTATTCATTACTTCGTCGACAGCGGTGCCCATGGCGAAGGTAACAAATGCAAAACCCTTTGCATAATTTGTCCCGGGTACCTTTGGTACTACACAATCCACTATCTCTCCAAACCTGGAGAAATAGCTCTTCAGCAATTCTGTAGCTACTGAGGTAGTTTCATTATCAAAAAGGGGGTCAGGATTTCACTCAGAAATCCTTACTGAAATTCGGATGAAAGAGATAATTGTAATGCTTCTATTCCTGACTGCCTTTCAAAAGGCAAATTTCCAACGAAAATTTTTCTTGCTTGCTCAGGCTCATTGAATTCATCTTCGAGTATGTGGTACGAGCTCTGCGACATCTGAAAACAGAATGTCATCTACCAGGCCGACCGGTTTCGTAAGTTCGTGCCTAACTTCCAGCTCTACCTTTTTATCTCTGATTTTTTTTCTTTTTGACGCTCCAGAAGACTCTCGATATTCAGAGGAAATGAATCTCTAGATTGAACAGAAGTCCCGCTAATGAGAACCGAAGAAAGATTCTCCATGGAACTGGGCGCGTTCGAAGTCTAGAACCGTGCACATCTCTGATATCCTCATCGACATTTGCAAACTGCTGGTCTTGCTGATTCTTAGTTAATTGCTTCATTAAAAATGATAATAGCGAAAATGTATGATATACAGTCAAATATTTATTTAAAATAATAAATAAGTTATTTATAGCGAATAATCATAAATTTATCATATGATTCGTTTGATATGATTAATCAGAGGGAAATTAAGATGGTCTCTTTTATTCAGCAATCAGGGTCGTCTTCATCGCAATCGGGTTCAGCGATTCGGGGTAGACTGTAGTCAAAAACAATGGCACTAATTCGCCAGTTCTTTGCAACCATCATCGGTCCCAAATCAGACCAAACGCCCTCGTAATACATGAAGACTTGGTCACTTACGGGGGCTGAAGTCGCATCGCTCACATCAACTCTTCCGCCGAAAGAAAAGACTCGATCGCCGCCGATTGTTGCTGAGGTCATGTACGCCATTCCGAAGATTAAGTCCGTTGTCGGGACGAAGCCGTCTTCCGATGTGAAGATCTCAGAAGACTTATTGTAATCCCAATCCAGGTCGGTGTATTTTGTTCCACCAAAAGCGAGGAGGCCGTCGCGGTAATTAGCAATAGAAGCGTCGCGCCGGTATGTATTACTCTGATAGGGTGAAGTGACGACCTCGGTTCCATCGAATGTATCGCAGCCTCTGAAATTTAAATGTCAAAACTACTCCACGAAAAATAAAAAAGGCATTTATTCACTAAAAAGGTTTCTCACCGATATTCAGAGTCTGTGAAGCAAATATAAGCTTTTTCATTTCCATCTGCTTGGACAAGAGTACGAACTTCGGGACCGTACACTCCAATTTGTGTCTAAAATAGCTTATTTGAAATAAAGTCATTTGCAATTTTTTACCTTGAGTTTCACTGGTAGTTCTTTCATTTCACAACCGTCTACGGAGTAGATGGCATAATGGGCTTTGAAACCTCCGAAAACGTAGTATTCTCCATTGACTTTTCCGAGTTGAGTAGCAAAGAGCCGACCCATGTTTCCTTCGTCAGCTGGTGGTGGAGTACGGAAGTCAAGATCAACTTGTGTTCCATCACTTATATTAGAGTTTAATTCTATACAGTGGAACTATCAATCGATAAGTGACGGGTACTCGAAAAAATATGTGCAAAAATGTGCATTCTTTTCTCTTCCTCATCATTATTCATTGTACCTGAAAAAAGTAGAAGCAATTCGCTGAAGCCATCCACCTTCCAGACCCCATTTATCATCAATTTGGCTGAAAGCACCAACAGGGTCACTTGTTGTCTCAATGAGTCCACATTCGTCGACCATGCTGAACGGGAAGAGAAGTGGTCGCATCAGTTGTTTGTAGTCTCCAACATCTCCAACGACCCTTCCTTCGCCGAGACTTTCTCCATCCCAGTCAAATCGTTGAATTACACCGCTGTTTTGTCCGGAAGAGACGATGATACTCGCGACGTTTTCAAGTGGTGTTGATGGAAACTTTTTCATTGAAAAGTTTTTGACGCGGTATTCTGAAGCTGGACTGTACCACGGATCACTAACCCAGACATAGAGAGGTTGATCAATCTCAATATCTGCAGTATTTTGATCGAATTCGGCCATGAGCACACCGTCTTTGAAGAGTTTTGAAGTTGTCTTCGTGTTATCGGTCTCGTGAGGACTTTGAGAGTACTTGAAGGTTGACCATCGCTGCATTTCTGAGCTATCAATATCGCTAACCTAAATACGTTAAGATTATTTTAAAGTCTCAAAAAAGCATCACGTCCGAATTATTCGAATGTTCCTACCATTGTCTTTGTGAAGTAGCCAGGGATACTTGAGAGCGATTGCACTGCGTTCATCTGAATCTGATACTGGTTGCTCTTGCGTTTATTCAGCCACATTCCAAAGAAGCGATCGCCGAAATTGCCCTGGCGACTTCCCGTTCCCATTCGGAAGATTTGGAAGTAGTCGCTATTAACACCAGGGGCAAAAGGGAACCAAACGTCGACCGTCACTTCGAAGTTGATCGTTGGATCATCAACGGTGGCGATGAGATTGTTGTCGGTTGGGGCGATCGGGCAGCTATCGACAAATGTTTGGCAGTTTTCAAATCCGTCGCATGGGTCGTAGCATGGTGGACGCTCGGGCATCTCGTGGATCGGACAGGAGTCCCAGACATGTACGGTTCTATCGAATCTGCATGAGAAATCGAGGGCGTAAGGGTATCCACAGGGAATGTCGTTCCACAAAAGATCAGTGTCGCTTGCAGTTGCGACGCAGTCTTCGTGTCCGCCAGCGTTATTCGGCTCTCCACGTCGCCATGAGAAAAAGGAAGCCTCTTCGCCAGTCCTTGTAGCCCAGCCGCTGGCAAGTTTGGTGTCTCGTACAAGTCCAATCATTTGTCTAGTTGTGACTTGAGAGTTGAACTCGTTAAGTTCTTTCTTGTTGTTGAAGAATGGAAGATAACCGCCTGCTAGATTGCAGTATGCTTGAGCGTCCACGAATTCTGTCTCGCCGTAGGGAGCTTTTTTGAACGTCAGACACGCTTTTTCGTAGATTTGGCCACTCTCGCAAACTGCATGGTACTTGTTGTTACAGTCTGTAGCGCCCTCATTGAGTCCGCTCACTCCGTTTCCGTTCTCGTTGATTTCAAACCAGGAGTTTTGGTACCAGCACTCACCCTCGTTTGCTTTCCAAGAGTCGAACCAGACGAATTTGTTGGTATACTCACTAGACATGATGCCTTCTTGCTGACCGAAGTTCGCGGGACTAGCAAGCCACATATCCTGGCTGAAACAGTAGGCTCGAGCTTGATCGTAGGTCATCAGGTCGTCAGAGAGATGGAAGGAAACGTCTTGGTCCCGGTTGATGTTCTTTCGCCCGATCGTGACGATGTCGGAGAGAGCTTGTCGGACCATCTCAAAAACATTTGCGTCTTCAACGCATGCGTATGACTATTTGGTTTACCAAATCAGAAAATAATATTTTTATAAATTAATTTTCGGCCACCCGAAAATTAATCATCAAGCCTAATTATGATTCAGTAAAATCTATTTTTGGTAAAACTTTCCTGGATCCATTGATCTAAGAGGTCACTAAGAGCTGCAATATTCGCGCTCGGGCTTGCTTTTCTGTCAAAAATAGCATCGAAGCTGACCGGTTCGTAAGTCGGGCTAGTCACTCCGGAGGCACAGATTCCGCTGCTTTGGTAGTATCTCGCGACTTCTCTAACTTCATCGTACTTTTTGATGAAGCGATTGGCGAGTCCATTCTTGGGAATCGACTCCCGAATTTGGTAAGCGAAGAGATTGCTCTCTCCCCAAAACTCAAGGGGGTCAGCGCTGCTGGATCCTGCAAAAATTGCCAAAAAAGGAGAAAGTTTCATTTTTTAGTTATCCTGGTATCCAGTTAACTAGAATGAGAATTTTGCTGAGAACGCTCCTTTTTATAGGGAGGGTGCCACTGGGCGGTTCTTGCTGCTGCGGAGTTCCAAAACAACCACCATACAAGATTTATCGGCCAAGCGATTATAGAAATTACATGTTTCAGAATGCGCGTGATGCGGCCGCAGGTTTTTATACGAAATTTTGTGCTTTAGAAACACTCGTGGGATAAGATAATTATAATCTAATCTCTTGTCGTACGCTGGGACATGCAATCTGAGTCATTTTTTCAAAGATAAGCGGACGAAAAAACTGGAAAGTTTAAGTACAGTTTGTTGCCAAATTTCCGGAGTCCAAATTTCCGGACACTTTTCAGATTTTAAGGGGTTTTAGTGGGACACTAACAAATTGACGATGACCCAAATTTCCGGAATTTTTTTTCAAATTAAGAAAAAAAATTGACGGTAGCTCATATTTTTTCTTCGAAATAAGGTACAAGAGGTTTAATACATCGACTTTCTTGTGTTTATCCTTGAGTTCTCCTATCAAACCCACTTTGTCGTCGTCTTTTTTGCGCTTAGACGACTTCTACACGGGTAAGTGACCATGTTTCGAAAAATTTTAAGGATGCTTGGTGGGACATTATTTTTTCATAGGAAGGCCAAATTTCCGGACATTTTTCGGAAATCTGGGGACAAAATTAGTCCGGAAATTTGGAAACATACTGTAATTTTACTACTTTCTTCGCTGCTTCTCGTTGGAAATCAAGAGGCTCCTGCACTACACGGATACGAATAAGAACGCCTCATCGGGACCATCCTTATTTTTGAAGGCTTCAGAATGATTTGAATCTTGTTTTTTGAAAGGCTTGAACAGAGGAAGGCTCACGTGAGTGTGCGATAGAATACACAGTAATTTCAAGGGTTGAATTTTGAATTTTCGGAATAGAATAGAAAAGAAACGTTTTCCTTTGAGGAAGAAGAAGAGTTGAATGAACGTTTTTCGTTGAATTTCACTTGTTGAAGATTATGACGGTTGCGATTTGGTCAGAGGGCATCACTTCGTACACCATGTTTCCAAATGAGTAGCATTTCTAGCGCAATCGTTTAACCTTAGCCGGCCAAAATATCATTTCTGACCCTACCGGCCAAATGCACCATGAGTGGTGCATCACCTGCTCATATTCTTGAAAAATTCAACTCAAAGTCAATTTCGTACGTCTTTGGGTTTGTTTTTGGGTTCTTGGTTAGTGTTTGGGTTTTGGTTTTAGTTTGGGTTTGGGTTTGGGTGCGGATTTAGGTTTGGGTTTCAGCATCAGATAGAGTCTTCCAATTCGAAGAGGGAGACTATTCGGCGAATTTTTCGGAAAAATACTGCCTACCGGCCAAAAGCACCATCAGTGGTGTCGGCGCCATTGTAGCAATGCACCATACATGGTGCATGCAGTTATTCTCAAAATAAGCCTATTTCCGAACCCTAACCCTAACCAAGGGTGGTCGAAAGGTAACCTAAGGGTAGCTTATCGATAAATAGCCCTACAGTTTCTTCCGTTTTTCGGAACTCAAAATCACTTCGGTGGGAGACCTAATTCTTTGACCCCTGTTCCATAGATGGTGCACCCTGGCCGGCTAAGGTTAATAAAGAAATGGCTATAATCGATCTTACCGTGGATCCCCAAGGGTTGGTATTGTTCGCCGAGCTGGTTCTTCTCAAACTTACCGGTTTGGAAATCGGCTCACAGACTCGACCCTGGATTTCTGTCCAAGACGTTCTAAAAGCGCAAGATAAATAACAATTTTTTTAGATCTGTATTACCTTGGATCAATGATTAGCTCTTCTGCGTCCAGTTCGGGTCGAAGGGTTGTGGCGGAAATTGGAATATTGAACTCGCATCTTTCGTAAATTGAAAAATCGTAATGACATGGATAATTGGAGTGGAGGATGAACTTTTTGAGCTGGTGCGTTTTACCGCAGAATAACTAAACAAATATTCAGAAAAACTGAATCTAAAGGTGCTTTCGAAGATATCGACGAACTTGACCAATCATACGACCGTTGGAAAAAGTTTGTTATCAGAAGGAGCAACAGTACACGTATAAAACATTAGAAACTCACCAAATCAACACCAAGAGCAAAATAATTGAAAAAGTAGTCAGTGTTGATTGATGGCTTGTGGCCAAGATGGATTTGCATCTTGTCCTCGGATTTGTAGTGAATCGTGTCCGGACAGCCGATCTCCGTCTGGACGTCTTGCGGGAAATCCCCAAACGAAACGACTCGGGTGAATTCTTGAGCGCGCTCTTCGTGGGCTATTTATAACAGTTTAGAATTGTCCAGATAGTTCTTGCGTTACCTGTTTTTGTGATCAGATCAAAAGTAAGCTTGTGGGGCGTTCCATGCTCGTCCAAACCGACCTCGCAGCGCTCGCAATGAATCACATCGCGAAAGGGGAAATGAGGCGCCTCGGCCATTGCCAAAACTGATCCATCAAAAATCGAGCAGCTCTTGACAACCGAATCGGGCGATGGGTGCCTCTCTTCGAAGCCGAATGCAATTCCACGATAGGTAAGAAGATAGCACGCCGTTTGCGGACAGTATTCTCCCGGATGAGTCGCTCTATTAACATTTTAATCAAAGTCTCAAAAAAATCGAGAAGCCGCCCGCGGCTTCGAGCTAGACCGTTGAGTAACCGCACGAAGCGCGGCTCTGGGCTCGGCAGCCCTGGCGCGACTAATTTATTTTTTCTTGAAGCCGCAAGCGGCTTCTCCCGTCTTCCTATAGATCTTGAGCATGGTATAATTTTATAACTTGGCACTAGTAATTTGCCTTACCCAAATGAACTGTCGATTTGGGAAAGAGTCGGGGAAGTGGCTTTTGAACTGATTGGAATTCCACTGTATCGGAGAATACACTATCGCAGAATACTATTAGCTTTCTTTATAAAATTCGTTTCATTACTTTTGTGAGATCGTAAATTTCAATTTTCCTCAGCCTCTGCGAAATCGGGCAAAAGTAGAATCGCACCCCATCGTTCGTCAGCGTCAAAGTTATGTCAGATTCGTTGTCTTCTGCGTAGCCCAAGTCGATCTGCTTCACTTCTTGCGTCGCCTTTTGAAACGTAGAAATCACCATTCCAATCGGACTTCCCAATCGGACCTCCCAATTTTGCGTCGCCAAAGCGAGCTCTGGAATAACTTCAAAATCCAGAGGCATTTTCGCGTTTTTCTTTCTTTTCTCGCAATTTCAAGCCTTCTCGATGTTTTGTCCTTTTCACTTCATTTCTTAAAAACTTATTTAAAAACTCAAAAACGCCGCGCAAAAATAAGTCATGCGACAGAAGAAAATGAGGAGCACGTGACATTTCTCGCAAGAGGGACGAAATGACGCAAGTTTTTAAATTGATAAAAAGAAGGAAATTTATTCTCAGGCCACATGTAACGTAATTGTCCTAGAAATAAACTTGTTTCATTTTGAAAATCTAAGAAGTTGGGAGGGGCAGAGGGCCAAATAGGCGGATAGACAAAGCACAAAAACAACAATGACAGTCAGATTGATTAGCACAGTGACTCATTTATTTTTCTTCATGATCCGATAATTTTATCAATCATAGCACAGATTCAATCGGGTTATTTATTTAGAGACATGTTCTGAATAAATGAGTATTTTTAATACTCTTTTAAACACTCGACATAACCTTGTAAATGATTCATTTTGTCATGAAAATATTACCTAAGGTATTACCTTAAAGTTTATTATCAATTTTTAATATTAAGGTTCATGCAAACTAAAGTTGTTTAACTCAAACGGCACAGTGTTATGAGTCATTTTATAAAAAGTATTTTTTTCTCTTCGAATGTACTTGACGACGAACTGTAAATTGGAAGAAGAGTCACTTATTCTCGCATTTTTTCCTCAGAGTCATTCTTCAAAGTTGAGTGAGATTATCCTTTTTTCTGGCGCGCGTGCTGCGCTGCGCAAAGTGGGCGCTCAAAAACGCTGTTCGATTGGCCGCGCTCTCGCCGCGCCCTGATTGGCTGAATGGCGGCTCAGGGCGCCCGATTCGATTCTCTTGAGTGATTCCTCTTCACGCGCCAAGAAAGTAATCTAGAGAAGTCTTCTTTTATTACCGAGAAAGATACTGAATCGAACTGCGCCGCCTTTGATCATGCAATTACTGTAATTACGCGCCAAGAGGAAGAATTTAGCAAAGAAGAAAGAAGGGATGGAGCAATTTCAACTGAGCAATGGACAGGACAGGGGTTTTATTGATTCTTCCTTTGAGAAATCATTTTTTAATTTGTTTTAACTAATTCACTAGATATTTCATAAATCATTTGTGATTGAAGTATTCTCTATCCCATCACATACTGGTTTACTGTTTTAGACTCTAGGCACTCGTAAGATACAGTCGAATTGGCGTACCATTACATATGAGTTTTGAGCAGTAGACTTGAAAGCCATAATTGTAAGTTTGCAAAACTCCAATCAGGGAATCCGAGTTCTGAATTCCAACGGTCAGAATATCCAGATCATCCAGCAATCGGACGCATCTGGAGCTGTTTCGACTTCTCGACCAGCAACAATCCAACAAGCCACTCTCAACGGACAGCCTGTTTTACTACAGGTACCAAAACTTTTCGGGAAGTGTTTATGTATTGTTAGATCGTGAACCAAGCTCCCGGAGAAAACCAGACCGTCACGGGCGGTCAAGTGATAAATGTCCCAGTTACGAGCAAGATCGAAACTCCGAAGAAACGCCCGTTGGAGGCCACTCTTGCTGTCGCTCCTACTGTACAATCTGTTCAGCCAGCGATTCAATCGCAAACACTCAATCGTCATGGAGGGCTAAATACATCTATAATGAGTCAGGGATCGAATGGTGGCAATGCCAGTTTTCACGATTTAAACGGGCCAGCTGCTAAGAGAGCCAGGCTCGCTCGCGGTGGTCTGAGAATATGTGCAAAAGTAAGCAACTTCCTTCATTCAATCAGTCAATGGTCATGTGTTCTTTTAGGATGTGTGTGACAAAGTCTTTGAAAAAGGAAGGACGACGTATTTCGAAGTTGCAAATGAAATCGTCGGCGACTCGCTGGGAACTGGCGATGTCGACGAAAAGAATTTGAAGCGAAGAGTTTACGATGCTCTCAATGTTCTGATGGCACTGAATATTGTTCACAAAGAAAGAAACAAAGAAAAGACTATTTCGTGGGTCGGCTTGCCGACTTCTGGGAACAGCGAGCAGAAATCCCATGTAATACCAAAATTTTCTCTAAAAATCTATCCCGTTTTTAGCTTCAAACTGAGAAATTAACCCTCCAGCGACGTGTCAAACACAAAGAGGGTGTCCTCAGAGAATTGCTCCTCCAGCACGTTGCTTTCAAAAGGTTGCTAGAAAGAAATCGCAAGAATGAAGAAGAAAAAGAAAAGAAACATTCAAAGTAAGATTCTTCTTCACAAACTGATTCTTCACCATCACTTTTAATTTTTAGGGCGGTTGTTCAACTACCATTCATCGTGGTGAACATGTCCCGTGAGACGAAAATCGACTGTTCGATTTCGGAAGATCAATTCGAGTATCACATCAAGTTCAATAAGTGTTTCGAACTTCATGACGAGCTGGAGATTCTCAAGGAATGGGGTTGTTTTCTTCCTTGATTCCAATTCCTCAATATTCATCAATTTATCCATCGTTTTAAATAATCAAATTCACGCTCTTCGATAAGTAAAGGTCTATTAAGCTCGAGAAGCCGCTTGCGGCTTCGAGAAACGAACAAATTAGCCGCATTTAGCGCGGCTTTTTCCCTCTTGCAACTGGAAGCTGTAAGATATTTTTTCTACCCCCGAATAAGCTCCTGGGCTTGGCAGATCCACAAAACGCCGAATTGATGCTTCCAAAGAAACTGCGTCACTATTTATCAAACGAGCCTCAAATGGGCGGCTCAAGCGCGTTGAGCGCGTCAATGTCCTCCCGTCTCTCCTCGAACCACTCGATCGCCGGATCAGACTCGACGACGATGAACTCGAGCAACAACGATCACCAAGTCGAGCTCGTCGAAATCTGCGAAATTCCCGAGATCGCGCACGTGGTCAAAACTGAAACTGTCGAAACTTCCAGAAGTTCTGATTGAAAAGAATTTATTGATAATTTATTGAATCTTTTTTTTTATCTCCAATTAATTCCCTTGTACAAAATCCTCAAAAAAGCAAGTTGATTCAACTTTTAAAAACTACTGTTCTTCTTATTGACCTTTTTCCTCTTTTCTCTATTTTCCTATCTCGATTTCAATTCTCTACTCTCTCGTTAAAGCGCCTCTTTTCCCGTGTAAAATATTCTAATATTATATTTTGGTATCTACCACCTTCAGAAACCCAACCTGGCAATTGTGAATATTGATTTAAATCGGTTTTTTTCTGAAACAAGATGAAAAATAAACAAGTTCAAAAACTCCAACTTCTGCATCGATTTCTTTTTTTCTTATTTGGCAGAGCAGAAGACAAGAGAAAGCAATATTGTAGATTCTGCAAAAGCTAATTTTAAGGGATCCCCCCCTGTTTTTTCAACTCTTTATCAGGGGTCTCTTTATAGCATATTTAGATTCCCCATGTTCTGGGGATCATTTTGATGTATCATACGTCCCCTTTACGAACATCTTCACCCGGAATTTTGGCCCTCGAAAGTAGTAAAAATGCATATAAATTGTACTTAGCGTGAAAATTGCAATTTTTTTCCACTTTTCAATGTCAACGAAAACAGACGAATAAGGGGTCTGTCGATAGCTTAGAATGCAAGGAGAAAGAATATGATGACCGCACTAGAATTTTTGGCCATATATTGGCGCTAGAGAGCTAATTAAAGCCAGAAAAGGGCTAAAGTAGCATCAAAAAGTTCTTCTCAAGAAAATTTTTTTCTTACTAGACCAAAAAAGTTCTCTGTACTAGAGATTGTAGATTAGGCTCTATTCTATCAGAATCTTGTTTCAGATTGCGTCTTTCTAAGCCAAATTTGGCTGAATTTCGATTCAAAAATGGCCTAAAATGGCGTTTTTACGAAAATTTCTAACTTTGGCCCCTCCTAGTGGTAGGTTTGCCTTGAGCAAAAAACTTCTCTGTACTAGAGAATAGCGGATAGCACCTGGGCTATCCGTAGAGCTATTATACGCCCAAATTCATCAGCCCGAATCGGCTGAATTTCCAGTTGAAAATGGCCAAAACGGGGGGGGGATCCCTTAATTTTCGATAATCAAGAGCCAAGTTGCGAGTTTTCAACATCATCGATTACAAAGGATTGCTTTTCAAATAAATTTTTGATGAAGAGCGCGGTGAAGGGATGATACTCGTAGTACACTCCCTAAACGACCAGAGCTTAACATCAGAAAAAAAAATAAGAATAGAAGCATTCAATAATCGCCAGTGAACTCGGGGGCAAAAATAATTGATTTGTTTCAATTTGGCAAAAAAAGAACGCTTTTTGATTTAATATTCTACCAAATAGCGTCCCCTTATTTCGATATTCGCGAATCTCCCTAACCCGGAAAATGAATAATTTGAAATTACCAATATTTGTGAAAATCTGTTTGCATAAATACCAATAGTACTCAAGGAATTCAGCGCCAAACAGCATAAATTTTTTATCGCGCCATAATTCTTGATAATTGATTTTTTTTCCTTCCAAATTCAGAATGAGAGAAATTGGACAAAATCGGCCTCCATTATCATAGAAAAGTATCGAAGAAAGAGCGAAATCGAAGAACGAAAGAATGACGAGCCTCATTAAGAAATCGATTTTGAAGTTTCTCACTCAATTTACGACCAACTTGACCCCGGATGACATTCAGCTCTCCTCGCTCAAGGGAGAGGCTGAGGTCAGGAATCTTGAATTGTCGACTTCCGCGCTGCAAAATCTTCTCAACATTCCCACATGGCTAAAAGTAAAGCAACAGCAAATCTTTCCAAAAAGTCATTCTTTTAGGTCAACCATGCGAAAGTGAACCACGTTGGGTTGAAAATCCATCTGATGTCGATTCAAACCAAACCGATCAAAATCACCTTCGATCACGTGACTCTAGAAGTCGAAGCGATCCAAAGTCCCAGAGCTCCTAATGGACCCTCCCCTCTCCAAGATAATAGGTAATTACAGTTGCTTATTCTTATAAAATGTCTATTATTTCCAGCTCGGGGACGAACAGCTACGGCATGACGGAAAGTATCATCGAAGGCATACGGGTGGAGATTAATGCTGTCTCTGTGACGTTCAAGTCTGTGGCTTTTACTGCAAATGTCTCGATTCAGCAAGTTTTGGTGTTTTCTGCGAAAGGAGATTGGACCTTCTCGCAAGATTTGCGAGAAACTCGCGCTAAGGAACGAATTTTAAAAAGTACACTGATTTTTTCTTGAAAATTAGGACATTGAAATCCCCAAAATAAGACGGATAAAGAAGTTATTTCCAGGAAGAAAATTCAATGGGCGAGTTTCCGCTTAGAAGCGACCTGGCCCGACGCAGCTCCGGTGAAACTGATCACGAACCAAGGAGAAGTGCGAATTCGACTGCGAAGAAGAATAGCAGATTGCGTCGTCATTGCGAACAAACTAGAAGTGCTCCTGGATGATCTTCTCTGGATTCTTTCCGATCGACAAATTCAAGCGGCACTTCTGTGCGTGAAATCTCTCAGTGACGCGATTGAAGCTTCCAGGAGGCAAATGATGAAGCTGCAGAGGTCGAATTCGGACATGTCTTTGGCCTCATCCGATACGGCTAGTTCCACTACATCGCCGGAGAATCATTTGCAAGAGTCCTCGCAACACTTTTCGATTAACAAATTGGACTTGCATATTTGTGAAGGTTTTATTCCCTTTTTCACATTATTCCACAATATCTTTCAGAGTCAGCCGATGCTTCTTCAGTACAACTCTCGCTCTACGACCTCGCGGTTGATCTTTACCCCGGCCGTAAAGCAGCGAAGTCGCGGAAAGAATTCATTCCCTACACTTCGGCAATGATGGCCCGTGACAAATGGGTTGAGCCAATTCTCAATGTCTTCAGAGATGAATTCAAGCTTTTGCGAGAAAAGTCAAAGCCGGTAGAAAGAGTGACGAAGCTGAAAGAAAATGTCATTGTTTTGAGGCTCAGAAATGTTGATCTCTACCAGGTAGGAAGTCGAAACAAGCATTCATTCATCAATTTATATCTTGCTAGATAAACCAAGTGAGTGCGAATGATTTGAGTAAGATTTTCGTCAGTTATCTCTTTTTTCAATTATCAGTCAATTCTGTTTTGCATGACTCTTTGTCGATTTTTTCTCGTTGGTTAAAAATCTCTTTTTAGGTTTCAAGCCCAACAAGACACAATAGCGAAGGAAAGAAATTGTTTTCTTTTGGAGGAAAGAAACTGAATCTCCCATCAGAAATCCCACTCTTTCATTATGAAGCTACAGAGTATTACACGCCAGATGGAAGCGATTATGTCCTGCCGCACAACAATCAGTACATACAGGTTCACAAAGAGTACAGTACGTCAAGAGAAAGACAATCGTTTTAGGTGAATGCGCCAGTGATAGATTTCGACGAAGAAACTATCATCTGGATGTCGAAGATTCTGACGAATGCTTCAAAATGCATCAACGAAGCTCTAGTTGAGCTTGGGCTCGACGAAGAGAAAGACCAAAGTGCTGTTGATCATGTGGATATGCTCGTAGATGTTATTTTGCCGTCGATAAATTTTGGAGATCTACATTTGGAAGCGAGCTCGATATCGCTGACGAATAGGCTTTTGCAGAAGGAATGGTTGAGAGAGCTTTTTTACGAAAATAATTTATTCATAGAAAAAAAATATTCTACAAGTAGACTCGTTGAAGATCGTTGACATTAACGGCGGCTTGGCATCGTGGACACTGTCCTCGGCGCAATATTTCTCTTCTTTATTGGAATATTCCTAGTTTTATGTATTATATGTAAAAATTGAATATCCTGGCTTATGCAAGTGTTTCCAAAGACATGCCCACAACGCGGAAGCACCATGTAATGATTTTGATTGTTATATTCTTCGTAACAAATCGTGCATTCTAGCGGCTCCGGGGCATGATTTATCTGTCCTGGCAATGGGGGCCTAATTTGAGGGAATTCTTCAACAGGGTCTACAACTGGAGCCGGTTCAACAGGAGCCGGTTCAACTGGAGCGGGGTGAATTTCATTTTCTCCATCGACCCAGAAATCGTTCAGGTTGTTTCCAATTTGCTACAATGTGCAATAAAATAGTTCTATGCTCAGCGTACAAACTCACTTCTTGATCATCAAACTGGTGTAAAAGTATCATGAGCGCTGCAGAGACAGAAAAGGCGTAGAGAAGAAAGCCCATAAATCCCCAAAACCCGGTTTCCGATGGAAAGGTATTTACAGCAGCGGCAGTTATCACGATTCTTTTATCCAAGTTTGATCATCGTGACCCTTATTTTTTGTTAAAAAAATAGCTTCAAACTTTCATGAAAAAGTAGCAAGCGCAGGCAGAAGCTGAGACAATAAACAGGGACCATTTTGTCTGACCAACACATCTACATTTATCCTCATTTTCTGCGAAACAATCTGTTTTCACATAGAGAAGCCAAAAGATATTCCAGGGGACATTCAGTACCAATAACAACAGTGCGAGCTCTCTTATCATCTGTCTAACTTGACATATCGAAAAAATGAATAGTTTTTATTTCTATGGAAGCAAAGCCCTTCAAATGGGTACCGCAACTTTTTCAATGTTCAAATATTGATCGAAAAGTACTAACAGATACTTACAGGTGTCACTAACAACGGAAATTAAACACAAAGCGACCCTCTCAACCAAAATCTCAGCATATTTGCCTCTTATCTAACCTGGTCGATATCTACCAATTCATCGACAAGTCGCCCTTCCAAATCCACTCGTCTAAACTTGCCCCCTTCATCGCTGCCACAAAATCGCAATCACCAACTCTCGAAAAGTACTTGGCGCAAACGGCGAAACCCCGATTTTGTCGCGCCGCCGTGATTGCAAAAGCTCAAGATGATCTATTCACGGTTCATGTATCAGATGTCTTTATCGAGATTGGAAAAACAAAGCCAAAGAAACTTATTCTACCCATTTCTGTTGATGTTTACGCTCAGTTAGAAAAACAGATCATTGTCCATGTTCCAGATGTTTTCACTTCCGTCAATCATGATGGTAAAAATTTCTTAGTCTTTCAATATTCAATCGTTTAATAGACTTTATAACTATTCTTCAATTTCTCGACCAACTGACTGAAATGTCGAAAAAGATGCTCCCTGAAGCTCCAGAAGATGAAGCAGTCAACAAAACACCCTCGCCAAATATCGACGTCCTCGTCAAATCCGCCGAGCTTGACCTCGAGCTCGTGCCGTTTTCTTCAAAACTCTCCGACCCTCCACCTGAGCCTGCTCTCAAAGGCATGCCAAAGGTAAAAAATCATTTTTTATTCATAGATTCTTAGTGAATTAAGCAAACCCCCTTCCAACTCCCGAAATCCCTGTTGCAAGTAAAACTGGTTCCGATCCTCGTCAAAATTCTGCCCGACGGGGAGATGACAATTTCTTCAAAAGTGCACCTTCTCAACAAAAGCTATTTATCCAAGACGAAAGAGAAATTCTCTAGCTACCTTCTCAACGGCGCTCGAGTTTCGTCCGTCGCCAATCAGCCCACACTAGAAGTACAGATCAAAGACGATGATATTTTCGTAAAAATTCAAAATACGAAGATTGAAATTTTAAGGTTGTTTTCTTCCTTGATTTCAGCATTTCTTAACTCTATTTTAGCTCAATCGTATCAGACCTAGGCCCATTCGCCGAATCGCCAATTCCTCCTTCCATAGACGGACCTACCATTCACATCGCCCTTGAAAACGTCGGCTTGATTCTTCTCCCCGACGTCCCTCCATTTTATGAGAAAACAGTTGTGACAGATCTTCAAGTCGGAATCGAGCAACTTTCAATTGCCAAGCTTCCTAATGGATCTCTCAGCATCGGAAAGCTCGTTACATGTCCCGATGTTCCTGGACTTTCAGCAGGTCCTCTGTCGATACAGGAAAAAACGGAGAAAGCTCCGAAACCACCACCTAGAAATCGTTCTCTTCATGTGCAAACAAAATCGGTCGAGACGCAAACTGACCCTACTACTCCTCGTTCTCTTTCGCCAGAACAAATTGAATACAACGATGGGATTATTGGAGATCTCCAGGTTATTATTTGATCCAAACAGGGGTTGAGTTTTCTTTAGGATCGCAATTTGGCTCTAATGCGTGAAAGAGAAGCCCTAAGAGAAACACTGGAGCAAATGCAAGATGCGATGATTGAATCCGAACAGCGAAGGTAACAAAATGTTTTATTAAAGTAGAAGATCAGCGATTTCTCTTCGAGCACAAATGGGATAAGTTTCATTTTATGCAATCATCTTCGCGACAGCGAATTAGAAATTTTTGTTGCATTTTAATTTTTTTGTGCAGAAATGGAAAATTCTAAGCATTTATATTGCTGAACAGCCTGTTCACAACAGGTGTCCTTTTCATACAGGCCATATGTTTTTTATCTATCCCTTCTATCTGCTCGATTCTACCTCGTGCCTTATCAAGTAAAAATCTCAACCCCGTATTCTAGTGAAGCGTACAGAAGTCAATTTATCGCGATGAAGCAGCTCCTGGAGCATCAGAAAAACGGTCTAAAATGAAGTTCCTGTATTTCAATTTTCTATAACTAAAACTGAAGTTCGTTCATATAAAAACGCACCAAACACACCCTTGTTCTTCATTGCTTTAATTTCTATATTTATTATTATCTGCGCTTGTTTTCCATGACACTCATGTACCTTTTCCTTCTGATTAATGAAAAAAAAACTGAAACTGAGTTGCTGCAATAATGTTTATTACTGTGATTTTTATATAATTCCTTTTTTCTCTCTTTCCTTGACCTAAAATGATAAGCTGATTTATTTGAAAAATCACCGTGTTGTCTTGTTTAAAAGTTTGTAAAGTCCTCTCAAAAGTTTATTTATTTTTATAATTTCCCGAACATTTCAGCAAAAAAGAAGTATCAATGCAAAAAATCCATGATTTTAAAAATTAGGGACCCCCTTTTTAATTATTCTTTTGGTAAAATTCTTCGAAGGAAAACTTAAAAAGGTGCCCATTTTAAATATTTATTAATTAACCATTAAAATATATATAAATTCGATTCTAATATATATTCTCAATTTCAGCTCGTTCTCAACCGTCGATAGCTCAGTTGGCAGAGCGGGAGACTGTAGAGGGTTAGCAGTTATCTCTAGGTCACTGGTTCGAATCCGGTTCGACGGAAACTTTTTCGCCGCTGTTTTTATGGAGCCGCGCATGTCAAGTCTTGGTTCGAGCATTCCAAGGCCGAATTTGAGCCATTGCAGTTCGCCGAGGTTTTTTACCGATGGAGATGAATCGGATAACACACCAAATCGTAAAGCAGATACTAGGTAAGCCCTGAAAAGCCAAAGAATCGAGTAAATCGGGCGATTTCAGCTTGGGCGCTACAGCAAAACGCTTCGTTACTCTACTAACATCATCAAATGACCAAACAATCGAACTCAATGAAGCTGCAAGACGCCTTCAAGCTCCAAAAAGACGAATTTATGATGTAACGAACGTCTTGGAAGGTTTTTCAAGCACTTTTTCATTTTTGTAAAACCCGCTTCAGGTATTGGACTGGTCGCGAAAAAGACAAAAAATCACTTCCAATGGGTCGGTGGAGATGTAGATACTGAAAACAGCGTTGAAAACGACGAGCAAGAAATCGCAAATTTGAGAAAACGAGACGCAGAGCTAACCCAAGCAATTGAACAACAAGAGATTCAGGTATCTCCTTGTTGTCTCCCGAAATATATATTTTTCTTTCAAGCTTCGATCACTGACGGAGTGCAACGACGAATTAGGATACGTCACTTGCGATGATTTACGGTCGATATTCCGAAATCACCTCGTTCTTTGCTTGAAAGCACCGCCAGATACGAAGGTAGAAGTTCCAGAGCCATCAGCAGGGACGGAGTTTCCTTATGAAATGCGACTCAAATCTACGAAGGGAGTGATTGATTGTTACTTGTGCCCAGAAGATATTCAAGGCGCGAGTATGAGTGCATCAGCGCTTGAAAATAGGTAACGAGGAATTCCCGTCTTTCTTGTTCTATTTCAAAATTTTAGTAAACGAGATACGACTCTGACGACAGAAGACGAGGAATCAGAAGTCGCCGACAACGCAAACAGTTCGCACAACGATTCGAATGGAAGCACCAGTCGGTTTCTTCCATTTTCGCCTCTCTCAGAAGCAGGTCCGTTTTTCCTCCTTTTTCTTAAGATTCAGCTCATTTTGTAGACTACCTGTTCACATTGGACGAGAACGAAGGCCTTCAGAATCTCTTCGACATTCAATAGTTTCAATCTTGTCTCAACTGCCCAAAGTCATCCAAATTCAAAGATATTCTGTACAAAACTTTCAACTGACCAATCAATTCGCGACCAGATCCTGTCAGAAACAAGTCCTTGATAACCTTTGCCTTCAGAAATGGAAGTCAACTGGGAACCGGAATCGGAGCCTTCCTTCGATCTTTATTGGAGGCATTTTGATATTTCCTCGGAGGACAAGCTGTTTTGGATTTTACCTGGATTCCATCTCTTTCACTTCTGTATGATTGATTTTACTTTGTTGTACTTGATGCTCTTTTAGTGCTGTTATTTCTTTGCTGGAACCACGAGATGTCTCAAATCTTTAACTTCGCCCTTCTTGGAAGCTTCCTCCTCGGCGCGGAAAAGATCAACGAATTCATGGCTAGTCAAACCTGGCTTTCAAAGACAAACTATTTCGACTCTTCTGGAATGTTTTTTACCTTCGCCATTTCCTTCCCCGTCATAACTCATTTGCTCATTCTTGTGATTCTATGGGTGAAAAGAACGGCCGATCAATTGGTCAAGGTGAAACGACAAGAGGTCAGAATGAAGTTGAAGAAATCGCGCGAAGGAGAAGTCAAGGAAGACGAGCCAAAGAAAGACAAATGAGATCAACGATTTCTTAGACACAATTATCATTTTCTGTGCAATTTTAGTAACCCCTCTCTCTGCCTTTACTATGTTAGTAACACTTATCTGTATATCAAAATCATACCTACAATCTATCATTTATCTTTTCTCCTTCAAGATGCTACGCAGTGCAATAAGAAATCGGATCGCCACTAGATCTTCTGTGGTGCTATTTGGAGACCCATCGAAATCATTCAAAATAATCGACCAGGAAGGAAAATCGAATGAACACAACTGGGGTGAAGATGCTTTCAGTCTTTTTGACCTGTCCGACTTTGATAAGAAGAAGACAATGATCGCTACACCTCTTGGAATCACGGGACTATCGTTGATGGGATTGGGAGGATATGATCTTGGGATAGGTCCGTTATTTCATTGAAAATCATTGTTTCTTTCAAATTTCGACCTTTTCAAAGAACAAATCTGCTTGAGCTCAATAATACTTACGGCTCCTTTGCGATCGGATACTTGGGATTTTACCTGACGCACATGGCTGTTACAAACAACTTTGCTGGATTTCAGTCTCAAACGAGAAGAATTCGTCAACTAGAGAACAAAACATATCCGCTTGTTGAAAACATCGCTGTCGATCCAGAATCGTCAGAAATCTCGTTCAATTTATTTTCCGGCGAATTCAGGTCGTTTCATCAAGAAGATCTTGAAATCATTGAAGACTACGCTCCTCCAGCTGATTTTTACTTGTCGGCTCTTTCGATGAGAAGCAAGGCGCATTACGACATGCAAGTGAGGATGAATTCCGAGTTCAATATTCATGAGATCGAAAAAACAACGAGTTCTTCATATTTGAGCTCTATTGCTGGCTTCTTGGCTCAACGAATGAACATATTGAAGCAGAACTTTGTTTTTGTGAAAGACAGCTCTTCTGGCGAGCATTTTCGCGTTCCTCTTCAAATTCCGATGATAACGAAGGCGCAATTCAACAAATATAAAGACGTCGCGATTGTACATGATCTGGCGAAAGCTCTTTATCAAAGATCGAAGAAACAATCGAGCAATTCTTTTCTTGAAATGATGCAAATTTCACAGAAAAAGTTCCAGGTAAAATGAGCCAGAGAAAGTCTTTCTCTAAAAGTCGGTTTAGTTTCGATACGTCATCTGTTTCTACCAACAAACTAATACTCTCTTCTGGACGAAGATTCTCGGCGATCCGAAATACAAGAAGAATTATTGGAATTGGAGGATTCATGCTTTTTTCCATTTTATCTGGCGATCAAAAACATATCTGATCTTTCCTTCTGGTCTGATTTATATTTATTTTACGGAGAATAAAGATGAGTAAAACTCGAACTGCATCTCATCACGAGTAGAATCATTTTGATTCTCTAAATCAGGGATGTAAATCACCACAACCACCCCACCACTTTTCAGTGGTGGTGGTGGGGTGATTTTTCACCACTCAAATGGTGGTTGTGGGGTGGTAAATCTATTGGCAAAATTAATTCTCCAAAAGTGAAAATAATGAATAAAATCGTGATAGCGGTACTCGAAAAATGATACCTGGCCCTTTTTTATTGAAAAATAGGCTTTGATGATAAATTTATCACGTCGAAAATAGTTACTGTGGGGAAATTTTTCACCATTTTCAGTGGCGGTGGTGGGGTGATTTTTCACCATCACCATTTTCAGTGGTGGTGGTGGGGTGATTTTTCACCATCACCATTTTCAGTGGTGGTGGTGGGGTGATTTTTAACCATCACCATTTTCAGTGGTGATGGTGGGGTGATTTTTTTCACCACCGACCACCCCACCATTTTGCTGTGGTGGGGTGAAAATGGTGGGGTGATTTACATCCCTGCTCTAAATGAATGCTTCTACGCTTTATGAATTAAAAAAAATGATACAAAAATCCGCAGAACAGGTCGCTTTGTACTTCAGGCCCACAAGTTGACTTTGCTGTTGTACTTTATTATCTATAAAAATTTTATCTCAAATCTCACAGTAGAATCTTTCAGGTATCTGCTCGACTCTGTAACTTCTTCGGAATAGCATTCTCGCTTGTATTTTATAAATTGCCGACTGCCATCTCCCGTACTTGTCAGGACTTGTCTGTTTCCGTTATTATTTTTGAAGAAATGGTGCTCGCTTGCCACTGCCTCGAATTTAGGAGAATAATCTAAATAGGACTCAGGGTTAGGGAAACCAAGATACGAAACTAAGATATCAAAAAAGTACCGCTATGTTCGATCCAAAGATAAAATGAGCCATCTCCATTTTGGAAATCTGCATAATTTTGTGAACCGATATATTTCACCTTCCACTTGCCCGCGGATACCTCGTGTTCGCGGTCAGACCAGAACTTTTAGAGAGTTAATTGAAACTACTTTTTATTTATACCGCGATTGGCATTTCTGACTGACTGATTCTGATTTTCGAGTGAAATAGCTAATAAACCAATTAAAATTTGACTCTAGTGTCTCTTCTTTGAGAGTTCCGTCAAACCAGTGACGCCTACGCAATCTACGTTACAAATCTCCTATGTTTTTAGCATGGAGAATTGTAACGTCAATGTGCATCTTTCAAAAATCAGTCAGTCAGGACTGCCAATCGCAGTATTTCTTCAATAGAATCTTTCTTTCCTGAAGGGTCATTTCTTTGTTGTCTGATGCTTGTTGCTGCAAAGTCGCTTGAATTTCGTCATCGTTCATTCCATGTAAATAATTCGTTAATTTGAATATCGTCGGTTTCACCTCGTCTTTCATAAGTATTGGTTCTTTGGTTTCGAGCATTAACTTTCTTTCTTCGATTTCTTTTTCATCGTTCAAATAACTAAAAAGGAGGCTTAGTGCTTTAGATTCATCGAATCATTGATTCAGAAAGACATACCATTTGAGAATTGAACATGGATCGAATATTTCAGGCTCGCACTCATAATCTGACTCTTCTGGCTCAGCGAATTTTTTTTTACGCTCAATATAGTAGACTTTTGATGACACTGATGACCAAGAATCCCCCGAAAACTCTTAATCACTACTCACGTCAGCCTCATCAATGATGGTAAATTCATCGCTGTGTTCATCTTCGGAACTCACATTTTTCTCGGGCATTGCTGTTTCTTTGAGGAAATCATAAGCCTCTTGTGTCTGTTTAAAGTTTTCTTTTTCTTTTCGGAAAGCTTCGTCAATTTCTCTGTTCATAGCTTTCTCTGAAATCCCAAGAACAGATGAATATTCTGTGGTAAAGTCGGAATGAACTTGAACAGGTACCAGACATTCGTATTCGCCTTCTTCTTCCAGGACAGCATCAAATTTAAAAGCCCCAACTTATAGATTTTTCAAAAATTGAAAAGATCATAAGAATACCGCTATTTTCGATCCTAAGATCTTCGATTTTCAAGTAACACCCGCCGTGATTATTCTCGTAATCGTCATCTTCATACCAACAATGCGCGAGTTTCCATCCTGTTGCGAAAATCACATCTTCGGAATAATCCGATAGGCTATATTCGCTCGGCGATAGCTAAGTCGAGATATTTGATTTTTTTTAGTTTCGCATTTCATAATTTATCTCTTTCCGAAAAGGTTACTTTTTTCTCCCCAAGAGCAAGTAATTGCAACGCCTTCTTGGCATAATCATTATGGCAGTTTTTCCTCAGATAACTTAAGAACATAAAGATCAAGAAATTTTCGTCTACCAGTTAGCTTTTTACTGTTAATACATACGTAACATACCATTTTAGTGCTACAAATGGATCTTCGAGACCAACAGAGTCTTCTTTAGGAGACCCTTCAGAGACAGCACATCCTTTTAGATAAACATAAGCTTCTTGCTTCAACTTGAAGTCTGTTTCTTCTTTTCTGATAGCATTTTTAATCTCTTTTTTCGAAGCATCTATAGGGACTCCAAGAACGGCAGAATAATCTCTGACCTTGTCGGAATTCATTTGAAAAAATGTGTCTGTTTTTTGCCACACTAACTTCGAGCTGTTTTTATTTTAATATTTTTCGATACAGAAAAAACATCAAAACAATTTGTCTAGAAGTGATTTATTCAAAAGCAGTCTTTTTTTAGTTTATTTTCTATAGAAATGTTATCTCGAATCTCACAGTAGAATCTGTCAGGCTTCCGCTCGATTCAGTATCTTCTGTGGGGTCGAATTCTCGCTTGTATTTCACGAATTGCCGATTGCCGTCTCCCGTACTTCTCAAAACTTTTCGGTTAACGTTCTTGTTTCTGAAGAAATGGTGCTCGGTTGCCACTGCCTTGAATTTAGGAGAATAATCTAAATAGTTTACAAAACCGATAATAGGGAAGTATAAAAATTACCGCTATGTTCGATCCAAAGATAAAATGAGCCATCTGCTGTTTGAAAATCTGCAAAATTTTGGCAACCAAGATATTTCACTTTCCACTTGCCTTCTGATACCTCGTGTTCGCGATCAGACCAGAACTTTTAGAGAGTTTATTAAAGACATTGATCTATTTGTTTCAATAAAATTTCTCTTTCCTGAAGCGTCATTTCTCTGTCGTCAAATTTTAGTAGCTGCAAGCACGTTTGAATCTCGCCATCGTTCATTCCATGAAAATAATTCGTCGGTAACTTCGATTTCAACTCGTTTTCAACTTTTTTCAGGTCGTTTTCAATTTTTGTCAGGTCTTCTTTCAAATGACTAAATAATAGCATTATTGCTAATCGAATACCAGAGGACCAGAGTACCCGGTACCAAAAAATGTCAGGATACCGAGCCAAAATTGATTTTAAAGGGTATATTTGGTCAATAAATGGAGTATCCTCACACTTCAGCCGCGGAACGGACATTAGTTTTTTGATGAATCAGAAAAAATGCTTGACTTTGGTACCGGGTACTAAATTTTTGGTACCGGCACGCAAAATCTGACGCAAAATCTGACGAAAGAGCCAACTGGAGGGGCCCTTTGGTAATTCATGCAGAAAGTCTTACCATTTTAGAGTGAAAGATGGATCGAAGAATTCTGTCTCGCATTCATAATCAGACAGTTCGCACCAAGAATCGCCCGAAAACTCTTGATCACTGCTCACTACGGGATCGACAGCAGCGGAAAATTGCTCTCCACTATCTTCATCTTCGGACCTCACTTTTTCAACAGGCTTCGCTGTTTCTTTTAGGAAATCGTAAGCCTGCTGTTTCCGTTTAAAGCTTTCCTTTTCTTTTTGAAAAGCCTCGTCAATTTCTTCCTTCGTAGCACTTTCTGAAACTCCAAGAGCGGATGAATATTCTGCGGTAAAGTCGGAATGAACTTCGATAGTAATCACACAGTGGTATTCGCCTGTTTCTTTCACAAGAAGATCAAACTTCACAACTCCCACTTATAGATGTTTAAGAAAAATACAAAAACTCGTCAAAATACCGCTATTTTCGATCATAAGAGCATCGAAGTCAAACCAGCGTAGAGAGGGGTTATCATTCGAGCGTATGATTCGAGCAATCTAATATCTCTAGAATCTGGGCTAGTGTTTAGGATAAGGGACTGTGAACTCTTAGGGGGGAAGTCCGGGGGCGAAGCCCCCTTGTTTAGGCCTTAGGTGGGGGGTCCCCGGGTTAGGTTTAGGGTTAGGGGCAGCTCGAATGATAACCCCCTACTACCCAAACCGGTATTTCTTGTGATTCCAATAATTCAGAAGATTCCATCCTGTCGCCGATAGTTCTTCATCGTCATACGCCCATAGCTTTGTCGAGATAATTATATATACATTTTTTTCATTTTCGCATATTATAATTGATCTCTTCCCGGAAAAGTAACTTTTTTCTCTCCATGAGAAAGTAATTGCAAGGCGTTCCTGGCATAATCTTTATTATGTGAATCATGCTTCTCCGTTTCTGCCAAGTTTCTTCTCAGATAACTAAACGTCAAAGGTCACCAAACTTTTGTCAACCAGTGAACTTCTAGCATACCGTGCTAGTGCTACAAATGGATCCTCGTGATCAACGGAGTCATCTTTAAGAGACTCTTCAGACACAGCACATCCTCTAAGATAAACATAAGCTTCTTGCTTCAAACTAAAGTCTGTTTCTTCTTGTCTAATAGCCTTTATAATCTCTCTCATCGAGGCATCTGTAGGGACTCCAAGAACGGCAGAATAATCGCTGGCGAGGTCGGAACTCATTTGAGAAAAATAAGCGTTTTTTTTTGTCTTTGGCTCGCCAACTTCAAGTTGTTTTTATTTTAAAATTTTTCGATACAGAAAAAAAACATCCAAACAGCTTGTCTAGAAGTAATTTATTCAAAAGCAGTCAAAAGATAGTTGAGAACAGAAATGAACAGTCCGATTACTCCGATCTAAATAAGTAAATACTCATGAGGAGGTTGATTCAGAATTCAGTTCTTTGAAGGATATTGAGGGTGTAATTTTGTTCCTTGAAGGTCGTTTGTCTTCAGATTCAGTTGATTTTCGTGACTGAAATGCAAAGTTATTGAACCGCAGCGTGGTACACAAAATAAACCTCTGTTATCGGAGAGTCAATAGGTACTGTACTCAAGAGTCTTCTTTGATGCCTGAATTTCGGAAGAGATTTTTGAAGTTTATACAGCCGATAGCTCTAAAAAACTCATCATCAAATCAAACGCTATAAAGAGAACCTGGAGAAGAAGCATCAAACTATTTTTCATCGCAAAGAAAAGCCCAGAGCTTGTGTAAAAACCATGCTCAACCATGAGTACGATTCTCAGAATAAGATAAGGGACATCCAAGAAAAACAGGCCTGTTGTTATCTGTAACATTTCAGGACTCATGATATCTCCGGTGAGGAATCTGCTGAGTACTTTTGCTCTTGGTAAACTATCGATCTCCACGTATTTTCTCGATGAATCTAACGAAAACTTCGGATAATATCAATCGATAACTTATACCTTCTTTCATAAGAACATCATTAGGAACTTCAAATCCAAAAATTATCAGCGACAAACTCCACAAAGCAAGAATTGAATAAACAGCTACTTCATTGACACCTAGATTTTCATCGCCTAGGGACTCCAAGAGCTCTAGAATATCGGCACCAACGGCAAGGTTTCCAACCAAAATCGCACTGAAGTGGTGAAATCAAAATTCTTCGTAAAAAGTACCTAAAGTAATCCCCATCTTGATCATCATTCTTCGGAGCAAGCCATCTTCCAATAACCAGCGCGAATATCAGAATCTGCTCAAGAAACAACACCATATCAGGAGCCTTTTCAAGTCTCAAATCTTAATGAACAAGAAAATGATCAATTTTGAAACCCTCTCCTCAAAAGAGATTCCTCCAATTTGCGCCATCACTCCCGGCGGCGAGTACTCAAGCTTCAAAACGCGTTTCTCGAGAAGTTCGCCTTCCATGAGCCAGATACAAGGCACTGCGGCAGACAACATGGCCAAATTCATTGTGACAAGCCATCTGATTTCGTTGCCTTTTCGGATGAATATTGCATGCCAGAACTCAAAGACAAAGCCAAGAAGACCAGTGAAAAGTAGAAAAATTGTGTTCCGGTCTTTTCGGCTTTGAAATGGTAGAATCAGATATGTCTGGTAGACGGTGAAGATTATGTACGCCAAATATAGTATTCTTGCCGATAGAGCATTTCTTCAAGAACATAAGGAAAATCTTGATCACCCAAAACTTACATGAGTCTTTTATGTTTTCTGTAAAACCCGATGATGGAAGACATGACATTCTGATTTCTGAGTGAGCATCGTTGACCACTGCAGGGTTTGAGTGATCTTAAAGATAGCCAAAGATTCTGAAGAAATCCCATTTCAAATGTCTTTCTCTGTCTGGTATCTTTTATTTTCGAACTGCCCCAGCTACCGCTCTCCCAGCCATACTAATGAGCCTCCAACTAAGAAAACATTTTTACGCTCGCACAATTCAAAAGTTTTTAATCCAACAATCAGACCATCTGACTGTGGACTTTATTTTCAAAAAAACGGCATAACCCGTGAGTAGCATGGAGTTCGTGGAATGTTTTCACAGTTTTGTAAATTAGCTTATGGAATTTTTTGTTCAGTAAAACACTTTTTGAAATAAATGACGATGTGACAATAGTGATACTATTTATGTCTAATATTTTAGAAAAAATCACTGGTGATAAACGTTTAAGGGATCAACCCCCGATTTGGCCAACTTTGACCTCTATCTACTTTTTTTAGAGCTTAGGACGAAATAAATCGAAATTTACGTGCTGGATAAAAATTTTTCAAATAGAGTTAATTTTGCTTTTATCGGATTCAGCGTGCTCGAAAACCTAGGAAAAAATTGTACTTTTTGACTTCTGTCGTGAAATAGCGATAAGCGCGGCACTTCAAAAGTGAAAAAAATGTCACTTTTGGAAACAGATTTCTAGCGATGCGTCATTGATATTAAAATTCTAATCGTACAGACTTTTAGATAATTGTCTAATCTAGTTGGCACTTTTTTAAAATCTTTAAAAAGTTAATGTTTACCCTACTGATTACCCTACTCATACTAATGAGGCCGGGCGTACTGGGTGATCATCATCGCCCGAAAAGTAGGGTAAACATTAACTTTTAAAGATTTTAAAAAGTGCCAACTAGATTAGACAATTATCTAAAAGTCTGTACGATTAGAATTTTAATATCAATGACGCATCGCTAGAAATCTGTTTCCAAAAGTGACATACTTTTCACTTTTGAAGTGCCGCGCTTATCGCTATTTCACGCCAGAAGTCAAAAAGTACAATTTTTCCTAGGTTTTCGAGCACGCTGAATCCGATAAAAGCAAAATTAACTCTATTTGAAAAATTTTTATCCAGCACGTAAATTTCGATTTATTTCGTCCTTACGTAGGAAGCTGATTTTGGGCGCATTAGAAAGCCCGCTTCGAAAGGAGCAAATTCTGGTAGAATCAGCTTGCCAGCATAACATTCGCTTATGCATTACAGGCCGTCAAAGTGATTAACTTTTTGAAAAATGGCCATTTTAGGTCATTTTCAAATGGTATCTACTTTTTTTTGGGCTTTGGGATTCAAAATCTTTTTGGTTTATCTAAAAGTATACACGCTAATCTCTATTTTTTGGTAGAATCAACATGATCAGATAAGTGAATAAAAAAATTCTAGTTGTAAAACATTTTGAAACCATTTTTGGCGTTATTTGGGTGTTAGAATGCTCTCTAGCGCCAACAATTGGCGGAAAATTCTTGTGCGTTTATTATATTCGTAATCTGCACATTCTAAGCTTTCGAAAGAGCCCTTGTTTGTGTTATTTCGATGACATGGAAAAATCGAAAAAATTTCGATTTTCACAATTTACATGCATTTTCCCGAACTTTGGGAGCCAAAATTTCGGGGATGCATTTATGTAAAGGGGTACTATCATATATCAAAATGATCCTCAGAACACGAGGAATCTAATCATAGGCAATAATGACCGTTGCCAAAATTTTGAAAAATCGGGGGTGATCCCTTAATAAGAAATCGGGGACCCCCTTCGACTTTTGTCAAAAATCAAATTTCAGATTTTTAAAATTTTAGCCCCGGATTCCGATTCCTCATGTAAAACAACGATTAAAACCTCCATGCTTTTGGGTCTCATCTCGACTTAGGCCGCACAAAATCGCATTTGAAAATTTTCAAGCTCTTGAAAATCTTACTTTTCAGGGCAAATCTACTGTAACAGTAAAATGCTTCGATTTGAGGGCCTCGAGGGTCAATACTGAAAATGGCACCAATGGCACGAATTTGCTGAAAATCAAAAAGGAAAATTCACTATTCTTATCTGGATCTGGTTTTCCCCGACGGGTCGCAACGATTTTGTTCGTTCACAAAAATCATCAAAATATACAATATTAATAATATTATTATAATATTATTATATTGTCAATATATCAATTTAAAAATCCAATTCCATTTATAATTCTACTGATGTACCCTAGCCTTTTATTGTTTTTTTATAAGCAATGCTTTTTCTCCTATGGAGAGTATTCGTGGTTCTAATTTGTCAAAGAAATCGCTCGCTCCGCGGGTTTAGGAAACTCAAGGGTGGAAAAACAATAACAAAAGAGTTTCTAGAATTTTACTGAAAATGGCACGATGAAAAAACATGTTTTCGTGCCATTCGTGACATTCGTGCCATTCGTGCCATTTTCAGTACTGTCGGCCTCGAGCGCTGTCTATAATCTGCTCTTTTTACCTTGGCACATTTTTCTGGACTATATTTGAGCAGACAGTACCGGAACTTTCTTGTTTAGGGTCAGGCTTATGTGAGTTATGGTCAGATTAAATTATTCTCGGTCTCAGAATCAAAATCTACAAAAAACACAAGGGGGAGAACCCCTCGAAAAACCGACCAATAAAAATAATTTTCTCGGTCTAAAATTAAGACTACGAAGTCGCTCAGGTCAAAATCTTAAACAACAGTTAACCCTGATGAACTGAGAACTATTAACTTCGATTTTTTTTTAAATATTGATGTATTTGCGAAAGAAATATAAAAGGAGTCTATATATCTTCCTTTATTTCTTTGTTTAGATAGTTCAAACTTACTTTTTCGGAATATCTGTAGACAGATGCTCTTTCCCAGCTAGTTTTTGCCGCTTCGAATTCTTAAATTTCATCAAAAATGAAAGCGCTTCTATCGCTTTTTCTTTTTGTTCAGAGTTATGATATTATTGAACTAGAGAAGAATTTAGATATTCTTGTTGATTCCCTTCTTGCATCAAATGCGATTCCAGGATTATCACTCGCCGTGGTTGATCTTCGAAATGAAAACTTCATCACAAAAGGATATGGAAAACGTCGTGTCGATCAGGAAGATCCTGTTTCTGAGGAAACTTTGTTCTGCCTCGCTTCAAATTCGAAACTTTTCACCGGAGTCTACTCTGCGTTAATCGAAAAGTACACTGGCATTTCTCTTGACACACGAGTCAACGATATTCCGGAGCTTCGTGAAGACAAAGACATTTTTCTCATTCTTAATTCTTGCTCGCTTAGTCAAGAAGTCACACTCAGAGATTTCCTTTCCCATAGAACTGGGACTAAAGTAGAGTTCGGAATGGTAGTCCTACATGAAAATCTCTAAAATTTCGAACTCAGAGCAAAGATGATTCGCCTACCCTGACACTTGGATGCGATATCGATACACGTGAGATTTTTGCTTCTCGTTCTCGTTATTTGGAACAAATAAGCCCTTTTCGATCCAGATACCGATATAGTAACTCTGGCTATACACTTGCGGGTTTTGTTGCGGAAAAACTCTGCAGTACTTCATCTTCTTGCAAAAGTCGCTTTGGCACAGAGTGGAAAGATGGAATTCAAGAGATTTTCAATATGGCGCAAATGAACTCTTCAGTTGTGGCTCAGGACCTGATACGAAACTTTTCATTTTATGACGAATTGACTGCTCGATCGACTTTAGTGGATTGGCAAGGGAATCAGCATCCGAATGAAATAGGAATGGCTTCAATTAATAGAAAAGACTAAATGAGTCATTTAAAATGACCCCTCCGTCAAGTGAAAATGACTTTTTCAAACACAGATATCGGGCTGATCCCCTTAAGATTTTTAAATATTTTTTGATTATTTTGTAGCGAGGTAGTTGCTAAAGGGAACCAGAAGGAAAACAAGCTCATAGGCCTCTTAAGGGTGTCGCAACGATAAGTTAAAGTGAAAATATTTTTCAAACATGGATATCATAAAGATCTCCTTAACTGATAATAATTTTTCTATGTTGAAAATTTAGCTGAGATTCTTGTCGAGGGCACAGCATCAAGTATATGATGATATCTTAAGGGTGTCACTAAGAAAAAAGGGTTTGAAGATTGGTGATCGGCTGAAAAATGGGCAAATTTAGCTAAAAAAAGTCCGAAAATCGTGATTTTTAAGTCGATTCTGAAAGTCAAAGAGTCGAAATAGAATTTAACGACAATAAAGAAAAATGATCCTCAGAACTCAGAGAATCGATTCCCAAAAATCGTCAAACATGACGGGGAGGGGGAGCGGTCCTTAAATATCTTAAGATAAATTCAAAAATATGCCATTTTTAAGAGGTACTCTCAAGATCAAAGGCGATGGAACCAAGTTACGGCGTTATTTCAAACAGCAAGGACATGGCCCGCTGGATTGAGTTTATTCTCGGATCTCCGATAACCGCCAATCTAAGACTTGATCAGGACGGAATTCCCTGTACAGGTTGTAGAAAATACTTTTCCATGGGTCAAGGACACAGTTGCAAATTATAGAGATTCTTTTAAAGTTACAGAAAACGCTAAGAAAGACATTTGAATAACAGAATTTCTTTTCGAATAAAAATTTGTAGCTTTCAACAAGAGTCGGAACCAACAGATACAGAAGTCGTTTATGCTTTAGGAACGCGCACTGGCACTTACAGAGATTATCGCAAGTGGGTTCATTCTGGTGCCTTTGGCGGGTATAACTCTTATCTATACATGCTGCCTGATATTAAAATTGGTGTATTTACTGCTGTTAACGGTGGTGGAGATACTTATGGAGCTATGAGAAAAGTGATTTACCACGGGCTTGACACAATGCTTGGACTTAAACCCAGCTTACCAGATATGCAGCAAGTAAATTCAATAGACGAAGAGAACCAGAAGAGTCAGAACAATTCAATTCGATTGCAGGCTCATCCGGAACTAAAAGAACCAGTTCTTTACCAACCAAAATCTCTAAAGCCTGAGTTTCAAAATCTTATTGGCTCTTATTATCATCCTCTTCTTGGAGAAATGATTATTTCAATAAAAAATCGACGATCTTGTCAAACGCTTGAAGTATATGAAAGTCTCTACGTTAAGATTGGAAAGCTTGGAACGGGATGGATCGAGAACTTAGGTATAGAACTAAGACATTAAGAATTATAAGCATTCAAACAATAGAAAATAATGAAGAAGGGAGATTTTGATTGCAAATAAATAAATTATTCAGCATTTTATGACAGTGGCTTGATAAACGAAAAATATATGTATCCCTTATCAATTGATCCGACTGAGAACGAGCAATGTTGTGTTGGAATTCGATGCAATGTGACTTTGTTTTTAAGTTTTCATCTTTTTAAAAAGCATTCAGGAGGTGCAGAAAATCATTCCTGGAGTTTATCCACTAGTGAAAGATAACGACAACCCAGCTTTAGATTCGTGGACTGATGTCGACTTCATTTGGAACAGTTCGGGTAGACATCGAGAACTTTTTATAAATTTTCGAGAACTTAAACAATTTTTTTAAGTTTGGTACGTATCTGACTATAGTCCAGTCTTTTCTTTTGAAAAAAACTCTTCTGGCGAATTCACGATTGTATTTCGCCGTGGATCGTGGACCTCTGAATCTTACTCTTTTACTCGAAATCACGATTATGATTTCAAGTGGACTGACAAATGTAACCTTAATTCTGAATAAAACTTGGTCACCAAGTCTCTTCCATTCGAGTAACTTAAAATATTGAGGTCAGGATTTTGCTCCGCAGAAGTCAATTTCATTTATCGCACTAGCGTAACGTTCTATCAAATATTTATAAGCTTCACTGTAACAATAAACAATAATTTCATCAAAGATAACATGACTCATGTTACATGAGATACTATCTATTAGGTCTGCCCAATAAGGGAATCTGGCTTTTAAAAAAAAGATCATCCTTTCTTTGCCCGGAGCGAGCAAAACAAGAGTTTTGCGCACTCAGAAAATTAACCGACGAAGCCAATCAGCGCCGCGAGCGTAAATTAGGGCGCACGCAGAAAAGTTAGGAGAGGAAATTTTGAGGCGCGCGGAAAAGTTAAGCGGCGTAAATTTGGGGGGTTTTGAACAAATCAGGAAGAGTAAATTACGGAAAATGTACCGAGGAATGCGCGAAAATTTGGGGGTGGGGTATGTTATATGATTAGGGTGAATTTACAAAAAAATCAACTTTTTCCCTATTGATCCTATCTTGTTGAAACTCGGCATGGTGAAAGATCATACCCGACTTCTTAACAAAATTTTTTTTTTGAAAAAAATTTTTTCGTTTTTCAACCCTTTTCGGCCCCATAAAGGACTATCTTTTGAGCGCCTCAAGTCTGAGTGCTCTTTTTGGTCGGAATCGATGCGCCGTCGACTTCTGATCAAAATTCAAAAAAAAAATTTAGTGAAGCTCTCACCGATGACTCACAATCGGCATTTAAGTGTTACATAACACTGTTATGTAACATAGTAACAAAGTGAAAATAAGTCCTCCACTAGAACATTCAATGTTCGTGGGCTGAAATTTTGGGACAATAGGTATTTGGACCCAACTAAAAAAATTCTAATTGAAAATTTTTTGGTCTGACCACGTGATCACGTGATACAGGTCATTTTCTGATAAGGAGGTCTCAATTTGTTCGAGACTCTCTCCGTCTCAGCCCCGTTCCTTGATTTTCTAATTTAAGGGGCTTGACGGCCCTTCGGGCCGTCTCAGCCCCGTTCCTTGATTTTCTAATTTAAGGGGCTTGACGGCCCTTCGGGCCGTCTCAGCCCCGTTCCTTGATTTTCTAATTTAAGGGGCTTGACGGCCCTTCGGGCCGTCTCAGCCCCGTTCCTTGATTTTCTAATTTAAGGGCTTGACGGCCCTTCGGGCCGTCTCAGCCCCGTTCCTTGATTTTCTAATTTAAGGGGCTTGACGGCCCTTCGGGCCGTCTCAGCCCCGTTCCTTGATTTTCTAATTTAAGGGCTTGACGGCCCTTCGGGCCGTCTCAGCCCCGTTCCTTGATTTTCTAATTTAAGGGCTTGACGGCCCTTCGGGCCGTCTCAGCCCCGTTCCTTGATTTTCTAATTTAGGGGCTTGACGGCCCTTCGGGCCGTCTCAGCCCCGTTCCTTGATTTTCTAATTTAAGGGGCTTGACGGCCCTTCGGGCCGTCTCAGCCCCGTTCCTTGATTTTCTAATTTAAGGGGCTTGACGGCCCTTCGGGCCGTCTCAGCCCCGTTCCTTGATTTTCTAATTTAAGGGGCTTGACGGCCCTTCGGGCCGTCTCAGCCCCGTTCCTTGATTTTCTAATTTAAGGGGCTTGACGGCCCTTCGGGCCGTCTCAGCCCCGTTCCTTGATTTTCTAATTTAAGGGGCTTGACGGCCCTTCGGGCCGTCTCAGCCCCGTTCCTTGATTTTCTAATTTAAGGGCTTGACGGCCCTTCGGGCCGTCTCAGCCCCGTTCCTTGATTTTCTAATTTAAGGGCTTGACGGCCCTTCGGGCCGTCTCAGCCCCGTTCCTTGATTTTCTAATTTAAGGGGCTTGACGGCCCTTCGGGCCGTCTCAGCCCCGTTCCTTGATTTTCTAATTTAAGGGCTTGACGGCCCTTCGGGCCGTCTCAGCCCCGTTCCTTGATTTTCTAATTTAAGGGCTTGACGGCCCTTCGGGCCGTCTCAGCCCCGTTCCTTGATTTTCTAATTTAAGGGGCTTGACGGCCCTTCGGGCCGTCTCAGCCCCGTTCCTTGATTTTCTAATTTAAGGGGCTTGACGGCCCTTCGGGCCGTCTCAGCCCCGTTCCTTGATTTTCTAATTTAAGGGGCTTGACGGCCCTTCGGGCCGTCTCAGCCCCGTTCCTTGATTTTCTAATTTAAGGGCTTGACGGCCCTTCGGGCCGTCTCAGCCCCGTTCCTTGATTTTCTAATTTAAGGGGCTTGACGGCCCTTCGGGCCGTCTCAGCCCCGTTCCTTGATTTTCTAATTTAAGGGCTTGACGGCCCTTCGGGCCGTCTCAGCCCCGTTCCTTGATTTTCTAATTTAAGGGCTTGACGGCCCTTCGGGCCGTCTCAGCCCCGTTCCTTGATTTTCTAATTTAAGGGCTTGACGGCCCTTCGGGCCGTCTCAGCCCCGTTCCTTGATTTTCTAATTTAAGGGCTTGACGGCCCTTCGGGCCGTCTCAGCCCCGTTCCTTGATTTTCTAATTTAAGGGGCTTGACGGCCCTTCGGGCCGTCTCAGCCCCGTTCCTTGATTTTCTAATTTAAGGGGCTTGACGGCCCTTCGGGCCGTCTCAGCCCCGTTCCTTGATTTTCTAATTTAAGGGGCTTGACGGCCCTTCGGGCCGTCTCAGCCCCGTTCCTTGATTTTCTAATTTAAGGGGCTTGACGGCCCTTCGGGCCGTCTCAGCCCCGTTCCTTGATTTTCTAATTTAAGGGGCTTGACAAAGGCTGGGAAACCTGAGTTGATCACTCTCCGTTTCGTCCCCAACCCCTCCCACCTCCATTCGATGTAAAAATTTATATTGTTCATGTTTAAAGTCTTGTTAAGGTTTTTTATCGATAATTTATAAAAATATTTCTCTACCGAGAATTTACTTCGAATTTAATGAACCCTTAATAAAAATTGAAAAAAAAAATGAAAATTGGGGCTCCGTAGCCAAAAATCCGAAAATTTGTAAAAAAAATGGGTTTTATGGAGGCTACACCCTTCAAATTTTTATTTATTATATTTTTCGGGGAAGCTTTGGACCAACCCTTTTAATGTTCAAATTACGATTGTAAGAATTATTTGTCTTCCACCAATTTATTTTCTTCCACCGGCTTTAGAAAAGGTCCTCCAGGTCATTCCTGATCGATCTGAATGAGCTTCACTAAATTTTTTTATCTCAAAATGATCAGTTTTTTAAGGCGCTTCGAATGAGCCTACTCACGTTCTCGTAACTTGAGGCGCTCAAAAGTTGAGTTTTTCGTCCACTTCGGAGGGCGCTGGAAGAAAATCACGTGACATATTTAAAAAAAATCTCTTCGATATGAGATTCATATGGATGGGGGAAATTCCATACAAAATTTGAAAGCCGTACGACCCCTAGATTAAAAGTTGATTTTTTGTAAATTCACCCTATATATGATGATATCTTAAGGGTGTCACTAAGAAAAAAGGGTTTGAAGATTGGTGATCGGCTGAAAAATGGGCAAATTTAGCTAAAAAATTCCGAAAATCGTGATTTTTAAGTCGATTCTGAAAGTCAAAGAGTCGAAATAGAATTTAACGACAATAAAGAAAAATGATCCTCAGAACTCAGAGAATCGATTCCCAAAAATCGCCAAACATGACGGGGAGGGGGAGCGGTCCTTAAATATCTTAAGATAAATTCAAAAATATGCCATTTTTAAGAGGTACTCTCAAGATCAAAGGCGATGGAACCAAGTTACGGCGTTATTTCAAACAGCAAGGACATGGCCCGCTGGATTGAGTTTATTCTCGGATCTCCGATAACCGCCAATCTAAGACTTGATCAGGACGGAATTCCCTGTACAGGTTGTAGAAAATACTTTTCCATGGGTCAAGGACACAGTTGCAAATTATAGAGATTCTTTTAAAGTTACAGAAAACGCTAAGAAAGACATTTGAATAACAGAATTTCTTTTCGAATAAAAATTTGTAGCTTTCAACAAGAGTCGGAACCAACAGATACAGAAGTCGTTTATGCTTTAGGAACGCGCACTGGCACTTACAGAGATTATCGCAAGTGGGTTCATTCTGGTGCCTTTGGCGGGTATAACTCTTATCTATACATGCTGCCTGATATTAAAATTGGTGTATTTACTGCTGTTAACGGTGGTGGAGATACTTATGGAGCTATGAGAAAAGTGATTTACCACGGGCTTGACACAATGCTTGGACTTAAACCCAGCTTACCAGATATGCAGCAAGTAAATTCAATAGACGAAGAGAACCAGAAGAGTCAGAACAATTCAATTCGATTGCAGGCTCATCCGGAACTAAAAGAACCAGTTCTTTACCAACCAAAATCTCTAAAGCCTGAGTTTCAAAATCTTATTGGCTCTTATTATCATCCTCTTCTTGGAGAAATGATTATTTCAATAAAAATCGACGATCTTGTCAAACGCTTGAAGTATATGAAAGTCTCTACGTTAAGATTGGAAAGCTTGGAACGGGATGGATCGAGAACTTAGGTATAGAACTAAGACATTAAGAATTATAAGCATTCAAACAATAGAAAATAATGAAGAAGGGAGATTTTGATTGCAAATAAATAAATTATTCAGCATTTTATGACAGTGGCTTGATAAACGAAAAATATATGTATCCCTTATCAATTGATCCGACTGAGAACGAGCAATGTTGTGTTGGAATTCGATGCAATGTGACTTTGTTTTTAAGTTTTCATCTTTTTAAAAAACATTCAGGAGGTGCAGAAAATCATTCCTGGAGTTTATCCACTAGTGAAAGATAACGACAACCCAGCTTTAGATTCGTGGACTGATGTCGACTTCATTTGGAACAGTTCGGGTAGACATCGAGAACTTTTTATAAATTTTCGAGAACTTAAACAATTTTTTTAAGTTTGGTACGTATCTGACTATAGTCCAGTCTTTTCTTTTGAAAAAAAAACTCTTCTGGCGAATTCACGATTGTATTTCGCCGTGGATCGTGGACCTCTGAATCTTACTCTTTTACTCGAAATCACGATTATGATTTCAAGTGGACTGACAAATGTAACCTTAATTCTGAATAAAACTTGGTCACCAAGTCTCTTCCATTCGAGTAACTTAAAATATTGAGGTCAGGATTTTGCTCCGCAGAAGTCAATTTCATTTATCGCACTAGCGTAACGTTCTATCAAATATTTATAAGCTTCACTGTAACAATAAACAATAATTTCATCAAAGATAACATGACTCATGTTACATGAGATACTATCTATTAGGTCTGCCCAATAAGGGAATCTGGCTTTTAAAAAAAGATCATCCTTTCTTTGCCCGGAGCGAGCAAAACAAGAGTTTTGCGCACTCAGAAAATTAACCGACGAAGCCAATCAGCGCCGCGAGCGTAAATTAGGGCGCACGCAGAAAAGTTAGGAGAGGAAATTTTGAGGCGCGCGGAAAAGTTAAGCGGCGTAAATTTGGGGGGTTTTGAACAAATCAGGAAGAGTAAATTACGGAAAATGTACCGAGGAATGCGCGAAAATTTGGGGGTGGGGTATGTTATATGATGATATCTTAAGGGTGTCACTAAGAAAAAAGGGTTTGAAGATTGGTGATCGGCTGAAAAATGGGCAAATTTAGCTAAAAAATTCCGAAAATCGTGATTTTTAAGTCGATTCTGAAAGTCAAAGAGTCGAAATAGAATTTAACGACAATAAAGAAAAATGATCCTCAGAACTCAGAGAATCGATTCCCAAAAATCGCCAAACATGACGGGGAGGGGGAGCGGTCCTTAAATATCTTAAGATAAATTCAAAAATATGCCATTTTTAAGAGGTACTCTCAAGATCAAAGGCGATGGAACCAAGTTACGGCGTTATTTCAAACAGCAAGGACATGGCCCGCTGGATTGAGTTTATTCTCGGATCTCCGATAACCGCCAATCTAAGACTTGATCAGGACGGAATTCCCTGTACAGGTTGTAGAAAATACTTTTCCATGGGTCAAGGACACAGTTGCAAATTCTAGAGATTCTTTTAAAGTTACAGAAAACGCTAAGAAAGACATTTGAATAACAGAATTTCTTTTCGAATAAAAATTTGTAGCTTTCAACAAGAGTCGGAACCAACAGATACAGAAGTCGTTTATGCTTTAGGAACGCGCACTGGCACTTACAGAGATTATCGCAAGTGGGTTCATTCTGGTGCCTTTGGCGGGTATAACTCTTATCTATACATGCTGCCTGATATTAAAATTGGTATATTTACTGCTGTTAACGGTGGTGGAGATACTTATGGATAGGGTTTTTCACGGAACGGCGCGGCCCGCTCTGGGGTCCATCCACGAATATTAAAAGTCGTTTATTGAAGCGAAATTGATAATTCAAAAAATGAAACCGACTAATTCAAGGGAATAGATTCACAATATCGCATTAGTTTTTCTTTCGAATGCAAGAATTCGCTGTAAGACGCTTTTTCTTACTCAATTTCGATTTTTTAATCTGAGTACATCAAAATACACTCTCTATTTTCAAATATGTGGGAAATAAGATGTTAAATTTTCAGCTCTCAAAATTTGGGATTTCGGAAACTTTCGGAAGGTGTTCAAATCGTCAGATAAGTAAGTGAAAGTGACTGCGCGCTAGTGCTTTACGCCGCTGCGCGGGACGCCCAAAAAGCATTAGCGCGCGCCATAATCTCAGCGGGTGGTTTCTATGACCTAGTATCGGAAATCTGATGCGAATTACACCGGGTGATTTGCACAAACAATTTCCAAGAAGTGTCAAGCTTCGTATTTGAGATGAATTAGACGGATTTATAACACTCGGAACAACAAAACTGATGAGATCCTTTTTTATCTTCCTTATCATTATTGCACCACCACCAAGTCAGAATTTGATAATAATTTTTACATATTTGAAATCAGCGGCTCAAGAAACACTTATTTTGAAATATTCAGGCCGATTGAATGATATACCATTTTCCGTGAAAAACCCTACTTATGGAGCTATGAGAAAAGTGATTTACCACGGGCTTGACACAATGCTTGGACTTAAACCCAGCTTACCAGATATGCAGCAAGTAAATTCAATAGACCTGGAGAACCAGAAGAGTCAGAACAATTCAATTCGATTGCAGGCTCATCCGGAATTAAAAGAACCAGTTCTTTACCAGCCAAAATCTCTGAAGCCTGAGTTTCAAAATCTTATTGGCTCTTATTATCATCCTCTTCTTGGAGAAATGATTATTTCAATAAAAAATCGACGATCTTGTCAAACGCTTGAAGTATATGAAAGTCTCTACGTTAAGATTGGAAAGCTTGGAACGGGATGGATCGAGAACTTAGGTATATAACTAAGACATTAAGAATTATAAGCATTCAAACAATAGAAAATAATGAAGAAGGGAGATTTTGATTGCAAATAAATAAATTATTCAGCATTTTATGACAGTGGCTTGATAAACGAAAAATATATGTATCCCTTATCAATTGATCCGACTGAGAACGAGCAATGTTGTGTTGGAATTCGATGCAATGTGACTTTGTTTTTAAGTTTTCATCTTTTTAAAAAACATTCAGGAGGTGCAGAAAATCATTCCTGGAGTTTATCCACTAGTGAAAGATAACGACGACCTGGCTTTAGATTCGTGGACTGATGTCGACTTCATTTGGAACAGTTCAGGTAGACATCGAGAACTTTTTATAAATTTTCGAGAACTTAAACAATTTTTTTAAGTTTGGTACGTATCTGACTATAGTCCAGTCTTTTCTTTTGAAAAAAACTCTTCTGGCGAATTCACGATTGTATTTCGCCGTGGATCGTGGACCTCTGAATCTTACTCTTTTACTCGAAATCACGATAATGATTTCAAGTGGACTGACAAATGTAACCTTAATTCTGAATAAAACTTGGTGAATGTTTTGTGACTGTTTTACGTGTCATATAAAAGAATGAAAACTGGTTGAGATGCAAGTCAGTAAGCAAATATAATTTTATATTTACATTTTTGGCCTGGCGCCCTCGTGCTTCAGATAAATTGAGCGGAGTAGCCGAACGAATTTTAAATTGACGAAGCATGAGTGAGCAGGATAAGAGCCAGAAACGAAAACCTTCCATCGATGAAGATGAAACAAAAGCAAAAACAACTAAATGTGACCATATGAAATATGGACTTACAGAGGTTGTTTCATTCGAGAAAATGTGAATAAATTTTAAGGATGAGTATGAACATCTCCAAAATCTTGCCATCATTGGCATCTTCGAGGGAGAGGATAAGTCTGTTTTTAACAATGGGTACCCAAAACCCGACTCAACAGACATCAAGATGTTGTTGAAGGCTGTTTACAATGGTCTGGAAGAATTCTCGCTGAAGGTACATATTTGTTAGCATCATTCGCATCAATTTTTTAGCAACTTGGCAGCAACTTTGTGGAGTTCACGGAATCAGGGTTGACTTTGACCTTTGATGCGGGAAATAACTTGGGTTCGTACTTATTGCCGAAGTCTACACCATTTAATTATGTAAATCACTGACAATCAATCTTAAGACGACCCTGATGGGAATGTTCTTTGGGAAAAATATTCGCTTTCTGGTAATCGATTCGATGGCAAACCGGTGAAATTTGAAGGGTGTCTCCGAATTATGAGCTCACGACGAGGAAGACTTTTCTATGAATGCGAATGGGAGCAGAGCGAAAAAAGATGCTCGAGAAGAGTTCACAGCTAAGGAAAGGCTTCCTATTTAGAAATCTATTATGAACTTAATCTACTGATCGCGCCTTCAAAGTTTAAATCACCAGGAGACAGATACTACACACGCTTCTGCTGCAAAATCAATGGTCAAAAATAATCATTAAATTCTGCAATATGATTTATTAGATAATAAATGAGTTCAAAAAGAATCAGAGTCTTTTGAGCATAATTGAGAACGCTTGTGGCAGAAGATACCATTTGCTTTTCTCCATGTTAATTCTTTCATTAACAAGAGGAATGATCTCGCCGTTATCACCTCTGCATACGGAATCGTTATTCTCCCTGCAAAAGTCTACGTAGTCATCATAACAAGCATAATATGGTCTGTCAAGCTCAATCTCCATCTTCGGCTCGCCCTTTGACATAAGTGTGTTTTGAATGATGTATTTGTCATCGATTATCTCGTCAATGCACATTTGATGGAATAAGACATCGATTCCATCAAAAAACGCACCGGTCACAGTCAAGGGTCTGGTAAAAATAAAATTTGTGTGAAGACAGACTGAAAAATATAAATAAAATAAAATTGAATTGACAAGGAAAACTTACATTCTTTGTAACAGAACTCAGACTCAGGGCAGACTCCAATTGACTTGATAATTTTCCAACCATTTTCATTCAAATATGTAGAGAACTTCAGCCTTTTTAGAAGATGCTCGATGGAATTATACTGAAATTCTTTCTCTTCTTTATTGGGAGTAAAATTCAGTCCCGCTAAACTTCTTGGAAAGACAATCATTGCAAGGCAAGTAACGATTCTTTCGGTTGAATAATATGTGGTCATGACAGCGTCGTCAATTTTTAAATCATATCTTAATGCGTGCCTGATCAAAGTCGTCACTGAGATCGGCACACAAAGATTAGAGTCCTTAAAATTCAGAAAAAAAGAATCCTTCGTGTTTGGAATATATCAAGTGCGTAAATAAAATAACATGCATATAAATAAGTTTTTCTGCAAACTCAAGAGAAGTCTCTTGTGTTTTTAATCCTTGAGTCCGAGTTCAGATTCAACGATTTGATTTCTTCGTTTTTCAAAGAGATTGAGTTTCTAAACACTACCTTCTGGTCCAGTATGTTACGCGTTAAATTTTTGAAGTCGATGTTTATAAATTTTGTCATGCTTTGTTTGAGACTTGCCATACCAACAGATTTAGTGAGATTTTCGTCTGCATAATAATCAACGTCTGGTAAATTTTCAAGAGAAATGACGTTCTTCATAGTCGAAATTTCAAAAGGGCTCGGCACATTTTGAGTTAGCCAAGACGCATTACATTCCTTTAAATTTATTTTAAGATAATTTATTCTGCCATGATTCTAGTCTTTGTGCCGTCATAAAATGATTTGAACGGGCTGACTGGAATTTTCCATGCACAGAAGAATACGTACAAATAAACCATAAAAATTACAGTCAATTTTTAAATATTTAAAATCCTCACCTTCAGTTGATTTTTGACTAGTTCTCGCTCTCTTTCGTCAATAGGATCAAACAACAAGCTCCAAGCTGATTTCCATTCACATAAAATGAACACAAAAATGTTGTCAGCCGCATAGTGACACCTTAATGTCTCATCGTAGTCGCCCCTTTTCATTGATATTGATGATATTTGGCTGTATCCACAGAAACCTGGGGATCCGGAGTCTTCAAACAATAAGTCAAAATACAAATTTGTTAGTTGTCACTTACATAGGTTTCTGTGATGTCGGTACTTGCTTCCTCGCCGTGCGTAGCCCATTTCACGGTAACTCATTCTCCCAGTGCTTTCATGAATAACGCCGAAGTCAATAAGCTTGACGCTTTCATCTTTTAATAGAATATTTTCAGGTTTGAAGTCATACTGCTCGATTCCTATATCCCACAGATAATTGAAAGCTTCTTGCACTTCAATTGCGATTGTTTTCCTGTTATTCAATGCTAAGTCATCATTTCGCAGTTTAGTTCTAAAGTCAGTCTCTATCGATATCAGTTAATTTTCGAAAGCTCCTTTATTATGAGATATCTATTGAGACTCCCTTAAATCAGTGTCACATTTTTCCATTAAAGTAATCCACGCTAGACAATCCTGTTGTAAATCATCTTCTGAGTCGAAAACTTCTATATTTGCGAAGTTTTTTATGAGATTTTTATGGAATGGAATGTCTTTTTCCTTGTCTTCTTTTCTGTTTATAGCAATTTGATAATCTTAAAAACATACTGAGTCCTTTACTTACGAGTTGTCTACCTTCAGCGAGATTAATGACAAATTTAAGTTCCTCAGATTTTGATGATGCAAAGAGAGCTGAATCAAAAGCTTGAACGCGAACTGCAGCTTCAAAATTCCCAAAATTTTGCGTCAAAATTAGTGCTTCGCCACCAATAGACAATAATTTTTCTCCAAGAGATGATCCAACATACCACTCACCAGTTTCTTGTTTTAATTCAGAATTCAAAACTACACTAGATCTGAAAAATTCATAAAATTTGAGACAATAACGAAGAGTTCTGAGTTTTTGAAAAGCGGCGCGAGCTTGATCGGAGAAAATTCCACGCATGAAGCCTGGCGCTAGCCCGCGCGTTTGCTCTGCTATTTTCGCCGCGATCCCTTTCCGTTCAAAAAGCGCGCGAGCGATCCCTTCAGACTTGGGATCGAGCGTGGGCGGTGGCGCGCGATCCCTTCTCGATCCCCCGCGATTTGACACCCTGATTCAGACCGCATTAATCTTTTTCCGTTGATTTCTGGAAGTCGGTTTAAGAGACGATTTTGAAAAGGTGTAGTTTTCCATGATTCTTCATATTTGTGGAGGTCATGAAATACACTACATATGCCATTTTCAAATTTAAATTCGGTCCAGCTCGCACAAAATCTTCTTGTTTGCGAGTTATATGAAGGAATTTCCATTCTTTCAATCGATAAAATGAGTCTATCCAAATCATTTCTACTTGTTTCTCTTTTGAGGTCAAGAACAAACTCTTTTAGCCAGTCTTGAATGGCTTCAAGGTTGAGCTCAGGAGGATTTTTTGGAACAGGATCCTTCATTAGGGAAAAATAGGCAAAATGAACTCTTAATGCAGTTGATGTGAGACGATGTATTTGATTTTTTTTATATTTGTAGAGCATTTATATTTGCGGAAGATTCATTTTGCAAAAGCAAGGAGGAGTGTAGACTATTGCGTGCGGTGCGGCTTTGTTGACAAAATATAAATGTCATTCAGGATTTACGTTATCGATTGGCGCTCAAGAATTGACAATCTCGGTACAGTGGTTTTTGCTTGTGCCTCCCTATCTCAATGCTTGGAACGCAACGAGGGTTGCCTCAGTACGAAGCATTTGTAAACCCCACTGTACACGATTTAATAGATTTCCCTTGTTTTTTCTGCAGATACGGGGGCTTATCTAAATCAATGTATGCAGTTCTGAAAATTATGAAAATGATATTTTATTATCTTTAGATCATTTTTTTACAAATAAAATGAGAGACTCGCCCAGAAAAATATATAAGGCTCGATTAGTTATTTTTGTTTGAAGGAGGTGGTGGTGGTGGCTAAACAGATCTGACTAATCAGCACAACCGCGGCCCTTCTATACGTAACTTTTGTTAGGTTTGTTAGCTGGCGGTTTTGTTTTGTTATCATGTTTCCCAGTGCACCAACTTCATCCGTTCAACTTCAATTTTCAGATTTTCGAGAGAGATTGACATGACTCCTGAAGCATGAAGATATCCTTCATTTTCTTCGCGTAGGTGCTTACCATACTATTTATCATAATATAAACATGCAACATATTCATATATTCTTTTTGACAGACCGATTTAAAGAGTTATACATGGGAGAAAATGGAGAAAACAATTGAAAAAGCAAAATAGACCCATCGAAGTCGTCTCAGAGTGCGGAAATCCAGAAGTAAATCCAAATCCTGCCACATTTTTCAACTTGCCAAGATACAGAAGAGATGTTTTTGAAGAATTTAGAACAGATAATTACGAACAAAATGGTTTTGACCCCGAGAGTTACTGGGGTACATCGCCAAAGCCTACGTTGGCAAGTTTTTTGATCAGTCAGAGGATTGTTGGTGGAAGTCAGAGCTATCCGAAATCGTGGCCGTGGCAAGTTTTCTTTGACTTTGGGACTTATTCTTGTGGAGGAACGCTGATTAATTCAAAATGGATTGTAACAGGAATGATTCAAAAAGATCCACGACCAGCTTTCACTTCATATCCTTCTGAATCTTACTATTAGCCGTACACTGTACTTTTCGTCATCCTCCAAATGTTGTCATCCGACTTGGTGTCACCAATCTGGCCGACCCTCATTCCGGCGAATACCGCTACATCGAGCGAGTAGTGAACCACCCTGAATACTCAAAACCAATTGACTGGAACAATGACATCGCACTCGTGGAGGTAAAACATTGTTATTTGTCCCCTGCATCGTGTAATAAATCTCCAACTAAGATGAACAGGCCAGTGATCTTTACAGATTCTATAAAGCCACTTTGTCTGCCGTCGCCAGACCTCGTCATCCCAGCGGGAACGCCTTGCGTGGTGAGTGGATGGGGAAGAACGCGAAAAGGTGGAAAATTATCCGAAAGACTCAATGAAGTCGCTGTGAAGCTGATGACAAGCGAAAGATGCAAATCGTACGATGGGTATGCTAATCAACTGACAGATTCGATGATCTGTGCGGGGTACGAAAAGGGTGGCCGCGATGCTTGCTCAGGTTAGTCTTCCATGATTTCAATATTTCTAAAGCTCACTCAGGCGATTCTGGTGGACCAATGGCTTGTAAATTAACGAGTCCTAGATCTCAGCGAAGCCCCAAAAAGAAAGGAAGATATCAGGCACATGAGATGACATCAACGAAGACAAAAGTCAATTGATCACATTTATATTCGCATGTTAATCTCGTATAGAAAGGCTTTTCAAGCAATCAAAATGAACAAGACGGAGCTTGGGTTCTCTACGGTGTCGTTAGCTGGGGAGCTGGATGTGCAAGAGAAAGAAGCCCAGGCGTGTACGTGAAAGTCACGAAAATGATTGAATGGATTCGTGCTGTCACGGGCGTTTCGAACCCGAGACACGATCATCTTGTTCCCGATACTTGGGGTGAACCGGTTGGAGCCAGCTCCATCAATCAGAGGGAAGCTTATCGACCTACTAGAACTCCAGGTCGGGTTGAATCTACTGAAAAAACAACCCGGAAATTAACTGAACATCTCAACCCCGAAAGCTCCGACCAAAGCGCCTTGTGGATATGATATGCGAAGCTCAGATGTTGGCGAATTCACTAGTCCTAATTTCCCAAAGGCATATCCAGCAAACTCAAAATGCACTTGGAATATTTTCGCAAGCAAAGATAAGCCATTTATCCGGCTCAATGTGACTGATATGCGTTTCGAAGCTCGATCCACAGGTGGCTGCTTTATTAATGATCATATTCGGGTTTATGGCGAAGGAAAGGGTCGTTATTGATTGATCTTCTCGAGATCAGAAATCATTCGAACAAACATTAGAATTGATACAAGGGTTCAAGAGGATATGCTCAATCTGTCAGACTGGGTTTAACCCCTCAATGGCGGTAACCTAGTCGGCTCAGCTCTTTATCTTTCGCTGCCCAATTTCAAACAGATGTTGGGCCGTGTTAAGCTTCCCCTGGTGTGTTACTAATTGATATATAATCTTAAAATAATGACTTCTCAAAAAGACGGCAATCAAATCGGCACTGCTCTCTGCCGACTGAACAAAAAACAAGACGGTTACATCGTCACTTCTCGTGAACGCATGACAGTGAGGCTCAGTACAGATGGAGTCACTCAAAACCGAGGATTCGCCGCCAATTTCCAGTTGTTGACAGATGAAGCATCAGGCTGCGAGAACTCGAATAAAATCAATCAGGCCGACAAAGGTAACATTGATTTTTCTCGGGTTAATTTGAGGATCAATTTCTTGAGCCGCTTTGATAATTGGACATGGTTATTTGGACACTAGAAATTTGGGATCAAATCCAATTCAAGGCCCTCGTAATGGCCTCAATTAGGATTTTGGGATTGAACTTGATCCTCTTTTTTCTAAAAGGTTTATTTTTGGAGCCACTGTTATTTTTAGGCGGTGTTTTTATGACTACAGGATTTCCGATCAAGTACCCCGCTAATACTGACTGCCAGTGGTATATTTTCTCTGGACAGAACGATCCTATTTTGGTAAGTTTCAAGCACCGCCCTAAATCAAAATAAGCGATAACATAATTCTAGCTCCAATTTTCGCGATTTCATATAGAAGGTCCAGATTGGAAGGGGAACTGTCGGTTTGACTATTTGTCAGTATACGAAGGAGACAAGGAAGACGGCGACAACCTGCTGCAAACCATCTGTGGAGCGGCAGTGAAAACCAAAAAGGTTTGATTTCTGTGTATTGCCAAACATTGCTAGTTGAAGTCTTCACCAAGCAAATAATATTCATGAGTGATTCGATCGCATGTCGATATTTTCAAAAAGAATTTTGAAGAGGCATGCTGCCAAGCTACTGTCAGCGAGCTCAAATTCAGTGAGCATGAGAAATAAGGGAGAAAAAAATAAAAGATTAGCGGGGATTATTTGGAACACGGGTTAAACCTCCTTATAGCGCCCGGAAGTTAATCCCTGCTCACTAATACCCATAACATTCCATATCCTAGTCCCCGATTCCCCGTACACACAGCTTCATCGCCGCGAGTGGAGAAATGTTCGTCAAGTTCCACAGTGACAACTCGGTAAGGAAATAAAAAAGAAATGGAACGAAATTCTAAACTGCGCGGCCGAAATAGTTCTAAACGCTTCATATTCACTTGCTAGCCATATTCTCTATCTTAGCCTTAATTAATCCTCTTCTAGCGGTCCTACGCTGGCTTTTACGCCGCTTACCGGTCGGTTCCTAATCCCCGCCTGGAATCTGCCTATGGTTACGTGCAGCTTGGACGACGCGCGACTCTCACAGATGAGCAGCTCGCTTCTATTTCTCCTGAGAAGATGAGCAGAGAAGAGTGGCTCGTGGCCCAGTTCGACACGTTATGAAATCTCATCAATGGAAATCTGATTCGATTTAATATGCTCCTGAAGACCGCATATTTGTAAACGTCTGTTTGAAAAACTTTCATCAAAATATTGACTTTAATTTGGCGCCAGATTATAAATAGTAGGTTTATTAAAGAAAACAGACTCAGCCATTTTTCTCCTTACAAGCAAGATGGTACTGAAGTAGGTCAGATTATGATTGAAATTCATGTCACTCGATCCAACTCAAGATCCGTCTATTTTGACCACTTGTTTCTTCTCGTTTTCGAATCATCTTACAAGCTGTCACTTTTTAATCCAATTTTTCATCCCAGCTTTGGATAATTCAATTTCGCATTATTATTTTGGCCCAACGTGGAAACCCAGAGTATCAACAAAAGCACTCGTTTTTCTCAATTAACTTTCGATTGTTGTTGAAGTTCCATTTACTCTCATTTGATTTTCAAGTTCCAAGGACCACAAGGGGCTGCCCCTTTGGCCCCCTGCCATTGTCATATTAATAGATTTAATAGGCGGCAATTTAGGTTAATAATTTATAAAGTACTCTCGATTCTCGCGCAACAGGCGGTGGCGTGGAAAAGATTTCCGACAGTCGAACATCTGTTGCAATTCCCACAAGGGGGCATTAGCCCACTCGCCGACGGCCAAAATCCGAGAAAAGCAAATTTTTCTCCGACAGCCAAAAAGGAGAAAAATCGAAACCCGCATGTCCGATAGACCGCATCAAACACGAGTGCAAGGCATAAATGGCGAATATTGCGGCCCGGCCACTCTGTAATCCCGCAAGGGTGGCTAGACACGGAATTCCGAAAGTGACGAACATGAAGAAGTGTCAACCAGTTTGACAGGGCATGTGCAGTCGCAGGAAAAAATTTTCAAACGTGTGGGTGAGATAATTCGCGGAAAGGGCCACAGCTGGTGATCTAAATTTGACGGTAGCGCTTATGGAGATGGATAGATCCGATGGCCCAAATTTTACGCCTCGGTGCAGTTAATATTTCCAGATAAGGTAAATTGCCCCCGTGGTCGCTTCTCAGGGGTTGCCACCTTAGAACATAATCTTTCTGAATTCCGGCTCCCAAAAACGGGAGAGGAAAAGCTTTGTTTTGATGTTTTGCAAAACAAAGAATTTCCGGAAGGATTCCAAGATTGCATAACCAAAAAGCATTCTTGAGCAACTCCCCCCTTAAAAAAGTGTGATTTCGGGCAGAGCAAAGCCCCAAAAGCTGGGTCAGTTGTTGAGACAAATCCGTCCATTGATGTTCTCACCCCCTTCCGCCTTGTCCAAGATTGTGCTCCACTCCCGCTGTGTCCACTTGACAGAAGCGTATTTTCCTATTTCCGCCGTCGAGTGCTTGTTTTTTCTTGCCCTTTCAAAACGAAAACATCATCCCCGCGGTTAGATCGCCTTCATCCCCCTTCAGATATTTTATTGATCAGGAGCTTGTTAGAGCGATAACGGCCCAGCAGAATCAAAACTCTTGAAAATTCTCCTTCATGCTGGGTAATCGTTGCCAGCACAAAGGGCAAGGACGCTTGAGCAAAGAGAATTTCGAATTGCTGGCGCTGAGTCAATGAAATTGCTTACTATGTCAAATATTCGTAATGGAAGGGACAGTCGCCAGAATTATGGAAATTTTGAAAGATGCGATTTCGCAAGTGCAAATATAGACTTTGATGATAGTTGCCTCCGGTTCCCCGACTCCTGAAACTCCTGAAACTCCTGAAAAAATTAATTTTGATTGAGGAGGTGCTGACCTGGATTATTAATCCTTCTGACCGCAAAATCGTCAATTTCTCCGGCTGTCGTTAACAATAAGGATTAAGATAAAGTGCAGAACCCTCCAGCGCGACCGTGGAATTTCCAAAGAATTGTCAATTTGACCTTACACGTAACTTTGACCAGAATGTGCTATTTGTCGAATTCTACTATTTCCTTACGAGGCGGTTGACTAGCTTTGAGTTTTTTTAGTTTGCTGAACTTCCTATCGATTAAAGCAAATTTACCCAGCGTTACGACGTCCTCAATACTATTTACCTTCAATATTTGCGGAGTATAAATGCCCAGTCTTTTCTTCTCATATTTTCGACCTCTGAATCGAATATTTTGGTACTGGGTCCACAAATATCGAGGTTGTCAAAATACGCCAAAGAATTTTCTCGTGAATATGAATTAGGGAAGTTATTTTACGATTTTGCGTACATTATGCTCGTCGGCTTTAGTGGTTAAATTTGTGATGAATAATTTAACAAAAGAATATTTCAAATATATCCGCAGTATTCAACTCGAAATCCTGTTGAGTCGTATTCAGCATTTTTCGTCTATTGATTCTCGTATGGTTCCTTTGGTAAGGTAAGTTTTTATGTCACATTAATCATCTAATAAAAAGTAAAACATCACGGCAGTAAAAAATAACTATTCTGAAGTGTTTGGGTACTTTTGAAATGAAAGAACTGCAATAAATCTTCACATGAAAATTAGAAAGAATTGAGGACATTCTTGCTCCTCCAGCCCGAGTCACCACAGATTATGAACCGCCGAGTCATTGCGATATCATTCTAGCGCAAAGAAGGATGACTGTGTCCTTTTTTTCGGGCTTGGATCCACTTTTGCGTCAAGGTGCGTCGGAATTCGACTTTTGGGAGAGCTAGTGCTGGAGCTTGTGAATGTGTGCGATTGAATCCGCTTATCGTAACTTTCTTTTTCAAATGATTCAACCCTTACTGGCGGTGGTGTAAGGATGTATGGTGGCAGAGCCTGAGGCCTCGCTTGCGCCGCTTCATTGGAGCTCCAAGCCGAGTAGGGCGCCACCACCGCACTCCGTTTCCTTCGCGTTTCGTCAAAATTTGAGTTTTTCACCGAGCGCAGTAAGAGGTGCCTCGAAATCTTACTATTCATTTTGAAACAGAGAACTACGTGATTGCGATTCAGAGTTACCAGAAGCTTGCTTAGCAATGTGTCACTAGTAGATGGACTTGAAGGACAACTTTGTGGTACAGGACGTAGCTGAAGCTTATATCGGAGGTACAGTTCGAGAACTGGTGGATATGTCACATATGTTCTGTTAATAACTGTTGAAATAGAAAGTTTTATTTAATGATTAAAAGATAAACTTGTAGAAGAAAATGGGGAATGATGATTTTCCGCTTGAGCTACGAGGGCCTCTCGTCATCTCCCTTTAATTTTCACCCCGCTGCGAGACGCGGTTCCGCCTCACTGACCAAGACCCTTTAAAACGACCCCCTTTCTTCCCAACAACAAAAGAACCAGTCCTTGATTTAATTTACCCAAAGCTAACTCTTTCTTCTCAGGAGTCGCGCAACTAACAAAAATGGCATACGACGCGGGCATCAACGAAATCTGGGACACCATGGACCAAATGGACCAAAATATCAGACAGCAGAGCGAGCGAGGCCTCATCACAGATCAACGCGAGCTCACCGAGCTGACGGTAAGCTAAAATTCAACAATAGTAGTTTTCTTGTCTTTCTTTAACGTTGTTAACGACCTTTGTGATCATAAAAAACAAGAGCCATAAAAACGCGTATTCTTGACAACGCGATAAAGCCAGCGCTTTTTGCGACATGCTGGATAACATGGTTTCCGTAGGAAAGAAAAAAGAATGACAGATTTACCGTACTAACGCTTTCTTCTCTAACCCTTTCAGCTGAAATCTTGAACCAACGACTTAAATTTAGATGAAGATGAACCACCTCAACAATCCGATGCAATACATGACGCCCATTCTGATAACAGTCATGGTCGTCGTTGCAATTCTCTGCACCATGTGCATGTGCGCATTCGGATTCTGCTGGTACGTGCGCTTCAACAAGAAGCAAAAGCGACCATATGTGATTGACGATTTGGAGCGCAATCGACGAAACGATTGCCGAGTCAAGAACTTCACCGAAGAAAACATTCAATTCGTGAACAACCAGTACTACCCACCACGTGGTCGAAAGGCCGACTCCACGGAGAGGTAATTACAGTCATCACAAAACTCCAGAAAATGGTTTCTGTTTCACTAAGAATAATACGCAGCGTAGAAATCGCCTCGTTAGAATAGACACCACCACAAACTGCATAATCTGAACACGAACATCCGGCCTAAGGGGTCAGTAAGGGGAAAATAAAGAAGCTTTTTTCAACCCTCACGTGAAAAAAGCACGCTCAAGTATACTTATTATCTCGGCATATAAAATACCAGGTGGCGCCAGTAACAATTAACCCTAATTCCCGGTTATTTCTTTCGGGAACCTCCCTCCTTACGTACTCCTTGCCCAGACGCTCGGTCAGAGACACAACCTTAGTCACATGATATATATTATCTTGTTCACTAACGTGATTTTTGTAGGAAACGCTCACGCTCGCGAGCGTCTTCCCGAAAATCGACGGGCTCCCGAATCTGGCGTCAGGCACGCAAGAGCTTCCGTACTTTGCGCAAGGATAAGTTCTGGAAGGAGGTCCCCAAGCTCTACCCTAATCTCTCCCAGTTCACTCACAGGTAAATAATTAGTGACAGTAATAATTGATTTTCTACGCTTAATTTTGATGGCGGATTAAAATGAACCGAGACACTGTATTCGATAATAAAAGACCTCTCTGTGGTCGATGAATCAAGTCTTACCGGAGCTCTTACGCAAAAGCCATCTTTTTGGCCATAGCTTTGATGGACTTGATTGATCGCTAAAGATGTGTCACAGGTCGTCAACTGCTGATCAGAAGTTCAAACAAAACCTTCTGAGAAGTATTTACAGCGGCTTGTAAGCCACTCCACCCTGGCGTGGCCCCACCGAGGGCTGTTGAGTTATTTCAGGCGTCTATTCAAAACCGTAAAAGCCCTCGAAACAACAATAGACCTAAACTAGCGCGGCCACCGCTGATCAAATATTTGTTCCCAAATTTAACCCATCGACGGGTGCGATGAACCCGACAGGGACGAGCAAATTTTACCGTTTCTGTTCAGCTCCGAAGCCGGCATGGGGCCCATGGCAGGCGAAAACTACTCATCCCAGGAAGACTTGACCCCGATCCATACTCCAACGAGGAAGTACCACTCGGGCGAAGAAAGTGGCAAATCCCGACGCGGGAAAGGTCACAGCAACTGGGATGGAGATACCAAACAGGAGAAGTCCGGCTGGTGAAGCGCCAGGTGATGCCACTTTTCATCGACTGCCAATGTTCACGAAAATCGATTTATAAAGAGGATATCAAAGTAAAAACAAAGTTAAAACAATACGTAAACTCATCGAAACACAATAATGTGGACTACACAAAACCAACTCTTTTGTATTATTTTTTCATACTTCTGACAAAAATTTCTTGTCTTTCTTGTAAAGACGCCTGCAAACACATCTTACCTCGTCCAAACTTAAATATGAAATTATCTGAAATTAAAAGTATTTCCAACTGAGCGTGACTTATTTGATCCTCGCAGGGAGTTTATTTGAACACAGCAGGGGGCCGTCTGGGCCTAAAGTCGGTGCCGAATGATTTATCGATCGGACATTTTTTTATTGGCTTGAATTTTGAATTGCTACGGGAGCATGAGAGTGCTTGAATTTTGCCCTTTGATGACAAGTTGGAGTGGGGCCAACACGTGTTCCCATACAATGCATTTTTAACCTGCCGGAACGAATCGACTAGATAGTAGATATAAATTCTTTAAACAACAAGAACTTGGATCTATCCATTTTATATGCGCATATATTCGTAGAATGGTGTTTTATTCAATATCGCGATCAATAAATATGAACTCAGTAAGGATCTAAGGGTATCTAGTGCATGCCAAGGGGACCTCTCCAGAACCAGCCGAGGAAAACAAAGGCAGCCATGAAGAAAGCAGCGCCGTTGACCGAAAATCGTCGGCGAGCCCAGAATTCTTGTGAGTGATAGTTGTTCATTTTGTTGCCTCCAGCGACGAAGTTACTTTTTAACGGTTTCACAAGATACTCTTCCTTGATTTCAACAAAGGAAATACCAAGGTTAATGACGATCTAAGGAGTGCTGTAAATTTAATGGACCTTCCAATAGAATGTACTCTGCAAACAAACTGGATATATAATCTATGGTCATTCAAGTCTTTTTGGAACCGTGCCCGCAAGTGCTCTGAGTTGCGCAGTTGTATGTTTCGCTTGTTGGTCCATGAGGTCGGTTAGCTCCGCCGAAGACATGATGAGGGAGGCCCATGTGGCCCTGGTTGAATGGGGGAAGCCATGTGGTCTTGGATCCCAAGCGGAATGACTGGCTCAATACTCGACTTTGAACGATTCGGTTCATCCTGAATCCGGAGAATGAGATGAAGGATGGAATTTGGCAGGGTTTTCAGTATTTTATTCAGTTTGTATGAGCAGGTAGAGTGACGAAGAACGTGAGGAGCAAAAGCTGTTTTGTTTTTTCAAGTATTTATAAATGTCAAAAAGAGAAAGTCATGAGAGGTCTGGGCGAGTTATGTACAGATCCATAAGGTATATTTATCAGAAATCGATGAAGAGAGAAAAAATGAAGAAAATAGAACCAAAATGAAATTTGTAGAAAAATTCTAGTTTTTGCGGCGTCCGATGTTTTTGAAAATGTCGTGATATGCGGGAGGCGGTGAGGAGTCCTATTGAAATGAGCATGATAAGGAGGAGACAGCGGATAGGATTACCGTTGGCCGTTGAGAGTCAGCTTGGTTGTTTTGGTGCAGGAGACGTTGTCGGTCGGAGTTCGACCTTTCGCTGAACTCCTGTTCTTGGCCGTTGCTCGTTGCAGACTCGTTACTTTGTCTGAGTCTTTGTCTTCGCTGTTCGCGAGCTCTGTCACGATTTCGAGAGGCTCTTGTGGCGATTTCGCTGCTTGGAGCACTTGGTGTCGGGCATGACTGCTCCTGTCTACGGGACTGCTCCTGCTGAGAGCTGCGCGATCGGGAACTCCGCGCAGCTGGACGCGGCGCTTCTGCATCCTGTGGTATGCGCGCTCTCCCGCGATGACGGCCAATTGTCCTTCTTATCGTACCGTAGACCTAAATCAGTTGTTACTTTTTAGAATAATCGTCGGTTTAGTCACCTGCTGGGCGGCCTGGGGCACATGAACCCGCTCTACTTTTTGTTTATATTTACGCGCAGTTGCCAATCCCTGCGTAAAACAACCCACTGCGGTGAACAGCGGCCACAAAGCCAACACACAGTAACTGTACCAACAGGGGACCGCCATTGGCAACGGCTCGGGTGCGAGTCGGACAAGCTCATGCCAAAGGTAGTTGTAAAGTCGCCAGTTTTCGATAAAGTAGTCGAGCCCTGCGGTTATCTAAAAGTGGGGATCGATGAGATTCTTTTGGGAGACAATGAGGGCAAAAACAAACCAGAAACGCGCCACAAAGGGCAGTTGCGGCGATGAGGCCAGGCTTGGACGCGTGTTTGGTGAGAATCATGGCACCGAAAAATGATCCCCCCGAGGAGAATGAGGATACAAGCGGAAGCGAAGGGGGACGGGAGAAAGACGCCAAAAGCTACCAGGGAGCCAACAATAATTGAAGAGAATAGCGCGCCTCCGTAAACTCCCCAAAGAAAAAGTCCGAGGCCTAGAGTAGAATGAATCTTTTGTGAGTTAAGCCAAAGTTAATACCTGGTATAAGATGTGTTATACAACCAACTAAGGAGCCGACGGACAAAGCTGCGCCCCAATTCGCGCCGTGAGGTAGATCATCGACTCTATTGCAAATGGCAAGAACAGAAACAGTGGCAAACAGTGCACCCTGGAAAAATCATGAGAAAAAATCTTAAAGGCGATCTTACAGATAGCCACATGCAAAAGCGAAAACATCGGTATCCGGATAAACAAAGCACGAGGCCTGTTATTATTAATGCGCAGCAGATAGATACATGCTTCCAGTAGTACGTAACGCTAAAGTCGTTTGGGCAGTGATTGAGCTCTTCCTCAGTCTTGTATCGGTAAATCTCGTTGACATCATTATCAAAGTAGTCGATCCCATCGGTTTCCAAGAACGATCCGTCCATTTGTTACTCTGAAAACGGAGCCTATGAGGTCTTGGAGGTATTTTGGGATTGTATTGAAATAAATAGGATTTGGTTTTTCGTAAGGATTTACTTTGAGAGTTGTAACGGTCGCTCTTAGAGTGACATCATACGAGTTGAAATAAAAGTATAATCAGGAACACAAGTAAAATTATCATAAGCAAATGTTTACGCAACTAGGACTAGTAGAAACTTAATTAATTATAACTGTTGAATTTTCTTTATATTTTCTTTTGTACAGTACGTGGCTAGAACTGTTAGCCAATAGAGTTTTTGGAAGGGAAGAAGTACAATTGGGAGTTACATGCCACCGTAAGCAGGTCCTCCACCACCTTCGGGACATTGCCAGTCAATGTTTTGCGAGGGGCACTTGATGTCGCATGTTTTACAGTGGACGCAGTTCTGGGCATTGATCACGAGTTCTTTCTTTCCGCTTTCTTCATCGGTGACGTACTCGTAGACACCAGCAGGGCTAAAGAGAGAGTTTAACAGGTTTGAATAAATTTGGTTAAATTCACCAGAATCGAGCTTCAGGTCCATCGAAAAGCTCAAGATTTCTCCGCAGGTCGTCGTCCTTGAGTGTTAAATGAGCTGGCTGATCACCATTATGATTAGTTCCGGAAAGAGCCACGGAAGAAAGGAGATCAAATGAAAGCTTTCCGTCGGGCTTGGGGTACTCAATCTTCTGGAAGTCCTTGGCGGGCTTCATTTTTTCGTGATCAGCGCCACCGTGGGACAGGGTCCACTTTTCGAGGTCGATTCCAAAGGTTCCTTATTTTGAAATATTTTTGAAAATAACACAGAAATCGAAAATACCCTTGAGCATACAGACGAAGAAGCCAGTGTAAGCAAGACCGCCGTAGAATCCAAGAGGGTTGTGGAAAGATGGACGAACATTACGAACATCTTTGAGCTCTTTGTAGATCCATGAGTTTTTCAGCGCAGTCTCGTACTCTGGCACGTCAAGGCTTTCATGTTTCCATTCTCGGGTTTCATCTGAAAATGCGCTCGCGTTTTAGAAAGGTGGAGAAAATGGAGCTTAATCACCTTGAAGGGCGGAGAAAATGCTCTCAGCCGCGAGCATGCCAGACTTCATGGCGTTGTGAGTTCCCTTAACCTTTGGCACGTTGAGCAGTCCAGCGTCACACCCAGTTAGGACACCGCCGGGGAAGGTCAGCTTTGGGATCGCTAGAGCGAAGGTCAATACAAATTGTTACAACAAAGGGCGATTATGTTACACTTGTTCCAGTAAATGAGCTTAAAAAATGGAACTAACCTTGGAATCCACCTTCGTTGAGTGCTCGAGCACCGTATGAAAGTCGCTCGCCGCCCTCAAGCATCTCAGCAATGAGAGGATGATGCTTCCATCGCTGGAATTCAGAGGGAGGAGAAATGTAGGGGTTTTCGTAATCGAGAGAGACAACATAGCCAAGAGCGACGAGGGTTTCAGCTTCTTCTGCTCCCCAATCAGTCAAATGGTAGACAAAAGAGCCAGCATAGGTCTTCTTGTCCATGGGCCAGCCAACAGTGTGAAGAACCAGACCATCTCGATGCTTTTCAGCTGGGATTTTCCACAATTCCTAGAGTAATTTATAAGTAAATTAAATTTAAATTGCGTGCCGATCGATTTTCGAATACACAAGTTAGATAACCTAATACCTAGCCTATACGTAATTCAATAAATTACGCAAAAAGTGGATTACCTTGATGCCCGTGGCGTAAGTCTGTGGCTCGCAATTTTCACGCAATTTAAACTCTGGGTTTTGGTAAAGCTGCTTGCCCAGGGAGCCGTGGCAACCTTCGGAGAAAATGGTACACTTGGCGCGGAAGCCCATTCCTCTCTCGAAGGAATCAGTTGGGGAACCATCCTTGGCGATTCCGGAGTCGTGAGTAGCAACACCAGCTACAGATCCATCATCGTTGTAAAGAATTTCGGTGGCAGCGAAGCCTTAAACAATGCGTTTAGAAAAAAACGTTGTTCAGCAGCTTGAACAAGGCTAGAATTACGCACAGAGATAAATACGCGGCGAAGTAATATGCTCGTTGAGGTTTTAAGAGCGTTTAACAAGAGGTTGAGTGGTAAGCCACGAGCACCCCACTTAGCATTGCACAGTACAAACACTTAAATTCACCTGGATAGACTTCGACGCCAAGTTCTTCAGCGATTTCTCCAAGCCATGCGACGACGTTGCCCAGTCTTACAATGTAGTTGCCGTGGTTGTTCATCGGCCAGTTCTTGGTCATCCAGTCCCAAGTTGAGTTGCCCAGGAAGGGCGCTCTAATTGACTTTTGGTCGTTGAGCATGATATGGAATTCATCCTCTTTCACGGGTGTGTGAAGAGGGGCACCACGTTCTTTCCAGTCTTGAAAACTACAGTTGACACGTGTCGCTTATCAGTTAAATACCTGGGATAAGTTCATCAAGCGCAGTTGTCTGAAGACAAGCACCCGAGAGGATATGATCTCCGATGTTCGCGGCTTTTTCGATGACACAGACTCGAAACTCTTCCGCGTCCAAACCCGCTTCGTTTGCGAGCTGACGGAGCCTGATAGCAGCTGATAAGCCGGCTGGGCCGCCACCAACGATTGCTACGTCAACTTCGTCCTCGTAACGTGTCCAGACATCTTCGTCCGATACGATTTCTGCCCACCTAAAGAAGTCATCTCGTTTACCTCAAAAGCGACAGGTAATTGTTACCTTGGATCGTTTTCCCTAGGCTTTTGGAAGTAGTGGGTGGTGGATGCTGCTCGCTTGGCGAGTCTAGGTAGCCTTGTTACAACCCGACGCAGCATCTTAATGCAAATTTCATAAATTTTCATTTTATAAAAGATTGCAAAGATGAATGTTAGTTTGAAAGTCAGGTTTGAGCAGACAGAGTTCTGGTTTAAATTTTGGCCTTGATTCCGAATGCAATTTTCGGTCGAGATTTAACTCCGGCCGAGTTCTTTTTGCCGAGAATGACATTTTGCTGTTCTTTCGTCTTGCTCTCCATTTCTTTCAAGAAACTGGTGCGTTCTTCTTCGAGTTTTCTTCGCGACTCAACGACACTCAGCCGTTCTTCCGCGAGTTTTTCCTCGGCATCGGTAACGCGTTGCTTCATGTCGGCGATTTCCTAAAAGAGGAACGTAAATAATCCGTGCGCAGGGGCAAGGTCGCGACCCGGGTGAACGTAACGTGTGCCCTGCAAGCCCTGCATATTCATTCCGCTGGACTGACTCAGACAACAAAACCCAATCATGAAATTCAAGTGGACCAGATCGAAAGAATCCTCAAAACCCTTAGACAGCAATTTCGATTGAATTTAATTGAACCTCATTATTCATAAGCTGACGGTTACTGGCGCCATTTCTACCGCGGAACGGTGGCGCTAGATATAAAGTGGGGGATTTCACGTTAACTCAGGATTGGTAGCCGCCGGCGGTTCCAATAGTCCCAGGTACTACCTATTTTATCCTTGTAGTGTCATACTCTGTCAAACAACAAGAGAAAATCCAGTGAAGATTAGATTTAAAATGATCAAACGAAGCCAATGAATAAGATAATTTATTTGCAAGAGAATCATCTAATCGTCACTTCGCCGGAATACCCGAAAAATGTTCCGGGACAGACGCAAATTGAGTGGAAGTAAGTGCTTTATTTCATATTCAATCTTGAGTCAGGATTGATATCAAGGAAGAGTACCAATCTAATCAGGAGGATTGCTCTCAAAAACTCTTTTTTTGACACGTTTTCATTAACAAAACACTTCAACAATCAAACAAAGCTCTTATTTTTTTCCTTCAGAATACAGACAGACCCTGGTTACCGGATAAAAACATACTTTTTCGTATGTGACATCCCTCAGAGTTTATTTTGCCAGCGGATCTATGTCAACGTTATCGACACAGAAATGCTATCTGACGGAACAACAGAAGAGATAAACAACAGCCGGTAATATATTTCTTGATTTTATGATCAGACGAACAAGTAAAGATAAACGGAGGTGTACAAGCCAATTACTAGGATTATCGAGATAGGAAGTTCCCAGCCGGGGTTGCTCTTGCGAAGGGTGATATTTGGAACAGGACCGATCTTTTCTGAAGCTGGTATTTCAAGAATATTTAAAAGCTTTTCAAGGGTCAATATATTCTCTCTCTACAAATTAAAGTCATAACAGCTCACGTTCTACGCTAAAAATAACCCGTCCTTAGACATGTCATCATCTGAGTTGTTTTTATTGCAGCAACGCATTTTCATATTTTGAGTTAAAATATGCGCAGACGGTTAATTGAAAATTTCTGTTCTAGAAGAGAGGCAAAACAGAGACCCGCCTAAAACATATTTCTAAAAACAATGACTAGAGGACTAGCCCAAAACGAATGAGTGGGCTTTCTATATTTTGGCTTTCGCAAGAGATGATAAGATCGGTTTCCAACACTATCCCAAGAGCAAAATGCGCTGAACAGGGAAAAACATGACAGCGGTTTACCATTGTTCGTTTTTAGAATATGCGGTCACTGTCCGGAAACGCTAGTCTCATGGTCGAATTCCGTGGTGATTCGACTCCAGTCTGACGCAGGTGGCGGCCTGGATGAGCTCCGTCGGTTCGCGCTGCGCATAGAACGCACCTCGGAGCCGCCAAGCTTCAAACACGTGCGCAACGCTGAGATTTCCGACCCTTCAGCCCCTACTCTTCCCCCACTTTACTACGACAACATCGAGCTCGACTACAACGAGGGCTTTAACGGGTTCATCACGACTGGGGATCTCGAGATTGGAGCTTCCGCGTCAAACAAACTTCTCTGGCTGAAGATTTGTCTGCCGAGCATTTTTGGAGTTCTGCTCCTTGTAATTATGATCATCTTTTTTATAAAACGAAAACGGGAGAAAGAAGAATATGAAGCTGACATTGGATATAAAGAGCCAAAATTGTCAAAAGAGCAGAAATGGCTCAAAAGTATTCCAAAACCTTTCAAAGAGCAGTACATGTCTTCTAATCCTGGCACTGGAACCAATCAGACTACGGTCAACAAGTGATTTTACAAGAAGACTGTAGCTAACTGTATGCAAATAATAAATAAAAACACTCACCTCTCAATTCTACAATCCGTTGCGTTTTTACTTTAGAGTTACTGTTTATAAAAAGTCGAATGAGCCGAGTGGATTAGGGGCGCCGGACCGGTAGGTGCCTTCGTATTTATCCTCACTACTTGTATTTACTATCGCGTAGTCTCTCAGATCTTGATTTCAGACAGCTACGAGCCTTCGTCTACACGTTTTTGGCTTTCAAAACATACTCAAGCAACGTATAAATAATAACCTAATCGAGGACCCCTAACCCTTCAATAATTTTTTCCTACGAAGGCATATCATTCTTCATTTTAGCTCTGATTCGGCGGATTATCATAACAAAACTAAGAAAAGGTTGAATAAAACACGTCATAATAAAAATCAGAGAATTCAGGACGGCATAATCTAGGATCTTTTAACGCGAAATCGACGTCAAATCCAATAAAACGCTTGAACCCGGGTAGGCGGCCTTGATTCAAATACAAATTAAATTTCATCCCCTGCGAAAAATTCTCCTTTCAAGAGCCCCCGCACCTGAAATTTATGTGCTGACGCGTAGAAAATGCGTCAGCTCGCAATTTTCTCGCTTTCTTTGGTATGCAATTATAGAATAGAAGCGTTACTCTTACCTTTTCGAGCTTGTGAATGTGATCGACATGTTTGACCTCGCGGTGCTTGAGCTCGTTGATAAGCTCGACTTGTTCTCTGTTGAGTTTGTTATCGCTGGTGTCGGCAGGGGGAGTCGCTGCTTCCTCTGAGCGGATTTTCGCTGCGATTTTCTTCTCGATTTCGGGCATTCGTCTAGCAATTTCTTCTTCCACCTTGAGCCCGACCTGATTTCAAATTATGTAACTTACTGTAACGAAAATAAAACGTACCTCAAGTGCAACACGTTTGTCGACTTGTTGTTTTATGTAGATTTCGTTCTGCTCCTGCTGTCGGATTTGACGGAGTTTTTCCATTTCCTCACGCTCCTTTTTTCGCAAGTCCGTATCGCCGTAATTCTTCTCGGTGCGTTTTTGCTTTGAAAGCATTTTGCTGTACACATCGGATGCGATGTCAGAGCTAGAAAGAAGAAGAGATAAGAGGGTCGATTATAAATTCAAGTACCTGGAAGAGGAGCTTCGTCTCCGACGATGACGGCGTCGACGTTCTCGGGAGCGACTTCTTCTTCGGTCTTTATTGGGGCAATAACTTGAGGGTTGAAAAATCAACGAGAGAATGAAGTGTGACCCATTCCTGAGCGATCTCTGGAGCGCGATCGGGATCTTGGCATGATAGTTTGTTTATGCCTTTTTTTGATTTCGAAGAAGTAACAGTTGTTGGACCGGGTTTCTTGTCAATTCTTGCTGAATAAAGTTCATGATAGAGAGATCTCGGACACAGTGTTCAGGAGGTAAATATCAGAAATAGCAGTAGTCAACACTACCGCAACGACTTCGAAATGATACGACAGGTGATTCGTGGGATCACTGGCTTTCATTTTCAGATTCAGAAATAATGACAATTGTCAATTGAGCGATTTGTCTGAAAAGAGTAACCATAAGTTATAGTTCTTTTTGATAAAGTGGGATGTTTTTCGGAACTCAATTAATCAGAGCATTGATGAAATACTGCTGTATTAAATAGGAAGTGCCGTCTGATCCGTTACATGACGTACATTCATCGCAACCACAGCCAGCTGAAAGCTACTCCAAGGATTGCTACTCAAGCAAGTGCTTCCCGTTGCGGGAAAACTATATCAACGAAAATATCAGCTGCTAAAGCCCAAAGGGTGGAAGATAACTTCCTTCAGGGAGGATCAAAGAATGATGTAGATAGAATTTATTTAACAACTTAAATATATCTGCACAAATAAGTTCGAATTATGGACATAGAAATATGTTCGCAGAATATAAATAAAATAGAACGTTTCATCAATATTTTCGACGTTTTCAGGGTGGCAGAGAAGGAGGGTTTTGTTTAGGGGTGTGGGAGTTTGATGATGCGGAATTGAATTCGCGAGTGATAGAGTCAATAGATAAGGAAGATTCGGACGACATTCGTCGGATGCGATCGCGGAAGCCCTCGTTTGATTCGAGCCACCAGTCGAGTGTGTCTGTGGCGGCTGGAGGAGGAGGAGGCAGCGGTGGGTCAGTAAATGCACCTCCTGTCGGAAGGTTGAGGTCGGAAGCGCCCGAATCGCTCGAGACAATGTCGTCGGTTTCAAGTCGCAGTCGTTTGGCAGAAGTTAGAGGCCGCAGAGGTTGCAGGCCCGGGTCGGGGGAGAGATGATCAGATGAGTCACGAGGGCTCCTAAAATTGAATATTGAGAACTTGTTGGATTTCGTTTTGCACCTGGTTTTTACACTTTTCTACGACCTAGTTTTATTTACAACTCGAAACATCTTTTACATCTCGTCGATGTTATGCCTATTGCTACTTACATCATCGTTGAAGTTTTTCGGACGATAAATAAATCCGAGGATGAAAACTCAATAGCCATGGAACGCTAGCGAATCGGCCGAAGTTCCCAAATGATTGAGAGACAAGTTTTGAAGGCCTACGCATACGAGAGAAAACTCTTTCAGTATTCTGAGCACAACAAAGCTCATTGTCAAGGGGATCAAATAAATTGTCAAGAAATCGTATGTCTCGCGCAGAACCTTATCAGACTTGCTTTCTCGTAGCTCATAGGGTGTTCCGAAGGCCATTTTTGAGTTTTTTTTTCAAAAGATCCTCTTTCGTTCAAGTATTTTATTTTTTGTCTTGTCCTACGATAGGGTGTTTTCCAGTTTTTATGGGAGGAAAAGCAAACATGAGAATCTCAGAAAAAATAAACGCTCCCTGGTCAAGGTACAAAAATATTTACCACAGCAAATATTACACTTGACGATCATAATGCGCGAAGGTGATAAAACGACCCTTTTTCAACTCTTGGGTTTTTACAGTACCTTTTCCTCTTGCCAGAAGGTTTGAACACTTGACGGCCTGGTTGTTGACGACTTCGTAGCGGGTATTCGCACCTGCTATCGGGACTGGCTGAGCGTGGGGAATCAAAGACTGAGTTTGGTGAGCCGATAGGGCGGAAGAAGGTTGAATTTGATGAATTTCTAAATAGAGCGGTGAGAAAATACACAAAGCTGAGTTATATTATTGTATAAAAAATAACGTTCATACTACTTTAGTTTGATAAAACATTTGGTTAATCAAATAATATAATTCGTTTTCGCTTGAACAAAAATTACCCAGGTGATGATGGAAGAATATTGAGTTTTTCCGTAGAGTTTGTTAATGAAATTGATGTATTGATCTAAGGACAGGTAGAAAATAAAACAGTTAGTATAAAGACTGACCTTGGCTTCGCCAAGCCGCTCATCAGCCTCAGATGTTGTCCTACATCGTTGGAGAAGTCCCTTTGTCAATGATGAGTGGCGCCGAAGCTTAGTGCGTTTGAAAGAAAAAGCTTGTTTCTCGTCAGGAGTTTGTAAATGGTCAGAGGTAGGGGTGAGAGATTTGTTTTCGGATGAGTTTGATTTTGTAGGGGATGAAGAAATGACTTCCCATTGAAGAATTGGTGCAGAATTGCAGCGCTCGAAAAGATGCTTTACGCGGTCATCTGGATTTGACATTTTCGGATTCCCGATTTCAGATTCAACAGACTGTTACATTCTATAAGCGACAATATGAGATTAGATCGATTTTGTGGACAATTTTTGCTAGTTTCTCGTAAGACGAGCGAAGGAAAGGGCAGTGACCCCAGATGGGGCAATCGCAGGTTAATCCATCGGCGCTGGCATGTTTGCGTACTGGCCCTGAATGACGGAAACGATTAACAAGGTGAAGGATAGAATGTCTTACCTTGCCAGCGCGCATGTCACCCTTGTCGATTTTGTAATAGAATTGAAGAAAGAACTGGCGCGACTCGGGAATCCAGTGCACCCAGAATTTTTCTTCGCTCTTGAAATAAACATTGAATCAATAGAGTTGTTATGCCATAAATTGTCATTGTTTTGACCTGTGGTTTATCGAAGTGCTTTGGTTGCTTTGACTTTGATAAGGAGATTTCTTGTTTGCAGAAATCGCCCCTGCCAAAGAGTTCAAAAATATTTTCAAAGACACTCACCAAAATTTTGTCTTCAGACCGTTCAACACAACATTCTCTTATTCTCGATTATCCTTATCAATATTTGCCCAGTTTTAACGATAAGAAAGAATCCGAACTGGCATGAACCAGATAGAATGTGGAATTTACACTCGTACCTTGTCGATTTCTCTACTTGGAAGTTTGAACGCAATCGTCTCGTAGGGCTCAGCAGCGAACAGAAGATACTGCCATTTTCGATCTGGCGGCTCAATGTGCTGTTCGTAAGCTGACATGAATCGATGGCGCGGCTCGATACCGTCAACGATTTCGGGGTAATCAACCTAGAGTACTTGTTAATTCAGAAGTACGCCAATAACAGCTGACGCTAGTATTCTTTTCCTTTTAGAATCAATATTTGAAAAGCTCGAACCTGGAAAAGAAGACTTTGCTGGCCAGTGTGCGGGCATCGTTGTTTTGTAACTTTGTATCCAGGTCTTCCGATTTTGATGAATTTCTTGAGCGGGACATTTGGTCGAACTGGCGCGATCTGCGGCCCACCCATTTCCTTCGCTTCCTTGGCCGCTCTTCTAGCCAAGTTGGCCTGATGCTTCTTACCCTGTTTGAAAATGTAAGTATAAAAAATGCAACTGTAGTTACTGTACCTGAGTATGCGCAAGGTAGGACCCTTCATTATTATGCAGCGTGAGGCAAAGCTTGCATTCGTACGATCCCAAATGATTTTTCATAAAATAAGGATCCTTTGCCAAATCAATCGTCTCCAGAGCCAACTGTCTGAGACGCTCCCTCCTGTCCTTGTTCATTTCCGACCATGAGGCCTGTCCTCCCGTGCCGGTCTTTCCACCGGCGCGATTTTGAAAATCCATTTTCTACAAAAAAAGAAGGATGAGACGCGTCCGCAAGTTGAGCGAAGTTTTATTACAAGACAGGGTTTGTTTGATTAAAAGTCAAGCAAATAATAATCACTCAAAAACTCTTGAACTCTGAATATTAGCAGTTTTAATGATTCTTTGGCCGGTGTCACGTGGCCATAGCTTCATCTGTTTCCTTCTCTTCCGCAACGTCGTCCAATTTAAGCTTTTTTGGTGGACTAAAATCAAATTTTAAGACTAAAGAGCCACTAAAAAGGTACCTTGCGGCGCCATCATTTTCATAGTTATCAGTTTTCATGTCATTAATTCCAAGATCATCATTCTGTTCCCATGTTCGTTCATACTCTGTTTCAATCAATTGTGGATCTGGCTCAGGAGCACACAAGCTAGAAACCGGTTTGAAAAACGAAGACTAGAATAAAAATACTTTTTATGTCATATTATGCGCGATGAAACCGCGATAAGGTACCTAAGAATGTAACTATTTCCAGCCGGGTCGTCTAAAATCAAGGTGCACTCAGTTTTCAATTCGAGGATGTCATTGATTCGCTCTCTAAACGCGGCGTATCGCTCTTTTCGCCCTTCATGAATGGCCGAGTCACCCGACGAAAAAGGGTTTTTATCGATTAAATCGTGTCTCAAATCGGTCAACAGTCCCTCGACAGTGGTGAACTTGCCGCTGATGCAGCCGTAGCCAATGTCCCACTCGAGTTCAGGAATTTGGATGCTTGCAGTCTCGGATTTAAGGATGTCACGAGCGAGATCTTCAGCAGTTCTGACTTTTAGTTCGAGACGTTTACCCTTGTCGGAAATGCCGCCGCCGGCTTTGACTTCGTTCGATCTATAGCCGCAGTTTTCGCAGTTAACGGCCATGAGTGTAATTTCCTTGAAGAAGGGGATCTGGACGAGCTTCATTCGACAGACGACATTTGCATTGCAGCTGATGCACCGTTCGTTGAATTCGACGACTTCGTTAGTCAAATCTACACCTCGTCCCTTCAACTCATCAGGATTCGGCGCAGTTCCGAAAACATCCGCCTTGTCTTCCTCTGTGTAAAATCCGAGTGCTTGGTCCTGCGCTTTTGTTCGACCGTAGTGGCGAATTTCGAGCTTTGGATCTGGATAAGGCAGGTGGAGGTTTTCGATGGTTGAGTAGCCGGATGGATCGTTGAGCTCTAGATTGAATTTTCGATCAGTGATCTTCTCCAACTTCTCTTCGCAGAAAGTCAACACTTGAGCCGCCCATTCCGGGTTCTGCTCCTTGTTCAATTCCGCCGTCATCTTCAAATCAGCCGACGCTTTCATGATCAAACCCTCGATTGTCGTCATTGAGCCTTTTTGAGTCTGGCTGGGGATTTCAAAGTCCAGTTCCGGGATTCTCACCGTGCAATGTTCACTTTTGACCACTTGGCGGTTCAGATCTCGGGTTCCGTCGACAATGGCGATGACTCGAACCCCGTGGAGTTCAACTTTTCCGCCAGATTGGACCTCGTTGTTTCTGTAGCCACACTTCTCGCAACGAAAGCTCATGACGATCATTTCTTTAAAGAACGGAATCTTGGTCATCATGATCATCGTTTCTCCGTTCTCGTGACAGTTCATGCACAAGCTCTCGACTTTGGTAATAGAGTCCGCATCGGCGTTGATGTTGACGTAAATTGGCTCCGCCATTGCCTACGATCTCCCTTATGACCTCTGAAAAGGATGAAAAATGAAAAGTGAGGCGCAACTTTCGAGCGGTGTCTGTTTGAGTTTAAGTCTGATGCACGACAAAACGATTTTTTGATAACCGAGTTCAGTACCCGTGAAAAAGTAATTTTGATTGAACTTATACTATTACATGTTTTCAAGACCTCACATTGAGAATTACCATTAACATTATAAGCGCGTATTTTCTGTGTGAATAAAGCTAACCAATGTGAGCAAAAGAGCAGATAGGACAAGCTAAACCAAAATTTTCTAAAAGAAACATGTTTTCTCCGGTTGAAAAATGATGGTTTGGTAACGGTTGCCCATTGCACTTATATCGTGTTGAAGTTAAAAGGAGAGGGCTAGAGTATGGAGCAAAAATATGCAGTGTGCGAGGGTGCGGTGTGTCTTTCTGGGGAGCGGAGGTTAATCGAAATCGCCAGACAACAGAAAATTGGCAGCGTCGTTCTCGTTCTTGTCGCACGCAAAAAAGGCTTGAAGAACAGCTTGTTCGGGGAAACCGAGCTCCTTGAGACGCTCGATTGAGGCCCGATCTTCTGCTGTGATTTCTAACATCACTCGGCCGTCCTAAAATGTATAAAAATCCATGAATACCGCGCAAGAATAACCTCAGTCTGTCTAACGCGAGGTCCATCAGCAGGATTATGTGGTGCTTCAGCTGCAGCCGCTGCTCCCTCATCCGGCTCGTTGATCATATTGATAAACTCTTGCTGATTCGCGGAGATGGCGGCAAACGCTTCCGGATTTTCAAGCTGGAGCTGTTGAATGAATTGCGAGAGTAATTGTGGGTTGCTACGGATGAGCGTTCTAATTTGCTGGAACTGTGGTTCATTTCGAATTTGATCGAGGGTCGAACCACTTGCCGCGCGGCTAGGAGCCGTCACGGTCGGAGCGGCGCTGGCATCAGCTGTTGTTCCGGCGCTGGAAGCGGCTGCTTCTGGCGTTGTTGTCTAAAAGCAGGTTTTCAAGTTGTTTCTGTTAGGGTTTCTGTAGCAAGAAAAACGGGACAGTGAACTAGATATTCTGTGGTAGACAATTTATAAATCAAGGAGGATCTAAAGAGGAGCGAAATGAGCTTTAAAACGGGTGAAATCAGTGAAGTGTAAAAGGGTTGATTTTTTTCTATAAATAAATAAGATAAAACGATTGTTGATCCGTAAAATTGAACGCTGAGATCGATGAAATATACATTTCATTAACAATAGGGGTAGTCAAGATGTCTCACCATTTGAGCGAGCAGTTCCTCTGGAATCCCATTCATCAAGTACTCGACAGCACGTTCGGGATTATTGAAAGCAGCGCCGAGGGCCTGTCTCACTTGGTTTTCCGGAAAGCCCATCGCCATCAAGTTCGCGACGTGAGGATTTGCTGGGGCAGCTGGCTCTTCTGCTGCTGGTTGACTGGGAGTAGTGGCGCTTGGGGTGGTTGTCGGGGCAGGGGTGGTAGCGGATTCGCTTGGGGCGGATGATGCTTCTGCAGCAGGACTAGGATGCTTCTTGTAAAGAAAAACGATGATGGAGGGACTTACGCAGCGGGAGCCGGAGTAGGCGTTGGTTCTGGCTTTGGCTCGACGGGCTTTGCAACGACTTTTGGTTTTGTCACCATCAACACGATGAAACCTTTCTCAGTGATCTGATACTCCTCGAGTTTCTTTTCATCTTCAAGTATTTTACCCTAGTTTCATGGAATCAGTTTCGATCGAGAAAGGCGAAAAAACCTGGTAGATAAGTTTCTGTGCGTCAGCTTTGTATTCGCCGTTGTGGTCAGATTTGCCGGCCTCTTCGATCAAGGCCTTGAAATCTTTAACTGTGATGGAAGGCTCTGCTTCGACTTTGAAGGCCTTCTGTTGCAACGTTTTCACTGTCAGCTGCATTCTAATTGAGACAGGTTGAGAACATTTTACAAAATAAAAATCTATGTAACAAAAAAGCGCAGTGAAAGAAAGAAACGGAATGGTCCTTATTTGAAAGTTTCGAATGAAGTAAAAATATTAACGAAGTTGTAGATTTGTAACTAGAAGACGAAATTTATGAGAACTCGTCGCCCATCATCAGCTCGAAGAACTCCGACATATCGATTTTGCCGTCGCCATCCTGATCGAATTCTTCGATCTATTCGAAGTAAATTTACTTGTTAATCATTCCTGATTACCATTGCGACGATTTCTTCTTCTGAGACAGTCTCGCCAAGTTGCTTGAATGCTTTTCTCAGCTCTCTTGGGCCAATTTTTCCCTATTTCGTCGATTAAGCCCATAAAATTAAAGTGAAAACTTACATCGTCAGACATAAGATTAAATGCTTTTTCAGTTTCCAATTTTGGATCTCTCGCAAGTACAATCTGTTGAGCCAGTTCAAAGTAGTCCTAGAATGTTTTTAACATATGAAGATTGTGCTAACTAAGCATGATTACCTCCCATGAGCAGAGTTTATCCTCTGGCGCGCGAAAAATACTCTTGAATTTTTCTTTCGTGATCGTGTGGCCTAGAGCCTGAGAAATAGGATGTTCAAGATATCAAGAAAATCTGACGTAATTCTCTCGAACGTTCTTTAGGAAAAAATGAGAATCTGAACATCTTTTCCTGAAGGGCAACTTTGAATTCATCTCGATCAAGCTGCTTGTCCTTATCGGAATCAAACAACTCAAATGCCTCCTCGATTTCCGCTCTTTCCTCGTCCGTAAGTTGCTTCTTACGGGGCATTTTTACAGACTTCTTAAAAGAAAAATCTTGAGCGCGTTGTTTCCCGTTGTTTATTTTTGTAAGTTATCCTTGAATGTAGTGAATAAATTTCAATGTACATGTTAGCGTTTTTCTTTTCAATAATGTAAGTGTGTTTCAGAAGATAAATCAGAATCGTCTACCGGCTGCTTTCATGATAGCGCGTTTGGAATCTGTTTTTTGAGCGAGTCGTTGCAGCCAGGTGTATTTCTTGTTGATAGTTCTCTTCTTGAGCACATCCGTGTCGCTTGATTCTGAAACTGGCATAAGGTCGCCGCCGTCCATTGTCGATTCAACGAGGAGTTTCCAGAAGAGATCGGCCTTTTTCAGGTCTCTGTTGTCAGCGACTGAGAAACGATCATAATTTCGGAAAAAGGAGACAGTCTTACCGTTGAACAAAGTGCATGCTTTGCCGTGTCTTCCAGCGCGTCCCGTTCGACCGATTCTATGACAATGGTCATCAATATTGACAGCCAGGTCGTACGAGAACACGTGTGTTATGTCCTTCACGTCGATACCACGTGCAGCCACATCAGTACAAACCATCACTTGAGTTTGACCGTTTCTCAACTTCTTCAAAGCTAGAAAAAAAGATAAAGAAGAAGTTTCGATGAAAAGTGCACCTCTATTGCGATCAACTTGTTCGAAATCGCCGTGCATGGCTCCAATGACCTTTGAAAATCGCCTGTATGTTGACTTGAGCTTATCATAAACTTGATCAACTGTATCTTTCCGGCCACAGAATACCATCAGCTTCCAGTCTCGCTTGATAATCTCGTCCTCTCTTGAAACAAAGCCGCCACTGACTCCTCGTCCTTCCCAGCCTCCGTTATCATGAGTTGCATTGGCGGCACCAGGGCCTTCTTCTGGCTCATTATCGGACCAGCCACCTGCTTGATTTCGCTCTCCCCAGCCGTTGTCATTGCGCGGGACATCCCATCCTTCGCCACCTTCCGCATTCCGAGGTGGTGCTGGCGCATTTTCTTCATCGCTGCTGGTTTCGCCTTCCAATCGAGGGCCAGGAGAGTCAGCTCGTCGATTATTCCCCCCTGCAACGATTTCGATCGTCTCGTCGTCAGAGTCACTCTCAATATCGGTATTTTTCTCACCGCTGTTCCTCAGCTCGTCGATGTATTTACAGAGCTCTTTGAACTTGTCACTTTCGTTGTTGACCTTGATAACGCTCTGAGTAACCGACTTGACGCAGGAAAGATCTATCTTGCCGACAATGATTTTGACAGCTTTTCCCATGTACTGTTTTGCGAATTTTTGGATCTCAACTGGCCACGTAGCAGATGTCATGAGTATTTGACGCTTCTTGGGCATGTTAGTCCTTTCGACGAGCTTTGCAATGTCGTCACGGAAGCCTTGATCGAGCATTTTATCCGCTTCGTCGAGGACAACAAAGGTGCATTTGTGAAGCTTGAGTTCTCCCATCTCTGAAAGATCATTCAAACGACCAGGAGTTCCAATAACGATCGTAGGTGGACTACCATCCTGAAGCCGCGAGATATCGTCACGACGATCAGTGCCACCGACCGCCAACATTGTCGTAATCGGACGCTTATTGTCTCTGCCACTGAAGAAATCAGTATTGAGATTGTTTCTTCCGCTGGTGGATGTTTTTTCGAGTATTCCAAACACCTTATCAACTTGTTCTTTGATCTGATTCGCAAGTTCTCGGGTGGGGGCAATTACCAAGCCCATCGGTTCTCCTGCCTCGTAGTCCTCGCGGATTTGCATATTGAAAACCAATGGTTCGTCGACTTCTTCGCGGTCAGTTCCGCTCGTTTCACCTTCTTCCTCTGTCGGTTCTTCATCGATCGTCGATCCAACATCCGGATGAGTGAGAACACCGCCATAAAGACAATGAGCGACCATTGGGGCAAGAAACGCGAGGGTTTTTCCAGAGCCAGTTTGTGAGATTCCAATTGCATCTCGCCCCGAGAGCGCAATCGGCCAAAGTTGAGATTGAATTGGCGACGGTTTTTCGAACTTTTGAGCGCTCAGGTGCTTGAGAATCAAGGGAAAGTTCCAGAACGCTTCTTCAAAGCTCAGGCAAGGCTTGTACTCTCGCACCATTTCGTTCTTGCTCATGAAAGATATTTTGAGATCATTTCCTTGGTTTTTGCGCCAGTCTACGACGTCCACCGCTGGTCGTCGTCGAACTGTACTGTGCTCTTTGTACAGTATTTTACGCACGTGTTGTTTTCGATTTCGCATTCTCTCTTCTGGACGATCGCCGTCGGAGTCTGTGGTAGTTCTATCAGGTCTGTCGGGTCTTTCCTCCACTTCTAGCTCTTCTTCATCACTCTCAGACTCAGAAGAAGATGATTCAGATGAGAGATCTTTATCTCGTGGTTTTCGGATCACTCCGCTAATGATTCCCTCGATATGCTCCTTGCAAAGGTTGCGCTGCTCTTCGCTAGTTCCAACGATAATAACAGGCGTCATCCGATCATCACATTCTCCTTGGGCGATTTTAAGGGATACATTGAATTGCTCTTCAATCTCTACGCGAGTTGTATGGCGCTTGCCTGAACGAAACAAGGTTATGAAAACGAATGAGATGGAAACGTACCGATGATCATTCCCTTTCGAAATGTAGGAATGAAGATCCTGGTTTGATCTGACTCAAGTTCTTTGACTTCGTAGCGCTTATTTCTCGAAAAGTATCGATGGATGTGATTCGCTGTTTTCTGACCGCGACGGTAACTGAATGGGCGGTACGGCTGGTCTACGGAAGGATGACTGTATCGCGTGTTTCGATCGAACGAGGGCATCTCTTGAGTGAGATCGAAATTGACCTCGTCGTTCACATCGCTGTTTTTAGTCTCAGCATTTTCTTCTTCGTCATCATCGCTATCCTCGGCGTACTGATCGTATGCGTCTTTTTTCTTGCGATTGGTGCCAAGATCGTCCCAGTTCATCTTTCGAACATCTGGTATGCGACGATGATTGGCGCGATGACCGCCTCTGAATAGCATCGTATACTGTCCTCCCCATTTTGCGTAGGGTCCCGTTTTCTTTTCGACCGGTAGCATCGTCTAAAAACGGGGATAGAATTAGATGTTGAACTTTTAAAATTCTTGTTTGATGCAAAGAATGCTAATAAATACGTTTTGAACAGATAAATTAGAGACCGTATGGCATTGATCTTCTCTGGACATGTTCAGTGCCTACGAATGGCTTGTAAGAGCCGAAGAGAATTCTAGTTGTGTCGGTATGACCCTGATCGAACCAGTCGGCTTCCTTTGGTCGCCAAGCTGGGTGGTACTTGATTGGACCGCATTCCTAAGTAACATTTAACTTATGTGAACGGGCGCTATGATATAATTACGGCTCTGGTTTCTTCAGGAGACTTTTTGCCCTGATCGGCAAGTGTGTGCATGATGTTGTAATTGTTGACCCAAGAGAGGTTGGTCTTGTAAGAGTTGGACTCGGAGAGCTCATCCCAAGGCTGGAATGTGTGGTTGATTTCGTAAGAAAAGTGAGGTCCCTTAGACAAGTCCCTAAACACACAATAAGCGTTGAAAAAGGAAGAGAACTGACCGAATAAGAACGTGTTCGTAGTGGTTTCCACCTTGGAAGAAAAATCGGCCAATAAATGGAATGTCAGATCGTGGCGATCGCATCGACTCGTAGTTTTCCAAGAAGTTGGTGATCCAAGCGTTGCCAGGACCAAAGTAAGCAGACATGTTGTTACCCTACAATCAATAAGGAAAATCGTTGATGAGAGTTTCTTACTGGAAGCTGCTTCTCATCAAGGTAGTTCCATCGGCAATAAGGGTGTCGCATCTCATCATCGTCTCGCTCATCGAGAAGGTCGACGATGTCAGCGGGGGTGTTTCGCGACTAAACACGATTAACCACACGCATCACGACGCGTACTTACTGGGTCGACGTTCATGACGGTGCAGCCCTTGTTATGCATATCCTCAGCCCAGAATCCTCGGTACGCTTCGTCGAGATATTTGAGGAAGTCGAGAGTGATAGTTTTGATTTCAGCCTCGTTTCCTCGGGCTTTGATCTTTTCAAGAGCCTCCTCAGGGGAAATGTCGAGGAAGAAAGAGACATGGGGAGTAAGATCAGATGCAGTTCCAGAACCGTCGATCGCAGCTTGAGAGACGGTGTATCGCATTTCGTAGTAGTTCTTGGAGAGGTATCCCATCTTCATCATAGCGTAACTTAAGAAATTTTAAAGGAGTTGGTTGGACATTGAGAGGCATACGCGTAACAGTAGTCAGAGTGGTAGGTTCGGTTGGTGATGGTACCCTGAGCAGTAGTGAGAAGGTGGTAGAGACAATCCATAGTGTGAATGTGTCGCTGGAGCTTCATGTGATCCTGCATTCTGCAAGAGTGGACGTGATCTTTTGGGTTCTCGTAAAACTTCTGGAGGTCAACGCTTCGCATGGACAAGTAATGATGGCCTTCCTGAAAGAGACCTAAAAGCGCGAAATAGAATGATCAGCTTACGTCGCAGAGCATCTTCCAGGTGTTGTAAAGGTTGTTTTCTCCTTTGAAGTCCCGAAGACGATTGAGCTCCCACATGAGATCACCAGTGCCCATATCCTTGAGACCAGCTCCAGCAGCGATGCCAGAAGTAAACTCAGCCTTGCCCGAACCGGGAAGACCTTCGACCGTGAATAACTTGGCGTACTTATCCTGGATCAGCCTCTGTGGGTTAGTAGTGCAATTGGCTTCCATAGTGACGGACGTATGATCGAGTCGATTACCGGTTTGACCTTCGTGGTGCTTGGCGAAGTCGAATGGCTGGATATTTTGGTAGTACCATTTGCCAGCAGCGTTCAAGGTTCGCTCGACGATACCTGAAAATATGCATCAAAAGCAAGAAGGAAAACAAGGTTTTTTACCTTGCTTGGCATCGTCAAAAACAGCTGGGTTAGCTTGAGAAGCAGCTTCAACGGGAGCAGCAGGTCGGGAACCCTGGCGCCGAGAAATGTGAGATCGAACGAGACCCACCCGCTTCATTCTGGTGAAATTTATCGTTGAACAATTGTGATACGGGATGTTTATTAGGAAGTTAAACTGTGTCACAAAGAAGAAATTGGTCTCAGAATAAATGCCGCCCGCTGGTATTTATTCCAGATAACGGTGCAGCGTGCCTTTCTTCACGATGCCTTTCGAATTTTCTTGAGAGTGAGTTGTGCTTGTGGTAAAATAATTTACGACCGGTGCTGGGAATAAAAGAAGCGGCGGCATTTACGATATTTTTTCTTGTACGATTCTAGTGCGACTGAAGTGAATTGTTAAATGCTTACGAGGTGGGATATCTGTAACTATTTATTTTTTGTGATATCCAAAATGGGGTTGACGTGTTTTATGCACTTCAGATGCATTTGAAAATCTAGGTTTAGAAATGAAAAAGTAGTGTTTTCCATTGTGAGAACCTTCTGAGTTCGACCTACAACAACAGGTAGGCTACAGTGTCAACAGTGCCAGTACACGCGTAAAAATCGATTAAAAGAGGTCAAGTTTCTTTAGATTGATAAGTTTGGTAAGGAGAGAAAAATATAAAAAAAAGCGTTAAATGAGAGAGATAAAATGAAATGTGATCACGCTAGAAAGCTGGCATCGGCGAAATACACGATCTAACGCTATATTAATTGAAAACATTCGAGTATCTTGCCAAACTCGAGCGCTAAAAATTTGAAAGCCAAAAATTTCGGAATGAAATCAACGAGGACACCCCTGACCATTTCATACAATGGCCTTTTATTTCGTTAAGTTAACCTTAAAAAGCGGCTGAGAGATTTTGAAGCAGTATGTTATTAATAAAAAAAGACTTCAATTTCTCATGAGACAAAAAGTCCCATGAAATGAGAAAAAAGTTGATATTCAATTTTTTGACATCAAGCAACTTTTCGAAATGTCTGTATGATTAGCCCGAGACTGAGCTCCTCTGCTAATCCAGTCAAGTTGCAAGATGTGGGATGAAGAGAATATGAGTAGCAGAGACCCAGGTAGCACAGGGATAGTAGAATAATTATCACAGAAAGTCTATTGAGGAGGATGATAACTGCCTGGCGGGGCCATGTAATCTGGGCGGGAAAGTAATTGACTCATTCTTGTTTCAAATAAATATCATCAAAAATGGTCTAGACTTGACCGCACTTATATTCTACTTAAAGATAAAGAAAGTTATTTGAACAAGTTCCTTTGTCGTTGAATTTCACGGAATAGATCGGACATCTGAGTCTCAAGATTGCTGAGTCTGTCTGAGTTTTGCTTGCAAAGTTGGAGCACTTGGCGTAGGTCGTTGTCCCGTGCGTATTCACGCTGAGTTGCTTGATTCTGTTCTGATTCCAGACGAATCAGTGATGAATTTACTTGGACGATTTGTGCAGAGACTATTTGATATTTTAATTCAGGTATTTTTCGTTTTAAAAAATACCTTGGCTTATCTGAGAAGCCATCGAAATCGTTTGAGTGATTGGATCCGATGAGCGTCCAGATGGTGGAGACGAGCTTCCATTTGGTGGTGGTGTCTTAGAGGACTCATGACCATTCCCGGAAGTAAGTCGGGAGGGAATATTTGAAACTGGGCTTCCATCGGATTCCTTTTGAGCCTCTTTTTCGCGTGCAATATCGGCGCGGCGCTTGATGCGTTCTGTTCGATCACGAGCTTCCATTTCAGCGAGAGCTTCTTCTGCCTTCTTTCGTTGCTTGTTAAATGCCTCTTGGAGAGCATTTTTGACATCCTAAAAATTCATACTGAACTGAAAACATCACTCGATTACCTTGACTGCATCCTTAGCTTCTTGATTCCATCGCTCCTGGGAGTTCCATGAGCGTTTGCCATCCCACGGCTTCACTCCACGAGCTTGAATTCCTTGCTTGTTTCTGATGGAAACATCAGCTCCTCGTGTGCAGAGAAGCTGCACAAGACGAACGTGAACGTTTCTCGCTGCATGGTGCAACGCAGTGTTGCCATTAGCGTCTAGTTTGAAGTGGGTAAGTAAAAGAGAATGTGAACAGAAGTGAACCTTTGAGATTAGGATTGGCGCCCGATTTGAGAAGCGCATCGGCCACTTCGGGCCACGCTCGTGTGTTGATGCCGGTGAGGATGAGCGGGGTACAACCGTCACGCGTTTGTAGATCGGGATTAGCGCCCGCGTTGAGTAACATCCTCACAATGCCAATTTTCCCCTGACTCGCGGCGCAATGCAAAGCCGAGTATCCCTAAATCGAAATTGCGTCAAAAAGGATTCTGATCGAGGCGCACCTTTGTACTCTGCTCGTTGACATCGATCTCAGAATCGGAAAGGAGCTGTCGGATTTGATCTTGAGCTCCACAATTGGCCGCGGAAATGAGACTTTTTTCGGGCTCCACCAGGATGCAGACCATCGATAGGTGGACTTTCAGTACCACTTCTTTCAGGGTCAAAATTTACAAAAACTAAAATTTTCAATTTCAATCGAGAAAGACGCTGAATCTCGAACCCTGCCTATCGTCGAGTGAGCGCACGTCCGGCTCACGTCCATCTCGTCTGGCTTTGAATCCTCTCCAGGCTTTCACAAGCATATTTCGGACCACATCTACGTTTCCACTACCTCTCTTGGTCTGCGCAAGCGCCCATGCCGTCATATTCTGCTTGTTTTTGATATCCAAGGCTGGATTACAGTCCAAAACCGCGGCAACGGCACTCACGTGCGCCGCCGATACGGCTAAATGCAGGAAAGTATTCCCATTAGCGTCTTGAAAGTCTGTATCTGCGCCAAGCTTGAGTAGAAGTCTACAAATCGGATCAAAGAATCATCGGTGATCATTGATCACATATAACTAGCAGTCTGAATTAATCTTATTCTGAGAATTAGGCCGATGCAACTCTTGTTCGATCCGTTCCTAGCTGACTCAAGGTTGACCTTCTTTCCATCAGAAGCAATAGTTCGAAGTAACGCGGATTTTCCATTACGTCGACTATTCACATCTACTCCCGCCGCAATTGCATCATTGATGGCCATATTAAATCCGCTCTCTATTGAAAGTTTTCATTCTCAGGTCCTTTGAGGGAAAGAGTACCTGCGCTGAAATGTAAGACAGCATTCGCTTTTTCCCTGAGATCTCTGATCGAGTCAAGTCGCTGGTACTTCCCGCGATATTGCTCGCAGAGCTTTCGGAAGCGCTCCTTTTGTCGCTCATCGTCTCGAATCGATGATGTTTCTTTGGGCATCATCTCGTCCATTTTGGAATTGCCACCGATTCGTAGTTTACGCTAAGAAAGAAAGAATAATAAACTTCATTTTCTCAAAATTCTTACAGTGGCATCCAAGCGGTCGGCATCCGCTCGCGTGTCTTCCAACGCACGCATAAAGACTCCAGATTGTTTGCTGACGCTGATTTTGTGCGTTGCTGTCTCTTCTTTCTTGGGTACTGGCTTCTCCTCAGCTGCTGCTGCTGCTGAGGGCTCTTCGAATTTCAAATCTTTTTGGTTAGTTTTTTCTGGCCAAATATTATCAGTGCTCGTGTTGAAATCGGGAAAATCTTAAAAGGACTTCTATTTTGGATGATAAAGAGATCTAAAGTTACCTCGAAGTTTATTGAGATTTTCATAGTCGTAAGTATCTGAATCATCCGAGGGATGATCGGGAAATTGATTTGTTGTAGCGCGGCTCAGTTCGGAGCCGATCGGTTTGATCATCCGTGATCCAGATGATCCTCCATCCTTAGGAGGCCCGATCGGGGCAATTTGGGATTCGTTGAAGTTCTTAAAAGAGGTCACTATCAAACCCGTTAAAATATGCTTACAGTAAATGACTGAGGGTCGGGCCAAAAGGAGGATGCCTTCTCATCGGGTTCCCATCTAGAGGTGCTGGGGAATGTCCAGCAGCTGCTTCGGCGTTCTTCAAAGTCCATGTTTCTTTCTATATTCGGCATGAAATCCTCTCTGTTTCTATGGTGCGGTTCATAGTTGCTCCGGTTGTTCGTGTGGTTCATCATGGGTTGACCCCAATTGATTGGAGAATCGTGATGATTGTGGTGGCTTCGGTCTCTATCTCGATCGTCAGATAACTGAATGAGATGAAAATTTAGAAGAAGGAAAGGAACCTACGCGAACATTGCTCAGCATGGATCGCAATCCTTCGCTCATAATGTTCGCCATCTTTTCTTTGCTCTCGGGGCTGAGCAAATCGCTGTAAAACCATGGCAATTTATTCTCAATGTTGAAGGAAGATGACGAGTCAGCTCCATTGCTAACGAGAATTTCAGCCAACCCATGTTGTCCGTACTAAAAAATGATCAAAACAAAGAAGATAGAGGGTGATCTTACTTTTGCTGCATAATGTAGCGGCGTTTCTCGACGGTCATCAGTCGCATTTACACTGACGCCTTTGTTAATCAATTCCCTTGCTACTGAACACATCTGACTGGAAGTCATCTTCGACAGAGAAACTTCGTGCAAATATCTAAACAATTGCGTGTCAAAATCTAGAGCTTTAAAGCTAGCTTACGACGTAAGCCTTACGTTCTACTGTGATCACCACGATCTGCTACGCTGAAACGGTCGCTTTTCAAAAAGGGCATGACGGCTTCGTAGTCGCTTGCTTGTATCGCATCTCTCAACGATACGTACGGGCGGTTTGGAAACTCTTGTTCGACCTGCTCAAGAACGCTCACGAAAAAAGCAGAATTGTACGATTCAAACCTGTCTTTCTTCAGGTCCAAACAGCCCTTCTTTTTCAGCATGATTGACGACTTCGTCCAACTCACTCATTCGATTGAAATTTTTCTCGAAACAATCTTAACAATATAGAACTCGCAAAAATTCGTTGAAAATCCTAAAGAAGCATTTTATATCTAACTTGAAAGCTCCTGAACTTTTTGTTGAGCCAAGAACAATACGGAACAAACCAGTGAAGAAATGGGTTATGAAGTAAAAGATGATCTTCGGGTAAACTCATGCGTTCAACAGAAACTGTCGGATCGAGAACATATCGACCATTTTTGTGGTAAGTTATTTTGGTGACAAGTTCTGAAGAAGCGCCTTCTTCCAACAAGGATTGATGGAGATCAAAACAAATTAAAGAAGCTTCGCTTTCGGCTTTACAAGTGCTTGGATCATCGGGATTAACTGACGTCGTTGTTCTGCCAAACTTGAGAATAACTCTGTCTGGGTAGTGGATGAACTTGTGGCTGGTTAGCTTGACGTTACGAACAGAAGCACCGAAGTATTGCGAGTTTATGTCGAGTATTTTCTTTCCAGCTGTAAACAAATACTCATCGTCGACATATTTTATGTCCTGCGACATAAGACCTACAAAAGAGGCGGATAACATGAGGAAAAACAACAGCAAACTACCTAAGTCCGCATCGTTTTTCTGGTATAAGGCGAAACGCAGCGCTAATGACTCGATCGCTTTTCTCTTCGCTATCGTTCTTGCTTGCAAAAGTCTACCTTCAGTAAGCCCCGTTTCACTACTTTCATCATGATTCCACCAGGGCGTGTCGTACTCGCTCAATTCAATCGCAAGCTGGCTCTGAAGATCCTTCTCGAAGTCTTCTGCGTAATTAACCTCATTTCGAATGCCAGAAAAAAGTATGATCCAGAAGACGGAACAAACAAAAATCTGGATCAAGGCGCGGGGAAACTCGTAAAACACGTAAAACGGGTCGCCTTTCTTGACGTTTGTCCAAACGGGGTTGTTTTGGACGGTGTCCATTTCGGGGACAATGTATTTGTCGACAACAGCCGACAAGTTCACAAGTTTAACCTTCATTCCTGAAGCTTTGAATGAACACCAAATACGGGTTAAACAAAAGCTAACCTTCAATAGGGCTAAACAGCGTTTTTTCGCCACTTGAATTGAGCCCGACATGTTTTTCTTCGAGCAAAACCCAGCAATTATCATACAATCGGATGAGATCATGAAGGGCGATTTTCTCTTGACCTTTCGCGAACATATCTGTGAAAACGCGCTGCTCTCGTTTTGTCAGCTGATTGTGAAAGATCGTCCCTGGTCGGAAAAGATACGAGTAGCATCGTTTCAGGAACTGTATTCGATTCCAGTAACCGAAAGTCAGCCTCATTTCTACGACTTTGACTCCGACAGCCAACGCATTCAGATTATCAACATTACCTCGTGTATCCAAGCGCTGAAATGCTTATTTTTTAGTCTAAGAGGCACTTGGAGTCAGTTTACTTTGAGGACGGACCCTTTCTGGGCGATTTTTCTAAGATCGTTTGCTGTGAGCTTATTTCCCATTTCAATCACTCTAGCGTCTGTTTTTCTCCCCGTAGCAGTTTCAATCTTGTCCTTCATTTTTTCTGTGAATTCGAAGACCTTCTCCGTGGATCCAGTGAGCTTATTTGGCATACATTCGAAGCGAAAGGCATCTTGGAACGGAATCAAACGATCATAGAGGAACTTGTCCATCATTCGAGGGAGAAACTTTCCCCTGAGCCGATACATCGTCTGAAATAACGAAGGGCAATGAAGGGGTTTTGTACATTAGTGGATAACTGGAGCTGATAACTGGATATCTGTATTTTTGGACTACAGTCAGGCCCTAGCCGGAGCGACAGCCGAAGTGATACGGATGAAAAGTGACAAAGTCTCTCCAAGTCGGCGGATAGCCTTCCACAAGATGACGTCGACAGCGCATACAATTCGCGTGAAACAACGTTTTGTAAGACCTAAAACAAAGAATGTAGATATTTCGCAATAAGAAGCAGCATTTACTTGAGCCAAAGCAGGAACTTGCGAAATGATTCTTCGTCGGTAAGTGAACTGAAGGAATAGAAGATCAAGGACGCCTGAGCGTGTTGGTCTATGAGTTTCATGGTGTCGAGGGCTGTCTCGACGGTGACGTCAACTTCATCGATGCTCTCGTCCTCGTAGATGCCCTTGATGATGACGCGCTCAATATGAATGTGGCGCAAGATGATGTGGCAGTTGAGCGTTCGGCGAACTGTGATTGACATGAGGCGTGTGTTGCCGAACATTTCGCGCACTTGGATTTTGAGATCCTGGCCTATATTCGGAATGTGAAGAAGCTGGGCGAGATGTTGCTTGAAGGCTTGGGGGTTTTCGATCACCACCCGCGGTGGGCGAGTGCGTTTCATCCCCCCGCCAGGCTGAAGAACGCGATTCGTCGTCGACCGTTTTCGGGAATTCAGTTTCGTGTATGTTTCCAGGAGTCTATGGAAATCTAAAAACTGGTTAAACTTGAGAAACGACCGTCCATTTGACCTTTGAACGCGTTGAACTGCTGAAATACTGGCGCATACTCGAGAGCCATCTTGTTTGTGGCTTCACTATCGTCCAACATCAATGCCCCCAGCGGGCCTAAGGGTTGTACAGCCGTTGGAAATCTGTCCTTTGGAATCTTTTGAACTTTGTTGAGAAGAGCAGTGAAGTTTTCACCCAATGAGTCCAGCTTCTCTTGTACCGTCGCAATGAATTTTTCCTGGTTGACCTGTTCCCCTTCTTTCACCAAACTCCCTTCACTCTAGAATCCATTTTTATCCTCGATTACCCACACTGTGACAACGGTCTTACCAAAGTACCAAACAACGAGTCTGCTGAGTGCCTCAAAAGCTGAATTTTCTGGAGACTTTCCATCAGCGGCGACACTAGCTCCTCTAACTCCTGTTTCAACCTCGAGTGCACCTGTACAACATTCGCCATTCTAGTCAATAAAAATGATGAGAAAAATTTCAGAAGAGAGAACGAGCGGTGTTGGTCCATGTCACCAGAATTGTCAATGTTGTATGAATATTTTTTCGAAAGGGAGAAGCTTTTTGAAACATGTGAAGAGAAACATGAGGATCAATCTTTGCAGTGAAAGTGGAAAGCTGCCATGGTGCGATAATCGCGCCAAGTCGGCGGGAGCCCGTCGCGGAGGAGTTTACCGCATCGCTTGCATTTGTCTTGAAACAGCTGCTTGTACGACCTAGAAATAAAGTTAGCTCTAAAAATATCTTCAAAAGAGGTTACCTCAGCCACTGCAAAAATAGCCTGATCGTGGCATCCGGGTGATTTGTTGTGTTGGTGTGATAAAAGTGAAGCGTAGCCGCAGCTGCGTGGCTCGTTATCATTCGCATAACTTTGTACTGCGACTCGGAAAACAGATCCAGCCCATCAAGGCCGTCTTCTTCGTCCAGACCGCGAACGAAGACCCGCTCAATGGTCAGTGATCGAAGAATAATGTGCACAAACATGACTTTTCCTACCACCACCTAAACAGTCCATTTTACTTACGATACATAAAATCTTCCTTGCTATCAATAATCAATTTCGAACTTTACCTGCTAAAGTTCCTTTTCTGATTTCCTGCTATTTCCGTGAGAAAAGAATGCTCTTTAGACTGCAATTAGAAGGACCCTTGATCTTTTTTATCAGCGATTGTTTTAATATATTGATTAGAACATGTCTGAGTATAATTTATATGACGGCTAGATACTAATTGTAGCTCTAACTGAAAAAAGATGATGAGAAAAGGAAGAGAAGAGAAAGAGGTAAGAGATAGGATAGATAGTTGTATTAGATAGATAGATTTCCTAGATAGATAGAAAGAGTAGAAAGATAGAGTAGAGTAAGGAGTCAGAAGAGAAAGAAACACTAGAAAAGTAGGAGGTAGTGTTGAAGAAGTGTAGGAAAGAGTAGAAAAAGTCGACAGAAAATAGATTCGAAGCGATTTCGAAAGATAGTTTCTGAAGAAAATTAGAAGCACTTTCGGTGGACGATGGAGGGGCCGGCTTCGTCGTATTCGGCCTTGGTGATCCACATGGCCTGGAAGGTGGAGAGGGAGGCGAGGATGGAACCACCGATCCAGACGGAGTACTTTCGCTCTGGGGGAGCGATGATCTTGATCTTCATGGTGGATGGGGCAAGGGCGGTGATTTCCTTCTGCATTCGATCGGCAATACCGGGGTACATGGTGGTACCGCCAGAGAGGACGTTGTTGGCGTAGAGATCCTTTCGGATATCGATATCGCACTTCATGATGGAGTTGTAGGTGGTCTCGTGGACACCAGCGGATTCCATACCGATAAAGGATGGCTGGAAGAGGGTCTCGGGGCATCGGAATCGCTCGTTACCAATGGTGATGACCTGACCGTCGGGAAGTTCGTAGGACTTCTCGAGGGAGGAAGAGGAAGCAGCGGTGGCCATTTCCTGCTCGAAGTCGAGGGCGACGTAGCAGAGCTTCTCCTTGATGTCTCGGACGATTTCTCGCTCGGCGGTGGTGACGAAGGAGTAACCTCGCTCAGTGAGGATCTTCATGAGGTAGTCAGTAAGATCTCGGCCGGCAAGATCGAGTCGCATGATGGCGTGGGGAAGGGCGTAACCTTCGTAGACGGGGACGTTGTGGGAAACACCATCACCAGCGTCGAGGACGATACCGGTGGTTCGGCCGGAGGCGTAGAGGGAGAGGACGGCCTGGATACAGACGTACATGGCGGGGACGTTGAAGGTCTCGAACATGATCTGGGTCATCTTTTCTCGGTTAGCCTTGGGGTTGAGTGGGGCTTCAGTGAGGAGGGTAGGGTGTTCCTCTGGGGCGACTCGGAGTTCGTTGTAGAAGGTGTGGTGCCAGATCTTCTCCATATCGTCCCAGTTGGTGATGATACCGTGCTCGATGGGGTACTTGAGGGTAAGGATACCTCGCTTGGACTGAGCCTCGTCACCGACGTAGGAGTCCTTGGAGCCCATACCGACCATGACACCCTGATGTCGTGGTCGACCGACGATGGATGGGTAGACAGCTCGGGGAGCATCGTCACCAGCGAAACCGGCCTTGACGAGACCAGATCCTGAAGATGATTTTTAGGCATTTGTTTCTTTTTGAAGTATTTTTCTTTTCGAAAATCTCTGATTTCTTACCGTTGTCGCAGACGAGCGCGGTCTGCTCTTCCTCCTCCTCAGAATCGTGCATCATCATGTTGAAAAAGTTTTAGAAAAAGTTTACAACCTTTTCAAAAATGTCCAACTGGGTAATTGGTACTTGCAAACCTAGTGCGGAGCGCTTATATACCCCCTGCTTGGTGTGAACTAGCGTCAGTTGCCTATTTTGGAAGAGCGCTGCAACATATGTCCTTATTTGGTGATTTTGCACTTGTCAAACGTTTGAAAGGGGCCCTGTGAGGTGCGATAAGATGCGGCAAGATTAGCAGCTTTGCTAAGAATAGATCGTGCACTAACCCTCCCTTTTCTCTTTCATTGCCGGCTACAGCTCGTCCTATCTTGGTACCTGGAGAACGCGGGAGCTACCGGATATCGGACTTATATTCATTTTCAGGTCTGGGACGAACACTTTTATAACTTGCTGCATCACAACATTGATGAATTCAGGATTGTTATGATGGCCCTTGTTTGCTGGGCGCTGGATTTTACTTTGCGGATGGCTTTTGGATAGGACGACCGTTTCATATTGTTACGCGCGAGGTAGGAATGCTGATCCGCACTCATGCCTAGAAAACATAAAGGAACTAATTGAAATAAGGGGATCAACGCTACTTTGAAGTCGCTCCCACCAAACATGATTATGCTGCAACTGATGAAAGAGTGCGGCTTTCGCCGGGTCAGGATCTTGTGCAAGTTGAGCCAAATTGCTCAAAGGAGGAGTAGTGTTTGGAATATTGTTTGGCAGTGATAAACAGGTACTCTTGAATTCTTCGAACTCCGTTAAAACTCGCTCTAAACTGGCCGACTTTGAGAAACTTTCAAAAATGACGATTCGGGCTTACTCTTTCGTTAACTTTTCTTGGAATTTGAGTTGATGAGACTCAACGGTTTCCGATCCATCGTCTGCGTATCCTTTGCTCAGGAATTGGAATACGTCGTCTACTGTCGTACGGAATGTTTGCACCTGGCGGAGGGACACTTTTAGTGTTTGAATGATCAATTTCAGCTCTTCTTTCAACTTCTGTGAATGTTGCATCATCAAAGTCGACATATCACTCGACGACATATTCATTCTTATTTGGTCATATATTGAAAAACAGATCGTTTTTTTATGTTTTTATTCGAAGGGAAAGTCTTGCTAAATAAATATTTTCACAGGTTTCGACTTAGATTTAGTAGTAGACGTAGACGACGATGAGGAAGGAGAGGGTGAAGAGGACGTGAATGTCCTGGAAGATCGCCTCTCCGATCTGCTCGTGTCTGTAAATATTGGAATCTCCGAACATAAAGTAACCACAGAAGAGAGCAAGAGCTGGAATGACCCACATCATCAAGTCACCGATGGTCGTAAAGCAGAGAGTCATGAAAGCAGCCATGCCACCGAGGGAACCGAAAAGAATGATGAGCTTGGAAACACCGACGGTTCCACCACCCCAGGATCTTTGAGCCACGGTCTAAACAATTTTAGCGACGGAGAGAATGGAGAAGGGTTTTACGTTAACAGTCTGTCGGGCGAGAAGGGTGCGAGTAGCCGACATAGTGGGAACCTATTGATAAAAATTGAAGTCATCGGAATCAAAAATTATTTACTCGAGTAGCGGCTCGGAGAGGGCATCTTGCAGCGGCCAAACGAAGTCCAATCATTCTAAAAATGCAGCGAGATAAATTAAAATGATTAAGATTAGAGCAGTTTTAGTTATTTATTTCAGGACTTGACTACTTTGCTGGACAGAAATTTTCCTAGATTGGTACTTTTCAAAACACACACAAGATTGATATTTTTACATCTTGTGGAGCGTTTTAATACCGAGAATTTTAAAAGCGGCTTCCATTACGCTCGCAGTGGCACTTGCGAGAATGAGTCTGCCTACTTTGATCTCTTCTTTTCCATCTTTCTTTTCAATAATGTAGCACTTGTCGTAAAACTGCGAAAAGGCGTTTGACAGTTCGTACATCCACTCGCAAATCGGGTGAATGAGGAGATCACGCTGAGCCTGCGTCAGGATCTCATGGAACCTAAGGATCGTTTTCGCCAATTTGAACTCTCTTGGGTCGGCCAAATCAAAGGCACCGCTGGCAGCGACCTTTTTGATTTCTTCTTCGGTGATTTTTCCTTCAACTTTTCTGTTTACAGATCGAATTCGTGTCAACTGGTACAATAAATAAGCTGCAGTGTTTCCTCTGATATCCAGCATTTGATCGAAGCTGAAAACATAGTCATTCTTTCTGTTGGACTTGAGATCTGCGTATTTGATGCATCCGTAGGCAACAGCGTCGGCAGCGTCCTTCATCTCCTGCTCGTTCAATTCTTCTTGTCGTCCACGTTCGAGGAGCTGCTCATTAGCTCGCTTGACTCCCTCGTCCAACAAGTCCACGAGACGAACTGTCTCACCAGATCGAGTCTTGAACTTTTTCTTATCTTCTCCGAGAACAACGCCGAATCCAGCATGCTCGATTCTAGTCTTCGCCGCATCGTAGAATCCAGCCTTGGAGGCAGCGGCGAACACCTGTCTGAAATGCAGCTCCTGGCCCATATCAGTGACGTAAATCAGGATATCGCCCTTCACGTCGTGCACACGGTAGTTCAAAGCTGCCAGATCGGAGGTGTCATATGTGTAACCGCCTCCGGTCTAAAAATAGCGTCAGTACAGGAAGCGGGCTGTAAAAAAGTACCTTGACAACTGTGAGAGGGATCTCGATACCAGGAGCCCACATGATGTATCTTCCATCATCGAATTCCAACAAATTGCGCTTTTTCAACTGATCCACGACTGCATTCATTTTATCCTAATTAGAGTCGATTCGATTCCAAGACTCGTTAATGTCAAATTTTACCTGGTAAAAGCTCTCCCCAACTTCCTTGAGTCCCTTAATTTGAAGTCGGTCATACACCTTCTGGAACTCAATCCTTGACACTTCGCAAATCGCTTGCCAGGCCTTGTGAATTGCAGGCTCATGGCTTTGAAGTTTGACAACATTTTCATAAGCGCGCTTTTTGAACTCTTCATCGTCATCAAATCGCTAGAAAAATATTGAACTTTGACCCTTCGGCAAGTCTACCTTTTTCGATTCTTTGTAGAATTTCTGTAGGTCTGAGATTCTTGGAACGTTCTTATCGTAGTCTGGAAATAGGTCTATCAGGTGAGCGATGAGCATGCCGAATTGAGTGCCCCAATCACCGACGTGGTTGATTCTTTCGACGTTGTAGCCGTACGCTTCGAAGAGATTCGCGATTGAATCACCGATGATGGTCGATCTCAAGTGGCCAACATGCATTTCTTTAGCGATGTTAGGACTAGAAGAATGATCTTATCAGACAATGAACCATTTTTACCTTGAGTAGTCAACAACAACTTTACGTCCTTGCGACTTCGATTTATCGTACTGCACGCCGACATTATTAAGTTCTCCAATACGGTTAACCATGTACTTTTGGCAGATGAAGACGTTGATAAAGCCAGGGCCGGCGATAGTCGACTCTTTGATCAGGTCGTTCGAGGGGATGTTATCAACAATTTTCTTGGCAACATCTCTTGGAGCAATTTTCTCGCCGGCGTCTTCAATAGAATTATTTTCGATGTGAAAAGGTTAATGCGTACCTTTGAGAATACCAGCGATTTGCATTGAGCTATTACACTGATAGTCACCGAACTTCTCTTGCTTTGGTGATGTTGGATTAACCGCGGCCTTCATAAAGGGGACATTTGGGAAAGCACCAGCAATAGCAACAGTGAAGATGGAAACAAGAGTGTCGAGTATCGAAGAGCTCATTTCAACTAAAAGGAGTCAGTACAACTAAAAAGTGGGAGTTTTTACCTTCGAGCGGCTTCAGATTCGACCTTTCTTCGGCGATCGCCTTATAAGGTTCCCCCTTGCCCCGCCCAGACTCCCGTTGACCATCGGTGGTCCGGAGACCAACTGCGATGGAAAGCGGCGCGGGCTTGACAAGGCCTGATATATGTATCACTCCTCAAACTACTCCACACTAATCATAAACAACTGGAAACACATCTCGAGTCAAAGTATAAGCATTTATTACAGTCTCTCGGCGAAGGTACAGTGGCAAAAATCTCTTTAGAACTGACCTTAAGTTTTCTTGGTTTGCTGTTGCGTCTGTGACTGCAATTTGGCGAGTGAGGGATATTTGAAAAGTTGCGCGGAGCTGGGCCCGAGGCTCGTGGGCGGCGAGGTGATAAGAATTGCGAGCCTATAGGGCTCGAGGCGGGGGCGGTGGAAGAGAGGCTTTTGGTTCGGACGAGGGGAGAACCTTACAGTTGCTCCCAGCCGATTCTCCACCGTTGACGTCGTCGGCTTCGCTGGACCAGAAGAGTCTGCCTAAGTTGTCGGCCTTGGCTTCGGCGCTGCGGCGCCAGGCGATCATCTGTCGAGCAGCCATTTCTCGTCTGGGTCCACGGGCGAGTTTGCACATCTGATCCACCAACTTCAGGCCTTCCGGTGACTTGAAGAACGCTATGTTTCCTCGATCAATCTTTCTCTTCGTAGCAAGTTTGGTGATGGTCTCCAGCATTTCCAGGCATTGAAATGTCGCACGGTTTTTCATCACTGGAGTCATCGGAGCTAGCGGTCGTAGATTTCCGTGTCGGTTCTGCACCTTCTGTCGCTGAAGTTTTCTGTGTTTCTTCGAGTGCCGAGCATTTTTCTTTTGCTTTTTCTTCTTGACGAGCTCGTTGAACTCCGCGTCATCGTCATCAATCCAAATGCTGCTCTCGTTCCGGCGATCAGTAGGTCGAGCGAAAGGAGTGGATTGGGAGATCGGGACGAGTTGGTTGATGAGATCGGAGGTTGACTCGTTGTTGGCGGCAGCGTCGAAGATGGCATTGACGACATCGGCAGAGACCATGACATCGGTGGGACCAGAGGCAACTGTGGAGACGACTTCTTCGTCGATCACCAGGGGAGTTGAGCAGTCCATGTCGATGTCGGGACCAGCATCGATGTTGTCCACGGCGCACTTGGCAGGGTTGACATCGGCGTCGTTGTTGACTTCAACGTTGTCGACGGCCAAATCATCGGAGACGGTCCTGGGGACATCGGGATCAGCGTTGGCGACCTCGGCACCGTTGATGATGTCGGGATCGGGCTTGTCGGAATGGGCTTTTTCCAGCATTTCGGCGATTGCTCTTTTGCGAAGGTACTGGTACATTCCAGGTTGAGTTTGCGCGAGTTTTGCGAGTCGCATCTGTAAAAGGGTTAGTATCTAAGGATCCTAAGGGGCAAGTATCGACTAATTAATCTTTTTTATGACGACCTTGCTTCTTTTTTACGAGTTTCTAACGAGTTCTAGCGGTACACGTTGGTTTTGAAAAGCGCTCTAAGACCAAAAACACGTTGGAAATGGGGCGAAAATTCACGTTTAGGGGGTTCACACGATTTGTACAGAGTATCCTGCTCCCAACTCGATAAACGTGAGTGAGCATGGACCTTCGATTACTCGAAGGGGCTTTTTTTAGGAAGTTTTCTTTTGACGAATACGGGCTGACGCGCGTGTTGAAGGTCTGTTCAAGTCGAACTGAAGTTTCTTCGCAAGTTCTTCTGAAGCAGTCCTTTCTTCGTCTTCGAGTCTTACTCGAGCGCGAGTGACTTTCGGAGCAACGGGTGCTCGTGCTTTGTGAGATTTTGAGTTAGGCGGCGTGAACGCAATTGACATCGGCGTTCCGAAGTTCTCTTCTTCGGGCGGTGATTCGTTCACTGGAGTAGAGGGTCGGGTCGGGCGGGCTGCATCTGCAGTTCCATCGGAGTTGGGTCCATCATCATTGTTGGTGAGTTCAGCATCCGGTTCAGGGCTGTCTTGATCAGGGACAGGGTCTTTACCAGCGGCGTTGAGCTCATCTCCATTGTTGGGTCCAACGGTTTCATCTTCGAATTGACGAATGTCTCTTGGCGGTGGCTGACTTAGCTTAACTGGAGGATCAGTAGTGTTATCCACTCCAGTTCTGGCAAGAGGTATCTTCAAATCTGGAAACGGTGGTAGTGGACCAAGGTGCTCCCGGCGTGGTTGAACTGGTTGAACTTGGCTTCTGTGGATGAAATCGGTCTTGCCGTCGTCATCGATGATTTGGACGACGGATCCATTTGAACGTAGAACCTTGTAGGGGCCAATCCAGCGCATTTTCGAGCGCTTTCCGGTAGCAGACAATGGACGATAGATGAGGACGCTAGAACCAGCTTCGATGTCGGATGCAACTATGGCGGGGTTGTCATTTCGTTGACGGGCCTCGTCCGCCTTTTGTTGACATTCGCTTACTCTATCGTAGAGGAGTTTTCGTTCTTTAGCTTTTTGTTCGACGTACTCAGCAGGGGTTGACTCCTCGCTGTTGTCGACGGCGTCGAACTCGCTGAGATCTGGTTTGACTCCAAAAACCATCTCGAAGGGAGATATTTTCGTTGCAGCATTCGGCAACGAGTTAAGTATTCTGACCACTTCTGGTAAACAATCGGCCCAGTCTTTGTTGAGACTGTGTACAGCGACGAAGACGCTGTCCTTGATGACTCGGTGTTGTACCTCCAGCGCTCCACAGCTTTCTGGATGGTAGGCACAATGTAATCTCCATTCAATTTTGTGTTCCTTAGCGAATTCTTCATTCATCGCTGAAGTGAAGTGAGTACCCCGATCACTTGAAATAGTCGAAGGTCGAGGGAAAGTAGAAAGTAGTTTGTCTTTCAGCGCGTTGACGGCGTCAATGGCGCGGTGTTTTCGAGTCGGTACTACAATGAGGAATCGCGAGAAAGTACAAAGGATCGTTAGACAATGGCGGAATCCAGCTTTACTCGGAGGCATGTCGATGAAGTCGACGAGAACTTTGTCGAAGATTTTCTTTCCTCTGACCGTAGAGCGTATTTTTGGCTTGTGACTTTGACCTCGGCCACCTTTGCGATGCGCGCAAGGGCAGCTGTTTACGTAGTTTTCAATGTCGTTCTTGCGCTGAGGCCAAGTCAGGTGAGATGTCAATTCAAGTACTCGTTTTGCTCCCGCATGGGCGCAACGGTCGTGGTAGGAATTGAGAACTTCGCGTCGCATCGACATCGGAATAAAGATTTTTCCAGCGACAGAGAGAGCGCCGGTGGATTCGCATTTCGTAATCTGATTTCGACGTTGGAAAAGCCATTTCGATTCCTCGCATTTCTCGTCTTTTTGCGGTGAATAATTGTATTCGATTGCTTCCATTATTTTCGAAAGAACTGGATCGTCGAACTGGGCGGAGGCGATTTTCGTAAGCATGTTGAGAGACAGGGAAGGATTGCTCAGACTGAGTACTGCGACGAAGTCTTCTGGCGTAGTGAAATCGTCGCCGTTGAGCTTGTTGATGGGAGGGTTCCCTGGCTTGACCCAGGACGGAATGTAAATTCGGAACTGGTGAAAATCGACAAATCGGCCGGCAAGCTCATCACTCTTGGCATTCTTGGCATTTAAGTTGTAGTCGAGTCCAGCAGGTCGAGAGAGAAAATCAGCGACAGCATTCTCATCGCCTGGGATGTATTCGACAACGAAATCGTAAACGCTCAGTATGTTTGCCCATCTGCTGCATTTGTCGTTTTTGGGCAGCTTTGAATCGAGAAAAGTGAGTGCTTGATGATCCGTTCTGACGACGAAGCTGACACCTCGTAGTAACATTTTGCAATCTTCAATGGCCCAAATCACTGCCAGGGCTTCGCGTTCGGTTGTACTGTAATTCATCTGAGCTTGGTTGAGTGTTTTGGAGTTCAGCCGGACAATTCTGCTTTTGTTGCCAATCGGTTGTAGTAAAACGTATCCCAGCGCGAGTTTCGAAGCGTCGGTCACGAGTACAAAAGGCAACTTGAAGTCGGGGAAGTAAACAGTCGAACCATCGGTGAGCTTGTGTTTGACCTTGGCAAGGGCATCACTCGCCTCGTCCGTCCAAGTGAACTTTCCGCGCGGCTTGTTGATTTTCAGAAGAGAAGTGATTGGCTGAACGATATGACTGAAACTGTTCTCGGCAATGTTGTCTCCATCCTTGATGGACGCGAAGTTGCGGACCCAGTTGAGCATTCCCAAGAGGCTTTGAAGACCACGGTAGTTTGTGGGAGGCTCGATGCGCTGAACGGCAGCGACGTTCTCGGGGTCAGCTTGCATGCCTTCTGACGAGAGTAGTCGTCCCAGCCACTTGCATTGAGGATACAAGATTTTCACTTTCTTTGGGTTGACAACAAAGTTGACGGCCTTGAGGCGCGTCAGAACCTCGTCGACGGTTGCTTCGAAGATTTCGAAAGTGGGTGCGAAGATGAGGACGTCGTCGATGAAAATTCGCACGTTGGAGCGGTTTTTCATGGACTGAAGAGCGTCGGCGATAGCGCGGGCGAACCAATTTCCGGAGTTTTTGAGACCAAATGGAAGCCTGGTGAACTTATAATTTTTATTGTTCCACCAGATGCAGAGTTTTATTTGGTCTTCTTCTCGGACTCGAAGATTCCAGTAGCCTTTTGATACGTCCAAGCTCATGAAAAAGTGATTTCCCGGCGGTATTCGCGACTCATTTTCCATGTCAGGGATAGAAAACAGGTCCTCGCGGACAAGGATCTTGTTCAGCGTGACCTTGAAGTTCATGATCATGCGAACGGTTCCGTCAGGTTTTCTTACTCCACCAATCGGCGTGTTCCAGCCTTGATTGTCTTCAACCGGTACGATGACACCGATCTTTGCGAGTTTATCCATCTCCTTGTCGAGACTTTCTTCGAACATAACGGGTAGTTTATACTGAGGAACATTGATGGTGACACCAGGTTCGGTGTCGATGCGTACTTCGAATCGTGAGAAATTTCCAATCGGTCGATTCTCCGAAGAAAATACGTCTTTCAATTTGAGCATCTTAATGGCCATAATTCGGACTTGATCTTCTGGAGCAGCAGTGTTTATGTCGATACCAAGCTGGTCAACTAAGTCTAGAAGATCCGCGGTTGAGAGTTCAGCAAAATAAACTTCAACTTTGTCCTTTGATGCATCGTAATCTTCCCATTGCGGGAATCCAATAAATGGTACTCGAGTCCAACCATTTGCACCCTTGAACTGAAGCGTGCGGTTTTCCAAATTACTGGTTATCGTTTTGCATCGTTTGTGGAGCGGGTCCCGGCCAAGGATTACAGGCAGAGACATGGCATTGTCTGAAACAAGGAAGAAGACGGTCTTGTTCCAAATGCCGTGGTGACCAATGCGAAGGTCCGTAGTTACTTTTCCGGCGCATCGGTTGTTTGATTTTCCAATCCCGCTAATGAGCTGATGAGTTGGCTCAATTTTCAGGTTGAGGGATTTGGCGAAAGAGTGTTTCATGATGGAAGCGAAGCTTCCAGGGTCGTACAGTGCGTGAGTCCACCGCCCGTTGAGCTCAAATTGTACAGGAAGGAAGATGGGCGGTACCTCAGTACGGCGGTCATGAAATTCAATACAGGATTCTTTTTGTTTTGAGTCGGAGGGACCCTGTGCGGCTCCGACTAGAATCAGTTTTTTTCTTCGACACTATCGTAGTCGGACTGATCTCGAAGAGCGTAGACAGCTGCGGCCTGGTTAACTTGCGCATTGTTATCCTGGCCGTTTCCGGATTTCGGCTTTCCTTTCTGGCCTTTCTTCTGATCCGTTTCCTTTTTCGCAGCATTCTTGTTGTCTTTCTTCTTCTTTGTGCCCTTCTTGGCAGGCTTGTCGGATTTGGCATCGTCCTGCTCTGGTTTTCGGGGCTTTCCTCGGAATGCTGCCGCGGACAATGTAGTCTGACACTTCACTGATTCCGCGCGAGTAGCGAGGGACATTGGAGTGTGTAAGCTGTCCAATTCAACGCTGACGGTTCTGTGGACAGCAGTGTCGACGGAGGAAATGTCCTGGAGCAGTTTGAGGTAGAGGAGTAACTCGAAGGCATCTTCATACGTGGGCTCGAACGGCTTGGCTTCGATTTCCTCACGACTCCTTCGGGACTCGTCGCGTCTGCGCAGCATTGCGGCGTAGCTAACTTTCAGGGATTCTAGAGATGATTGAAGAACGGTTGTGTGGCGTGTCCAGTTGCTGCCGTTGTTCTTGGGCTTTCCCATCCACGCTTCTAGTCTTTGGTAAACCGATGAGAAGCTTCCGTACAGCGCCAACAGGTGTTTCTTCAACGTATCGATGTCATCAATTTTCTTGGAGTTGAGCGACTTGATCACAGCGGCGGGCAATGAAGGTTTGATCGCGAGGTAGATCTCGTCGAAAGAGAGTAGTGGTACGCTTTTCATGATCGCCTCTAACTTGACCAAAAAATTGCCAAGTGACTCTTCATTTGACGCGTTGAAGTTGAGATCTTTCAGGTAGCTCATAAGCATGTGCTGCTGCATCGATTTCGCGCTATCGGTGGTGGTGCGGGCAGCAGTAGGCGTGTCGTCTTCTTCCAAGTCGAGGGTGACTAGCTCGTCGATGAGGTCCTTCTCGTCTTTCTTGAGAGCTTTGAGTCGGGCCTTGACTGCAGTATCCTCAGTTGATTCATCGATTTGTGCGATTTGACGGCGAACATGGCGAAGGACGGCTTTGATATCCGACCTCGTTTCGGGCATTGTTTGTTTTGTCTTACTCATGTTCATGTTTAGCTCACTGTGAATAATGTGACTTGATTTGAGGCAATTTGATTGTGGGTCGCGAGTCGTTCCTAGGCATGGCCAGCTTTATCGACTTCAAGCCCGGTCCACTAACTTACTTACTCTAGGAACTAGTAGCATCGGATTTTATAGCCTAGCTGATGAGCACTGACGTGGACTCAAGCAACTATTGTGACGACCGGCTTACTGTGCTGAACCTGAGCGTTTTGGGTTAGCTTCGCAAACAAGACTGTTCAATAAAGAGGATTTACGGTCGGAAGTGTTAATCTCGCTAATTTGGGAAAATATTGCCTAAATCTGACTGATCGGCTCCTTTTACGGGTTAAATACCGTCAAATTCGAGTTTTTCGGCCAATTTTAGCCTATAGGGCGTTTCCAAATTTTTGTCCACTAGAGGGCGCGTATGACCCCTCTGAGGCCACCTGGTGGTAGGTGAGTACCTGTGGATTAAAGTTGATCACATTTGAAAAAGTCGAAAATTTGACCTTGGTCAAGTGACTTGAGCCTCGGTTGCGTAAGCGGAAAAATTTGATGCGAAAGAATGACTAGTGACTGATTTGAAATCAAAAACTGTCATATCGGGACATTCATGTGTGATAAGGGCCGTTCCCAAGCCCTGACGGACTTGCGCGGCTCCCATGACCCTTGGGGATTAACCCTGGCTGCGCGCCTGTGGCGCGCCCGAATTGCGAATTTCGGTTGGCGGTTGAAAAAGGCTCAAATTTGGGGAAATAATTATCATAAGTTTGAGTTTGGACCGTTTTACTATCCTAAATGCAAGCTTAGACCAGCTAAACTTCATGTAAATTAACTAAAAGTAGCGTAAAACAATCTAACTCGCACTAGATTATCATTGAAATAGAATAGAACTCGTAAAAAAGAAGCGTTCGGCCATCACTTATTCCTAACCATTCACCCAGAGGCCGTAGCAAATGCTAACAATGACAAGAGAAGGCTTCACTAATTGGATACGGTTGGGTTTCGTGAGAAGAGTGAAATCAGTTCCACAACTGACGCCATTTATAAGGTTCCCCCTTGCCCCGCCCAGACTCCCGTTGACCATCGGTGGTCCGGAGACCAACTGCGATGGAAAGCGGCGCGGGCTTGACAAGGCCTGATATATGTATCACTCCTCAAACTACTCCACACTAATCATAAACAACTGGAAACACATCTCGAGTCAAAGTATAAGCATTTATTACAGTCTCTCGGCGAAGGTACAGTGGCAAAAATCTCTTTAGAACTGACCTTAAGTTTTCTTGGTTTGCTGTTGCGTCTGTGACTGCAATTTGGCGAGTGAGGGATATTTGAAAAGTTGCGCGGAGCTGGGCCCGAGGCTCGTGGGCGGCGAGGTGATAAGAATTGCGAGCCTATAGGGCTCGAGGCGGGGGCGGTGGAAGAGAGGCTTTTGGTTCGGACGAGGGGAGAACCTTACAGCCTTTTGTAATTGAGCAATCTGATATTTTAATTTAGCGTTTTCTTTTGCGATCTCCGACTGAGGATCAGAAACAAGCGAATCTAATTCGGCACTAAGACGGTCAATTGCTTGTGCTTGCTGTTTAGTTCTTGCTTCCATTCTAATAAATTGAGAGACTTAACAAAAAGATCATTTTGAAATTGGTAAATGGCAGGAAAACAGATGGCGATTATACTATTTCAACGAATCGATAAATTTCGTAACTCGGTTCAGAATTTTTCAGTTTTCGTAAAAATATATGTCCGAAGAAGTCGTAAATGCGCTTTTGAGCAAACTGGCCCTTTTCTTTGAAGACATCTCTTGATTGTTTGTTCCAAGATTTCATCGGACTCGTTGGAATGGTCATTTGAAACATGTATTCGAACGCGTTATGGCTCAGTCGGGCCTTAGAATATGTTTTTATGCGAGTATATTTCTCAATTACCGGCAGTGTTCCTGAGCAATCCGCAATAGTGGCGTTAACATTGAACTCTCCTTGTTTGTTTTGTTCGATTTTGCTTGTTAGTGCTCTTATGCAACCAATAATTTGGAATGTGTTCGGCAAGATATCAGCTTCAATCAAGAATCGTGTGTCTTCAAAGCCTTCGGGAACTCGTTCTTGGGAAATTCTCACATTTTTAAAATCATTTTCAACAAGTGGCTCGTTATCTTCAATCACAACGCAGTCATCGTCATCGCTGCTGTCGAATGGATTCGCGAAGTCAAGGTCAGTTATGTCCGTTGGCTCTGGAGTCGAAGCTTTAGTTGCTGCTGATGTTACTCGCTCAAGTCTCTCTTGTTCCCTTTGCTGGTCAAGAGCCATGGCGTCGTAGTCGATGTCATCAAAGTCATCATCGTCGAAGTCATCTTCAGGCTGAATTGTCGAAGCAGTCGACTTTTTTATCGGTTTGCTACTGCTTGACGCTACGATTTCTAAGAAATCATCGTCATCATCGAACTCATCTTCATTCGTCTTCGAATTACTTTTGTCGATTTGGCTTATTGCTTCGTCAAAATCGCCGTCGTCGTCAAAGTCATCGGAATCATCGAGCACAACGATAGCGCTCTCCACTTGTTTCTTCGAAAAGGTTTTGGAACTTGAACTGTGATTTGTCGTTTTTGGTTTTTGAGTTGAGGTAGCTTGTGGGCCAAAATAGCTCTCGATATTGCGCGTTTTTGAGGATGATAACGTGCCTTTTTTGGATGGTCCCGCTTTTGGTCGGGTCACCAATTGAACTTTTTAATCATTTTTTCTTTACATAATACAAGTATTTATATATTTTTTCCCTTCAGATGAGAATTCAATGAGGACCCTAACTAGTGACTTCTGCTTTGACTTATTATTTTCGGAAACAATCGTAGAAAGCGCGCCCTCAAGTTTTCGCTTTCTTTCTGGCGGGACTCCACCATTTTCCCTCAACCTCTCCTCCAAGCGCTCTGTCGAAGCATTTCCTCCATCACCGTCGGTTAAAAATTTGACGTTTCGCTTCTTGAGCAACAACACATTTTTGCTCATTTTCATCGGTGGGATGAGCATCAATCTCATCACCTTCTCAATGCCCCGGTTCAACACTGGCAAGTTCTCCTTCTCAATCGCAATAATTTCTGATCCCTGCACTTCAAGGACCAGCTCAAGGCATCTCTTCGCCGCTGGTGCACTATAAAACGCACTTGTAAATCTTGCACAAAGAACAAACTGCCGTATATAATCAATCATAAAAAATATACGGACTGAAATAAGAAACACTCATATATTTACAATTTATTTGCTGAGTTTTCTGTTTCGTCTCCATCAAATTCGTCATTTTCATTTTGCTGCTTTAGTTGGGAAAATGCTGATTTGCCGATGTCCGAGTAAGACTTGACAGTGGCCAGCTGCTCGCGATTCAAGTTCATGGAGTCATGTGTTTGCTTATGATATATTTATACAGTTGTTCATCATTATTTTTAAAGAATGAGAAACAGCGAACATGTTTTTAAATGTTGGTAGTAAAAGATGCTGTATCAGGAGAATGGAGGGAAAGATCAATCAACAAAGGAATATGATAAATCGAAAATTGAGACTTTTCTCCTTCGAGACTAGTTGTTTGAAATCAACAAGGAGTATCGCTACACTCGATTCCGCATTGTTTCTGTTATCTGGTTAGTCCGAAGATAGTACAAGAATAAAGCTGGAACTAATATACATAATGAAAAGAGGAATTAATTATATTTTAAACTGGGAATCATGTGCTTCTTTTGGTAGAGGAAATGGATTTTATTTCTATGTTTTGGATTCAAGCTAACCACATTTTTTGGCAGCAATGATGGTTCGGATAGCTCAGAGAGAAATGAGACAGTTTATTTCGATATTTTTTTCAATAAAGAACGAGGTTTCAAGAATTTTTTTGAACTTATAACTTTTCATTTTTAACCTCAAATAAGAAATTTGAGAATGCAAAATGAAAAGTTTTTATGAATGAACAGGGTCATTTAACAACATTGATATCAAGAAGACATTTGCTTGATATGAGAAATGTTCGAAAGTGACGTTGTTCGGTAAAAAGTAAATAGAATAGACTAGTTAATTTTGGGAAAGATAATTGGTGCTAGGACGGTTCCTGTTTGGGCTCAAGAGGTTTGTCGGATGGCTTGCTCGAGGTAGACATCGGGCGACTGGTAGGTGCAAACATTTGATCGATACGCGGTTGACGTCCACTAGAATTACACTAAGATTGGGCGGGATTTGCGTCTCTTACATTGTTGAAGAATTTGCTTGAGACGAAGCTACAGAAGTCACAGCATTTAGCGATGCTTGAAGTGTAGCCATATGTGAACTGGGAAGACGACCATTTCCAATGATCGCCTGGCAAACCATTACCTGCTGACTCACTTCACGGACTGTAACAAAATCAGTATAAAAGAAGAGGGAGTTGGAGTCTTACGTTCAGGGCTCGGGTTGCTGAGAAGAAGAGCCAGTTGTCTCTGCAAATTACTAATGGCAAGGTTGCAGGACTCCCAATGCGTGGGATCCGTTGATGCGAGAGTCTGCAACGCGTGTATTTGTTGTTGGAGAAAACCAGCGGTCGTTTGCTGTTGCACCATCAGTTCCCGTTGTCTAGCAACGAGCGCCGCTAGTCATTCGATAGTGATGAGATCCTAGTTTGGTAAATGAGCTCGAGTAAATGATGATAAATGGCAAGAAGGGGGTGAGCGACAGTATTTTATTAACGGAAGAAGAATCTGCTCACCTGTGTGTGCGAAAAGTTCGGCGGTGCGTTGGCGTTGTGTTGCGTGAGGTGAGATTGTGAGGCGAGTAGTTGCAGAACTAGAATATTTTATCATTATAAGTGCCCAAATACGAATCACAGCTCTTCAAAGAAGACTGATCAAACTTACTTGCTGCGGCGTGATTAGGATCGGGGTTTTGGCCGAGGAGCGGGGTCAAGTACTGATTCAACGCATCCACGTCTGGTTGGGGAATATGCGCGGCCTTGGGGTTCTCCGAGTGAGAGCGAATGTTGGACGGAGGACGCGAGCTTGTAGACGGCGTTTGTGAGCTGTGATGAGGAATGGGAGTAACTGAAAGAATGAGTTTTAACGAACGGTTCTCTGTGAATTGGCTCAGGTGGCTAGGTCTAGGATGGGGGGTGATCGCTGGAGATCCGAAATGAGGCGCTCGAGATGAATCACCGATGAGTGGTGCGCGGGTTGTTTGGATCTCCAGAGCGCGGAGATCGAAGCTCGATCTCCAAATGAATCCCAGGGATTTTGTCGATCTCCAGTTTTCGGTGATCGAAGCTCTGAATCTGGGGTCGGCAACCCATCTTTCAAACAAAAGATGGGAAAGGGAAAGATGGGTTTTCCGAAAGGTGGGAAAGGTGGGAATGATGAGAAAGATGGGTTTTCCCCTAACCCATCTTTCCCATCATTCCCATCTTTGAAAGATGGGTCGCCGACCCCAGCTCTGAATTTTCTCGAGCATCGATTTTTCTCGATTAAATTCATATTTTGCAGGGACTTTGCGGGTCAGTATCTCAGAAAATAATAGTTTCTAATGCTAATCTTCAAGAAATTATCGCTCACCCACGGAGCTGAGTCTTTGGAAATTGAAACCGAACCAATTTTAAAAATATGTGATTTCAAGTGTTCAAAAATTTTGAAACCATCTTATTGAGAAAATACTCGAGCAGAGATAGTAAATAGTACATTTTTTATCCAAAATTACAATCCATGCACTTGATTTGACAAAAGATTTGAAATCTACACTGGAGAATAAGTATTGCCTGAGATTTTTAAGTTGATCCGGTCAGTCGCTTCTGATATCAGTAGGCTGGCAGAAGATTGTTTTAAAGTGACTCATCCGACTTCGGGGATAAAAAATTTTTGGATCTCCAAGAAGTGGAGATCGAGAGTGGTGATCGATCACCGCAATTTCGGGGTGGAGATCGCGCGGATCTCCACGCAATCGGAGATCCAAAGAACCCGCGCACCACTCATTGGTGATTCCTCTCGAGCGCCTCATTTCGGATCTCCAACGATCACCCCCGATCCTAGACCTAGTCAGGTGGTATTTCAAGTGTACAAGGCACCGATAACGGCAGTGAGAGAGACAGTCCGCAGATAGGTCACAGAGTGGGTTCTAAACCGCATCAATAACATAATTAGTTTCTATTTTTAAACATTCTTGCTGGCGCCTGCCACTCTTCCTCTTCTGCACTCTCATCAGACGATGACTCCTCTGTGTCCGGTTCCTTCTCAAAAAGTAGAGGAACCCGCGGACCCGAAATGGGGATCATGCTATCCGAAACGAACTCAACGTCATCGTCTGAGTCGTCACTCGAGAGTAGAATCACAGACGATTCATTTTGATCCGATTGCCCCGTTTCTGCATTCTAAGACACTCAATTAGGGACCTGTGGAAATGAAAATGCAACTACTTTATCTGGGGTATTTTTTCTATTGCGGCTAGTTCTTGCTCTGTTTCCTGCTGCAGATGGTGCCTGTACGCATTGTTCCGGCAAAATTGCATTTTGACGGTAGGTAAACAGTTGATCGAAGGTCTGACCGTTCTCTTGGCCAATCATACCGTTTTGGTGAACAGCTGGTGAGGATGTCGTTCGTGGTTCCATTCTAGTGACGAAAATGATAGTTTTCATGCAATTTCGGTACAGTAGGAATGAGTGAAATATTTTTGTGACTTCTATTTTTACTACCGGGCATCGTGACTTTACCTGGATCTTTTTGGAGTCGGGGACACAGCAGCTTCATCATCTGAGTCATCTGAGATGCAAATGATGCTGTCGTCCCCAGTTGGAGTTGCTGCTGGGGCGAAAGTCAATTCTTCCTCGGTCTTCATGTTGTCGATCTGCTCTTGCATTGATTCCTTCGTTGGCGCTTCATCATCGGAATCGTCGAGCGCGACGATATCGTCTGAAATGAAGAAGTCATTTGTTAGAAGCTCACTTTGATTTCTTACCTGGCTTGGAGACAACCGGCTGTTCTACTCTAGGTTTCTTCTCCTTCTTCTCTTTGTGCTCAGTCCAACCACCCGTTGGCTCGAAGTCCACTTCGTTCGCTTTACTTTTTTTGCAGATTTCTGCAAAATACTCGTCCACGACCAACTCACTAAATAATCCCTTTACAAGCTGTCTTCCTCAAGGAACTTACTTGAAGTAAGCCTTTTTATGGCAAACTGGGCAGTTCCAAGTTGGCTTCTTTTCGTTCATTCTCAGATATGGATCGGCATCGAAGCACTAGGAAAGGATGGGTCGTCCGTGATTTCAATCGCTTCTTTACCTGAAAGTGGGAGCACTGTCTGGTTCGAACAGGCGTCGTCATTCGAATGCACCCGACAGGACACTGAAGCGAAGCTGAGATGCTTCCACAAGCAACATCCGCGTTAGGATCAAGCTTTTCTCGAATCAAATTGATCGTCTCTTCCTTTGGCACAACGTTCGCCTTCACTCTTTCTAGAACTTGCTCGGCAGGAATGCCTTCTGACAAGTCGACGGAAACTCCCCATCGTCGAGTCTGATTCTCTTCCTTCCATTGGCACCAGACGCCAATATCGATGTATGACAAGTTCGCAATTATGGCCTTTTCAATGACATGTCGGAGCTAAAACGGATATTGAAATCAAGGAAGAGTATGGAATTTCGTTTACCTCTGGAGTAATATTGACAGGCTTTTTCTGTCGTCTAGGCTCGACACCAGCTTTGCTAGGTGGAATGTGAGGAGGTAACGTTGTTTCTCTATCGTTAATACGCAGTCGAATGGAAAGTGGCAGGTCGTCGTTGAGGATGCTGTGACCAAGGGAAACACTTGACAAGTCGAAAAATCGAAGAAGGAATAAGTATTTTTCCTTCGTTGCTCCCTCAAAATCAATTATTGGAATGAACAGGAATTGAAAAGTACCTGGCCGGCTTTGAACTTGTCCATACAAGTTTTCGGAATTCTGATCCAAAATTGCGTGCCACTCATGCGCGTCCCGTTTCCGGGAATTTTGGAAGGCTTTAGAATCGACTCAATTTTGTCGTAGAACGCAAGCGGTCGGAGTTTCACTCCTGGCTCAGCCTTCATTACTGGACCTTTGAGTGGTGGGACACCAAGTCCACTATCGTCGTTGATGAACAGATCACCAACAGCGCCAAAGGCGTCTAGATCAGACATGGCTATTCCTGGCCCGTGGTATTGATGCATTCTCGACGGGTTTCGCAGCTGATCGAGCTCTTGAATCTTCCGCTTGAGCTCATTTGTGATGGTTCCATTGAGCAAGTCTAAGGATCTCTCCATGAGCTCGCGCTTTCTTCCAGTTTTTGGGCGATTTTGACTGTGAAGAAGAGACTGAAAACTGGAGTTAGTAAAATTCCACATCACATATCTGGGCTGTTTGTTTCCGTTGCTTTTATACAAAGAATGGTAACAGGAGGACCAGTGCATCACATCTCCTCCTTAGAAAATAATGCCGGATCATGCTGATGATGATTCACTAGTCTATGACGCGTGAAACGGTGAATGTTCAAGGATGATCTTTTCTGGCAGAAAAAATATATTCTGTAGCTTACCGTGAGCTCGGAGACCCGAAACTGGCATATCATCTGCCGCAGCGCAGACAATTCATTTGGATTCGCCATTGCGTCTTTCTTACATGTCCATTCCAAGTTTCTTAACCATTCTCTGTCAGATGGATTCATCGTCGCGCAAAATTTTTAAAATTGCGTCCGAGTTTTGTTGAAAAAATAAAACTTTGAATTGAAGCCGAGTAAAAAATTAGCAGATGTGCGGAATGAAAAGTCGAAATGAATAACAAAAAAAGATAAAAACAGGAGTAAGACGAGTTAGATTAGTCTGACAGACAAGCTATCTAGAGAATAGTTAGCTGAGCTCTAGAGAGGAAGGGAATGTGTAAAGAGGGAATGCTACTCTTTGGTGAACATGACTGGTCCGACATTTGAACCACGTGGTTCGAGCTTGACCCGGCCGCCGAAGTCCGCGGAGGATTTCACATGAAGGTCACTTATACTTTGCTTCATCGAATGCAAACTATCACGATTCGACAAAACGCGCTCGAGGTCGCTGATCAACTGTTTCTTGACGAGTTTGAGTTTGTCCACGTGATCGGTGAGTTCCAAAATAAGGCTGGGAAAGAATCATCAAAACAACGAGATTTGATAAGAATAAATACCTGTGTTGTTTTTTGAGCTTTTCTTTCAACCCGGCGATAGTGCTGTCTTTATCAGCGGCGGATTGAACAAGATAGGAATAAGGCTGATTCACTCCGTCCATCGCTGCTTCGAGGGATTGGACTTGTTCTTTCAGTTTTGTGTTGCTTTCTTTCAGAAGATCCAGCTCTCGGGACTTATCGACGTTAATCCGTTCAAGGTTGAGCGCACGCTTGGCGAGTCGCACGCTTTGCTGCATTCGCCGCCTGGAGTTCGTCGGCATATTTCCGCCGATTCCGAAATTCCTGAGCATTTGCTCCGGGTCGTTCTCATTATCGTCGTCGGCAATGTGCAGTACCACGCTATCGAGCTCCTTTTCGAGGTTTTCAAAAGTCTTGAGCTTGGCCGAGATTTCGCGATTTTCCGCTTCCAAGTGGAGTTTTTCTTTTTCCGATGAGTTTTGGATTTTGAAAATTTCGCGCTGAAGCAGTTCCATTTTGCTCGTTGCCGCTTTTGCGTCGCGCTGGGAAGCGTCGAGGGCCTCACGGAGCTCGGTTTTGGCGAGTTGATGACGCTTGGATTCAAGTTGTAGGCTTTGGTACGAGGTCGTTAGTTCCGATTCCCGGAGCTTATGGGCTGCTCGAGTTTCTGTCAGATCATTCTGGGCCGAAGATAACGACTCACGAAGCCTATAAAAAGGTCTCTTTGGCAAATCTTGGTTAGGGGGCTAAAATGTTACCTTTGATTCGCCAACTCCAGATTTTCTTTCTCGTGCTGAGCCTGATCTCTAGCTTCCCGAAGAACAGCATTCTCTCTTGAATACAGCTGCGAAAGATCTTGCTTTATCCGGTTGAGCTTTCAAAAGGTGCAAAAAGTATCGAAAAATCATACCCGCCCAAATTGCGGGCAGCACTTTCTCGTGGCGCCCTATTCCGCGCGCAATTCAAATCAATATGTTTACGCGCGAGATTTGGCACGCTCATTGGCTCGCAGAGACAATGAATCTGATTCAGTACTACCAATATTGCACCTTTCCTCTTGGTCAGTTTCAAGTTTGAGCTTTTCGACTTGCTCTTTTCGCTCGGCATGGGCGCTCATTCGGGCTTCGGAAGTGCCAGTTAGATATTTTTCCATAATCTGCTCACGGGCGGTTTGAAGATCCATGTTACGTTTCATAAGATCTTAAAGTAAAATTAATAATTTGACAGTTGAAATCAAGGAAGTCACCCTGTTTATGAAGCCTAATTTTACCTTGATTAATTTTGTCGAGGTCCCCATTTTTCTGTTGCAACTCTGTATTAATTCTCTTCAAGTATCCTTTATCTTCGGTGAGCAGCGACTCTCGTTGTTTCGTCATTTCGAGTTTGACAGACAGATCCTTCACTCGCTCATCAAGTTCTATTTTCTCTCGCTCAACGAGCATCAATTTCTTCTGCGCGATTTCAAGATCAGATTCAAATTGAACGTGTGCTTGATTTAACTCGTCAAACCTGAAAAAAATCATTTCAAGAACAGATGAAGAAAAATGATATTTCTACCTTTTTCCTTTGTCGAAATTTATCGCGACCAGGTCACGTGCTTCTTTTAATTCATCGTCTACGGTTGTGTATTTCAGGTCGAGTTCTCTAAGTCGGTTTTCAAGACGGTGGCATTCTTCGATTTTGAGATTCAGACGGCCTGCTTGCTCCTAAATTTAATCCCATGATTCAGACCGGCTTTCTATATATACTGTCGTATTTATATTTAAATATAGATATGTGTATAAAGATAGAGACGACATATGAACTTATTTCGAAACTGGTTTCTTTCATAATCTTATTTTATCTTTTTGATGATACGATTTATCCTTTCTGTATGATCATCTAAAAGTATTAGAGTCGATGATAAATTTTGAGAAATTTCCTTACTTCATGTGATATTTTTGTGTTGCATGATGCAACTTGCATCGGTATAATTACTTCAAATTGCCCTGAGTTTAACCCCTAGCACAAATCCCCTAGTGCGTCTTAGAGAATGAAAGCGATATCACTAACAGATAATTCTCCGTCCGAAAAGTAAGTCCAAGTCTCGGATTTCGGTAGAGTACCGCAAGTATACAAACTCCTTTACAAAAGCTATGAAAAATGTCCTTTTTTATCGATCGCTGCTCGGTCCAATAAAAATCGAAAACGCATCAAATATTAAAGAGTAAATAAATTAATAAAACCCATTTATAATGAAATGGCTACCTGAAAGGAATTGCTCATGGAATCAAGTTGACTCTTCAAGACTTCGATTTCCGTCCGCTGCGGTTGAAGCATCTCATAAACGCGCGAGGAAACCATTTGTCTAATTGAGCGCTGATTTTGTGGAATCGCCGCGATTTTACCGTATTCTTCTTCATCAATCTTTATCGATTCGAGCCCCTCCTCCAGCAGCCGCGCTTCTGACATTAAATTTTTGTTCATCTCCTCAAGCTGGCCCTGGCGCTTTCGAATTGCGTCCCAGTCTTTTGTAGATTTGCGGGACATTCGCTCGTTTTCCGCCACGGCTTGGGAGAGACGCGTTTGTAGAATTCTAGAGGAACGCTCGGCTCCTTGTGCGCGGTCTTCCAGGTCATCGATTCTGCTCTAAAAAGTTTTACCGAAAATGAAATCAAGGAAGAGAATCCTCGGAAAAATTAAGATTTACTCGAGTTAGTTTTGCCCCTTGAATGCGTGAATGAGTGATTTGCTCATCGATAATTTACCTGAAAGTCATGTTTGAGCGACTCAATTTGAAGCTTCTTCGACTCGAGCTCGATCCTCAGCAATTCAAGATCATTATTCTGCTGCCGGACGAGTAACTCGGACTCGGTTATTTCCGAAAAAGTATTCTCGCTAAACGAAAGGGTAATTTTTCTCTGTTCGAAAAAGAGTAGGAAAAAGACTCTCTTACCTAAGCGTGTTCTCATTCATTTTTCATCTAAAATAGTTAATTATATATTAGATAAAAATTAACTTATTGAATATTTAAAACAGTTGCAAAGGCAAAAAAATGATTATTAGAAGAACCGTAGTCATCCCATCGATCCGGACTCGCTCAAATCGAACCTATATCGACTTTGGTTGGGTATTTAAGATCTGGAGCACGATTCCGATGGGAATTAAGGGAGTAACGATGACTTTTTCAAAAAAGAGGGTCTCGATTAAAAAAGTTTGAATTGAAAAAGCTTCTCTCTTTGTATTGCACTAGAATTAGTAATAAACACTTTTCAAATCTGATCAGAAATTTCAATTTTGAACAGAAGAAGCTTTTGAATATATTTTTATATATTATATAAAGAAAGAAAAGAAAATAGAGAATCACAGGTATTTATAAAGAAAGAAGGCTTTGGAAAAAGGCAGTGAACTCGAACACCAGAATTGAGACAAAAGAGAACCAGCAAAAGTATAATTTAGGCGCGACGAGGGCTACTTTTCCGACTCGTAGAATAATTTCAGCACGCCCATGTGGCTGTTGGCAATCGCAAATGTCAGACATTGGCCATCGGCGAGAATGGTATCGTCGGTGTCGCGAATGATGATTTTGTCGCTGGATAGTTTCGTTTTCAGAAATTCTGAACAAGAAAACAGTTTCAAATACAACTTTCAACTACAAATAAGCGCTTATTCAATTATTTTTTCGATCACGAACCTGTTAGATGGCCAATTTTTGGCACATTGGAAGGGTTCTTCGCCAGGTCGACTTTGAATATGAGATTGAAACTCGTCTCTCCAATCGTATCGGCTCCTGGCACAAGTGAAACATTGACCTCTTCCACCAGTTCTTCTTTTGCTTGTCGCTTCGCCCCGGCTTTTGGAGTGCCGTTCTCATGTTCTATTAAAGGCATTAGCGCATTATCATGTGATCTAACTCTACTAGTCGGAGCAAGAGGGATCAATAATTCAACAAGATTCTATTTTAAATTACCATTGGCGCCTTTTATCTCTTTGCCGCCTTTCTTTTTGTTCTTCGGGTTGAAATCGTGTTTTTGCATCACTTCGCTCAATAGTTGCGTCTGGTGCTTTTCGTACTCGTCACGTGACGGGTACAACTTTGCGATCAGAGCATCGAAGATGGGATCGTGTCGAAGAGATCTTCTTGACACGAGTCTCTAACAAAAAGAGTCTAAAAATGATTCGGGTTGATTTTATTCACCTTTCTGCAAGTAGGGCATTCTTTGTTTCCTGATCGAAGAGCGGTCGTGATGCACTCTTGACAAAATCTATGAAGACACTCCTTTGTCGTCATGGTCCCCCGCAGGATGTCGAGGCAAATTGGGCACATCAAAAGCGCATTTAAAGCCTTTCGCTGGACTTTGATTTCCGTCGAGTCCAGGATCAGCTCCTGCGGCTTCCGATTCAACTCATACCGGCTCAATTCAAATTGCTTCTCAGCCATGGCTAGAAAGAAAACAAGATTAAAAAATGACGAAGGAGTTGCGGTTCTCAAGTGTTATTTTAATTGTCAACCCCTGGAATTCGAGTAAATTCCCAGGGGAGCGTTTGTCACGAGAACGAATTGGTACAGATGCACTTGAACTTTCTCCTACAGGTTGATCTTCCCCTGAAAATAGAGAGACAGGTGGAAGAAAACATTCAATTAGACTATGGTGGTACGTGCTGGTAATGAGCAGTTGTTTCTTAGAACACGTCGTCGTTGTAGGCCAGGTAATCGCGATCGAACTTGTGGACTCGGATGTAACCATCCTCAGCGCCGGAGCAGTAGCTTTTGCCGTCGGGGTGGAAAGCGAGCGTGTTGATGGGACCGAAGTGACCCTTGATCGAGCCGAATTCTTGCTCCATGAGCAAGTGGAAGAATCGAGCTTCGAATTTACCGTCTCGGGCGTCCGTCGTTGTGACATCCTTGGCGTCTTGACCACCACCAATAACAACGTGATTAGCTCGAGGACTAGAAAAACCGTATAATGTAGAAAAAAGGGATCGTATTTTACCTGATCATTGCAGAGTTAACTGGTACTTGGGATTTGTAGACCTTCAAGTTGTTCAAATCGGTCGAGTCAAAGAGCTTGGCTGACTTATCCTTCGAAGCAGTGATCAACATCGTCTTATCTTTTGAAAGCTTAAAGAATCATGAGCAAGCGAAAGGTTGACGTTTACCTACCTGCATGTCGTTGATGATCTTATCATGAGAAGTTGTATCCTTGTGAAGAAGCTGAAGGCCCCTGGCGTCCCAGATGTACAAGTTTCCGTTGTCGTTTCCGGAGATGATTGTTTCATCGTTGTACCCCCAGAGAGTCTGAGAGAGATGGTAAAAATCGATTAGTTTTGATGCTGTTTTCTACCTTGACGGGAACAGAGTCTTGGTAATCGCTCTTGGGAACTTCTTGTCGCTTGACTGGTCCTTGCGTGGCTGGCTGTCTGATGTCGAAAACGTTCAAAGCGGGGGTCTGTCTCATTTCAGCACCAGATGGGAAAACTAGAAGAAAAGAAGGGTTGAAAGATGGGAGGGATTCAGTTTTTACCGATAAGATTTCCGCAGTAGGAAAACTTTACTGACTTGGCGGAGGTAGTAAGGCCGCCATTTTTATCGTCGATAGTGGTCAAATTTTTGCCGGTTTCAATGTCCCAAATTCGGACTGTGAAATCAGCGCCACCAGTTACAAGGTGTGTGGTTTCCCAGTTGGGATCAACTCCCCAGACGGAACCCTAAAATGCCAATTAAAATCTTTTTCCTCGCATTTATCCTCACCTGGTGACCTTCGTAAGTTCCAAGTCGCTCTCCGTTGTCGATGAACCAGACAGAGACCGATTTATCCTTGGAAGTGGAGAAGAGCAAATCGCCGTCTCTGTTGTATTTGATCTGAGTGAGCGAACGCTCGTGACCTTGGAGCAGCGTCGGTTTCATAGTCTGAAAGTTTTAATAAATGATGCTTTTTTTGTAGATTCATAGAAAAAAGAAGAAACAATTTTAGTGTTTTATTCAGGAACTTGAGATTTGGATAGTCAAGGCAACGATGGTTTGCTACAGAAAATAATATAAAATAGGCAGAAAGTAGAAGTGATGATGTAATATGAATTAATAAGTACAATATTATTTACTTCGACGTGCAAGGTATGAGCGATGATAGCTTTTATTTACTCTAAGTCGAGGGCTTCTTCGATATGTTCGACGACTTCGACGATTTCTTCAAGCACGTGATGATAGGAAAAGTGAAGATATAACTTTTTACGGATATGAATTGTTGGTTTGTAACAAACCGTTTGTTTTTAAAACAAAGATCATTTCCGAGCCCGTTCCAAAAAGGTCATGTGAATAAAAATGACGATACTCGACGCTAGGATTCTTTGAGAGACACCGACAGTTCTTGAAGCGATTACAGTGGCCATTCGGGCACTAGAAGCGCCGCAGATGGTAAACCAAAACATAAAAAAGGGAGTCCTATCGTACTGGAAAAACTCGGCGAGGAAAGACACCACAACGTGACTGACCATTCCATAGCCAGCAATACTACATGCCTAAAGAGAAATTTGACGACTGAAATCAAGGAAGAGAACCACCTGAATTTTATTGATGTACGTGCTACATAGATAAGATAATCCAATGATAACGCCGGATAGAAATGCCCAGTACCCAAAGCACGTGGTCAGCGCAGTTTCTATTAATGTCGCTTCTTCCAAAGAGGTATTTGAGGTCTTCATGTTCATTTGTAGCACTGCGACAAGGGTGAGAGATGTGACTAACGGTCCGTAGAGCTCGGTCGGAACTAAAATCTGATAAAAAAGAATCGATTGAGGGGAAATCAGTACCTTTTTCCGGAGAGCTTAGATCAGTAATTGGTACGAAGCTCTGAATGAGTCGATTGACAACGGTCCTTGGCTCCACATCGAAATGTGGTCGTAAGTTGTCCAGATTTGCGTATGCTTTAACCCACGTTTTGGCTAAACAAATATTGCGTATAATGTAAAAAAAACAGAAGCTAACCTTTTTCTTTTCCAGTTGAAACCATTTGGTGCACCATTTCAGCAGCAGCGATTGTAGTTTCGGAGGGCCTACAAAAAGAGTCAGATACTGAATTCTATGTGCTTGAGATAACCTAAATTCAGAGTCGATAGATCTTCTGACAACTCCGCTAGAAGCAGGAACAGTCAACGATGCATTGGAGATGTTGACAGCCGGTGGATCATGAGTTGGATTCACCAGCGTTCCTTCGGGGACTTCTTCGATCGACGGAATGGTGGTGACTTCCGCCTGTGTGACTCCTCCATTTGCAAGAGCGACTCGCGGACCGAGGTCCTCGAAGCTCTCTGTGTCCGTCTCTGACATTTCGATTGTCACAGCTGGCTCCCCGCTGCTTTCGGTTTCCATTCTAGCGTAACAGATATGTTTTCTTGATATCCGAATATGCATATTTTTATTTAAAAAACGCGCGAAAAGCAGAACCACAATAAAATATATCCGTTTAAATACAATCATGGAACATGTTTATACAGGGCAATGGGTTTTATGTAGTGAAAGGGATGGTGTCTCAGTAGAATCTGAACTGACTGTCAGCTGATGTCTTCTTAGCTGGGAATCGCTTCTTTTGATTTGACATTTTTTCAAACCAGGACTCTGCTTGAATAGTGACAGAAGGAGCAGTGACATCGATGACGCCGCCGAAATCGATTGAGGCGACCTTTCGGGGATGACCGGCTGTGTTCTCGCCGCCGAGGTTGATCGTTGTTGTTGGTCCATCACTAGAAATGACGTTAGGATAGTAAGGAGAATGGGCCCTCACGTTTTCTCAGAGTAATCGGAAAATCCATTGACTTCAATTTCATCAGCAGTGACTGAGAATGTGTGCTTGTTCTGATCAGGCGCTGTTCGGATGATGACTGCTACGTTCGAAACCAGCTTGGCGGATTTTAGAGAAGAATCGAGATGGACATCGATCTCGTCTCCGGAAAATATCTTTAGCTCTCCGTCACATCCATCTAGGAGGACCCGGCCAGCTGCTTCAATATCTGTATTTCCATTCACATTTTTCACCATGGTCGATCCACTGCCCCGGATAAGCACATTTCTAAATAACTGTAAGAACACATCAAATCACCCGAACTAACCCTGCATAAGCAGATTCCAAAAAGATATCCTTTCCTCTCAGATCAATAGTAAGACTCTGAAGCGTTCCAGCTTGAATATCGCCCTTTTCCGTGTGGGCTTTTACGTCACCAACGGTCCGCCCGTTTAAAAAGATGTTTCCATCGGCGGATTTCAGATCTATCGATTCGCCAAGGATGGAGTTGGCGATTTTGATTGAATTTAGAACAATGTCGCCGCCTTTTGAGCGGACTTTGACGGAAGGTGCTTCCAAGTTGGAGACCGAGGTTGCCCCGTTTTCGGCTTTGATGTTAATCTTTGAATAGACAGAAATGTCACCGTGAACATCCTACTTTTGGGGCACAAGAATAGACTTGAAAGTCTTCTTTTGACAAGAAAATAGTACCTTTCCTGTTCTCCAGCAGCGAATATATCCAGTTCCGCGTCACTTCTTTGGCGAACCCACGAATCAAGCTCATCGAGGTTGAAAATAGCTTGATCAGCAGAAGGGTGCTTGATCAAATCCATACATTTCAGATGAATCCCTGTAGCGTCTGTACTCTTGCCTTGAACTGATAGATTTGCGGAAAGACCGGAAATCGTATGGTGCGCTCGGCGGAATACGTTTCGAAGCATTCTTTTATCAAATTTATTGAATTAGATTTCTATTTCTGTATCAATATGTGGTTATATTAATTAAGTTCTATTTCGGGCATTATCGTATCAGTAGGTTTTTCCGCTACGGGCGGCCGTAGAATAAAGAAAAGAACAATTGCTGAGTAAATTATCGTAGAGTAAAATAGCACGAGCGGAACACAGCTGGAAGTTTCAGCAGGCATAAAAATAGGAGATAAATGGCTCAAGCCTGATGAAATTAAAATGATTATAAAGCACAAGATATTAAAAACGGCGAGAAAATATGGAAATAGAGTCGTGACGCTTAACTCCGTATAAATAGTTTTTGTAAGATTTCGGAAAATACCGATACAGAAGATGACTAAAGATGCTATTTCGAGCGCTAGAAAGGTTGGATATAGTTTGGAACTGCATAAGGAGAGCCATATTTGAGCGAAAACGTCGACTAAGGCGATGAATGAAGAAAAAAGGAGGGCAGGGATGGCGAAAGGCCACTGGTAAGGGCTTTTTGCGTGCGAAGGGATGCATAAGTTGAACAGGAGGACGATCCAGAGGATGCATGAGAGGAAGCCGGACCATTTACTGAATTATGTTTAGAGAACATCATGTTTAACGCTGTGTTCACCTTATTTGAATAAGGGAGAGGTGGTAGAATGATCCAGGTTTCCAGTCGTAAATGTAGGGCCAATTCGAGATCGCTGAATAAATTCTTCATCAGTTATTCAGGGAGTTACTTACAGAAAAGAAGCAGAGCCGCAGGAAATATCTTTTGATCGATGCTCCAAGATGTCCATTTGTAGTGCCGCAGCGATCTGGCGAAAAGACCAGCGATCATGCAGCAGAAAAAAGTACAACCCAGCTTGAAAAATTGCTCTAGCTCGGTGTAGTTTTTTGTGGGAGTTACACTTTCAAATGTCAGTTTTGCTCGCTCTAGCTCTGTCTTTATCTCTGCGTCAATGAAAAATGAAGTGGTGAAGGATTTTTTCTGCGTTGTTAGTTTCAATTTCGCCATAGCTTCATCAGTGCTTGCTCCAAAGATTTGGATCCAATCGCAAGTTCCTGATTTGTCGCAGGGAATCTGATGACTACCACAGTCCTCCCCAGACTCAACGATCGGCAAAATACAGTCGGCAGAAGTGATGTTCGAGCACGAATAATCGGAAAATTGGAGGCCGCTTTCGGCTTGGATTGAACTGTCGATTCCAATACCTATGAAGTTGAAGCTTACTTCTATCTTCGTCTCATTATCTACGAATATTTTTGTGAAAAAAATCCTTCAGAAAAACTTGATAAAGAAAATCTTACCTGAAGAAATAAGCAGATGAACATCTTTCGCCAGTTTCGAACTGATACTCATAAACACCCTGTATCTGTCCTCCTCAACCCTCTGATAAGGCACCGAGGTTTCATACGCATCACCAAGCAGCAGCCCGGCAACTATGGCCGAAACGAGGACTACGAGGCCAGAAACCAAGAGCGCGATGAGCACTCGTGGTTTGGCCGAGTACAAATGAATCCGTTTCCGGTCATAACATTCCATCAAACGGACTAGAAATAAATAAGTGATAAATCGAACTAATAGTTTATTTGATTGTTTTTGTTTTTTTTTACATCGTTGAACTGACATTCAAAAAAGAGCGCGACAAATAAAGTAAAAAAGTGGAGGCATTTGTTTTATTTTAATGAATTTTCGTTAATTCGGTGAATAAACCTATCGGGTTTCCCAATAAGAAGAAAAAAAAATATAAAGAAAAAGCTTGAAACTGAGAATTTCGAACACAAATCTGACATATAAATAAATAAAGTTTCGGATTTTTTAAGCGTGAATATTCTTGATAGATTGAAAGACGATGAAGAATTTCAGAGAAAAGCAAGGTTTCAGTACGAAAAGGAGAAATATAAAAGGGATTAAAAAGTAAACTGCACATTCGAAAAGCCACCAGCAGCTTCGAAAATATTCGCCAGCTCTTCTGCTAGGTTTTCTGTTTGTTGCAGAATCGCTGGATCCGGTTCCGGCAGCGTCACATTCTAGCGCAAGGGATTGAGATCAGCAATAAGGGGATCGATTCTTACCGAATTGGTAGTTTGAGAAGAGAGGCTTTCCCGTGGACGTTCGACCGCGATATTTGAAAAAATTTCGTGAATGGAGTGGCTGTATTGGCGGATTCGCTCGTTGCATTGAACTAGAACCGACTGTTAGAAGGGTTGAAAAAGCAACCAGAAGAAAAAAGGATTACAAGCGGATTTACCTGGGTCGAGAATTTCTGGATGGGGGTTGATCAGCGCTTCGCAGGTCGCCCGCATCAACTCTTCATCTTCTTTAGCAAGTCGACTATTTACAGTTGGAGTTCCACACAGCTCGGCCTCATCCAAATCCGCTAAAACACTAAATCTTCTCCAGCTCTAGAATCAAAACTGTACCTAGCGGATCTGTTCGCATGGAAATTGGCCTGCTGCTTGTCGCGGTCTCTGTATTCTCATTTCCGAGCAAGGAACTTGTATCAGAAGCTGCATCTTCTTTGCAGCAAACACAGCCCATAAAATTTCTTAGGCATTGACTTCTAAAATCCTCGATTTCCCTAAAAAAGACTCGTTTTACAATATTTTTGCTACTTGAGGTTGTTTCTTTTTTACTTGAGTGATCATTTCGAGTTGCATGAACAATTTTGCAGAAAATTTAGACAAGACTTGAGCACAGACAGAGGCTAGAAAAAGAGAAAATACAGACAGAGATAAAAAAGGTGGAAGAAATTGAAGAATAATGACGTTTTTTCCTCAAAAAGAAGGGAGAGAGGCAGAGAATAATCGACTTTTCGCTCGATTATCAAATTAGGGTTAGGCTTTATTCTGTTTTTAATGAAAATAAGGGCGTCTCAAACTTTCTGTTAGAGAAAGAATGGTGACACCCTTATTATATTTAACAAACGTTTAGTTCAAAGTCAGAATTTCAAACTGACTATGATTTGGCAAAATAAAATAAGGGTGTCATTTTGCTAGCGCCACGAGAGTAGAGAGGGAACTTCTTCCCTCAATTAAAGACACCCTTAATTCTGGATAAAAACGAATGAAACCCATTCCTTCATAAAAATTATTAAATAAAGCTCTCTTCTTTTTGATCCCTATTTTAAAAAATGTAAAATTAACTGAAGCTAAAGCTGAACTGATTAAAACGTGAACTGAACATTTTCAATGCCACCGGCGGCTTTAATTCTTTTTCGAAGATCTTCGACGAGTTCTTCGCTCAGCTCATTTTGCTCCTGATCTTCTGATGGTTCTTCTTCCATTCTGTTTTCGTTGCTGTCTGGCTTCTTCTGGGTGACGTAGATTCCGGAGAATAGCGTGTTTTGAGAGAGCTCGTATTTTCGCATTTTGTCTTCGATTTCGCCTAAAAGAAATTTTGGGTGTTGAATAAAGAATAGTGGCTTTTGATTGGCGCAAACAAAAAATACGGGAGTCTTATTGGCTAAGACAAAGAAAGTTAGTTTCTGATTAGTTTTTACTCAGAAAAAGAACCAGCTGATCGGTGGTTTTTATTCGAAAAAAAAGGAATCTTACGCTGTCCCATGTTGTGCCCTTCATTGGAAATAATCTGCGAGAGAATATCTTCTGTCATCTTTTTTATCAACAAATCTCCTTCATCTTCTTCTGGCGCATTATCGAGCAGTTCGCTTCCTACGTCTGAGTCCAAGTCTGATTCTGCGATTAATCTTTCTTTTCCAAAGCTTTCAAATAAATTTATTTCTTTTTTAATAAAAATATAAGATCGATTTTGATGATTTTCTAGCTTTTCCTTGATCTTCGTCTTTTCCAAAACACTTCAAGCAATTTCCCATTTCTCAAATCTCCAAATCAAATGCACAAAAAATTATGGTTTATTCTTCTCTAGATTTTTTAAAAATGCGTCACTCAATTTTTTTGGAATTGGCGCGCAACCAATCAGCGCGCATCACTGCCGCTGAACGACGTGATCACCAGCTGCGTACGTGACCGACTTTTTTCGACTCGAGAGAGTTTTTTTGTTTCGAATGGAATTATTTCTAAGAAAATTTCTTTGAAGAGGGATCAAAAGGAGCTCTTTTTTCAGAAGAAGGGATGAAAAAGAGCGCGTGACAACCAACTTGATCAGCTGATTTTTTGCATTTCGGCGGGGTACAGAAAAATGGGGAGCAAACAGTTGAATTTTGCGCTTTTGGCGCCCGAGGGAGTCACTTCATTTTCAAATAAACGGCTTCAGTAAGACTCAAATAGAGAAAAAACTCGCATTTTACGACGAGAAGATGGATCAGGTACTGTGAGAGAAATGTACTGTTGAAATATCACCGTAATTACTCGTTATTGGCATCATTTTTGGCAAACCATGTGAGAATCCAGCATTTTTAGATAGAATTTTCTTATTACCGCGTAAAATAATAGTTTGAAAATCCCGCCTAATTTTTGGGAAACCGGCTGATCCAATCGGAAGCTTCGATATTACAAATTCTAGGAACTCATAGCTATATCCTCCGTTTAGCTCCTGGAAGTAGGCGCTCAAGAATCATGGCGTTGCATCAACGACTACGGCTTCTACCTCGACATTTGCCACTTTTCAATCGCGCTGATGGGCGCAAAGAAGAAACTCGGTGCAACTGCTCGTGAAAAGCCTCTTATCTCCGCCGGAGTGTCCATTTTCTCCTGTTTCTTGTCCGGTTTCACGCTCAACTTCCTCTGCGGCCTGCCAATCCTCGGATCCTTGCAAGCGACGACGACGCTGATCATGATCTTTTGTTTGTGGATGTTGATGAATTTTATCATGCCGGATTTGTTCGACAAGATCTTCAACTTTCCCCCTGTGCTGATTGTTCTAGTGGCGGGAAAAGAACTTCTGAGGAACAAGAAAATCTATGGCTCGATTGACAAAGCGATGAAAATTTACCCAGAAAGGAAAGGTTCATTTCTCGGACTGGCTTATTTTGTTTCGTAAATTTCAGTTGATTTGTAAAGTATATGATATACTTTATATACTGTATATCTTCCGTTCTAGACGGCACCCTGCGCAGAAAACCTGAGCATGGCTCCAAAGGAGCTCTAACAGAACCTGAATCAGGTTTTCTGCGCAGGTTGCTAGACCCGACTTCCGCTAGACTAGCATTGTAATGTCTGCTCTATTTGGTCAATTGCCGTGATTTATCGGAGATTAATTAGTAATTACGCCAATTTTGAGCTTCCCAGGGTTATTTCCTCGGTGTTACTTTTGAAGAAAAACATAATGATGATGAATGTTCTTTTATTTTTATGAACCTTCAAAAAGCTTTCATATCGTCGCTTTTCTCGGTTTGGTTGGCTGCGCTGCTGGCGGTGCTTTGACCCACTACCTAACTGCTGTCCAGAACAAGTCGTTCACTGGCAATCAGAAGCCAGCCTTGGCGACGAAATTCTCAACAGTTTTCGCGATTTTGCACACTTGCGCCACGATGAAAATTGCATTTTTCGGCTGGCTGCCGACGCGCCCTGAAGTCTGCTTCATTCAGTTTTCCGTCGTCGCTCCGATCTTGGTAACCTTTTTTGGTTGTTCACCGATTTATTGAGTTGGTTAATTTTCAGATTGGCGAGAAATTCGGACTTGTCATTGATCCCTTCCAACCTTTGCAGGACATTCTGTACAGAGTCTTTGTCAGCATGGGCGAAGAAGAAATAGCTGCTCCAAAGCCTGTTTCAGCGCCAAAATCTCCATCAAAGAAGGCTAAAAAGTCGAAGAAAGAATAATTTTCCGATAAAATGCGATCATCCTGCGATTTTCCTGCACTCAGTTACTTTCAAAACTGACAATTACAGCCTCTTTTTGCCACGAATTTCAATTTTACCATTATAAATTTGGTATTTCTTCAAAAATTATCACGAATTTCCGAGAAAAAGGGCTGAATTTGCCAGTTTTTTCTTCGGTTTTGCAATAAAAAAGATGATAATCGTTGAGTTTTTTTGTTTGAGGCATGTTTTATTTTGAAAACTGAGAACAATTATAATTTAATTAAACTTGTGGGTATACGTTCTGTGAGCATGAATGAGTTGAAACCAGTATATGCAAAAGTTAATTTGTTTTTGTTTTTTGAAAATCAGTTTTTACAGTCTTTTTTCTGTCGGGTAAGAATAAGATGTTGTGTTTGTTTTGTAATGGCTTTTACTACAGATGTAAAATTGTTCTGTAAGAAAGAAAAAGCAGGCATTTAGTTGGCCAAAATAGAAATTGAGAAGGAAACAATACGTGAATGAGAGTTTTATATTTTTTGTTGAGGCTTTCTGGAGAGAGAAGCGGAGCTACTATCATTACAAAACAGTATTAATTGTGAATTACAGTAAGCGGGAATTGTAATTTTGAGATAGATAATGTGTTAAAAGGGGGAGACTTTGAATCACCGGGGATGCACATCACAAGAATTTGGAACTCTTCGGATTTTTTACTGGAACAGTAATACTTGAAATCAAAGCCGTTGATTTCGAGTATTCACACAGGAGCAGACAATCAGCAGAATAAAAGACTTCTTATCTGTTGAAGCAAAATAGGGTTTTTTTTAAAGCTGTCAGGTTCTGTTTCTTTTAGTAAGAAAAAAATTCAAGCTTAGCTGGAGGTTCAAAAGGGTGAAAAGGAGAGTATTTTCGAGTTGGGTTTTTACTTTGATTTGTTTTACTTTTTCTTTGAATAGTTGAGGCGTTCCGGTTGAGGAATTTGATAAATGAAAATTTTCAAATTGAAACAAACTGAAATTGAAATTCAGCCGTTTTTTAAACTGTTTGGAAAGAAGAAACTTCTGAACTTGGGAAAAAGGGTTGAACTTGGTACTAAGAGATCGAGTTTTTCTAATGATTAGAAATAAGCCAAACTCTTAATAAATAATTAAATATTAATAAAAAATATTGTGGGAACTAAAGGAGCGTGGATTAATAAAATGTTTGCCGAATATATAAATAAATCGTATTTACAGTGCTCACAAAAACTGTTGCTCAAAATCGAGGCCTCGAATACGAAATCTTACGAGTCCTTGCTGGTAGCGGGGGATGAGAAAAATAATAGCTGAAGGAAAGTTCAAGAATCCTTAAAAAAGATCAAGCGCATACATTTATAACCTTGTCAAAAATTCATAAGATATCCTTATCATCTGTCCACCCTATCGTGCCGCAGTAGGAAATAACAATATGTTTTAACGAATACAAGACTAAAAAGAGAAACTAAAAATACATAATTGAATTGACCAAAAAGATGGTCGATAGTACCGCTGCGGGTTTTTCTACTACCTGGTGGCTCTAGAATCGCGGCTCAATTGAAAAATGAGGAAATAGGGAGCGGACTAGCGGGGCACGGTAGGGTTGGATTGAAAAGCTCAAAAAAATCTGAATGGCAGGTGATTTAGATATGTTGAGGTAAGCCGAAGCCTGTATTGAGATAATTTTGGGTTTGATTAGGGTCGCTGCCTTGGGACGTCTCGCTTAGCTGTCCGGGCAGGTGACCTCCCATGCCGGCGGCGAGGAGGGAGTTGTCAGTTGCGCCCTGGCTGCCGAGGCCGAGGGGGTTGAGCGGCCCGTTGAGCGAGGCACTGCCTAGCGGCGCTCCCCCGTGAGGCGATAGCGGGTTGGCTTGAGTGGACGCAGCGGAGCCGAGCTGATTCAGCGGGTTCAACGAGTTAAAGGGGTTGAGCAAGTTTGAGTGTTCCATGCTAAAGTGGCACCAGAAAACAGGACCTGAGTCAAACTGTCGATAGCACTGCGGGCACGTGATAAACTGTCCAGGAACCTGCTGCCCGAGCGCATTTGCTCCGGCCTGGTTGGGTCCCAAGCCGCCGAAGCTACTCGGCTCCTGGTTGAGCTGATGCTGCCCGAACAGCTGGTTCTGGATAAAGGGGTTGGGCGGCGCGGACGAGCTTGGCAACTTAATCAAATCGAGCGGATTCGAGCTTGCGCCCAGCGAGCTTGAGGTTAGGTTGTTGAAGTCAGAGTTCACTCCAGAGCTAGAAGAAATTTTGTGGTTCAAGGAGTTCGAGAAAGAAAGAGGGCCTGTGTCAGGGAAAGAAGACTTTTGAAACAAGTTTGAAGTGCCATCGTCGCGAGGATCCTGAAAAAGAGGATGTTAGGATAAAGCAAATTGTTGACTCTCAAGGAGTAGACATCAAAACTCGTCTTGATGAGTCTAATTATTGATGTCTACCTCTCGAATGAAATTGATTATTACGGATGAACTTACTTTTTGAGGGTTTGACATGAAGTGTGAATAAAGATCGAGGCCGCCGGTGGCGTGCGACGACAAATGCGAGTTGCCCAAAACATCCGATTTTGCGGCGCTCGACAAGCTGTCGATCGCCGTCTCGGTTTTAATATCGTTGCGCATGCCGGAGAGGAGCGGGAATTGATCCAAATTGTTGTTGACTTTGTCATTCGAGCTAAGCCCGTTGGTTGACGGAAGATGGCCAGCCATGGTCGGCAAGTCGTTGTGATGATCGTTGGAGCTCTGGCCAAGCACGTTCGTAATGTCGTTGTTGATCATGTTTTGTAAGTTCTGGATCATTCGCTTGGCGGAAGCGATGTGCGTTCTGTTGATGTCCTTGCTCCACTTTTCCGAGAAAATTCGCGCCGTCTCTTCCAGCGTCATTCCACTAAAGAAATTGAGGTCATCATCTTTCAGAGAGCACTTAGTTCAATTCAAGAGCGTGGCGGAACATCTTGAACTAGACAAAATAACTTCATCAGCAGCGAGAATAGCTACAAAATACCGCAAAGTTCATCGATCACGTGTGCTTGCTCAGTAGCTCGGACGTAAGTTTATCCCTGATGTTATCTTGCCATTGCTGCCAGGCGGGTTAATTGCTCTATCTACAGAGCTTGCTTATCAATAATTCAGAACGCAAAAGATTCATGGTCAATAAATTTCAAGCGCAAAGCTCAGAACAAAAAAAAATTGACCTTCCGGGGATCTATTCAATTTTAATCCGCTTCCGGGCCTTGTTCTCCCAAGCTGGCCCCTGTTAAATTCCATATTATTTACCACATTGCTGAATTATTCGCGCGGATTCTGTTTTTGACTTGGACAATATCCAATGCCGTTATTCCACTTTTAAAAATTTATATACCACAACTCGTCCAAAATGCAAGAAACATTCGATCGAAAGTTAGCGCCCCTTTATCTTACCTGTTTTGGCTGATGAAGGTGGCGATTTCTTCGCGCTCAGACTTGGACAGACAAGTTCGGGGTTTTCGCGTGATTTTTTCGTAGCTTTGGTTCGAGCCCTTGTACTGCTCCATTGACCATTTGTCGATGTTTTCCTTCGTCCCCATGATTTGCCTGATTTTTTGTCTGTTAAAAATGGACATGAAAAATAAATGAGTACCTTTCCGTCACATTCCGATTCCACTTTTTAGTGAATAGTTCTGCGTACTGCTTGAGCTGCATTCCGGGATTTTCTTTCATAAAATTCGCGATTTCATGTTTTTCTCCAAATGTCAATCGAACAAACGGCGATGGTTTCGGTCGATTCTGTCGCAATTTTCGGCCATCATCGAGTTTCTTCCCATGTCGCATCTAAATTCAACCGTTTATCACTGCAATTACTCCCTGATATTGAAGTATCGAGTGGGTTAAATTCTCAAATTTTGTTGTAAAAGATCGTAAAAGATCGTTATATCATTTACTCCGCTAAGAATCTCACTATCATAAATAAACTATCACTTTTGAGAATCTGTAGTTTAACTCAACCTGAAAGCGCTGAAGCCATCCTTGAGAAGCATTAAAATTCTCAATTCCAAGCTGCTTCGCCAATTCTAGCGCCATGTTCCGAATGTAGCCGGAAGTGAGCGTCATTTTCTGCTTCTCGGCTTCATCCATGACGGCAAGCATGACCTGCTCGATTTCGGGGAAGTTGGACGATTTCGACTTGTTCTTGTATCGATTGTCGTTGGCGAGGGACTCGTCTAGGAGTTTATCGCCTAAACACGAGAAGATTTTTTGGGAGGCGAAGCGACATGCCCCCAGGCGCGTGCTCAAAATAATGTCGAGGCACATGACCTGGAGGCAGGTTTTGTGTACCCACGCCAGAGCGGATTAAATCTAGCCATAATCATTTAATGAGCTTATGGAGAGATAAAAAACCAATCTGGCAAGTTGGTAGCAGTGAGCATTGTTTCTTTCGTTAAATTAAAAAGTGCGAAATTAAGGATTAGCACTTTGATTTTTTAGGAAATGCAGCTTCTTGCGTCAATTAGTGCAAATACTTCAAGAGCGCTAGAATTGAGCGAAACGTCGCTAATTCCTGGCGCGATTGATTAGATGCGCAAATTATGAGCATATTTGTTAATTTCGGATTAAAATAATAACAGTTCTAATTTTAATTTTTTCTGTCAAAAATTTACCTTCCGACTTGATTCGCCGGACGGTGTCAGCAGTGAGCGGTTTTTTGAACTTCTCGGAGAAGAGCAGCGCGATATCTTTAGCAAGCATATTCGGGTTCTGCACCAAGTACTTGGCGACTTCATGTTTCTCGCAGAGCGAAAATTGGTTCCGCGTGCGGACCTCCGGCTTGGAGTCCTTGTCCGCGCTGGATTGGGAAACTTTTTTATCGTGCCGCGCGAGGAAACGCTTTGAGGATTTTTTTGATACTGTAAGAAATCTAAATTTTTAATTTGGGCTCTCATACTTTGCAGCATTTTCCAATGATCTACTTATATCTTTTATGCTTCATAAAGAAATGTAAATAACGTCAAAAAACGAATTTTAGGGGGATGTTTATTAAGGGTGTCAACAAGAATTTTGAAAAATATGCCTCTTTTATTTTTTAAATCACGAAGCAAAAGCAAGCTTTTTTTAATTTAATTTTTTAGCGTAGCGAGCTAAGCGAGCACATTATGCCGTTTTGCTCACTTACTGTTTGTTTCTCTTTTATAGAAAAATCCGTCCCAGAAGCCAGCCCTTGGAGGCACTGAAGCTTCGGTGTCCGATGAGCTTTGCATGTTGCAGGGCTTTGGTCCTCACTGCCGATCCAGAGAGGCTCTCTTCCTTCGCTTCTGCTTCTTCAAATAGACCGAGCACGTACTTTTCTATCTCGGGAGTTCTCGGGCCGCCTTTTGGAAACGACAGTTTTCCTGACTTCGGACTTGGGGTCATTCCATCGGAAGCTAACTCGTGTGGATCTTAAAAAAAAGATACGTTTATTTGGTGAATTACTTTCCGTATGTATTTTCCTGGCCAAGGAACTGTTTTCATAGATATTTAGACCGGATGCTTTCGAAAATAAAAATATCAAGAATTAGCATATATATATTCTTCCTCTTATCTTATTCCCATATCTGGGCTCAGAAACCTGTGTAGAAAACCTGAGTCAGGGTTCGAGAAAAAATAAATGAAAGCTGCGTTATTTCGAATTCTGACTCAGGTTTTCTACACAGGTTTATGAGCCCAGTCTCAAAATTTTTTTGAGATGGCATTTTATGATGAGAATCTCATCATGAGATGGTAATTATGAAAGCTTTCGAAGTAACTAGTCATAGCTCAAATACTCGAATGCTGGGGCTTTTGACTGCTGCCAAGTCTGTATGTTGACTTTGGCCGACGTTTGGAAAGCGCTTTACGAGTTTGACTACTTTGGCAAACTGTAAATTCGAGCGGCGACAGTATGTAAAAAGCTTGTGTAAATTGTAGCAACTCGCCAAAATGCCAGGCGGATGAATTCAAACAATCACCATCAGAAAACAGATAAAAGCTCTGACAGTTCAAAAACGAAGCTCGGTAGATGATCCTTATTCGGATGGCAGCAGTGGCTGCCCCAGGGAAAAGCAGAAGAGACAACGCTCTGAGCACGCTGAATTTGTTTTCAAAGTCGAAAACTAATCGATCCTGGTACTCGTGCAAACTATTTCCAAAATGAGGCATATTATATTTCTGGCGAATGGTCATTTTTATTCGATGATATTTTTTGCGATTATTTTTTCGATAATTTCATGTTTTTAAAATTTGTATTCAAAAAATATTTGATAGATAAGTAGTTTGACGGAAAATTATCCCCCTTCTGAGGAAGAAAATAAAATCATCGAGGATATTCATCGATTTTATGAGTTGCAAAATACGTGATAAAAAATAGTTTAGCCATCTTTTCGAGCAGAATAACACTAGTAAAAATACTAGTAATAACATAGTGCGCTCGAGTTCAGATGATCAATCTGCCGAGAACAATTATATTTAATTGTGCTGATTTAAAACAAGGATTACATATGTCAACCACTTATTTAACGAATCCACATGAATAATTGTTATGGCTATCTTGTAATCATGTGATATTCGTTTAAATTATTTGAGTTATTTAAGTTTTCATAATCCAATTTTCCCAAGGAGCGATTATGTTTTTAGGGCTTGGTTTGAGTTTCGTGAAAACATTTCATAATTAAAAAAGTAGGCTAACTTCTGACTAAAAATGAAAAAATAGACAGTCCACGTGTATACGTTTTTTTTTCCAGAAACTCGCCCGCCAGAGCTCAAGTTCTAATCGGATTCGATTTCTGTAGCTCGGCAGAGACAGAAAACATTTTCTGCCTGCTTTGCGCTACAGGGATCGGCCGATCTGCGAGTCAAGCTCTGGCGATTGGCGTTGCGGCGCGTTTTTGGCCCCGGCGCGGGTCCAAGTTGGCGCAGCGCCAACGTGGCTGAAAATTGAAACCACTGAAGGCCATTAAATCAGACAAAAGGGACGTCTCTCGTTTTTTTCACTAACTCGCTTAGGCCGGACTTACCCATAGCGATGATGTTGTCAATCTCGTCGAGATCGATTTGTTTTCCGAATTTGGCGGTGAAGTTTTCTCGAATCAGGGCTCTCGCAGTCGCTGGATTGGCCTTGACGAATTCGGCGATTTCTAGCTTTTCTTCGAGGAGCAGTTCGACGCCGTCGACGAGATCGTCATCGGAGCGATCTCTCGAGCTCGTCGACGCGTCACCATGCGCTTGGATCGGCGTGTCCGCGTTCGAATGTTCTGAAAGCTCGTTCGGCGAGGAATGGTCTTCGTTGGAATTCCCAGTGTCCGGCCCTTCCTGTAGTTGCCCGCCTGGACCTGTACTATCTCCTGATTGTGTTGGTAACGTGAACGCCTCTGCCGACAATGCTGGCTCCGTCTTCACCCCACCCTCTTCCATCTTCGAGTCTCAGAATCCAGCTGAAGAAATGTTCAAAAAAGTGGTCAAAACTAAAATAATCAGAAGTAAAACGCGCTAGTACAGTTTTCCTCTCCGCTCGCGTAGGAAAAGAGAGTGTTGTTTAGTAGCGTTTTTGGTGCGTTGCCAATCACGTGAGCTTCTTACTAGCTGCCCGCTACTTCCCGAAAAGAAGAACTCGGATTGGTAATTACCTTCAAGTTTATTTTTCGTTCGAGTCTTCTTTTTCTTGAGCTCTCTTGTTTTAACTGACTGTAGATCTTCTCTAGAGGTGTTAATTGTTTCTTGATCAATTGGCGATGGCGTATTTCTTCGTTGATTTCGTGTTTTTCAAGCTCTTTGGGTGAAAAAGTGTTGGAATTTTAATTGAAGGGGGTTTTCAGTAATGCTGGCGCATGGTCTGGCGTTACGGTAATCGTTCTGGCGTTAGGGCTCGGCTGAGCTGTGAGCTCGGAGAGCTAGGGAGCAGCGCGGCGCCGACACGCCCTTGAGATGGGCCCACGCAAAGAGACAAGAAAACACCATTGGGTCATCGATCCTGCTGCTCTAGGGTCGGCCCTGCTGACAAAAATACTATCACTACTCCGACACTGTAGCAGGCTTTCTCCAGCAGGCTTTTCTATATCATTCTTTGTGTTGTATCGAGCACTAGACTGTCCGATTTCAGACCGAAAATTGAAAACAAGGATGAGTTCCTCTTTATTGATTTAGAATCATTGGATTAAATTCCACGTGCCGAAATTTGAAAAATAGAATCTTCATCGAAAGTAGTCCTAATTTCAGCGGATGAGTTTGAAAGCTGAAAGATTGCTCATGGATTCGGAAAAAAAAGTTGTTCGCTGGCACGTTTCCAACGGGAAACGTTCGCTTCTGGCAACTCGATTTGTTGGTTTATTCAATTGGGAGGAAATAAATTCGAAAAAGTAGAACTTCCTCAAATTCGATTTATGTACGGTTGTGGACGAATTTCATAATCCTGGGCTCTTTATGAAAGTCAAAGGAAGGTCATGTAATCGCGGGTGCCGACTTGACAGGATTGCGATAACAGGACGGCTTCTTATCATTCAACGTTCGCCCGAGCAGCCAATAGACTATTGCCAATAGAGTACTTCTTAATTTCTATTATCAAAATTATGTAAACTTTTCTTTATGTTTAACCTCAAAAATATTGGTTTTTGAAATCAACACGTGAATATTTTATTCGAATGAAAATGCGAACACGTGCTATTTGCGCCGCAGAAAATCTGCTGACTCCTGTGTTTGAGAGGAAAAGAGCAGACACTACGCGCCTCTGCAGAAAAAGAGAGTCGGTTATTACCCCTTTTTGAAGCGTTTTTTTATCGGTCAGAAAACAAGAGACGCAGCGTTAATCGATTTTAGCTTTTTTATTCAGCGATGTGTACAAAGAGTGACGGAGTATTAGAATTATAAATTATAACTGTATATATACAGTAACAGGCGCACAAATCAATGATTCAGTGCCTTTTCGAAAAATGGTATTGACAGTTCTCAAACTATTCTATATAAATTATTTATGCTTCTACGTGAATTCTATGATTCAAGTTAAATATTAAGTATTTAAGAATTATCCATAGAATTGAGTGACTCTTGCGCAAGGGTCATCTCCAGTTGAGTTGGTCTTGTTTCTCCTCTGTACAAATTAAAAGTTAGTGATGGCCGGAGATCAAATATTCAAGTAGTAAAAGAGTCGAACTGATATTTTTATTTGTTTGAAGTCTGCTGAAAAAGTATTTGATAGCAATTCTTTTATAAAAATTCTCAGTCAATCTAAAGCAAATGTTGATGGATAAGTTGTTGATGCCATCAACTTGATGGTAGCAATATATAATATGAAATAAAGATAAGGCCACTTGATAACAAATTATTACTCTTTTATATTGATAATATCATATAAAGAGAAAAATGAGAATATGAAATATGAAATTAATTTATTAAATTGTAAAAAGAGATTTTATTGTGTTGATGAAAAAAGTCGAATGAGTTTGAGAAGCTTTTGCAAAACGTGTATTTTTGATATTTACGCTAGTGATTTCGTTTCGGATCAGTTGACATTTTTACTAGTGCTTCGAAAATAAATGGATTGTACTACTACTGGCACGAGGCTAGTTGCCACCCTAGTCGTAGTGCTCTGGTTGCTAACGCTGGAGTAGTAGAGAGCCTGCCAAGCGATACCGTACCAGACTGCGTCTTAACTAGCCAGAACGCGCTGCTTCGAATAGTCATCATTCTGCAGGGGGTGATGTAATTAGCCCCATTTTTATCATTAGCTCTCCCGCCGAGATACGGCACTAGCAACCTTAGCCCGTCGTTAGTGGATTAGCCAGAAAAGGAGAAAAACTTTAGTTGATCCTGCCCAGTCAGTACGTGATCAGGGCGGGCTCCCTGTCCGAGACACCAACAATTTGAGCGAAGCAGCGGCTTCTGATCAATTCTTGAGCTATTCTCGACATCCAAACCAATTTGTCTTCAGATTTCGATGATCAGAACAATAAGTCGAGGGAAATAAAGTTGAGGCTAAATAAAAAGCGCTAGTAACGCGTGTGTTAAGCGGATTTATTATGGATATTTACATGGTAAATTTAATATAGGTACTTAATATGTACATGTAAACAGTTTCATAACATTCATACTTCCCGGCGCGTATGTAAAAGAATAAACAATGAAACTATCAGGATGAAGTATCAACACCTGATGACTGGATGATGAAAATGAAGGATAAGATGTTTGGCGCGGTAGATTCTTTATTGTTGACCTCTTTTTCATATTTATAATATCAACCCCTTGTTTGATCCAAAGTAGCTTGCTTCAGTCTGCAGATTCTGACCATACTCTGGTCACCACAGGGAAGCTGAATGATGAACGTTCAAATACTTCAATAAATACTTAATGGTATAATTAATGACAAAACAATTCAATATTCGACTTCCACAGTTTTTATTTCTATCAGAAATCACAACTAAAAATGGCATCGTAAACTTCGACTTCTTTTCGGATTGATTCTGAAAAAGTGGCATTTTTATTAATTTGGATTCGATTTGATCACCTTCTGGTCGTATTCCAAAGGTGGGACACATTCATCGTCGTTTGTTCTTGAAAACGGAAGTAAAGGAGCCAAAACTTCGCGGGAATTAGCGTTACCTTTGTTGAATCCTGAGACTGAGTGGCGCACAGCTTCCGCCAGATTCAACTCAAAAGCACGTAGACCTTCGTGTTCGGAGCTAATAATATTTAATCAGTTTAAAATTTTGTTACCGGCCGTTTTTGGTCAATATTGACCTTGGTTCAAGCTTTGGAGTTCAGAAAAAGAGCTTCACTATTTTATTTTGCCGAGTTAACAAACTTACGATTCTTTCTTGGGATCATAGACGAAATCTTCCGGTCGCAATTTACAGTCCATCCGGTCCAGATTGTAAAGGTAGTTAAAGTGCGAGACAAAAAATGGCACTGGAAATGACATGCACAAAATGCCTGAGCAAGTGTGATTTTTCAGAAAAAATGGGCTCCAAAATTTAAAATCTTTGCTAATTTGCTAAAAAACACACGTTCCCATCATGGCGCAAATCGAGCCAAAGATTTTTCCACAAATAGTTCTGGGAACTACATCGCCGTATCCGACCGTCGTCATTGTAATGATAGCAAACCAAATTCCTTAATGACAAGAGAATTATTGACGAACATTATTTGAGGCTAAATAAAAGAACACCTTCAGGAATGGATGTTATCTCGTTGCTTTCCCCATCTGCCTCCATTATATAAACCTAAAAAGGGCAATTTGCTAATTACAGAAAGACCTCGCGCGAAATGGCAAATTAACAAACCACGGAGCCGAAAGTGACCGCCAGCACCATTTGGAAGAAAACCAAAAGAAACAGTAATCTGGAGAAATGATTCAAAAAGATAATTGCCCGTATTAAAAGTCATTGCCCAGGGTCAAGAAATGTTGTTATCAGAATCATTTCCTTGCTGATTTTTGAACAGTAAGAGCGAGTATTCGAAGACCACGCGAGTACCGGGAAAGTTTGAGGATGCGAAATGCCCTTAGAAAGTTAACCGAGAGAATCAGCCCGTTTTGTTTGATCACGCGAGCTGAAGTTCGGAAGCGGTTACTTCCGGAAGTTCCGGATGAAGCAATTTTTTCATGAAAATCTAGATGCAACTGCCGAACAGATCGAAGCAATTATCAAAGTCGCCTGGAGCGATTCTTATTAATAATATTCTCTCGTATAACCTTCCTTAGAATCCTCGCAGAACGAATGAAGGTGACCATTTGGGGCTGCCACGTGGTCACGTGCGAACCTAGTGTTTCCCGCAAACGCGATGAAATTTCGATAGCTAGAGAAGATTTTCCGTTTTCATTTAGATACTGTTCTCTTACCAGTAACAAGAAAGTAAGGAATAATTGCAATAAAGTCGATTATATTCATCAACTGCGACATAAACTCTGTTCTGCTCGGACAGCTCAGGAAACGAATAATAAATTCGAAAATGAACCAGCCGACGCAAACAGATTCGATGAAAAATAAATTTCCCAGATCGGAATCCATCGACGATCCGGAGCGGCCCCGTGACTCGCCGGCTAAGTGGTGGTGTTCGATATCGATGTCGGGAAAAGTCTCGATGCAGAAGACGACCATTGATAAGATAATTGCTTGTTGAAATTGACAACTTGTTTTTCAATTTAGTAAAGAGCTTTTGAGTCAATTTTCCTGTAATAGAAATGAGCGAGACAATCCTCGCGACAGAGGATGTCTCGGGCCTGTCGAATGTCGCCCAGATTAGCTCTCGCTTTGTTCTGATCGGGCGAATAATCTCATTTTCTTCCAAGAGTAAACCTTCTATGTCGAGAAAGTCTTTAATCGCCGAATACGACAGTCGGTAAAACGTCAGCTCACTCAAGAAGATGTCGATGGGGATGATGTCGGGTCGGATTAAACTGCCCCCGCGCATTAGGAAAGAAGAAATCACCTAAAATTACCAGAACTAACTATTGAATATTGAAAGTTTGTAGGAGTTGTGAACAGTAGTTTTTTCTCAGCTACCTCAAAAGTACCACGATGGCGGTCGATGAAATATTCAGATCGTTGTTGGTCCCAGTAGATCTTCTCAAAATCTGAAAGCGCCCAAGAATAATATTGAAACGAAAACATTGGGTTCTCAGGTACCGGCGGAGCCGAGAAGTGTTGTCGGGTGATGGAGCTTCACGTGATCCATATTGATGTGGAATCGCTGTCCGCTGACGTTGACGACGGCCCATTCGTCTTTTGGGACGAAGGGATCCGGCAGCTCCGAGAATTCAAGAGGGATGGGGGTGACAGTTCTTGGTGAAAACGGATTTTGAAAACGGATTTTTCAGATCTCCTTGATACCTAGTAATCGTCGGGCTAGAATCATTCGTCCTTGTAGACACGGAAGAATATCGATGCCTCGAAGACGCTGCAAAAGATTTAATAAGTTTTCTCTGATTATGCGCGAATTCCAAGGCTCTTTGTCGACGAAGAGGCCTTTTATAACGACTTCTCATGAAATCATTTTTTGAGATAAAATCGTTTGAATCAAACGATTTTTAAAGAAGGCGAAATTGAAATCGACTTACTGGGACTTGGAGAAAGAAGATAATCGCTCTCGGTGGAGCGACTCTGTGCGCTAAAGCGAGGATTAGTTTTCCGCGAAATATGGAATGGCGACTTTTTTCGACTTATGGTCTGTTTTTTGATAATCCCTTCCTGTCTGGCCGACCTGGAGGCGGACGTGCAAAGGGCGTCTTAAATTTAACGGATAGTAATTTTTTGTTTGGCTAAGTGAGCTTTCTATCTTACCAGGTACTTCATGAAGAGTTGAACTTCTCTTTTTGTGGACCTAGGGAACGTCGAGAGATCGCACAAAGTCAATTATTTAAGAACAAGTGAGTGTTGAATATTTGAGACGATAGAAACAACTGTCCGATCTGCCACGCTTGAAGTTCTCTCCCTGACATATTGAAGGAAAATTTATATTCGCAGACAAATTAAGAGGTGAAAAAGGGACTTTATTCCGCTCATTATTGGGTTTAAGCGCTGTCAACAGACGTGATTTGAAACAGACCAAATGAAAATATTATCGATTCATATCAAGAGTCTAGATTCAATAGGAAGGAAATTCACAATAAAAAGGATGTGCTCAAGATGATTGCGTCCATGATTTCGTCACTGTAGGAGTGCAGAAAGAAGAAGACAAGTAGGAAGTAATCCCGATCGACACTGCCGATGCTCCTGTCCTGAGTGATTAAGGCAATGCTTCTGTGGTATCTCTTGCTCGATTTGACGGAAAACTCTCGATTCAACTTATTAAGTCTTGTAAAATTGATATTTAAAATATAATAGAGATTTAGAAACTTGCTTTATAAGTTGGCTTCATCCAGCGATTCTCGCTTAGCGTCATACCGCGTAGAATAAACCAGTTCTCGTCCGATCACTGAAGTCAAACTACGACGGGCGGGGTTAGTACTTACATGGGTGACCGGTTGGGAATACCTAGTGCGCTAAGCATTTTGACTTTTTCAAATGAGTAGCATCATTTTTCTGCATGGTAACTTTTGCACCGCTAATACCGCAAAAGTGATGAAGAATCAAGTCAACAATCATTGAAGACAGTCACCATGTTTGCGTGAGGCAAGCATTTCGATTTGAGCTTGCCTGGCGGGCGGCGTAACATTTGAGAAAAGCGCCCTCTGCCGCGCGCTTTTCTGAAAGAGGCCGAAAATAGGAGCGAGCAGCGACAAAACGACCTCGAAATCAAGCACCCCTCCTCTTCACTCATCCCATTTTTGAGTCCGATTTCGATTGTCTAACAGGTAAGAATCGTCTCCATGCCCTCTCTCTCCTATCCCTCTCGCCTCTCACAAACAAAAACATCTTTGATAAAAGTTCACCCACTGTGATGAACAACCCAACGACGTGCTTTTTCAAGTTTCCCGTATTTCAAAAACCCACTTCCACTTTTATGAAAAAACACGTCGTAGGGCTGGACGCGCTTTTTTAAGGTTGTGCAAGTTATTTTTCCAGCTTTTTCATTGAAATACCCGGAGCTTCATAACTTCTAACTGAAGGTGGTCACGTACGCCTTCAGGCAGACATAAGCGCGACTAAAGCTTTCAAGTTCGGAGTGAGTACACGTGACGGATTGTGATCCTGTAGGGAGTGTGTCATTTTCTGTGTTGTAAGAGGCGAGAGGGATAGGAGAGAGAAGGCATGGAGACGATTCTTACCTGTTAGACAATCGAAATCGGACTCAAAAATGGGATGAGTAAAGAGAGAGGGTGCTTGATTTCGAGGTCGTTTTGTCGCTGCACGCTCCTATTTTCGGCCTCTTTTCAGAAAAGCGCGCGGTAGAGGGCGCTTTTGACATGGACACGCCGCCCCGCCAAGCACCCTTCACTCTCAATGCTTACCTCACGCAAATACTGTGACTTTCTTAAATGAAAGATGACTTGATTCATCAGCGATTTTATGCGGAAGTGTTTTTGCAGGAAAAAGGACTTTCCAATTTTGAAAAAATTAAAAATGCTTAGCGCACGAGGTATTCCCAACCGGTCACCCATGTAAGTACTAACCCCGCCCGTCGTAGTTTGACTTCAGTGATCGGACGAGAACTGGTTTATTCTACGCGGTATGACGCTAAGCGAAGGATGTAGGTTCTATGGACATTATATGTCCAATTTTTAAATTTAGATTATGTGTATTCAGATTAATAATCTGTTTTACTATCGTTGAATATATAGCCACCGTGGAACTTGTAAAATGTGAGTACTGTTATTCTTAGATTCGCGAATTGATAATGGTCCAGTAGTCAACTCCCAAGTGGACAAAATTGGGTCATTTTTTCATGAAAAAGACGGTATATGGGCAAATGCAAAAACGGTCCAATGGTTCCCTTGGCAATGTTCAAATGGAAAATTTTATCTGTTGGCCAAATGGACAGTAGTCTGTGTAAATCTCAATTTGAGACCCTCAAATTGTTAAATGTAAACCAATGCTCTTACGGTCCAATGAATCATTGGAAATGATCCAAAGGTCAGATGGTAAGTATGGGCATTCGTGTGTTTTCATTAAACAATTTGAGGGTCTTAAATTGAGATTTTAACAGACAACTGTCCGTTTGGCCAACATATAAAATTTTTCATTTGATCATTGCCAATGGAAGCATTGGATTGTTTTAGCATTTGTCCATAAACCGTCTTTTTCATGAAAAATAACCCAATTTTGTCCACTTGGGAGTTGACTATTGGACCATTGTCAATTTGCAAATTGTGGGGTAGTGCGAGGCGGTACCGACTTTATACTTGCTCCAGAAACTGCTCCAGAAATCGGAACCTACGCTTGAATGGACTGAACGGCTTCTCGGAGAAAAACAAGGAGGAAAAGAGCTCATCAATTTTTCGCAAGAACAATAATTTCAAACATCATTTACTGCCCGTTTAACTCTGTATTCAATTTTAAAATATAATTTAAAACATAATTTTAAAATATTGTACTTCCCTTTTTCGCTGCCGGCTTCTCCTCGTGTTCAATACAGTTCTCCAGGAACATGTCGTATGTGATCAGCGGATACTGATCCAGGGAGTCCCAGGTGCGACGCTAGAGAGTTGAAAATGGGTCCGGATCATTAGCACCTTTTCCCTTGATGTACTCCTGGAGAGCTCGCTGGAGAAATGCTTTTCAGGAAATTTTCAAAAAGTCAATTAATAGTAAATTGCACCCAAATGTGCTACTCTCTTGCGCTAAAGATCAAATTTTGCACTTTTTCTTCCTTCCGGTAAAATCGGCATTTCACTGGTAGGAAATTTCGGATGCTCATCTCAGTCGCCGTTGTCATAAAGTCGCAGTGCTAGATTCGAAAGATTTACAAAAACAAGAATAACATTCAAATATCAAATGGTAAATATAATCGAACCTTATTTTTATTCACGAAGTACAATGGCCCCTCTAAGTAGGAGCTAAAACAGTCTAGTTTCTGATTCGTCTTCGGGTAGATTTCTTTGGAAAATGTCTCAATTACGAGACATTTCCTTTAATAAATCACAGGCTCTCCATCCTGGTCCATACCAAGAGTCTGTTATAGTTAGACACAGTATATCAACATTGAATTAAACAAACTCAAAACCGCGCACTTAAGCGCAAACTTTTGCGCGCATTTTCTTTTATTGTTTCTTTCTAGACTTGCTCAAAGTGATTGCATGATTGGTGCACCCATCACATGGGAAACCATTTTTACGAGAAAAAGAGATGATTTTGAGTAAGGGTTAGGGTTAAAGTTAGTTGATAGATAAGATAAAGGATGACGTTAAGATATAAAATAACAATAGGTCTAACAATAAAAGAGAATTTCAAAGCTAGAATTTACCCCTCTCATGTCGACAGATGCCGACGAGCTCGAGCTCTAAAATTAAGATTCTTTGAAAATCAAAAAGGAGACCCATAGACTTTTGGCCATAGTTTACCAGATCACCGGACGACTCCGAAAAACGTCACTATCGCAGCTTCCGTCATTCGTGACAGACGGAATCTTGAAAACATCCATACGATCCATAATTTCGATGGACGAGGACTGAGGGAGCAGAGGAGCTAGATTTTTCAGAGAGGTCCCCATCGTTGACCTTAGCGTCGGAAGCGGCCGCATTGGCAACTTCGGTCACGCTCGCGACTGGCACTTAGAACAAATCTTTACCCCTCTTTTTGCGCAAGAAAAATGACCCTAGAAAGTCCACAAGCAATTACAGTATTCAAATCCCTTAGAAGAGCGCAGTCATCTCAATCAACTTGAGATTCTCCCTCTATAATTAGCGCGTCATACTTTTTCCTAGCGATTTCAATTTATTGCTCACGAAATTTATGGGCTCGGATGTACAATATACTTACAAACACACTAAAAAGCGACCTTGCTCTTCATCAGTTATTTTTGTGCATTAGAAAGAAAAAGCTGAAGCTGCTTGTTTTTGTCTACAAAAAGAAACAGACAAAAACAGCCTTGATTGACTCCTCCTTGATTTCGAAAGAAAAATTGGATTGACTGATGATCCTCTCAAACTGCTGCAGCTTGAAAATTGCTTTTCAGCAACACTGAAACAATTCATCAGCTGTCCGTGCTTCAGACAGTAGGAGTGCGACTGTATCAATTCAGAATACTGAGAGATCGATAAATATTTGAGCCGAGCTTCTTTCTGATCCGATCATTTGCTCAGGTTAAAAGCGTAATCACGTAGAATTTATGCTCCAGGGAGACGTAAAATTCTATGGCGCGAAAATTCAATTGAATGAAAATGCCACTCTTTTTCTTTAAATTATGATCTGCTGCTGAGTTAATTTTCCAAATTGAAAGACTAAATGAAGAAAAAAACACTTTACGGCTCCTCTGATACGTAGGTAGTAAGTAGGCTTGTGAGTGTGGGGTGGTGCGAGGCGCTGCCGTGCGCTCCCTGCCTCAGCCCTTTCCGAGGAGGAGAGTCAGTCCGTCTTTAGGGCCCAACCAAGCCAGGTCTCGACTTTTAAATATCTTAGAATTACAGTGCTCACATTTTACAAGTTCCACGGTGGTTATATATTCAACGATAGTAAAACAGATTATTAATCTGAATACACATAATCTAAATTTAAAAATTGGACATATAATGTCCATAGAACCTACATCCTTCGCTTAGCGTCATACCGCGTAGAATAAACCAGTTCTCGTCCGATCACTGAAGTCAAACTACGACGGGCGGGGTTAGTACTTACATGGGTGACCGGTTGGGAATACCTCGTGCGCTAAGCATTTTTAATTTTTTTCAAAATTGGAAAGTCCTTTTTCCTGCAAAAACACTTCCGCATAAAATCGCTGATGAATCAAGTCATCTTTCATTTAAGAAAGTCACAGTATTTGCGTGAGGTAAGCATTGAGAGTGAAGGGTGCTTGGCGGGGCGGCGTGTCCATGTCAAAAAGCGCCCTCTACCGCGCGCTTTTCTGAAAAGAGGCCGAAAATAGGAGCGTGCAGCGACAAAACGACCTCGAAATCAAGCACCCTCTCTCTTTACTCATCCCATTTTTGAGTCCGATTTCGATTGTCTAACAGGTAAGAATCGTCTCCATGCCTTCTCTCTCCTATCCCTCTCGCCTCTTACAACACAGAAAATGACACACTCCCTACAGGATCACAATCCGTCACGTGTACTCACTCCGAACTTGAAAGCTTTAGTCGCGCTTATGTCTGCCTGAAGGCGTACGTGACCACCTTCAGTTAGAAGTTATGAAGCTCCGGGTATTTCAATGAAAAAGCTGGAAAAATAACTTGCACAACCTTAAAAAAGCGCGTCCAGCCCTACGACGTGTTTTTTCATAAAAGTGGAAGTGGGTTTTTGAAATACGGGAAACTTGAAAAAGCACGTCGTTGGGTTGTTCATCACAGTGGGTGAACTTTTATCAAAGATGTTTTTGTTTGTGAGAGGCGAGAGGGATAGGAGAGAGGGCATGGAGACGATTCTTACCTGTTAGACAATCGAAATCGGACTCAAAAATGGGATGAGTGAAGAGGAGGGGTGCTTGATTTCGAGGTCGTTTTGTCGCTGCTCGCTCCTATTTTCGGCCTCTTTTCAGAAAAGCGCGCGGCAGAGGGCGCTTTTTCTCAAATGTTACGCCGCCCGCCAGGCAAGCTCAAATCGAAATGCTTGCCTCACGCAAACATGGTGACTGTCTTCAATGATTGTTGACTTGATTCTTCATCACTTTTGCGGTATTAGCGGTGCAAAAGTTACCATGCAGAAAAAATGATGCTACTCATTTGAAAAAGTCAAAATGCTTAGCGCACGAGGTATTCCCAACCGGTCACCCATGTAAGTACTAACCCCGCCCGTCGTAGTTTGACTTCAGTGATCGGACGAGAACTGGTTTATTCTACGCGGTATGACGCTAAGCGAGGACCGCTGGATGAAGCCAACTTATAAAGCAAGTTTCTAAATCAGTATTTTAATCATTGAATATCGCAAACATTTTCATTTGGTCTGTTTCAAATCACGTCTGTTGACAGCGCTAAAACCCAATAATGAGCGGAATAAAGTCGCTTTTTCGCCTCTCAATTTGTCTGCGAATATATATTCTCCTTCAATATGTCAGGGAGAGAACTTCAAGCGTGGCAGATCGGACAGTTGTTTCTATCGTCTCAAATATTCAACACTCACTTGTTCTTAAATAATTGACTTTGTGCGATCTCTCGACGTTCCTTAGGTCCACAAAAAGAACCTTGTTGTAGTTGTAGTCATAGTTGTCGTAGTTGTCGTCGTTGTCGTCGTTGTAGTCGATGTTGTCGTTGTCGTAGTAGTTGTCGCTGTCGCAGTTGTTGTCATTGCAGTAGTGGTTGTCGTTGTCGGTGTAGTCGTTGTCGTTGAAGTCGTTGTTGAAGATGGTTCTACAGTTGAAGAGACTTCAGAATCACAATTTGCTAGCATACAGCTTTGAAAGAGTTCCCAAGCGTTCGCATAACAAAGCGGAATGAGGTTTTCATCTTCAACATTTTTGCATTTTTCCTGCTCCCTCACATAACGGGTTTCACACTCACTCTGGCAATGACAGAAATCTGAGCAAGCATGGTGACGATCGTTTGCATCGTGAATGCATTTGTTATGTTCGGCGTGGTTATTTTAAGAGCAATAATTTTTTTTATTCTGTTTCTTTTTCTACCTCAGTTCATGGCAATATTCTTGATCCAGTTTATGCTGGTTGCACGCTGCCTTACAATCAACGCATCCTTCCAAGCAAGAAGCAACATCTTGACCCTGTTGACATTCATATTCGCATAGAGAAATGTGAGCTCGATGCCTTGCTTCAATTTGAATACAGAGAAAAAATGGTAAAAGACGCATTTTCTCTTATGAAAAAATCTAAGTTAAAACTGGAACGTACGTAAAAATTTGTTACTCTCGTCGAATAGCATTAAAATTTGCAAGTCTTTAAAATTAATAGTGGAGACCAAGGTCAGACTGTGTGAATGCACTTTCAATTTTCATCGATATCAGTGATTTTTCACCATTTTTTTATTCAAAAGGCAAGTATAATTTTTAACATTGTGTTTCACAAAGATTGTTTTCTGATCCTCGCAAACAGATTCGCAAATCACACTTGGTCGAAATTTTACTTTTGTCGACTTTTTCCGTCATGAATCTGATTTTTGTCGTTTCGTAGAAGGGAAGACCTCTGAAAAACAAAATTAAATTTGCACTTTATCAAATTAATATACCCAGAAGGTAAGGCATTGACCAATTTAATCGCGGGGCAGAAGTCTTCTACGATTTGCTTTTCTTTCATCTCAACACCAGAATGATCGGTCATTACGCAGCTTTCAACGCGGTACTCGAGGAAAGATGGGACCGATTGACTTTGTGCGCTGATTTCAATTGTGTACTCCTCCATTTCTCCCTTTTCAAGTAGCTCAATGTCAAAGATTTTCGAATTATCTGCCATGTGTTCTTGGTCTTCGTCATCGCTTGAGAGATTCAAACTGACGAGTGAGTTGACTTTTGAATTGCAGGTAAAACTTTTTACTTCGCCATTGAACATAAACGAGTTTCGATAGCTGAAAAAGCCATCATCGTTTATGAAGACTTCTGTTAAACACTGTTCAAACGGAACTTGAATCATCTTAATTTTGATAAGAAAATTATACAAAAACGAGTCTTACCTTTTGCCCTGGCGGACCTCTTCTCACTCTCATGCATGAAGGAATGATTTCTTCGATCATCTCACAGTCCATCTCTGGAATTTGCAGGATGCTGTTTGACAGTGAGCAAGTGACAAGCGCATTTTCAAGGGAGCATTGCTTTGCTTGCTCTAAATTCTTGGCTGCAATGAGGGGAAAAAAATTCGTCAAAAAATTCATCTTCTCTTTCTCTTATCAGAAGAGTTGGGTCTAGCGACTTTATATAGCCTGAGCTTACGTATTAATTCAAATAGCGGTTTCGAGCACTTATCTAAGAACCGCAAAAGCGGGTTGAAACGACTACTCTAATGCCAAGGAGAACAAAAAATAAGCATCTTAGATGATCATTAAATTTATTCTTGAGTTAGCTTTTTGAAAAATGTAGTTATCTTCTGATTGCAGATAATAGCAGCCAGCAGGCTTGGTTTTGCCTCCCATTCTCTTAAAAATGGAATAAGCTTTTTATACATCAGACATTTTCCTACCCAAGAACCATTTCGTATCCATTTCTAGTGTAAAAACTTGTAGCTGGATAGTTACAAACTGAGGCTGTGAAAAATAAATCCGATCCATCTAGTTTTGCTCTTTTCTCGACTTCTTCCAGTAACACCTTTCCGATTCCTTCAAAATGAATATAAAGAGAGAGTAATAGAATATTATCGCAAAATGAATTTTGATTTTAATAATTGTTGTTCAAAGGGTCATATGTAGTCAATCTTCGGGGTATAGAAAACTGTTTCTCCCTAAACCTACTCCTAACCCGGGGGCTTCGCCCCCCCCGGGACCCCCCAGATAAAAAAGTACACAGTTCCTAACCCTAAGGCCTAATCCAGGGGGCTTCGCGCCCTTGGAACCCCCCCTAGCACTATCATTTAGCCCGGTTACGTAACTTACCCCGAAGATTGACCGCCTATTTCGGTTCAAAGTTCTTTCTATTCATTCCTGATCGTCTCGCGGAAGGCTTCACGGACAGCGAAAAAAGCTCCCAACACCTTCTTGGCAATTTATTACTATTCCAGTGCGTGTAATTTTCAACAAATGTTTGGTAGCAAGCAGTTCCCAGAATATCCCCACTAGAAGTATCCTCAGCGACGATGAATCGATCCCCATAAACGTCAGTTATCGCGTCCATATCCTTTCGACTTGCCACGTAGTATGCATTTCCCCATTTAGCTCGCATTTTAACTGATTTAAAATCAGTGATTTTTAATGAAATAAGTGAAGCTAAAACTTACTGTAATATATCCAAGTTGCAGCTGCTAACAGTCCAATAATGGGAAATCCGAAAGAATATCCAGCTATTGTCAGAAATAGAGATACGAAAATAAAACCAGGCTTGACAATGGCTGAGTACTATTTTTCTAAAATTCTCGTTTTACGATAAAGCCACTTTTCCTGCCGAGAATTATGCTCCCACCAAAGACGGGGCAAATCTTCCATTATTCCTATCAGCCAAATCCTCTTGCATTCCTTTTCGTCACTTTTTCGGACTGCTCGCAGGCGAAAACTTTTCATATTTTTAACGCAGTTCGGCGCTTTTCTTGTGTTTACGAACTTTTAGTGACGTAACAATGACAAGTTCTGCGAGATGCGAATTTAAATTGACTGCTGATTGAAGACAAAATGAAAAGGAAGCAGATTTAGATGAGTTGTCATCAGTTTTATTTGAACATTTGGGAAAAGAATGGAGCAAAGCAGGAATTATACAAAGGAATCGACAGGAGAAATCGACCATTATGGTCTAGCAGAACTGGCGACGGATTATATGAATTTTCAAGCGTGTAAGCGAGAAATATAAAAGGAAATTCAAAAGAAAGAAACTTTAAAGAATCAGTCTTTCGAAAAGAGAAAAATTACTCCTCAGAGCACATTCGGTTCTTGAATTGTCGGTGGAGCTTGTTGAAGTGTCGCACGAGTCTGTCAGCGGCAGAGTTTCCGAATCCGGCTCTTGTGCAGGCCCATTTTCGAGAAGCTGAGACGAGAGCGCTGTTGATTTGCGAAGCAAGCTTGCAGTTGGTCATTCCATCGAAGACCTGGAGATCCTCGGCTTCTTCCTCTGGCTCGTCGGATCCGTCGCATCGGTACTGTCCTTCGTTAGTATGGGAGTCTAGTTCGCCGATTCTCTTGATCATCTTGTTCATGTATTTACGAGTGAATCTTGTTTTCTCGAGTTGGTCGTTGAGTCGCTGAACATTAATTTAATCAAATTCATCAAGAATAGAAATTAAATTTAAAAATGAAAAGAAAACTTACGTCTAAATGTCCGTTGACTTTTCGCATTCGGATGGTGTATTGAGTATTGACTTGTTTCCATGCATGCAAGTCGACGCATTCGCCGTCGATCTCTTCCCAGCCTTCGCCGTCGCAAACGCATTCATATGATCCCTCGGTGTTCTGGCATGAAGCTCCGTCAGCGCAAGGGACAAGCATAGAGTCTCCGATCGTAACCAATGTGAGAGATGCCTCAATGATATCGCATTCATTGACATCAGCGCAGCTTCCATCGACCATTTCGTAGCCATCGTTGCAAGTGCAAGCACCGTTGTGGCAGAATTCTTGTGCGCCGTCGCAAACGAGTGTTTCGCAAGCATCGACAGCAGTGCAAGAAAAGCCATCACCGGTAAAGCCATCGTTACAGGCACATGTGTAGCTAGCGGTGGTATCGGTGCAAGTTGCGTCGGCGTGACAGTCGTCGCTTCCAAGAGCACATTCGTCAACGGCTGCTGCAGCGGTGGCAGCGGCCGCTGCAAAATCTTCAAGATTTTCGACAATGTCTGTGAATTGTTGAGCGATGGATCCAGCCGCTGGAGCAGTCTCAAGAACGTCGGGGCAACCGTATGCGCTAAGGCGATCGTAGTCTGCAGCATAGTAGGCGGCGTTTTTCACGGAGAAAAAGATTTTGTTTAGAGCGTAGTCTGAACAAGTGAGGAAATGGACAGTATCTTCTTCGGGATAGTAAGAGTAGATTCCATCCTCCTGAGTCGCATCGGTTCCGTAAATGTAAAGATTATTGAGAGATCCACCATCAGGCACGGATGTTGGTGGTGTTCGTGAGCCCTGGTAGCCGGTCCACGACTCCTTCGTCCAAAAATTGACATCTGTTGCGACGATGATCGTCTTTGCAGAATCTTCTGCCCAGTTCATTGCATCAGCTGCTCTCGTCCAGATCAAGCCGCCGAGAACATCCTCTGGGAGATCACCACCGTACCACATATTTCCGAGACGGGTCATGCAATGATTGTATACGTCGGTGATGTCGTCTTCAGTGAATCCACTAACGTCTTCCAATGGCATTGGGATGTCGAAGAAAAGCGGGGATGTTGAAGTGAACTCTGTTGTGGAGAAAGTTCTATCAGAGTACAGGGAGATACCGAGTCGGAAGGTCTCGTCTGTTGCGTTTCTTCCAAGCTCTTGGAGTTCTCTGATTGCGTCTTGCACACCGGTGCATGCATCAGAACGGTAGTAGCCGTATGAGCCAGTTCCGTCAATCATCACTACCATATCGTGGACAATCTCGATCGGCTCCGTGCCGACGCAAGTTTGGATTCCCTCATCATCAGTGACAAGGTCGTAGCCTTCAGCGCATTCGCAAGTGTAACCGATCGGCTGGTTGAGGCAGGTATGTCTGGAACCTCCGCATCTGTCTTCACCGGCGTCGGCGCATTTGTTGTTCATTTCACAACCGTGGTAGGCGTTCATTTGGAATTGATCTTCTGGTGACATCGGCCAAGTTCTCGAAACTGGAGCCCGGATTGATGGATCACTCGCAAGGCCGATGGTTGGAAGTCCGTCAGCTTCGATTCCGGAGTAGTAGTGGAGAATCGAGTTGAAATCGTAAGGACTGCCAAGGTCTTCCCATTGGCCGAAAGAGAGCTTTCCGTAGTTTCCATTGCTTGCTACGTTGGCGTGAATAGAGATCCAACTGTCTCTATCAGCTCGCTGATGCTCGTGAAGAAATCCCAATCGATGCATGAACTCGTGGTTGACTGTTGTTCCGCTGTTCCAGGTGTAGCAATCTGGTCGCATGGTGATTCCGTTATCTCCTGACCATCGACCGACACCGGATGAGCATGCTCTGGTAGTGACGTCCCAGTTGACTCGAACCACGGAATCGTAGTCACCCTTCTCAGCTTCTGTGATTTGCTTGAGCTTGACACAGGTGAGTCTTTCGAAGTGAGCGACGTTTTCGTTGATTCCTTCGATGGACATGGCTCCCGTGTGCGAGCCGTAGACAAGGTCCTCATACCCGTCTGGGAAGTAGTATGGGACAATGTATCTGTTCTGATCGGGGTCCCACATATTTGTCCATTTTGTAACGAGTCCCTAAAGTTGAAAATTATAATAAAGATTTAACATTTCCCGGGGCGCTGCGGAGCTAAATTCTAGCGGTGGGTCTTATCATAGGTCAACGTGAACTTACATAGGCACCACGTTCATCTTCTTTGTCACAGTCATCTTCGATGATCATAGAAGGATCGACTGTGTAACCTTGGCTTTCTAGGTATGCCGCTTGGCACTGATTCAAGAAAGTATCATCGAGTTCTGGTCGGTTTTCAGCATTGACTGCCGTAGCGACTAAAACAGAAGTAAGGACTGTTCATAAAATATAGAGCGATATTGAGGTGACTGATAGCTATCGAAAAGAACGGTAACGGTTACCCTAACCCGTCTACTAATGAGAAAAAATACTATAGATTTTATTCATAAATAGAGTCTAGGTCAAGAAGCGCTTATAAAAAGCGACCCTGGCTCTTTCTGACTGCTTTGTCAGTGAGGACTCCAAATCTGCGGTCAAAATAGAGTAGCCTCTAACAAACACTAGTCTGCTTGTCTAACGCTTATAGTCTGAACAGACTATCTGAGCCGCTTAAAAGCTTCTCAGAATTTCTGAATCAGAAATAACGATGGAATTTAGCCTACCCTGGCCAAATTTAGGCTGAAATCGCGAATCCTAATGGACTTGCAATTTTCGGCCTCTGATTTTTGTCTAAAAGCTTGTATCGTAAGGATTTCAAACCGTTTGGTTTTGAATCTTAGATTATGTTTCAAGTACTATCTCGGGTAATTTACTTGAGTTATATATAATTTATAATGATATATGATGATTTGAATATATGGTGATAGGATATAACCTGCAAGGAATTTGAAAAGCTTCATTTCTTTTCTTTTTTTTTGCTTAGTAATCGAAGCAAATGATGCTGAAAGTAACTTTAACAGTCGTTTAAGTACTTTCGTAAACGTCTGGTGCGCTAGCGCTCGTGAGCCATAACACCGTAAAATGCGCCAAATGAACTTAGAGAGTAAGAATCAATCTGCCTCTCCCACAAAAATCGAAAAAATACAGCATATTTCGATAGAACTCAGCTGGCACTTACCCACAAAGCGCAAGCATCTTAAAAATCAGACCTTTTTTTTGCTCCGTGTCACAGATGTAGATTAGCCGTGACCCCTGGTTTAGCAACACTTCTATCGACGATAAAAAGAGAAAAATCCGGAATCTAAATTTGGAATTTATCCGTCACAAACCTTCGAAATTGGGGCCTTTTTCTGAAAAATAAAACCACGGAATTTCTTTCAGCCGCTTCTTTTAGCCGCTTTCAGCCGCGGTCCACTTCGGGATGTGGTAGCGAGCGCGATTTTTTTTATCAAGTGAAGGGTAAGCCGCGGCAACGGTCCATTTGGAGATGTGGTGCGTGGGATCCAGCTCAGGATGTGCCATAGTAATTTTACGTCGAAAGAGTTTCTCTCTGAATTTGATGATCATTAATTATAAAATAACTACGAGAAGCTAATTTATTGAGAGAGTGTGGTATGTGATTACAGTATTGAATTACACGTCTTCTAACTTATTATATTGCTATAAGAATGGATGATATATTGTTTGACATGACATTAATAAGAATAAATTTTTCGCCTTAGAAGCGATTTTTCGACGACAAAAAGTGTCTAAAAGATAAGATTAAATGAGGACACATTTGGACACCACCTCATTTACATGATAAAAGCTGAAATTAGATGTCATGTATAAAAAGTCCTTGAAGCACAGTTTATTTTCAAGTTTGCGGAATGAGATTTAGAGAGCTCTTTCTTTTTCATGAATTTAAAAGGTTTCCAAGTCTTTCAGAAAGCTTGAAAAACGAGAATTTAATAAAAGCATATCATCGAAAAGTGGCTAAGAACCTCAGCTTCTCTCCGGTAAATAAGATCAAAATCATCCTTGCAGTTGAGTAATTTTTAAGCTTCGAATCATCCGACAGCTGAGCTTCTTCCGTTCCTTACGTTCTCTTATTTTTACGTTTTCATTATTCGGTTTCGTCGAATATTTTTCGTCACAGTTGACTATCTGGCAGACAAATAGGGTCCACGATGTTTTGAGTCTTGTTGGAGCAGTTGGCTATCTCAGCCTAACTTATTCTTTGGACTCGTACTATTCAACACTTGATTGTGCCGCGAAGGAGATTCTGCCCTGGAAGTGTCCTAGCGATACGAACAATGAACAGAGTCGATGCTCTTTGTAAGAATAACCGAGATATAACTAGAGTAAATCACTAATAAATCGATTTTTCTGGGCTTAGTAGGGTGGGCATATAATACAGTTTCGGAAAGTCCAGGAGCTGCGGATCATTGTGTCTTCGGTGGTACCTTAATGCCCTCAGGGTGCAAGATCACCCCCTAATATCAAAAGTCGAAATGATCCCTAGCTCCTGGGCTTTCAAAAACTGTATAATACCCGTATGTGCCTACCGTACTATGCCCAGAAAAATGTCGAAATATTAGAGATTTCCCCTTAGATACAATCGAGATGATCATGGGATTTTTCAGGTCGAAAGCTCTTTATGGTCACATGCTCAAGAAAAATGAATTTAAAAATTTTGTTTTGGCTTTAAAAATATTTTAAATATTAATGATGTCACTTAAAACATGTCAAATTATATTCTGAAATTTACGTTTTAGGCCCGAAATCCCCTATTGTTGATAACACTTGTTTCGCTCAACTACAACATTTTTTATGAATTTTTTCGTGGAAAAATGAAATACAATTCACGCATTTTTAAAGCCGAAAAGACTGTCCATCGCTCCAGTTCAATGAATTTGACGATTTCTTTCCGCCTTTTCAACTGTTAAAAGGACACGGTCTTGATGTTAGTTTATCTCAGGTACTCTAAGACAACTCAGAAAATAAGCACGATCGTAAGAAAATCAATCTTTCCATAAGAGTAGGCACTTTTTCGCACTTGATCGTTAATTTCGCTCGACCATTGAACATCCCTTTTTTCAAGATAAACGGAGAACGTTGTAGTGCAACGACTATAAAGCTTAGAGGCTAAACATTATCTGCTTCCCCTCGATCGGAATTCGTATCATTCGGTATCAACGTGCACTTTCACGTGCTCCCCTTATCGCCCTGTTGCTAATAAGCTAATTCTTCGGGCAAAATTGTGCAAACTAGACAAATTAATCCGAATAACACCAATTTTTATTTTCGTTCAAGTTGAAATGAAATGTTGTTTTTTCAACGAAAACGGCGACCTTGACGAACTTCGACGTACTACCCAACAAACGTCATAAAGTTTGGTATCTCTCTATGCTGTATTTGACCTGTTGTATTGTTCAGCGAAGTAAACCACATAATTTTTGGGTAACCAAAAACTCTACTCAGCTGAAGTGTCTTCATCAATTAGCTGACAGCATGTAAATAGGACATTTAAAGGACATAACATCGTGTTGCGGGCACGTTGCATGATGCAACATGATTCCTCAACGATCGACATACCGCTTTCCCAGACCAAGTAAATTGACCTAATGCCACCTTGGCAATGTGGTCCCGCCAAAATCCGATGACCCGGTCCGTCATCTAAAAAGACGATTTCGTTAACTCAGAGTTTTTACTAACCAAGATCCATTGTAAGAAAATGAGCGGCCGCTTATTTATGTCGTCCACTTCTTTGACCGTTTCGTCGATAATTTGGTCACCTCGAACTTTGTCTTTTCTGAAATACGATGCGACAACTCAACAGGCGGTTATGTTTACGATTCTCAAAATATGACGACGATTTGCCCTAAATTTGAACGCATTTGTTTTCATAAGAACAACTCAATTATGCTACGTTTTCGAATTTCACTAGAATTATTTTCAATTTGAAACTTTCAAATTGAAAGTGATAAAAATTTAAGAAAACCTAAAAGAACAAACTTTTTCCAACATTTTCTGAGGATTTTGCGAAGATTCCTTCTCATCAGCTGATTGAACACGAAAACGGATATGTAAGTAATATTTTTCATAAGATAGAATAATTAAAGTAATATTTTCTATTAAAATGATTATTCTATAATGTAAATCAGCTGCTTATTTTAGATATCTTGGACTGCTGAAAGCCTAAGGCACAGTTATTTACTTCCTGTTTACAATATGGCCCATATTATTGAGATATTGAGTTGAGGGAGGTATATTGAGATAAGTTATCTGAGATAACGATATCAATGATATCATATCATCGCTACGAAACCTTTTTAGAATCATCTTGACCAGATAGATAAGTACGATAATAGCACGATATAGATTGTTGATACAGTAGATCTGCCCGAGAGGATTCTAAAAAGGTGCGGTTTGATGGGGTTAGCTTATCATTCGCTCGAGCTTTATCGAATTAATGGAAGTAAAGACAAACTCTACCTCAGCACTGACGATCTTTTCGGCGAATACTTGGCAGTTGTCTTAGAGCAGAAACTTCCACGTTCAAACTCGAACTCCAAGTTCTCAGAAGAGGCCGACTCAGATTTTCCTTTTCTGACAGATCATCATCATCACAACTACACGCAGTTACTTGGTTTTTCCGAGATCGAAACAACAAAGCGATTTTTCAAGTATACAAAGAAGTTAATACTCTGACTAAAAAAATTAAGCATAACACGATACATATCTCTACGAAACAAGAAAACCGGATCTTTCTTGCCCTTCAAAATATGGTCTTTCGCTGCGATGACCAGTATCGCCATGCTCTCAGGAGTGTTCCTCCTAGTGTTTATTGGAAAACTGCGAGGAATGAGAAACAACGTAAATGTCCTTGAATGGAACATTCTCATTGCAGCGATGATTTATCAATGCTTGCCCTTCGTTCACAACGGCGACCATTCCACTGCAATTTACTCGTTCTTGCTTCAACTGGAAAACTACACCAAGATTCTATTCCGCATTTTAATGGCACTTCGAATATTTTATTTCATCTCAGCAATCAATTCTTATACGGTAAGAAAAACAAGGATTACTTTAAGGGAACTACCTTCGATTTCCAAAATTGACGAAGTTGCGGAAATCGAAGGTAGTACCCTTAATCAAGAAAATTAAGGATTTCCAATCTCGATTTCACTACCAAAAAATGCTACGAAATCTGGTTTTTATTATTTGGTTTGGCTATGCTATTTCGATTTTATATCATTGGAACTTACCACCGGAAAACGACCCGATCGACGATTCGTTTTATACTGAACACAGGAATTTCGAGTCGACTCGAGAGAAACTGTTCTCCTCCTTCCTTGTCTTTGTGGTTATACGCGGGTACTTCGCTATTCAACAAACTCGAAAGCTGTCGCCAAAAGATCGACCAAGAACCTCAAACATGATTCTCCTCCGTACAACGGAAAATATGCTCTTATTGGCCGGAGGTCATTATATTCTTGTAACGGTGAGCATTTCCTTCCATCTTGTTGAATTTAATCATGCTTAGGTTGCGCCTTTCAAACTTTCCTGCGAAAACATGATGGTGAAAATCAAGTGCCCATATTTGTGCTCCCTGCAGTCTTTCAGGAAAGGAGCTATTCGTGAGACCGGTAGTAGAGCTGTTGTAGGGGCTCATTTCCTCGTCGGAATTCTTTGATGGGAAATTAAAGAATTATTATTACTTGAAATACGTCTAAAGGGGGTGAGGTTGTTGAAAACCAAAATAGCGTGAAAACACTTATTTTTGACAGGATGTTAAGGGTGCATCAGACGCACTGCTTCCCCTTAATTTAAAGTAGAAAGATCTTGTAGCTCGTTAAAGAAATGATGTTGATTCGATGTTTGACAATCTGCAGGGCGCTTTCATCGCATATTTTTCTTCTATTCGCCGCATCGGGAATATATACGTTTGGGTAATTAACCAAAAGTTTATTGAAGAAAATTCTTGTTTTTAGTTCTTCAATTATTTTCATGTGTGCAACGGGTCATTAGTCCTTTTTGCAACAAGAGTTCTTCGGGATCAACAAATTTGGAAAGCTTGAATTCGCAGCTTAGTTACTGGGATCGCCGTCGACTTGACGACATTTTCGACAATGGAAAGACTGTTGCGTATGTCGATGTAAGCGAAGAAAGAAAAGAAGAAATGAGAAACATCATCGAAGTCATTTCAGCAAGCGACAAGCAACGTGCACTGCGGATAATGACTCTTTTGGAAATCATCGACGAGAAACTTCAACGCCACATCAAAGTGCAAATTGAGAAGAAAGAAACGCTCGACAGGGAAATCGAAGGAGAAGAAGAAACAACCTTCTCAAACCTCTCTTCTCTGCGACATCGACCTATCATCCCTTTTGTTGAACAATAAATCACCCTCCTCTTCGATAACATTATAAATATTTATATATAGTACAGTTATTTTTGGATGTTAAAATGAAGACTTCCTACCTGTATTTGAAACGGTTAATTCAAATTTTGAGTTTCTGAAGAATGTGAGTAAAGAAATTCTAGATAAAATCTCCAACGAGCTCTGTCTTCTCCGCGCGATGATTGGCTGTGAGAAAAGAGATCTGACTATTCCGCGGATGAATTTTACGAACTCTCGCTTTTTTGCCAGTAAATAAACCATACTTACCCGAGAATATGTCGGAGAAAAATAATGAGAATGCAGAAAGTGCTGTAGAACCACGAAGATCATCAAGGAGAAAAGTCCCAGTAAAAACTTATCAACCTACAGGAGATTATACTGTAAGTCTTGATTAAAATCTGGCTGATTTTATTTATCAATTATTCTTTTAGGATGTGGCAATGCGAGTGACTGCGAAGGCAACAAAAAAGTGAGTTCTAAGAATAAGATCGGATATTTAAAATCTCCAAAGGAAAAAGAGCGAGTCACTGGAGGATATCTACACGCAGAAATCGGTGAAATCGCCCGTTATAGCGAGTAAAGCCCTGGCTACTATCACGGAGAAGGACTCGCCAGATCCGTTTTCGAAGCTGAAAAGAAAACGATTGATGGTGTTTCCAACGGATCCTTCACATAGAAAAGTAAGAGCAGATCATTTTTTATTTCGGTTTTTATTGAATTATTTTAGCCAAGAAAGCGAAAGCTGACAGAATCAATCAAACGCGCGGCGAAGATTCGAAAAGTCTCTTTGGAAAACGACAAGGATAAAATTTTGAAAGAAAAACTCGAGCAGCTGGAAAAGGACCTCGGAGATATCGAAGAAACTAACTAGACAGTCTCTTCAGTCTTCAACAAACTCCCACTTTACCACAGTCAAAACTGCCACTTTTCACTTTCACAAATTTATCACCTTCAATTACAATTTTCTAAACACATTTATTTTCTGTCTTCGTCGAAAGGATAGTCGAATAGATGGAAGGGAAAGGGGTTGAGCAATAACTTATTTCTAATTCGGATATCAATTGTAATTTATTTTTCTTTTGAAGCACTCTTAGTTCGCGAGGCAGCCCGCGACGAGATTAGATGCCCGGGATAAATCGGCTTTCGGCAACGAGGATCGGAAGTTCAATCTTCATTCCTCAGTCAACAATTTCGATTATTTCAGTAGCAGGGCTCTCGATTGCCATCACCATTTCTATGAACTCCTTCCGGACCTCATCATTGAGGCCCTTTAAATTCTTGTAGCGCTTGACTTTCAGCAACACCTCTTTATCCTTGCGTAAGCGAATGAGATCATAACAACAGGAAAGAATTTCATTTCGTGCACTCGCGAAAGTTATTGCTTTTTTTCTTCATTAAAAAAACAGTTGGTGAATTTCACAAGCTTTTTTTCGTCACTCAAAAATGGTGTTCCGGCAATTATAAAGCTTCAGCAGAAACATCCGCCAAGGGAACTTCCTTATTTGGGCGCGGCACCTTTTCCACGTACTGGTACCATGAATTGATTTCGGATATCCTCATCGAGGCACTTGAAGCTTGTACCAGTTGGTAGTTGACTTTCCGTGGTACCTCTCATCTTTCGAATCAGCAAACGAAAGCAAATGCAGAAATTCATATTATTTCCGGCCATTGTTTATCAAACAGTAAAGTTGAATTTAGCACCAGCTCAAGGTTGCGAGAAACAAAAAAATATAATCGTTTTTCAAATACGGTATTTACGACGAGTAAGCATGGGAGCTTGCAAAGAAGGTTCCCTTCTATTTTTTGTTAATGGAAAGAAAGTCGAGGATGCAAAAGTCGACCCAGAGGAAACGCTGCTTTATTACTTGAGAAATTCATTGAAACTATGCGGGACGAAGGTAAATTTCTAAAGAAGAATGATAGCCCGCGTTCAAACTTTATCGGCCAAAATTAGAACCTTGTAGCCCGGTATTTATGCTAAAAATCATTAGCTCGGTTGTGGTGAAGGAGGCTGCGGAGCATGTACTGTTATGGTTTCGCACTACAAAGATGGCAAAGTCATCCATCGTGCTGTTAACGCTTGCTTAGCTCCTATAATGAGTGTCCACTTGTGCGCAGTAACAACGATTGAAGGTAAGATGATCTTGCTTTTCGTCCCTCACTCTGCTCAGGAATCGGGTCGACAAAAACCAAGCTCCACAAAGTCCAAAAGGTGCTGGTTGAAAACCATGGAAGCCAGTGTGGCTTTTGCACACCCGGAATTGTTATGTCGATGTACACTTTGCTTAGAAACAACCCGATTCCAACTGAGTATATGATCGAACGAGCGCTCCAGGGTAACCTTTGTCGATGCACTGGCTACAGACCTATTCTACAAGGATTCAAAATGTTCACTGCTGAAGGAAATGTCCACGATGACATCAACAAAAAGTCAGTTCCAGATGCTTGTGCTCTTGGGGACGATTGCTGTAAGAATAAGAAAAATGAAGAAAATTCAACCGTTCCTGTCATTCCTCAAAAATCTGCTTACACTCCCGACGATGCTTCTCAAGAGCCAATATTTCCACCAGAGCTAAAATCCAAGAATTTCCGAGCACCACTAATTCTAAGCGGACCGAGAGCTACATGGTTCCGTCCAAACTCTCTGATTGACTTCCTCAAGCTCAGAATGGACCATCCAGAATCAAAAGTGATCACTGGCAACACTGAATGTGGCGTTGAAACCAAGTTCGGAGGGAGATTCTATCCCAAATTGATCTCACCCGTCGCCGTTCCAGAGCTAAACCAGATAACCATCACTGAATCGAGGATCATTGCTGGTGCAAATGCAACTCTCAACGAAATAGATGCCGAACTCAGGGCCTTTAGAAAGGAAAAGCCGAGTGCAAAGAACCAAGTTGCCGACGCAATGATAGAAGTAAACTTATTTGAGTACTAATTTGAATATAAAATTTTTCTTTTCAGATTTTTCAATGGTTCGCTGGTGATCAAATTCGAAATGTTTCCGCAATTGGAGGAAACTTGATGACTGCCAGTCCGATCTCCGATTTGACACCTATCCTTATGACTGCGGGAGCCACGGCGAAATTTGCCAAATTCAATAACTCTGATGTGCCGGAGACAAAATGCGTACCAATCGATGCATCATTTTTTACGGGATACAGAAAGACGGTCATGCCAGAGACATCTGCCCTTTTAGAAATCTCCATCCCTCACAACTCCGAAAACGGTTTCGTCAGGGCTTACAAGCAATCGAAAAGAAAGGAGGACGATATTGCAATCGTGAATGCAGCATTTTTGGTCGATTTTCAGTCCAAAAGCTTGAATATCAAAACCTTCCGCGCTTCATATGGAGGTGTTGGCCCAACAACAAGACTTGCAAAGAGTGCTGATAAGTTTATCGGAGCAGAATGGAATGAAAAACTCCTGGCTGAGATGAGCGCCGCACTAGAAAATGAATTTGACCTGCCCGCCAACTGTCCTGGTGGCTTCGTAGCGTATCGAAAATGCTTAGTAACATCGTTTTTCTTCAAATTCTTTTTGACGGTGCAGCAGGAACTTTCGAAAGAAGGTTTTTGTGATCCGAACGAGAATTCCGATGTTACGGATCTTGATCGTGAACCATTCGAAAGTATCCAATGTGCCGACGTTCAAACTACTGATGCTGTTGGTCAGTCTATAAAGATCATTTCTGGAGGCAAGCAATGTACTGGCGAGGCTGTCTATCTCGATGATATGCGAAAACTTGATGGGGAGCTTTATTTTGGTCCTGTTTTGTCGCAGCGCGCACATGCAAAGATCAAGAGTGTAGACTTTTCTGCTGCTGAAGCTGTTGAAGGCGTCGCTGGTCATGTTTGGTGGAAAGATGTGAAGGGAGACAACAAAATCAACGACGAGGAATATTTTAGACAAGAGGTTGTTACTTCTTGTGGTCAAATTGTCGCGGGTATTCTCGCTGTCGATGAAAAGATCGCAAGGCGAGCCGCCAAGCTTGTCAAGATTGAGTATGAAGACATTTCTCCAGTCATTGTCACCATCGAAGATGCGATCAAATACGAGAGTTATCTGCCCAACGCTCCTCGTCTTCGACATGACCGTGGTGACCCTGACAAGGCTTTTGAAGAAGCAGAGCACAAAATTGAATCAACTATGCGAGTGGGCGGCCAGTTGCATTTCTACTTGGAGACGCAAGCCAGCTACTGTATTCCGATGGACAACTCCGACGAGTTTCATATTTACTCTAGCTGCCAAAATGTTGCCGAAGGTCAGCGCTCTGCAGCGCATGCTCTTGGCGTGCCAATGAATCATATCAACTTCGCCGTGAAACGTCTCGGCGGTGGTTTCGGAGGAAAAGAAAGTCGATTCCACATTCTCTCGAGCGCTGTCGCTGTTGCCGCGCAAAAATTCAATCGCCCTGTTCGATGCATGTTAGATCGTGACGAAGACATGATGTACACTGGTGGTCGACACGCCTTCTTGAGCAATTATAAAGTCGGTTTCGATAGCAGTGGCAAGATTTCATCTGTCTCAATTATGGGCTATCAAAATGCTGGATGCTCGACTGATCTTTCCATTGCTGTTCTTTCCTGCTTCATCGACCGCAGCTTCAACTGCTATCACTTTCCAAACTTCCGAGTCGTTGGTCACTGCATGATGACAAACACGCCATCAAACACTGCTTTCCGAGGCTTTGGTGGACCTCAGGGCATGCTCGTCGCCGAGGATATCATCAGCAAAGTCGCTGACTACCTGGAAATGCCAGTCGAAGAAGTTCGTCAAATCAACTTCCTCAAGCCTGGCGATCGACTTCCTTTCGGCGAAGACGATAAACAAATCCTCACAGATGAACATATCATCAAGGAACTTTACGAAAAGACCGATTCAACTTGGAACATTTCGAAGAAACGCGTGGCAAATGACGAGTTCAACAAAGCCAACAAGTATAAGAAACGAGGAGTTGCGCTTGTTCCCACCCAGTTCAATATAGCTTTCGCAGAGAAGAAATTCTTGAATCAAGGTGGCGCACTTGTACAGATTTATACAGGTAAATAAAGCCTTTCATCATAAAATATGAGAATCGAATCAAAGATGGAAGTGTGCTCGTCGCTCATGGAGGAGTTGAGATGGGGCAGGGTCTTTACACAAAGATGATCCAAATCGCTTCCAAGGAGCTTGATATTCCAGTCGAGAAGATTCACACTCTTGAGACTTCATCAACGACAGTTCCAAATACTTCACCCACGGCAGCTTCATATTCGTCGGATATCAACGGCTGGGCAGTGAAGAAAGCTTGTGAAGAACTTCGAGAGCGACTTTCGGTTACTAAAATGTAGAAAACACAGAGTTAACTTCTTTTTAGTCGATTCACAAGACCGATCCTTTCATCACCTGGGAGGAAAAAATCAAAAAGGCATACTTCCAGCGAATCAGTTTATCTGCTACTGCCTTCTGGAAGGCACCAAATATCACGTGGGATCCAGTCGCTCGAATCGGAAAACACTCCGATTACTATTGCTACGGTGCCTGCGGAGCTGAAGTTGAAGTTGATTTGCTAACTGGAAATCATACTGTAAGTTATTTCAAAATAAATCAAGTCAACAATGGTAAATTTATCATAACTTATGATTCATAAGATCCGAGACGTGGAAATCATGATGGACGTTGGAAGATCACTTAATCCCGCTATTGATATTGGACAAATTGAAGGCGCTTTTATGCAGGTTAACATTAGATCATTGCCCATAAAAATTGTCGTTTAGGGGGTAGGTCTCATGACCATGGAAGAAGAACTGTACAGTCCAACGGGTCGGCTACTGACACGAGGTCCTGGTGCATACAAAATACCTGGATTCGCCGATATTCCTGCCAAACTGAAAGTTTCGCTCTACGACAAGTTCAGCAATCGCCATGGCCTCTACCATTCTAAGGTTACTCCGCAGCATTTGTTCGACATTTGACAATGATTTAGGGAGTTGGTGAACCACCATTGTTCATGGGAGCAGGTGTCTTCTATGCTATCCGAGATGCAATTCGACAAGTCAACACTGACAAACTCCTGGATTGGCACTCGCCCGCAACTGTCGAAAGAATTCGACTCTCTGTCGGCGATGCCTTGTCGTCTTCTGTATGGAATCATCTAAGTACTATCAATAATGTTATTTCTAGGCAAAATCAACAACTCCTGCTACTGATGACCCGTGGTGCGTTCGACGATAAACTCGATAGTTTTATTGGCAGAATTGTCTTGTACAAAAAATAAAGGATCCTAAACAAGAATTTTTTCCGCCATAGCGTTCGTCAATTCTGGACACGCATCTGAAAACTGGCCGCCAAAGTCTTGAATCTTTTCTTGAGTAAACTGCGTTGAAATTTCTTGTGTGATATTTTGAAACGTCGAATTAAACCATATCTCGATTTCTTCCCATTTTTCCTAGAAATTTTGTTTTCAGAAACATTTTTTCTTTGAATAAATTTATACCTGTAAGATAGTGTATTCTTCCCCAAGCTGAACATATTCTTCACTGAGTATATCAAGTTTCCCGGTGAGGTAGAAATTTTGTAAAACAAGGCCGCCGAATACTATTATTTGAAACATCTCAGAGCGAATTAAGCAGTACAGGTATTGAATTGGCTTCGTGATGAGATTAGTCCAAATCATTCTGAATAGTTAGAGGTTGAAAGAAAAATTTATGAAGAGAAAAAGCAGGTTCACTTTTAACAATTCATTGTGGTTGAGAAGGACCATTCTGTCCTTCAACAACATAATTTTAGCTGTTCTAGAGAGATTTCGCTTGAGGATGCAACATTTTTTCCAAAAAAGGGAAAGTTCTTCGCCTAACTAGAGCTGACTTCTCACACAGAGATTGAGACGATTCGGCTCCTACTTCTTTTATCAATTTTCTTCTTTTTCAGTTCCCAGAGAATCAATATTATTATTTCTCATCGTCCAGGAAAGGATTTCATTGGATAAAAATAAAAACCTCTATTTTTCATCGATTAGAAATTCGATGAAACTCTCAATAGAAATGAACCTCGAGGACTTGAAAATAAAGATAGAAAGTCAAAAGAAGAACGTTGCTACTTTCCAGAGAAAATATAATGAAGCCACTGCAACCATCAAGAAAAAGACTCGGAGATTACAAAATTGAAAGGAATCATCGAATCGAGGGACCAAACCATCCAAAATCTAAGAAAAGAAGTTGAAGGCGAAGCGAAAATTGATATCAAGGAGGACAATAAAAAGGCGCTAGTTTTTCAAAAATCTCAGATCCAGCGGCTAGAGAAGCAGAAGGAAGAATTAGAAAAGCAGAAGACATCCAAGGACGTAATCATCAAAAATCAGCAGGAAGAAATACAAGAGCTCAAAAAAACTTTGGCCAATATTCGAGAAAATCTCAAGGGAACTCAAAATATTAATCGAAAGCTGAAAAAAGAGCTGAAAGACTCACCAGACCAAAACAAAATGCACGAAATGCAATCAGCTAACGATGCCCAGAAAAGCGCCCTAGAAACTCGAATTCGGGGGCTAGAGGAAGAACTGGAGAAAGATGGAGAAAAGCACTCTCTGTTAGAAGAAGAATTGAAAAAAGAAATACTCGAGATGAAAGACAACGAACGAAAGCAAACGAATGAAATCTCAGATCTCAAAACGAAACTTGAAGAAAAGAGCCAGGAGAAAAGCGACTTTTTGATGAAGCTAGTAAAATCAGAGTCAAAATCTAGGAGGGTTTTATCCCTAATCAACGACCAACTGAGGGAACTCAACAGCAAATCCGACAACCAAACTGCTGAACTCCAGCAATTGCGGAAACAGCTGGAAGAGCTCAAGACGGAGAATCAGACTCTTGCGGGGTTCTACCACAGCGAAAGAAAGGTATTTTAAACTGGATAATCGATGTAACTTTCAATTTATTAGTTGCGTGCGAAGAATAAATCTGGTTATGTCTAAAATATTGACAAGGTCATCCCTGGAAAATATTCTGTTGAGAACTTCATCCTTTTCCCGTTCTTACATGCGGGTGCATTTGATAACTATCCTGAAATAAATAATTATCTGAAAGCATCATTTATGTCCCCTAGTCCTTCTTTGCAAGTTGTTATCTCACTTAGATCAATCGGTGCGTGTGAGACCGTTTTACCATTATTTTTATCGAAAGAATCTCGTTTTCTTATTCCACTTCGAGAAAAAAAATCTCGTTTTTTGTCTGCTGCAATTTTCAGGAAAGATTTCATTTCGTAAGAACAGAGAAATTGACTTTTGAATGAAAACTTTGACAGAAATGAGCGTCGAGGAGTTAAAGCTCAAAATCAAAAACCAAAAAGAAAGCAATGCCACTATCCAGAGAAAGTTTAATGAAGCCACCGCAACCATCAAGACTAAGAATTCTGAAATTCTAAAGCTGAAATCTGAAATAAAATCGCACGGTGAAGAGTCGACATCCAAGGACGAAATCATCAAAAATCTTCAAGCTCAAATGAATGTGGAGACACGAAAACTAGATGATATGGTAAAACTGCACGAAGATGGTAAACAAACCTTAATTCATCAGAATTTTCAAATCAAATGCCAGCAACAGAAATTTGAGATAGACGCTACAAGAAATCTGCACGAGATGGCCAAATTTCACGAAGGAAGACTAAAATCAAAAGACCAGATCATCAACAATTTTCAAGCCCAAATAAATATGGACAATAGAAAAATGCATGAAATGATGAAAATCAGCGAAGATCGTAAAAAGGCGTTACTGCATGAGCAGTCTCAAGTTCAATGCCTAAAACAGCAACTCGAAAAAGATGGTCAAAAACAGTCTGGGGTAGAAGAAGAATTGAAAAAAGAAATAAACGAATTGAAAGATTCCTACTCCTTATTGCAGGAACATGTTCGGAATAAAGAGTTACAACTTGCGAACGAAATCAGAAAACTGGAAGAAAAAGACAAGCTGATAATATTTATAACAGATGAAATCAAAGATCTCAGAAAAACTCATGACAGCCTGACTTCATTTGCCGAATTAAGGAAACAACTAGATGATGAAGATGCCAAAAGAAATATGAAAGAAATAATGAGGACTAACGAAGATCAGAAAAATTCTCTTGCTCGCCAAGAATCTCAGATACAGCGGCTCGAGAAACAGAAAATAGAGCTGGAAAAAGACATCTCCAAACACACCGAGCTTGAAGATGAATTGAAAAAAGAAATAAACGAGATGAAGGATTCTTATGTCTTACTTCAAGAGCAAATGCGGGATCGAGAATTAGAAGATACGAACGTAATAACGGATCTAAAAGCGAAACTTGAAGTAAAAAGGCAGGAGAAAATTGACTTTGTGATGAAGCAAATGAAGTCAGAATCAAAAAGCAGACAAGTTCTCTCCCTAATAAATCACCAACTGAACGATTTCAACGGCAAATTCGACAGCCAAACTGCTGAACTCAAGGAAATCAACTGTAAATTCGACAAGCAAACAACAGAAATTCATGAATTATGCAAACAGATAGAGGAGCTCAAGATGGAGAATCAAACCCTTGCTGGGCTCTACCGCAGCGAAAAAAAGGTAGCATCGAAATTTCGTTGAAAGAAAATACATTTTTTATTTTTCAGCTTCGCCAGACATTAAAATCCGGCTAAGAATACACAGTTATCTGCACAGTTAAATATTGACCAGGTCATCTTTAGCGAAAATCGTGTTGAGAAGTTCATCTTTTTCCCGCTCTCGCATGCTGCTGCCCTCGATATCTTTCCTGAAATAAATCGCCATAAATAAAAATTAATCTGACAGCGTCGCTCATCAATCATTTTGATATAAAACTCGCGTTGGAAATAGAAAAAGAAACAAACCTGGAAATCGTGTGACGCGTTCTGAATCGTCGTCTTAGTTTAACAACGTCACTTATCACGTCTTTGACGAGTTCGATATTGTTAAGCACATTGTATTCCATCAAACTTTCCAAATTTTCAAAGGACTTTTTGTCTTCCTCCAGGGTTTTCAGTGATCTCAGAAAAGGACATATGCACTTGAAAAGGCACATAACAAGCAGATCATGTGTTCTATCTCGGCAGGTGACAAGGTTATCGGAACAATCTACAAGGGCGTCCCTTGCTCTAAAATTTCCACAGCTGCTTGAAATTTTAGCGCTATTTTCATATAAAAGTAATCGGGAAAGCTCAGTTTTTTATGAAAGAAACGAGAATGAGCTCTACTGGAAAGCACTCAGAACTCTTTATTTTCTTCCAAAAACAGAGAATTTCATCCCTTCGAGATGAGCTCACGCCTTTGGTTACTTTCGAAAATACCACCCGCCGCCTGGAGAATGCACATGATCTTGCCCTAGAAACAGAACACCTTGTATACTAAAATAATCTGCTAAACCCTTATCATAAGTAAAGTTGAAAGTAGAATACATATTTGATGGATTTTCGAAGATTGGGAAATCGCCACTTTTATCGCCTTCTTCTCGTTTTACTCCTGAATAAAATTGATTTTCTGCTTGAATCTGTGTCGATCTACCTGGTTTTGAATAATTTTTGAAGCTCTTATTTACAAGCATGAATAAAATAATAATCGGCGCGTTCATATTCACCTCATCTTTTATCAAATAAACCTCTTCCAGGGGCTTATTCGGGTCAATAACCGGAACGTGTGGAAATGGAATGTCATGTATTCTAGCCCACTTTTCAGCCAATCGAACTTGCTGCAGAGGATCGAAATTTTCCCCGGCAGGATCGTCAAGGCTTCGCGCAGAAAATTCAAAAGCGATGAAAATGTCCACTGCTCGCTGAGGTCTCAAAACTGGTGGAAATGGGAGATTCATTGCTAGGCCACCATCGACGATATGGAGGACTTTTCGATCTGGAATCGGTTCGTCGAGAAGTTGGAACTCGCCTTCTTCTTGAACAACAGGAATGTCGCTTGTAAACGGCGACAAGGGGTAGTTCTTCTCGATGTCCAAGCCTCTCATAAAGTTCAAAACCCGGGGCGCTCTGATCCCACGGTTCGAGAGAAACGAGCATCTATCATTGACAATTAAGCAGAATCTGTTGAAGAAGGAAAGTGACCCGTCGTCGCAAATGGAAGGACTTCGGCAGACGCTCTTCTCACGACCAATTGTCAGACAATTGTTGTTTTCGTTTTGGCACTGAGCGAAGAAGCGATAAAAAAGGCTTGATAGATATGAAAGAACTTACATATTTTGGCTCGTCGATGTTGAGAACGCTCATTGATGGCCGCCTCTTATGCGAAGATCGCCTTCTTTCCCCTTCGATTCTAGGGCTTCCAGAAGGATTTCTTGACATTCTCTGCGACGGCCTCTTTTCGGGGAGTTCCAGTCGAGAGGACCTCTTTGCCGGCTCCGGTGTGTGAATTTCGCTGGCATTTGAAATCGATGATGACGAAAACCACTTTGATACACTTTTCCCGGCTGACCAAATAGAGTTGATTGATTTTTTAAAAACGCCCTTGTTGTTCTGTTTCACTGGCAAAGTTCAGACTTATTTCGAAACAAAATCAACAAATTCATCAACAAATTAATCATTAGTCAGAACCTTTCCCTGTCGATCTTCTCCTGGGCATATCTTCATCAGAGTTGGTGCCTACATTTTCTTCTTGAATAATTTGGTTCATTTCTTCCGTTTCTGACTCTTTCATTGCAGGAGACTTCGGATCAAGAACTCGATGAATCAAAATGCTAAAAGCCGATCCCCAGAGACCCTGAAGAAAGTGCAGCGGAAACTCTTCAAATTTCTGGACAATCGAGCCCATGAAAAACTCTGAACCAAAGTTTTCCGGCTTCATGAAGGTTCCATATTTAGGGACGCCGATTTCAAAAGGCGTGAATTCCACCCACTCGTGGTACTTGATTGCGCTTTCTTTTGGCTTGACCACGACAGCCACCATGATCGGAAGAGGGTTTTCGCCGGCGTCGCAATGTCGGGTCATATCGGATAGACGGGCTTTTAGATTGTGTTTTCCGAGGAGTGATTCGCCGATCATCGTGCCGAAGATGTCGGTAAAACTTACTGGTTGTCCGATTTTATGCTTTTCCCAGAGAGTTTTTACATATCCACGGAGCTTCTCAGGCGCAAGAAATTTCATTTTCGAATTTTCGATTCGACCCTTGATTTCTTCATTCACAGATTTTGAGTTCAAAGAGCTTGAGTTGTAAAAAGTGGAAATATACCAGCCAGAGCCAGATAAACCCGCCGCATATGTGACTGTATCCAGTATTCCCGACGACTGCAGCGCATTCATCGCTCCAGCCATCCCTACCATCGCTCTGAAACCACCACCAGAACCGAGTAGGGCGATAGTTGGTGTGTGTCGGACGCTTTTTGGACCACGCTCACCGAGTAATTCTTGTAGCTTCAGTTTGACTCGTTCTTTTCTCTTACTTCGGAAATATTTCTCTGAACCGCAAAGGGCGAGGGAATATCGTAAGTCTGGCGTATGGATTTCTTCAAACTAATTTCATTAAAAATGGATATTTCGGAGACTTACTTTGAAAGAAATATCGACTTCACTTGATTCGGAGAAATAAAATGTTCGTTTTTGATATTCTTTCGTTACTGCCAAATCCGACAGCTCAACAAAAATCCATTGTTTTGGGTAAAAATTGACATTGGCTAATTCAACTTTTCAATTTTCAACCCTAGCCTTGAATTCAAATCGTCGGTTGAGTAGTTCTTATCCATTATTGCAATTTCAATCTCCTCGTTGTCTTCCAAATCCTCGAATGGTGGAATTTTGAATAAAAGTTCTTCGTTAAATTTTGGCGATTTTTGGTTCGTAAAATATCGCGTTTTCTTCGTTGTTTTCGCTGCGAAAGGTACAGTGACGGATATGTATGGATCAGGCGTGTCGATAAAGTCGCTGATCATTCCTTTTGAAATTTTCCTTCCTTCATGAACAAAGACGTAGAAATTCAACGGGTTCTTTTTCTTAACATCGAAGAAGGAAAACGGATCAGCCTTTTCTTTGGCGCTAGAATCCGCGGCGAATTTGACCGAGTTGCCAAGCTTCTTTTTCAAAATCATCTCTCGCGTTTATGTTGTTTTCGATTAAAACTCTCTTACAGTGATTTCGCCAAATCAGAGTCAGCTCGGGTCGGCTTTGATCGACGAGACTAATCGCTTCTAATTTTGGTGACGCCAAAGGTCTTCCGGTCTGAAACAATTACAATCCTCTCTGTTCGATTTCGGGTTTTACAAAAGAGAAATTTCTTCCAGAAAACTCTTTTTCAAAAGAATTTATTCTTCAAATGAGAGTAATCCCTCGCGGGGGAGATCATTTTCCCGGCGAGTGTGCTTATATACTTTACTCTACGATAAAGATGCATTGTGTTTGGCAACTTCTGCGAGATTGAATAATTAATCATCTGTCAAGCTGTTTTTGTCAAATATTTCAGGCTTTTTCTCATTGAAAATTATTCAGGAATTAAAAATAGTTGATTCAAATTGATTTGATGTCTTCGTATTAAACTATCCTTTAGTCTAAAGGCTTTAGATTAATATAGCATCTTTGGTCATTTTTACACTTTGAAGTCAGGTCGGGACTGGTTTCATTTTACTCATTTATTTTTCAATAATCGCAGCTTGGAATATTACAGTACTCCCATCTTTTTGAGCGATCCAATGTGTAACACCATGGCCCACCTGGCTCATCATCCGGGTTTAGACAGTAGTTAGTATCCACATATCTCTCGCCATATCTTTGTCGAACCATATTTTCACGCGTATGGCTGTGGGGTGTCTGTGAGTTCCATTTTTGGCATGAGCGTCCCGACTTAGTCACTTTTAATCTTCGAGAATTTATATCAGAAATCAAGAAGACAGAAAACAAGAAAGAAACTTATAAATTTAGAGGATTTCCTATATGATGTCCGGTGTAATAGCGCCCACGAGGATCAATAGATGGTATGCAAGAAGCCAACTGAATGTCGCAGTGAAAATCCATCTTTTTCATTAAAGAAACAGACGTTGAAAACCTTCTGAATTCGATAATTGCGTCGTTGGGTTTCTGGACACTCAACAGAGACCCTGTAGCTGTAACCGTTTTATCTTCAAGAATACGAAATGACTTTGAATCGATGAGAATATCACAATTTGTCAAAGTTGCGGTGTAGTTCAGAATGTTCAGTTTTGCCTCCAATGTCATTTTCTCGCCTAAGCTATCTCCCCCTGAATTATAAACATATCAAATGGACTCAGCTAAATTCTTACCAGAAACATGCAAGAAAATATCAGGTGTGCCTGACTGCTCATCAGAACTTCTTTGTGCTCTTGATCTTATTGACGCTGCAGTTAACCGTATTATTTCTTTGTCTTCAAAGCCTCTTTTTGAAACAGAGAAAGTAAAAAACAAGTAAAATATTTTGAATCTCATCATTTTAGATCTGAACTCGAACTTCAAAGATGATGATGATGATACCGCATAATTATTTATGTTAGATAATAAAACTTTTGACACAAGTTAAAATTAAGTTTGTACGGCATTATTTTCTTGTCATTGTTCAGATGCGATTGCAGTTTCAATAAGCACAATCGTTGCAATTTCTAAGAAAAAAATATTTGCATCCTTGAACGCTGGTGCTCTTGGTTTGGGTGCAGCGTAATCACATAATGAGATGTCGGGCTTGGAAGACTTGCCAAGTTAAGTAACCGTGAGCTGGCTTCGATGAACCGCCCAAATCCGAATTACATGTCATTATTTCCCGTAAGAAGTATCATTCCATTTTCCAACGCGATCAGTTTAAAAAGAAAACTATAAAAGTTTATTATTAATAAAAATGTACAGAGTGATGAGGTTTGAATTTACAGGACAATTACTGCAGATTTTTTTCTTTGTTCAAAGTTCCTTCTCGGAAACGGAGAATTTTCCAAAGCGGGAATGTGCAGATTTTTAATCAGGTAGAGTTTTTTGTCATTCCAGCGCTTGTTGAAAACGCTGGATTCTTACTGCTGGTTTTATAAAATCATTTCTATGTACAGTCGACTTAGTTTCCTAAAGTCGATCTTTTCGCTTGCTTCGTCGATTGTTGACTCTGATTCCAGCGCTGCCGCCGCGGACCTAAAATTCAAAATTATTATTTGTTGAAATTTTCAAACGAGAAAACGCTGTCGGAAGCAGTACCGCTTATCATCGCGAAAAAGCTATCAATTTCCGCTGCGCTTCCTCTCTACCCAGCTACTTGCTAATTTAAATGTCGAATCGGTTTACTTACCCTGGTAACGGCCTCAAGCTCCGCCGCGAGGAATGCTTCCAAGTCTTCTGTCGTCCTCGTTCTTGCCTGCTCGCCAACAACTGCTCTGATGAATTCACTGGGTCCGCTCGACCGGGCGCCAGCGAATTGCCCGTTGAAGCAGTTGTGACGATTCTGGCGACCGCGGAAGGTCACCAACTCGGGGTACTCGTTCGTGTTCATGTTATCGGCTGAATTAATAATTCATTTTCGAGTCCTTATCTCGGCGAAAGAATGATAAAACAACAAATGCGGCTTCAAAGAGATAAACACGTGCTGATGTTTTAAAGACGGGTCAATAAAAACAGCGAAAGTTTTTATCGAAAAACTGAAAAAATAAAAGAAGAATTCAAGTGTTTTAAAAGGGCGTAACGGGCCAGTTCCGTTTAACTTCTAATAACTGGTTGAACAACAGCAAGAACTAAAGAGGTAAGGGCAGAGGCACTTACTTTAAGAGTGAAAGGCTCTGAAAAAGAACTTACAGTGTGGTCCGAGGACAAAGCCCCTGAATAGGGAGAGTGTTCTCGACGTTGTTGCTCCCTATCCTAGGGTTAGGGTAAAGGCTCTAAGTAAGAGTAAGGATAGAGTAAGGGGCAGCAGGATAACCCCCTTCTACCTCATTGAAAAGGGTTCGTCTAAGGGAAATTGAGTCTTTTGAGCAACAACAGCTTTTAAAATAAGCACTTCCACAAACATATAAAACGTTCCCCAAAACATTCTCAAGCCATTTAAAGTTTCTTAGAGAAACAACTTTGTTGCGCTGTCCCCAAACAAACATAGAGGTAATGCAACATGTGACATGTCACACGTTTCCTTATTCTCATGAGAATAGTGAACTGAGAATACAGTGCTTTTTGAAGACAAGTTTGAACGGAACTGAGATCGTTGGAAATCAAGAGAGTGATTTTCTGCTTATCGAATTTATGTTTACTCCAGCCTCGCGAATTTGGAGTACTTGGGCAAACCACTTTGGGGAATGTGTATTAATCTTACCAATGAAAACAAAAGAGTTCTCGTCCTCGAGGTCGTTCTTCCAGAGTTTGTTTTGAATGAGGATCTCATTGTTATTCTGGTAGAAGTTGAAAAACTTGGCGTTCCAGAGCTGCAAATTCCCGCGATTGCGATTGCTGGAGAATCGGATCAGGATTGACCAGGAACCGTTTGCAAGTTCATCTTTTTTTCAGGCTTTTGCAAAGTCATCATTTTAAGGGGGAGGTCGACGAGAATCGGGATTTTTTCAACCAAAATTCCGGAAAAACTAGCTTTGAATGAAAAATTCTGATTGGTCAGGTGAGTAGGAAAGGGTTTGAAAAATACAGCGGCGAAAACTAGAAAAAATTTTGTCCAGAAAAAATGGGCGTAATCGTGTCTCAAAGTGGACCCCAAATCGCAATTTTGGCAATTTTGCGATTTTTTCGCTATTTTTTTATGCCACATTTGGTAATGAAGTGCACGAAATTCCTGCAAAAACTCGTGAAACTCGTTGCCGCTGTCTTCTAAATACCCTTCTGTTCTCACCTGATAAGTCAAAATATGTTTACAGAATCGGGCTTTTCGGGAAAATTGGTTTAAAAATTCCGATTCTCGTCGACCCGCCCCTTAACGGAGAAAAACAGCGTCGATTTTTAACCAATCAAAAATCCGTGTTTGGCCTACAAGCCAATCAGCGGCCGATAAATTTTAAAGGACGATGAAAAAGCCTTTCCTGGAATAGTGACTTTGGCGGCAAAGCCATAATTGACATGATGAGCACCAATTCTCCACGAATCAATGATCGAAAGTCTTGCTCCTTCTTGGCAATCAAGGGGCGCGGGACAACCCCGCGGAGGAACGTAAGGGTCAACGTTGAGGTTTGTCTCACATACGTACTCTGACGCTTGTCGACCGCCCAGTGGCGCTTGAAGCTCCGAAATCACTGAATACTAATTAAAGCTTTTATTCAATGAGTTTTTATTCTACCTTTTGTGGCGTCGTATTCGCAGATGTATCCCATGCCAGCATTGTCGCGAACTCTGCCGGAAGACGTGCTGCTGCATTTCGCGTCGTTGTACACATTTCCTAATTAAAACGATTAAATTTGCACTTTATTCCACCCCGAGTTAAGAAACTGGGGGCGCAATTTTTCTTCAGTTTCTAAAGAACTTGAATTTCGCCCTCACCCTTCATTCTTATGCATCTTTCTTCGCCAGTGGCGTCGTTTGGCTCTGGAACATCTTGGTTTGAGTGACGATCCCAGGGAGCATGGAGGACGTTATTTCCGTCGATGTCTGTAAGAAGGCCGCCGGATTCAGTCATACCGAGCCAGAAGGCGTGATTGGCGCAGTTGGTCATTTGGACGAGTTTTTATGCTCTGAAGATTTTAGTTTATTTATGTCTTTGAAGTTATTAAGTTTTGAAAGTGGGGTTATAATCATATAATATTGAGAGGTTCACTTCATTTTTACAAAGGATCTGATCTTCAAACTTAAAAGCAAGTGCCCATCAAGGATAAAATGGCAAGAACATAACGGAAAAGTAATTATCACCCAGAAGTTTTAATCAATAATATTGTTGACTTTCCAAAACAACGGTATTACAACCTCTTGGATGGAAAAACCAATTAGCACTGTTTTTGATAACATGATTCGAAGCAAAAAGAACTTATGTTCCTGATTAGTTTTTCATGTTTTACCAGCTCGAACAGCTGTTCAAAATAGACTACGCTGGCGAATAAGCTTTTCATTAGAAAAAAATATTAAAAGTCATTAATAAATTTACTATAGTAGGTTTTCCAGCAAAAATTGCTTTACTGTAATTGACAAAAAAAAATAATAAAAAAGTTTGAATAGCACGTGAGTTGTCTGAAAATCCGCAAAAGTTTCGGTCGCAAAGAATAATTGGTTATTGGCGATGAGGTTCGGTCAAATTTTAACTTGGTGAAAAAATATTATCGCAACAATTCTTGATTCCAAAATTGCAGTTTGTTCAAAGACTGTTACCGTTCTAAAAACAACGGGGAAGAAGATATGTAATTTACCTTTCACATCATCAATTATGACCAAATCCCAGCCACTTCCACGATCTTGGCAGCTTTGCCGAGCGTCTTCCCAAGTATAATCGCCGCTTTTCGCCGGTTATCGAGAATAATTCTTCAATTTTTACACTTTTAAGGACGAGTAGCTTGGGAAGTATTTTTGAAGAATCTGAATAACCGCTCCTTTGCGAAATGAAGTATCTGTTATCTTCTGGCAGCTCGTCTTCGGCACGTGGCGCGCAACTGTCAGCATCTAAATCGATGGATGAGACGGTTAACTTTTTATCGTAAAGTTAATGTTGCACTTTTCTAGTGCAAATCTTATCAGACACTATCTTAGCTTTACTTGCACTCATTTATGACACCTCATCCTTTTTCGAGAACGAAATCAAATAGGATAGTAAATAAGAGGCTACTTAATCAAACCTAGCTGAACAAGGACATTCCTTTGGTTGTTGACACCCTTAATCAAACAACTTACATGCATGTCTTTCGCAGATGTATCCAACTCCAACGTCATTTTCATCGATTCCACTCCAGTAGTTTTTGCACGGGACTTCCAGTAACTCGTCTCCAGCCCACTGAGCGCATTCAAATTTCGCGCTGCTGTCGCTATTGGCCGCCCAGGAAAGAAATCCTTCAGCTGCTCGCTTATGTACAGTTTCTTTGTTCTTGTAGCCGAGCCAGAAGTTTTGGGAGTGGGCGCAATTACTCTGAACAATGTTACGAACATAGTCGAACTCACCTTTTTTCTCGAAGACAGCGAGGTCCCACTCGCTTCCGAGCTCCTGGCACATGTCACGTGCTTCGTGCCACGTTCGTGATTCGCCGGAAGAGAGGGAAGTGACCACGTGATATTCAGAGGAGGTCAGGCTTGGTCGATCTGCGCTGGGGATGCAGACAAATGGCTCTTCTGTTGTTGTCGTAGTTGTTGTCGTTGTTGTTGTGGTTGTCGTTGTGGTTGTCGTTGTGGTTGTCGTTGTAGTTGTTGTTGGAGCTTCCGTTGTTGTTGTGACAGGTTCAGTGCTGCAAACATACTTGGTCTTTCTTCCACATCTTCTGTTTACAACTTTAGCCTTTCTGTCGATAAAGGTACATCTGTCCTTTTTATCCCTCCCAGCGACAAGATACTTCGAATTGCCTTTGATTTCCGCCGCGATCTCTTCTTTGTTCTCGGCTGTTACAACCACGAGTCCTTCGTCTCCGCATATTTGGTAGATTTTGGAAGGCACTTCTTTCGTGTTGTGCAACTTGAAATCGGCTAAAAAAGGGGCAATTAGTTCCGTTCCCTTCAAATAATTCACTCCATTATTAAGAGTCATCAGATGACAGAACTCGGTCTTTAAAACGACCGCAGATGTCCTAAATTGAAGATGGGCCTAATCCTTAGGCCCTAGGGCTAGCATAATTTCCTCTGGGCCGTTAAAGATGACGGAGGAAGTTCGATCTGGGGTTAGATAGTCTAAGATAGGAGTAAGGGGATAGCTGCGAAAGCAATTTACCAGGAAGAATATTCTTTTTAGTTTTGTATGAAGAAGGCTAGAGCCTCAAAGAAAGAGTATTGTTTTCGTCATCGAAACCCCCGATAAGTAAAAAAGTGGGGTGCCGTTGAAGGACCCCGTCAAAATAGAAGCGTCAGCAGTAAGACACAAATAGCGGGTTAGTTGAGCTCTCTCAAGATTGTTTTGATCGGGGCGTAAGCTGGAATTAAACAACAAGATCGCCACGTATTCGGAAATTATCTATTTTGCATTAGAACCGATTCCCGTATGTTTATGTGTATAAAAGGGGAGTCCCGTTTTGATTATAAATTTGCCACGGTAGGGCAATAAGGTCAGTTAAAGAAAAAGAAAAAAAAAACGTTGTTTTAAACAAAAAGAGCTATTGACGAAGAAAAACTGTTAAGATCAAAAAGTTCAAGCTAAAAAGCGTGTTCAAAGTGTCGCTAGTAATTTTCTGTCTATATTAGAGTTTTGGAAACAGAGATTTATGAGCTATATAAAACAGCTTGGCGCGTAAGCGATAACTGAATTTCCACCACAATGAGGTAGAAAGCCTGATAAAATTTTAGACAAACTGCTCCACCTAAATCACTTCGGTTTTTTTTATCGAGGTTGAACATTAGAAGTACTGGCTTAAAATAGGTGACTGCCTTAATCGTCGTTAAAACGTTGCATCGGACTGCTTTAGTCGTCGCTAAAACGTTGCATGGGCTGCCTTAATCGTTGTCTGACTCATCTTGCCTTTTTCAATTTCAAGATAGGTAGGCGCGCGCAACCAGCGCTTTCAGAGTGTTTCTAGACTTTCCAGATTCTCCCAAGACGACGATTAAGGCAGCCCAATGCAACGTTTTAGCGACGACGATTAAGGCAGCCGATGCAACGTTTTAACGACGATTAAGGCAGTCTCCTATTTTATTAAATTTGATTCACGGAGGCTATGCTTTTTGAATAAAAATTCTTGAAAACACGTCCTTCAAATCATCTCCGTTTTCTTTGACAGGAAATATGCGGCGAAAATGCCCTTTTGTGAATTGAGATACAGTTAAATCCAGATTTTGGACGTCGAATCTGCGGCCATTTGTTAAGATTTAGATAGACTTTATTTTACCAAAGAGCACTTTTGAATCCACTACCTCAGATTATGCATCACTTATCCATAAAATCAACCTCATAGAGAATTATAAAAAAGTGCTTCTCAGGAAAAAAATCCCTTCGAAAATTAATGGCTAGCTCAGAAAACACGTAAATTACATATTGATTTCGTCCGTAACGGATGCGTCTCAGAACTTAATGATATGGATATTTTATGGGAGAAATTATTCTTGAGGTCTAAGGAAGATTCTAGTGATAAAATAGGTCTAGCATGAGAATTAAACTCAGATTTTAATGAATAAAATTTTTATAGAATTAATATTTTGATTTTTTCTGCTCTTTTAGGCTTTTGAGTCGAAAATTTTGATGGAAAAATGGGGTAAGGGTTTGGGTTAGAGTAGAATTTTTCAATAGAAAAAAGAGATTTTGAATTAGATTTTTTAGCAATAAACGAACCTGCAAGTGTCGACGACAATAAAGTAGGCAGAATCTTCATCTCTTAATCTTTTTCTTCAGACTTTCAAAAAACTGTATTTTTACTACGCCAAGATAAAATAAGAAGACTCAAGTTAAGATCCAACGTATCTCAGGATCGTACAAAATTTCTAACTGAAATCGTGAGTACGAATTTCACCGCCGCTGCAAAAGTTCAGAAAGAGAGCGCCGTAAAGCGTAAAAATGAGGGCGCTCCGACCACCGAAAATCGCGCACGGAGAAAGATCAACTCAGCGCTTCGTGGGGTTAGGGTTAGGGTTAGATGGCTTTTTAAAGGAAAAGGAAAAAATAGTAAATTAATCTTTGTCTTCTTAAATATTCTCCTGCCCTCGTTTTTGAGATTCGAACTGTTAGAATGGCAAAAACTAGGAGAGTCCAGGAGTTATTCCCAAAATAACGGTTTTTAGCGCGATGCTTTGGTTTTTGAGAAATAAATTGGATTCTGAATCGGATCATTGAATTTAGCTATTAACTGGGACGTTTCAAGAGATAGAATTTAAGTTTTAATCCCTCGTAAATAAATTTTTTTCTCGCTCCATTTCGCAGAATTTTCTTTCAAGAAACTGATCTTTTCATCCATTTCTATCATCAATAAGAAGCAGCAGATTTCGAGTCTTAAAGATTTTGAGATTTTGACCTCTTGGTAATCCTGAACGTGATTTCTTTATAACGTGCCCGGATTTAACAATCGTTTCTGACATTTTGTTGATTCCACTAAAAATAAGATAATAATTTCCTCTAACAAAATGGTCGTTCGGTAATTTGAGCGGAAGAAAATCGCGATTTTTAATTTAAAAATTTACTTTAGACCCCAAAAAAGAGAAACGAGAATTTCTGGCGTCATTAAAAGTGTTTATTTCGTAGCCCAGCTTGTCTGGATCCGTATTTCTAGCGCATCCTAATCCCTTCTACCCACGAAACGGCCCCTAAAATGACCGGTTGATAACAAGCATCAAAACACATTACGGGTGCTGTTATCGCCAGATTTATCTAGCGCTGTTTTTGTTTGTCGAAATTCTAGCGATCCGAGATCTGAAAACAAATTGGCATCCTTTCTCGAAGAAGCTGAAACGCACAAAAATTGGGTCCGTTGAACTTGTTTATCAAGCTGCTTGAGCTTTCCAGTTTTTTTTACAAGTAATTAAAATTCGAGGCACAACTCCTTTGCTCGCCCTCTGCCCAGGATAATGAAGTGAATTCTAGCGTCCTCAGTGTATAAATTATATAATTCAGCTTTTTTTAGCCCAAGTTTGACGTTTCATCAATTAAGTGATGATCTTTTTTCAGAGAAGCTTGGTTGGACTAAATTTGTAATTGTAAAATATCCACGTGAAAACTTTCCAGAGCAGATTAAAAAGCATGAAATAAGCACCACGATTTCAGCATGAAATTATCGATAAAAGCGACCCGACATGGCCCTTTACGTGGTCCTGGTTAGCGAAATTGGGACTGTTTTGACTACTCTTTTGTTTGTAGTTCTTTGCTAATTGTAACAAGGCGCCCGTAACGGAAATCCATGTTTGATAATTAAGACCTGTTTATTTTCTGTTCACCTTTAGGCTCTCTAAGGGCCTCACCACCATTAAATGAAAACAAGAGACAATCAGCTCAATTTGATGGCAAAATAATTGCGAACGTTGCTTTCAAAGCTCCTTATTTTAAAAATACGATCAACTAAACATAATATACCATGCAGAAGAACAATTCAACGTGGGAATGACTTGGAGCCACTGTATAAGCGACAACTGGTTATCAGAGAGAAAATAACCGTCTGTGTTGACAGCAAAGATTTCTAAACAAAGGTTCTGAGCGTTTTTTCATGTATAAGATAAAAGACAAATATTTTCGAGAAATTTATTTAATAATTTTTTGACTGATCCAAGCTTAAGGGATCCCCCCCCCAATTTCGCCAACTTTGACCTCTATCTACTTTTTTTTGAGCTCACGTAGGAAGCTGGTTTTGGGTGCATTAGAAAGCCCGCTTCGAAAGGAGCAAATTCTGGTAGAATCAGCTTGCCAGCATAACATTCGCCTATGCATTACAGGCCGTCAAAGTGATTAACATTTTGAAAAATGGCCATTTTAGGTCATTTTCAAATCGTATCTACTTTTTTTTGGGCGTTGTGATTCAAGATTTTTTTGGTTTATCTAAAAGTATAGACGCTAATCTTAATTTTTTGGTAGAATCAGCATGATCGGATTAGTGAATAAAAAAATTCTAGTTGTAAAACTTTTCAAAACCATTTTTGGCGTTATTTGGGTGTTAGAATGCTCTCTAGCGCCAACAATTGGCCGAAAATTCTAAAGCGGTTATTATATTCGTAATCTTCACATTCTAAGCTTTCGAAAGAGCCCTTGTTTGTGTTATTTCGATGACAATGAAAAATCGAAAAAAATTGCGATTTTCACGCTAAGTACAATTTACATGCATTTTCCCGAACTTTGGGAACCAAAATTTCGGAGATGCATCTATGTAAAGGGGTACTATCATATATCAAAATGATCCTCAGAATACGAGGAATCTAATCATAGGCGATAATGACCGGTGCCAAAGGTTTGAAAAATCGGGGGGTGATCCCTTAAATAATTGTCTTCTTGTTGCTGTTGATTTAAGGGTACTACCGTCGATTACCCCAATGACCGGTTATGTTAAAGTTTTCATCGGAAATGAATTCCTCATAAAATTTTGACCAAAAAAGGTCCGAACGTTTCATTCATAACGTCAAGCGTTTTCATAATAATTAGAGTTTTAATTGATTTCTGTACTAGAAAGAATTTTTTCGGAAAAAATTTTTGGTGTCCGATACTTTCAAATAAGCGCTCGTTTTGAAGCTCAGAACAAGATGAGGACTATGGTGAGATCATTAATTCTTGAACTAAGATATTTTAGCTTCTAGAAGACAAAAACAAGAAGGATGGAAAATATAAAAAGGTAAAAAATAAAATATATTTTCTATCCCTTTATTTTTTTCATTATCGTTTCATTTTATATTTGGAGTCTTTCATTTTCCTCTGGCCCTTTTATACCCCTTATACCTAAAGTGGAAACATCTGGACCAGATGATCATACAGTAATTGACTATACACAGCTGCGATGTGTGTTCACCTTTTACCTCTTTTATGATCAAAGTTTGATCTTATTCTTTTCGAACATCAAAGATCCAATCTAGATCTTATGTTGACTTCCAAAACATAAAATTTATGTAACAGTAAAGAATAAAAAGCCTTTATCT